GTGCACGGCATATCGGCAGGATCTCTACTTAAGTCGATGTGTTCGGCAAGAGTAGCGCGCTTAGAGGCTTTTCGGGAACGATTTTTTAGTATACGACTAGATATACTATCAGCAGCATATCCCGAAAGGATAAAGAGATAAGGAACGATATACTTACGCACAACGCGATAAGGGTATATTTATATACGGCGGCTAAGGCAGCTGTAGTAGGTCTTACGGATAAGACTAAAAGGAGGGGAGACATCGTGTTACGACCACGGCCACTAGGCCGCTAACGGTCGACCGCGTTAAGCACGTAACACGGTCTAACGGATAAATAGTCGGCACGACTATCTAATAGATATAGGATCGAGGGGATCGCAGAGATCTAAGTAATCTAGGATCAACGAGATTACTGCGCTCTATACGATCTAACGTTAGGGATTATAGCTAGGCCGATAATCTAAAGACAGTCTCTATAGGTATATATAGCCACCTACTTTTACTCCTTTAGATAAATAGCTCTCTAGCTTTTAATATAGATCTTTATTACGATTCTATCTCTAATTCTAATCACCTAGTTATAGTCTACGGTCTACGACCTCCGACTTATTACTAACGTAATATACTTATTATTGCTTAGACCACGCCCTATTATATCTACTAATATAAACCCCTCGATAGGTTTATCCCTTAGGAATAATACCGGTCGTTATACCTTAAGCTCTTTACGAAGAAGAGGGCCTCGCTAGCCTACCTTTATACCTATAGCTATAAGGTATATATAATAACTACCGATATATAGCTAAAAAGGAAGAAGAAAAGAAAGCTTAATCCTAGAGCCTTTATTAGTTACTTCGTTAGTTATAATTCTATAAATATCTTCCGGATCTAGATTCCTCTTTTATAGAAGGTTATTTCGACTAGGGATATAATTTTTAACGAATCTAGCTTCTTTAAAGGAAAGAGGGATTAATAGCCCCTCTTACTCTTATAACGTTAGCTAATTTAGAAGATCTAAATTCCCCCTTCCTAACAGTCTTAAGAAGAGGTCTTAGATAAGGAAACGAAAGAAGAAACCGACGTCGAAGTAGTTAAGGATAACGCTAACTTCGAAGAGGAAGCTACTAGATTAGATAATCTAGACGAAGAAGGAGACTATAGGAAAGCGGTAGAGCTAGAATACGCCTACCTACCTACGCCTCCTCCTACGTAAGAAGAAGATCTAGAAGTAGCTTTTTTAGTTAGTCTTCCTATCTCGACCCCTAAGGGGGTAGGAAAGGCACCTCTCTTAAAGGATTACCCGGCTGCCTTTTTATCCCTACCTCGAGAAGTAAAGGAAGGTATAGGGCCCGATACGGATACTAAAGAAGACTAACCTCTCCCCTATTTCAATCGTTTTTCCGACTTCTATCTAACGCTAATAAAAGACGGTTCCTACGGAGCGTTTATAGTAGGCCGGCTTTTTAAGCTACTATTAGCAAGGAAGGTATATAAAAGAGACCTCCCGGACCTACTAGTAAACTAAAAGCAGCTAGAAAAACACCCCTTTAGAGACTAGTTTTTCTAGGCGTAGAAAGACTACCTAGCCTTATACGAAGAGATAGGGTCTTTCGAAGAGGTCCTTAAGGAAAAAATAAGAGGAAAATAGGTCCTTAGCTATAAATAGGTCTTTATCTATAAGACTAATAAATATAGCTTCCTTTAAAAGTATAAGGCCTAGCTAGTTATCTATAGGAACTAGTAGGAAAAAGGGGATCTTCTTATTAAGGCAACTACCCTAGTAGGGATATCTTTTTAGACCCTTATAGCTATAGTAGTAGAATTCGACCTCGAGCTCGATTAGATAGATATAGTTAACGCCTTTATTAACTGCCTACTTAAGGAAGAAGAAGTTATCTATATACGCCTTCTACTAGGCTTTTAATAGCTAGGAAAGGTTCTATAGCTTAGGAAAGCTCTATACGGACTACGAAGATCACCCCTTCTTTAGCAATAGTATTTAACCGGTTCCCTTAAAGCCCTAAGCTCTAAGAAAGTCCCTTAGGAACCGTGTATAATATAGAAGGGTAAAATCATAGTCTTCTTCTACGTCGACGATATTATCTAGGCCTACCTAAAAGAGGAAGAGGCTATTACTAGGGAGGCTATATAAGGCCTATAATAAAGGTATAAGATAACTAGGCTAAGGGAGCTAAAGTAGTTCCTAGGGATATAAATCCTTTAAAATAGGTCCTAACGGACTATCTAGCTTACCTAGGACGCCTATATCGATAAGGTCGCTTATAAATTCCTCCTTAATTCCCTTAAAAAGAAGCTTCCCTCTATGCCTATATTAGACGAAGAGCTTTTACCTAATCCGTCCTTTTAAGCTAGGGAGCAAGAGAAACACTAATATTAATAGAAGGTAGGCTCCCTGCTTTTTTTAGCTATTTCTACTAGACCGGATATCTCTTTTATAGTCTCCTAGCTAGCTAGGCATAACTAGAATCCTAGCCCTAGGCATTAAGAAGTAGTAGATAGAGCTATCCTTTATCTCTATTTAACGAGATTATATAGTCTACGCTTAAGAGGGTAGGGAAGGAAATAAGCTACCGAAATCTTCCTCTATTCGAGCGATTCGTCCTTTATAGATAATTCCTTAGATAGAAAGAGCTTATAGGGGTATATTATATCCCTTTTTAGAGGAACTATTACTTAGAGAGCTTCGAAGTAAGCTACCGTTACGACTTCTAGTACGGAGGTAGAGCTACTAGCTCTTTTAGAAGCGTTAAAAGAAGCGATTTTCCTTAGCTAGCTACTAATATCTTTACGACTATAAATTCTAACCCTATTAGCTATAGAATGCGATAATATATAGACTATACGAATTCTTATAGAAAACAGTAAGTTATTAACCCGGCTATAGTATATTAATATCTACTAGCATTAGTTACGCTAAGAGGTCTAAAAGGGACTTATTTCCGTCCGTTAGGTTCTAATAATATCGATAAAAGCCGACGGTCTTACGAAGCCCCTACTAAAGTAGAAGCTAGCTATCTTTTTATAGTAAATTAGGCTAGAAGACGTTCGAGAGAAGCTATCCTTAGAGGCCCGCCTTAAGAGTCTACGAGAGGAGCTAATAGCACGTATAAGAAGGTAACGTCTATAGCCGAAGAAAAGGAAGAGGGTTTTCCCTTTAAAGGGCCCCCTATTTTAATTAGGTTTTTCCCTTTAAAGAAGGCCCCCTTTCTTATAGGACTTTCCCCTCTTTAGGCCCTTATTCCTTAAGTAGGTCTAAAAGAGCCTAGGGACCCGAAAGGGCCCCTGCTTTCCTCGAGTAAAGGGAGAAGTGTAGAGCTAAGAACCTCCTCTATACGCTCACTAGCCTAAAGCCGTATTAGCTATGCCCTTACTATAAGGGCAGGCCATAGCTAAGGGGGTGTGTCGCGAAGCGTGGCCTGATTTCGTAGTTCTCGGAGATATCCCTTAGCACGAGGGACTAAGGAAGCTAAAAAACACCCGGTATAAAAGAAGGAAGAAGGAGCTAAAAAGAGGTATAGAAAGGAGGGTAGGGGCATAAGGGGAAGCAGAAGTAGCGATAGCTTCCTATAGAGGTAGCGAAAGATAAGACGGATATGCCGGCAACGGCTAGAAAAGAGGGGAAAACCCGGCAAAAAGCTCGGTAGTCGAAAGGACATTAGTAGCTTTTTTAAGCAGGATCTTCTTTATTAATTAAGATGCTAGATAGGTATAAAGAGGGGCGTTAGATAGAGGAAAGAAGGATAATTAAGGCAATATAATAATTATTCCCCTACCGCAATTACTGCCCCCGTAAGAATCAAATCTCTCTGCCCTGCCTGTCCGACCCCTTACTTCTAATTTTACCTTCGTGCATTTTTATGCACTTCTCGTATCTCTCTTCGCGAGAATTATAGCTAAATTTACTAGTAAATTAAAGTACCTTTAAGGGCGCGGCGTCTTTATTAGCTAATATCCCTGCTCGTAATATAGGTATAGTCCCTCGGCACTTAAAGGGATAGAGCTTCGATAGTCGCCCTATTAATTTAGCGTATAGTCTTATAGCTACTACTATAAAGTCTAAGCTACTATTTATAGATATTCCTAAGGTATAAAATATTTATCTATATAGTATTAACTCTAATTCGATATATAGTTTATTACTTTATTACCTTATTATATTTTATAGGGATTATCTAGTATACGACGCTAAGTTATATCCCTCCTACTAGCGTAGGAATTTCTAATAGGTCGTCGAAAGCTAGTATATACTTACGGTGCCGATAAAGTTAGTTAAAGCTTTTCTAGCGATTTTCCGATACCGCTAGCCGTCCTAGCTATAGCCTCTTAAAGAAATAGTTCTCTTAGCCGCCGATGCCTTAGTACTCCCGGATTTTATAATAGACGGACGCTATATTATAAGCGATATAGCGAGGTCGTAAAAGTAAGATCGACTATAGGCAGCAATGCACGAAGACGGGGTGCTTAGTAAGGGATAGCGGCTAACGATGATAGCGGTAATAGGAGAGAGAAAGGGAGAAAAGATGTCTAGAGTATAAGTCGACGGGGAGGATGGAGGTCGATCTATTTATACGGCGCGTGGTACGGGAGAGGGCGCCTTACCGGATCGGGGATGCCACCATGCCCGGTGGGGGCAACAGCGTATTCCAGACTACTTCCAGAAACTGTTTGTAGAGGTTCTTATATTTTTATTGTCCCGTTTATGCTGCTTCAGAGGAGCAGCGTCCTGGAATTGCCGGTGGCATCTCCAGTAGTTGCAAGTAGAATTAAGTGACAACTGATAGACTTAATCTTAAAGGTATTGCTTGAATAGAGACACCTGCGTATGTAAATAAGAGTTCTATAAGTAAATACGACTAAAAACAAGAGATCTTGTTTGCTCTCCCAAGTTGAGCCAGGACGCGTGGAGCTCTCGTAACGAAACTCGTGCATGTTAAGGTACCATCAGGAATAAGACGTGCACGATAAATATCACGAGGGCCGAATAGCCGATCCAAGCCCTAGAGACGGCAGCCACGCTGATGTTGGGCCGTGAATTTCAGCGACCTCTCTAGATTTTTCACAAAGGCCTCTCCCAGGTTAACGTCTATGACGCAATCTTGCCAGCTACTGGTGATGACAAGATCTCCTCCCTTGACGGCGGCGACAGAGATACCAAAGGCAGAAGAGACCACATTGGCACACATGAGGAGTTGGGTACGGGTCATGGACCACGTCGAGCCTGGTTCAGGCTTTGCATCTCCAGCTGACAACAGGCTGGTGGGGCTGCCGTCGATCAAGCCAAGGTTGGTAATGACCCATGAAGAGGGCCTCGGCCGTCGAGTATGTTCGGTTAGCTGAGTACGCCAATCACCGATGGCTTGCGCGAAGCCGATCATGTCGTTCTTGGTTCCTTGGTCCAGCTTGGCCTTGAGGTCATGGCGCACCTTTCTCGCCGCCGTCCACGCAAGATCCATAAGTACCCCGAACTCCAAGGCATCGCGAGCGTAGGGTGAGTGCCTGGAACGTATCTGGGCCACAAAATCCTCGTCGAAGATGTGATTTACGCATGTCACGTAGTTGGACATGGCGCGGTCCGGCTTGAACCATGGGTACCACCTGTGATGTGAAGGCAGAAAGCGCCGGAAGTCCATGGCCGTCAAGGACCCGAATGCCGTTGCGTCTGATGGCTCGAGGAGAGCCGCGAGTGACACCAGGACGAGTGCTTGAAGAAGGCCCGTAAGAGTGGTCTCGCGGTGGTGGCAAGCCTGTACCAGCTTCGAAAGCACATGGCTCGGAACACTAATGCTTCGGAACTGTGTCTTGAATGGTGCTGTAACAATCGGGGCCCAGTGCGCTTGTGCCGAGCTTCTCGGATACTTGGCTGCTGGCGTTCGGACTTCAACTTGCAAGAATTCGAGCATCGCGCCGGCTTCTACCGGAAGTGAAACAAGGTTTTCCGGAGGCGGGCTGAGCATTGCAGTCGAGTTCTCCGGGAGTGTCAGAACATGGTTTCCAGTCAAATGGTCATCGTGTATCTGGGGAGCATCGTGGAGGCTCTGAAGTAGGTCCTTATGAAAGGTCTTTGCGCTGCCACCGTCCATGTTGGTATGGTTGAAAACGAGGAGGACTTCAATGAAGTCTGCGCCTTCTTGGCGGAGGACCTTGATTTTCCATCCTGGCGCAGTGTGGTAGTTGATGAACTTGGCATCGAGCGCTTGGCTCGAGGCACTCAGAAACGCCTTTTGGAAGTGGTCGGTGCCTCCCCTCACTGTGTGCCACTCGACATGTTCTTGAAGATTGATGCTGTCCAGGCGGACCCAACAGGGTTTGTCGGTACCCTCGCCCGTGAGGCCAACATGCATGTGTGGATGCTTAAGCACGACGTGAGCAACGGCTGTCTCAAAAGTGCTGACCAGTTCATGCTGTAATTGGTGAGGAACAAGTCGTGCCGGCAGCGTGTATCGACATGCTAGTATATTGCCTCGCATGTGGTCAAGATTCTGGAGGGCTACCTGGTAAGATTCGCTACGGAGCTCGTTAGTTTCCTCCTCGCAGGTATTCTACAGTCTGCGTACGGGACGTGCAACTCACATGCATCCGAGCCTGCGGACGATTCTTCGGTCCCCGGGAGAGGCGTCTTGTGTCCATGGTTGTTCTTCCATAACTTGTTCGTCTTTGAGCTTCCATCCAGGAAACACTATCCCCAAAGCTGGGCTCACAAAGGTTTGGATAAAGAGGAATGGCAGAAAGTACGGTGCTCAGTAGGTGAGCTCGGGGTCTTGAAGGCCCTACGCAAGCATGAACAGTCCCCATGGCAGCCGACAAGCTGATATGGCAATCGTAGGCTCAGCTGGTCGGTCCCAGCTTGCTAGCAATTTCCCCATCGCGGACAACACAGCCGAGCTTACGGCGTACAAGAGGCCGGGATGCCAGGGCTACTGTACCAAGACACAGGGATTTAGAGTCGCCGGCTGTGTGCACCGTAACCTTCCTTAACTGCCTTCCAGGCCTGGATCTGGATACACAAGAGGATGAGAGCGCCTCTGTCGGGCGATGGACATAAATTCGGCCGAATTTCGATATCGCCGTCGGCCGTCGGTTACAAGCCCAGCCAACATGTATCTCCCTTTTCACCATGTCACACCCCACTCCAGGCCAACGAAGCACAGCAGACAAGAGGAACAGCTGAAGAGCTGATTAGAAATAGAGATGGTCTCGCCCCTGGCCCGGGCGTCAGGTCGGACAGGCTTGATCTGGCGACGCTGGGTCTCCCTGCGCTCACAGCGGGAGCCAATAGAGGCGCGGACCCCCGCGCCTTTAAAGTCGGCGCGGACGTCCGCGCCTGTTATGTAAGCCCAGGCGGAAGATAGTCGGGCCGCCCCCTGACCTGTACTCTCCTTTTCTATTGCATGTGGCAAACTGTCGCACAGAGAGCCAGCCTCATATAGCATACCATCTGCGCTCAGAGTAGTTGTCCGCGGAAGCGATGCTATAATCCGCATATTAAGGTCGAGCGCCTGCATGCGTGGTGCTTGGACCCCATTGAGGCCAAAGCTCAAACGCAGGCTGCATTAAACCTCGCAGGCGGCCTCGGTTACAAGTGTTCTGCACCACAAAGCAGGAGTTTCCTTTCCTTTGTGTATAAAGAGCTGCTCACTGTCGTGCACTACAGCTAGCTCTTCAAGATAATTCCAATATGGGGCTTACTGAATTCCCTGACGATTGCCTTCCTCCTGAGGGCCAATTCGACTCGCGAGAGTCTCTTCTTGCCTCAATTAATGCGTGGGCGGCTCCAAGAGGCTATGCCTTCACCACAGGCAAGTCCACGAGAGACCCGCGGTCCGGAAGACGCACAGTCATATTTGCCTGCGATCGTGGAGGTAGACTTGGGGCTCATACAAGCAAGGACCAGAAGCCAGCTGATCGGCAACGGTCTACAAGCTCCCGTATCACTGGATGCCAGTTTTCCATCAATGCGAAAGAGAGCCTTGATAAGTCGTACTGGTATGTCAGGCATCGCCCAGGCGAGGAGAAGTCGGTCCACAACCATGAGCCCAGTCTGCATATTACAGCACATCCAGCTCATCGTGCCCTCTCCTCAACTGACCAGTCAGCTATTGGGAACCTCTCAAGCGCTGGCATAGCACCAAAGGATATCCGGACATATATGCGCCAGAGCTCTCAGACTGCCCAAGGAGCGACACAGCAAGACATATATAACTGTATCGCACAGCGCAGACGAGAGCTCCTTGCTGGCCAGAGCACAATGCATGCCCTTGCCAATGAGCTTGACAACGAGGGGTTCCAGAGCCGCATACAGCTTGATCATGATGGCCGAGTCACAGCAGTCTTATTCGCACACCCAGCGTCTCTAGGATACCTCAACGCATACCCAGAATTACTACTGCTAGACTGCACATACAAGACGAACAAATATAAGATGCCACTGCTCGATATGATCGGCGTTGATGCCTGTCAGCGGTCATTCTGTATTGCCTTTGCCTTCCTCAGTGGTGAAGACGAAAATGACTATATCTGGGCACTGGACCAACTCCAATCGATATACGAGTTATATGACATTCGCCAGCCATCGGTTATCCTGACAGATCGCTGCCTCGCCTGCATAAACGCAATTTCCCGGTGCTTTCCTGCGTCCAAGTCTCTGCTTTGCATCTGGCATGCGAATAAGGCGGTGCTTAGCTATTGCAAACCAGCTTTCGACCGTGACGATGAGGACTCTAATAGTGATGAGAGGTGGGCTGAGTTCTTTGGGTATTGGCACTCAATCGTGGGCTCGAAAGATGAGGAGACATTTGATCAACAAGTTGAAGAGCTCGAGAAGCGCTTTGTGCCACGATACGTCAAGGAGGTTAGCTACATACGGGAAACCTGGTTGGACCCGTATAAGGAAAAGCTCGTCAAGGCCTGGGTCGATCAATATGCTCACTTCGGCAATGTGGCTACTTCCCGGGTGGAAGGCATCCACGCATTATTGAAGAGTCACCTTAAGAAGTCAACATTAGACCTCTTCGAGGCAACGAGGGCAATCAAGCAAGCTCTCCTCAACCAACTGGCCGAGCTACAAGCCAACCAAGCCAGGCAGCATATACGGATGCCAATTGAGCTCTCTGGAACCGTATATAGCACGGTACGTGGCTGGGTATCACACGAAGCCTTGCGACAGGTTGCAAAGCAACACAAGCGCCTCAACGAGAAAAACACCCCATCTTGCACAGGCAGCTTCACCAAGTCTCGCGGTCTCCCTTGTGCGCACGCATTACAGTCTCTCATAGTGGAAGATCTGCCCTCCGGCTACAACATTTTCATACACATTGGCGCCTTCGACGGGATAACAAAGAGATTGGTCAGGTCCTCATAGAGCCTCGTCGGCGACTAGACCAACTTGTCGCCGCATCAAGGATATCACAGTCATCCACACAGCGCGAGCCAAGTGCATTTGAAGCCATAGAGTCAGCTCTACGGCCAAAGGCGCCGCCTACATGCAGCAAATGCCACCAGCAAGGGCACATCATGACATCTCGCAATTGTCCTTTACGCTATAGCGACATACTGCAGCGGGCAGAGGCACGGGCGGCACAGACTGCAGAGACTGCAGCAATTGCAGGGACTGCACAGACTGCACAGACTGTACAGACGGTAGCAGTTCCAGAGACTGCGCAGACTGCAGCAGTCATGGAGAAAATGACAGTTGCAGTCACTACGGTCTCTACAGTCTCTACAGCAATTGCAGAGACTACAGAGACTACAGAGAATCTATTATATGATGACCCACGAGCCATCTATCAGAGGTATGTCAGGAAAGAGACTCTTGGTATAGAGCACAGCCTCGCGGCAGTCTCAAGACCAACCAGGCATACCGAAAGGCAATGGGCTTGCCATTGCGCTACAGCAAGACTGAATATGACTGGTGCCTCGACTGGAAGCAAATGTCAAGGAGCTGCGGCTCGAGGCAATGGACCAAGGTAGAGATGATGGCATACCTTGATTGGGATAAGGCAGAAGAAGAGCGATTAGATGCCCGGGTGGCCGAGGAAATTCAGGTGCAGCCTTTCTCACGAGAAAGAGGTACTGCAGGTATATGGGCTGACTGCGAGAGAGACTCAGAGGAACAGCAGGCATTTTATTCACATATATAAGTGGTGATGATGCCGGCGATGCGAAAATGTGAGGCAGATCGTGAGATCACCGACATGCACCGGCGTGTAGCACTGTAGCTGGCCAATTTTTTGGCGGTGAACTTCCCGCACCCTCCCTTGCCACGCAACAGCGGCGCCCTTTGCGTCACGTCAATCTACCAAATAGGAAGGCTATGGGTTCGAACCCTAAGGGATATCCTCCTTTGCAATTAATTGAAGCTATATGTATGCAGCAAGCATGCTGTATCGGTGAGGCCGACTGCGAGCGCAGTTGGCGGCGGCCCAAATGGCCTGCCAGGCTTACATAACAGGCGCGGACGTCCGCGCCGACTTTAAAGGCGCGGGGGTCCGCGCCTCTATTGGCTCCCGCTCACAGCTGACTGCTTAATAATGCAAAACAGGAGGCACGAGTATTCCCCGCTCTTTCGTTGGACCAGTAGAGGTCTGGCAGATCGAGGGTGGTTCGTGGGCCAGCTCGTTATGTCTTGATTGTGCCCATCCTTCTTCGTCGAAACACAGTTTCCGTCGAGTCAAGACCAATTCGTCCATTTATCCAGTCCGACCATGGTATCGGCGTAAAGAGCCTCCTCTAAAAACTTGCGGCAAAACAAATCCATCGAATGTGGCACTTCCCCCCTTTGAAATCTCGACATGCCCGACTTCACGACTGAGTCTAAGACGGCCACTGAGCATTATTTCCGACCGAGCAAATCTCCAGCAAAAGAGACAATGGATGGAGACGGAGTCGCAGGAAGCGAACAAACCGTAGTGGAAAAGGCACCCTCCGGGATCGCAGCGCCGAAGCAGGACGAGGATGACGAGTCGCGATATCCGGCTGGGCCCCAATTCTGGCTCGTCCTTGTCTCGCTGTGTCTTTCCGTCTTTCTCGTCGCTCTGGACCAGACCATCATCGCGCCTGCTCTGGGGGCCATCACGACCGAGTACGGTTCAACCAAGGATATAGGGTGGTACGGCTCCGCATATATGTTAACCATGACTGCACTGCAGCCCATGTACGGCAACATATACCGCTTGTTCAATATCAAGTTGACTTTTCTGGGCGCCATCGCCCTGTTCGAGCTAGGCAGCCTGGTCACGGCCGTCGCGCCTACGTCTGTGGCCTTTATCGTCGGACGTGCCATTGCTGGCTTGGGCACCGCCGGCATCTTTTCCGGCTCCATGGTCATCCTTAGCTACACAATGCCTCTTAGAAGGCGCCCCGCTATGTTTGGAGTCTTCGGTGGTTTGTGGGGAGTCTCTTCCGTTGTCGGTCCGTTGTTAGGAGGCGCCTTCACGGATAAAGTCACCTGGCGCTGGTGCTTCTACATCAACTTGCCTATTGGCGGTATAGCTATGCTGGCAATATTCTGGTTTTTGCGCATCTCGCGCCCCGATAACCCGGACGGCGAGTCCTACATGGCTAGGATCCTACAGCTTGACTTGATGGGCGCAGCTATTTTGATACCGGCCATTATCATGTTGGTTCTTGCTCTCCAGTGGGCAGGAACTGATTATCCATGGGGCGACTCTAGGATTATCGGCCTTTTAGTCGGGGCTGGCGTTGCCGCCATCGCCTTCACCGGCATAGAGACTTGGCAGCAGGACAAAAGCCTTCTGCCCCCGCAGTTCTTTAAGAAGCGCAATGTTCTCTTGGCCATGTTGTTCGCGCTGTTCGTCGGCGCTTACTTCTTCCCTATGGTATACTATCTCGGTGAGTACCGCGTCGATGGAAAAACTCGTATTGCTTATCCTAACCCACCTTCACAGCCTTATATTTCCAAGCCGTGCAGGGCGATACGGCCATAGAGGCTGGGATCAAGCTCTTGCCCTTTCTGATCTCCGTCGTCATCAGCTCAATAATTTGCGGCGCCTTGATCACGGCCTTCGGATACTACAACCCTGTCATTCTTTTCGAGGCAGCCATACTCACAGCTGGCGCCGGGTTGATCACGACCTTTTGGCTGGACACCCCCTTCAGCCAATGGTTCGGGTACCAGGTGCTCGCGGGACTGGGCACCGGCGTCTTGTTCCAGGCGGGAATTATTGTTGTGCAAAACATGCTGCCGCTGGAACTGATCCCGCAAGCCACGGCGTGCGTCCAGTTCTTCCAGTCGTTCGGCGGTGCTATATTCATCGCTCTGGCGCAGACCGTCTTTCAGAACGGGCTCATTGATAACTTGAAACGCGACGCACCCGAAATTGATCCCATCATAATCCTCAATAGCGGAGCCTCGGACATCCGGAAGATCCTGGTGCAGATGGGCCGGGAGGATATTGTTGAGGCCGTTCTGGGCGCATACACCCTGGGTCTGCGGAATACCTACTATGTAAGCGCGGCGGCGGCAGGTTGTATCTTCCTCATAAGTTGGGGATTCGAGTGGAAGAGGATCCAAAAGACGGGTGAGGATAAGGACAAGGAGGCGGCCGCGGTGGTTGTGGAGAGGAATGCCACATCGGATGGGGATGCCACCCAGGTCGACAAAAGTTCGGCGTGAGGATAGCAAGATGAACTCGGCTGTCAGCCGTGGGGTGCGAGGAATCAGGCTGGCGAATCCATCTACATCTGTCTACCGACGTCCAATATGGATGGAAATAAATGCTTGTCTTCTATCAAGTAACTCACCTGACCTCCAGATCCTTGGGCTGGGTTACGACTGCAGCAAGGTCAAGTCCTTACCCTGCACTATCCTTGCCCATGTAACGAGCCATAAGGGAAAATACAGTCCTTGAGAAGATCGCTATGCTAAACGTGTATCTTCCCGTTCAAGTCCATTCCTCGAACACTTCTCTTGGCACCTATCTGCCGTAGGAGACTAAGTCTTCTCGCCATGCACCAAGATCCCTTCTTCACCAGTTGGGGACTCTGATCAAGTTGTCATTGATTCTTGTTTCATAATCCTTGGACCTTGAACCTGCTGCACCATATTCTTCGCGACACGTGGTGATTCAGTGTTGCTTTTCGTCCAGCCAGAACGGCTAGTAATTTCCTTCAGTGAATAGGAGCTCTTGGCATGGCCGCTTTTCTGGCTTGAAACTGGGGCGTACTTCTTCATGAATGGAATACTCTATACTTCTTTGCACTTGACGGAAGCAGCATAGCCGACTTGTAAGACAAGGCTACCCTTAGGATGCATGTATTGTACATGTTGCTGCAGGATAAGCATAGAATCAGGCAAGAGCCGATGCCATGGAGGCGTATCCGATGACAGGGGGATCGGGAGCCCCTCCGTCGGATGTGCAGCCGCGTGGCTTTCGGCCGACGCCCAATGGGGGTGCTTACGGTCGAATGGCAAGCTTACGGGTCTCATATCCGAAATACCACTCCGCCGAACGGTTCGGCTTACATGATCTTGGGATCATCGTTATTAGCAGACAAGTGAACCGCATGATAGCTGGAATTCCCCCGCCCAGTCATGCTGGCAATCATGTTCGTCCATCCTCTCTATAAGACACTTGTCCTTATTCTGTTGCTAACTTCCTTCGGCAGTAGTACAGTTAACGTAATCCCTGGATATTTGAAATCCAAGAGCGTGCTAATCGTGCCTTGTTCGATGTCGAGACCGTTTTATGGCAGCCTCTATATCATTGATTCTGCTAGCATGTCACTCCAGAGCACCATCTCGTATCCAGAAAACATATCGAAACCACTCTTTTTTGTTGCAACAGGTACTTGGATTGTATACCTATTTGTCAAGTTCACTTATAATCTCTTCTTTCACCCCTTGAGCCACATCCCCGGACCATGGCTTGCGCGTGCATCATACCTTCTGGAGTTCTACTACGATGTACTGAGATCTGGCCGCTACACCCAACGGATCAAGCAGATGCATGAGCAATATGGTATAATATCCTCCACAACCCTGCTCAGTTGACATTGACATACTGACACATGTACATGCCCTATTGTTCGCATTAATCCACACGAGGTCCACTGCAGCGATCGTCATTTCATCGATGACATTTACGCCCTAGGAAACAGAAAACGTGACAAGCCCCTGCACCAGGTGCTGGGCAGCGGAGTGTAAGGCCCCCTGATGAACTCCGAGTACGACAGGACGCTGATGTTGCTCCAACCCTCCAGTGCCGAACAAGCAACCTTTTCAACCGCGAATCACGACCGTCACCGAATGCGACGCAATGCCCTGTCGAAATTCTTCTCTCGTGCTCAAGTCTCGCGACTGGAGCCGACAGTCAGAGACCATGCCGAACGTCTTTGCGACAAAATCTTAGTCTCCGGGAAAGGGGCGCCGTTCGACGTCACCACGGCATACAGTCTGTTTACTACAGATGTAATTTCTGGGTACTGCTTAGGCCAGAGCCTGGGTCTTGTAGCGCAGAAGGGCTGGGAGCCAAATTTTCGAGAACCGCTATATGCACAGCTGAGACTCATATACTGGTTCCGTTTTATCCCCTTTCTAAAACACCTGGGAGTTGCAATGGCAATGTACAAATCTTTTATTCAACGATATCATCCAATGCACCCCTAGGCTAACGAGGAGCAGGTTCACCAGGCGCCTCTCAGAAGACATGGAAACGTTATTCAACGCACTGATAGTAAGACCCGGCGACCATTTGTAGAGCCGTACCGAACCACACCTTGACAATTCATGTGCTACTAGGTCGATATGCCCAACTACGTCAAGAAAGCACGAACCGATGTCGACAAGGGCTTAGACGAAGGTACGACAGTGTTTGCCTCTCTGTTCAAGTCAGACCTGCCACCGAGCGAGAAGACTCTTCAGCGTATGACAGACGAAGGCTTTTCTCTCTTTGCGGCTGGTACAGAGACAGTCAGCTGGGCTTTGGCAGTCACCACATACCACCTTCTCACCAGGCCGGCGATGCTCGAAAGACTCACCGCTGAAGTGAGCCAAGTCGTTGACAGTTCCGGAGAGCTGCCGTCCTGGACTGGGCTAGAGAAGCTTCCGTATCTGGGTGCTGTCATTCACGAGGGTTTGCGACTCTCGTACGGTCTTGCGAGTCGAACGTCTCGCATTCCCACCGGGGAAGATTTGTTCTATCGTGGCGAATGGACTCCTAAAGGCAGGCAGACATCGACCCACGTGGAGTATGTGATACCAAGAGGATTCGCAATCGGCATGTCCTCAGTGATCACGCATCATGACGAAAGCTCTTTCCCGGATTCGCACTCTTTCGTGCCGGAACGATGGTTGGATGAGACAAATCAGCACAGAAAAGAGCTCGATCGCTCCCTCCTTGCATTCTCGAAAGGAAGCCGGGGCTGTATTGGCATAAAGTAAGTCATGCCACGTTTTTTTCGATCACCTTGACTAAGACTGCTTCTAGCCTCGCCTATTGTGAGCTTTATCTGCTTCTCGCCATGTTGGTTGTCCGTGTTTTCCCGCACATGAAATTGCATGAGACTACCGAGGCAGACATTGCTTATGACCACGACTTCTTCAATCCATTCCCAGTGGGGACAAGTAAGGGCGTAAGGGCAATTATCATTGACTGAGTGCCTCATGCGGCGACGAATAGATACTGTGGGCATAGGAGGCCCTGTGTTCAGTGAGCGATGAGTTTCCATTGAGAGGACGGAGGCATGTCGTGTACGTTGGTCGCTGGGGGCATAGCCAGAAGTGCAGAACAGCTAAAGGGAACAAACTAAGCTTGAGTATTGCCTCTCCTGTTTTTCACTCGACTAAAAGCTTCATATAACATCTCAAGATCGATGATCTTCCTGGTATTCATGGTACTTAACGTCAGGGGAGTGCCGCGAAGCGTCTTCTCTAAGAGCCTCCAACGGTGCACGGGGATATGATAGCCTGAGTACCTCACCATCGAAGACCGCAAATCCTAGTTTGCCAGCTGAAGCTCTAAAGCCATACGTCTAATCAAGCTTCCGGCCGCTGCGTTCGGCGTTCCTTTGGGCGTCGCGTTGCACTGATGAGCCTCTTCTTTCCCCCTTTCACCCTTTAGCATGATACACAGATTCCTCGATTGAGTGAGACGCTACTTCTCGGAGTTGCTAAGCTTTCGGCCTTCAATCTTGCAAGCCCTGAGGACTTCTCCTGTGCCCTCATCTTCTACAGTCTACGCCGTGGCATGGACACTCGGCAAGACTTCTGTGAGCCCCTGTAGCAGCACACCATTACACATACTTAATTCTATTGTAGTAAACTGTCTATAGTTGTCCGACCTAATGTTTCGATCGCTCGTCTCCCCCAACGATAGGGTTGAAATAGCGGAAGCGGTTGAAAGAGTCGTAACTGCCCTTAAGGTCACGGAGCCTCTCCAAGCGCCATCTTTCGTGGCCGTAGATGCTTTCGACAGGCTCGAAGCCGTTGGCATAATTGACATAAGCATTAATTGACCGCCCTGGTTGACCATTGTTCCATTGGTCCCTGACCTCTGTGGCCCATTTCTGGGCGGCCTGTTCTAAGCTTGAGTCGCCCGGAGGGATGATGATCTGAACGAGGTTGAGGTGGTGGTCAGCACGGAAAGGATAGGCCGAGTTATCAGGGTCCTGGGCTGTGACAGCCTCGGTCGAGTAGCCTTCGTGAAGAATGGAACCTCCTGCAGCGAGCCTGGGATTGCTGGCGACGCGGTCCTGGAAACCTTGATAGATCTGGTGCTCGGCCGTTACATTATACACTTGCAGGCCTGCCGTGGCTGTGATTCGGACGGAATCGCGCTGACAGATAAAGGCATTCTCGTCGGTCTCCTGGGCCACGGAGATCTGCGGGTAGGGAACATCGCCAGATTCATCGTAAACAGCCTCGATGGCGTTGAACGGAGCCAAGTGCTGCTCGGCTTCTTCGGCGGATCCACGGTAGGCAAAAGTCCAGAAGATGACGGGCTCTTCCTCAGTTATGGTGTTGTTCATTAGGAAATTCCCAAAGTTGGTCGTCATATTAACGGGAGTAGTGCCGTTGCCGTGGAAGGCATTGAGAGCATTGAACAGGTCTTCGAGCTTGTCTCCACGCCAAATATAGTTGTGATAGTGCCAAGAGTCTGGGCCTCGGGGGTAGATGACCATCTCGAAACTCGTAACAATACCAAAGTTGTGACCTGCACCCTTCATCGCCCAAAAAAGGTCGCCATGACTGGTTTTGTTGACGCGAATGGCAGTGCCGTTGGCCAGAACAACATTGAGCTGGCGCAAATTGTCACTTCCCATGCCGTAAAGACCTTCGTGACGTCCATGGCCACCCCCAAGTATGGCGCCCATCAGACCGACGCAATCGCAGGAGCCGGTGGTGGTGACGTAGCCTTGATCCCAAAGGTAACGTGTGGTTGGACCGCCGTGGACGCCGCCCTGAAACCAGGCAGTTTCGCCGCTGGGTTGGATGGTGATATTCCGGAGATTCCCCATGTTGATCTGAATGCCGTTGAACTGTCCAAGACTATGGGTGGAGCCATGGCCACCGTTATGGGCTAGGAACTCGATGCTGTTCTCATTGCAATATTCAACCTGGATTCAGTGTCAGCCAGCAAAACAAGGACAACAATACGCATGGCACATACAATAGTTGAAACATCGCATTCCTCTCCAGGCTGGACGACAACTTGAATTTGAGGCCTGGCAAAATTGTTCCACCTTGCAGTGGCATTTTGGTAGCGGTTGTCATCCGGTCCAAAAATAGCAGTGGTGTCAGAAACCAGGCTACCGAGCTCCCGCTGGACCTGGGCCGCGTCCAATCCGACTGGGGTAGTCGGGGGTGGGTAAAAGTATCCGGGAATGCGTGCACCGGCCGCCAAGGTCTGGAGTATGGCGAGGCCGTACACAAGCGAGCCAGGACCCTTCATTCCAAAGGCTGAGGGATGAACTTGGCAGGGACGTCAGAAAAACGTGCAGAGATGCAATGCAGGGTCACCGCGCAAATTGGGACGAAACTAATAAGCGACGAACTCATACTCCTATATCATATTTATAACTTTTCCAGGTTTAAGGGACCTAGTTATTCTATGAATGTACATCTCTCCTGAGGCTGAGTTGCTGTAAGACGGGATCATGTGTGGTGAGATGTATTCATGTTATGATGTCGGAAGGGGCTTAGACGGTCGGGGGTTTCAATATTTCATGGCTCTTCCTCCCGATATGGGCCTTTTGGTCTTGTAGCACAATCACAATGGTCAAGCCACTGCGCCATGTCATAAGGATTCATCAGGACTCGAACTGAGATCTAAGCTGGCGATACGCGGCCGAAAGGCGGCCGAAAAAGCGGCCGAATGGGCATGGTTGGCTGAGATCCCATCTCATCTCAGCTCCCGCTGTGATGGGATGGGGTGGATCATGAACCCTGGGCGTGACTGGGCGTGGGGGCCTACTCCGTGCCGCCCCGTTCTACCTACCAACGTACGATGGCATCGATTCCGCCGTTCGATCGGCGAGCTTACCCTTCAAGTCCCCGAGATCACCCCCTCTATATTGCCATCGTCTTCAAAGATGAGATGGACGGTTTGACTGTGTCCTCAGCAAACTGATTTTCTGACTTCCTTTTTCCGAGTTCTATTTCTCAATCATCAACACCCCACTCGTACCTTTCACCGTGGAAGCAATGTCGGCTAGAATCAACACCATTTTGATTCTGGGTGCTGCTGCTGGTATCGGTCAGGCTATGGCCCGCCGATTCCACAACATGGGCAAGAAAGTCATTGCTACCGGCCACGAGAAAAATCGAGAGGAACTAGCCTTGATGGCCCGGGAGCTGCCAGGCCTCGAATTCCGCGTGGTACGCATTGTCGATGGACGATCACACCGTTCAGCTGCTAACTGTCCGACTACACACCAGTGGGATTTGACAGATCTTGACAGGTTGCAAAGCGAAGCCAAGAATATCTTAGCCGACTTCCCCAAGCTCGATACTGTCTTCATCAACGCCGGTATCCAAAACCACTACATGATGTTCCAGGAGCCTCCCAAAAACGAGGAAGTTATCCGGGAGTTGACAACCAATCTCACAGCACCAATCTTGGTCGCTCACTCCTTTGCCTCGCACCTTTTCGCCCTGGCACAATCGGGCATCAAGACCAACATGTTACTCACCAGTTCCTCTTTGGCATACTTTCCCGTGGCTTTCTATCCGACGTACTGCCCTTCCAAAGCTGGTGTCGCCGCCTTCACCAAGATTATGCGAATGCAGTTGGATTACACTGGCTGCAAAGACATGAATGTGGTCGAGGTCGTACCACCATATGTCGACACCGGGCTGAACGCTGCACATCGAGACCGGACAGATGCACTGCAGGGGGGGCAGGATAAATCTGTCCAGCCTATGCCGCTCGACGAGTACATCGACAAGTTTTTTGCAGCTCTGGAGCAAACACAAGCGGATGGCTCTCTCAAAAACGAGATTGGCGTCGGCTTTGGCGCCCAAGGTGTCGAGATTTGGCACGACGGGTTCCGGAGGTTGCTCAATGGATCAGGTATGACGGATTGACGGCATTGCTATGTGAGGTTCGGATTATTTCGACTGCTGTATTTCACTTACTACTATATCTGGGAGAGAATATGAGAATTTGAGAAGTATTCGGCGGAAACTTTTAAAAATTGTCACGATACAAGTTCAAGGTCTGATCATCTGATATACCCGTGAGCTCGCATGAAACAAGTCAATCTTGAATGCCTCGCATTTTCCAGATTGGAGAGTATGCTCTATCCTACCCATAAGACCTACACACAGTTCCAAAAAATGCCCTAAATGGATTAAACGTGGTCCAAAACAAACAAGATACTACATCTTGCTGAGCCTCACGTAGCACTGCTGCGGGACACGCGCAATCCCCTCGAGCCCAGCGTAGGCTGAGAGCGCCGGCGGCGTCTTCTCAAGCCGGAAATTCCAAACGAGCATCGCCATGGCTGTCCTCATTTCCATATACGCCAGCCTCCGTCCCCAGCAAGTGCGCGGTCCTGCGCCAAAGACCAGCTGTGGCCCTGCCCCTCCGTCAAAATCAACGTCGTCTGCCAACAGACCCTCGCCATCGTTCTTGCGCACGAGCCAGCGGTCGGGATCAAAGCGTGTCAAGTCCTGCGTCTCGTTCCATGTGGCGTTGAGTTTGGCCGAGCGCGAAGTCTCGCTTCGCTTCGATTCATCAATAGGGAAGGATGGCGACAAGAAGCCCGGGCCGTTGGACATGAAGAAAACTTGGGTGCCTTTTTGGATTGGGCATCCCAGTATCGTGGTATCGCACAACGCTTCGCGGGTGACCGGGACGGCATTTATGCGCAGCATCTCTTCGATTACCGCGTCCAAGTAAGGGAGTTTTGCGTGGCGGATCTCCTCGAAAGTGAAGAGACGCTTCTCTGCTTTGGCCGTCGACAATGTCTGATGTAAGACCGAACGTAGCTTGTTTTGAACTTGGGGAATGTCGGTAAGGTACTTGGTCAACCACATCATGGCTCCGCTCGTTGTGTGGTGGCCCCCGACAATGTTGCCAAACATCTATGACTGCTGTCAGATCATGATGCTCACGTTGTCGCTAAGGGGGCACTTACCTCATCCCGGAAGACTTTGCTCTCAAAGTCGGGGCCCCGGCCTTCTTTCTCTGCACGAGCCGCTCCTCGCATCAGCATGTGTTCAACGCCCGTCTCGACATGTCCAGAGCGGTAGTTCTTTACACCGATGGCAACCTGTTCCTTCATGACACGCTCCTTCTCGTCGAAAATTCTCTTATACCATGACTGCCTTGACCACCACCAGGTTTGCAGCTTCGGCAAGATGGCATTGATGGTCTTTTCCACAATTTCGGGAGCCTCGTAGACGGAGTTGAGGAATTCGACTAGGGGAACTGTCGGAAAGTTGACTGGCTGATCCAAGGCATCGAGTTTCGCATCCATGGCCCCCAGCTTGCTGAGGAGATCTACTTGGGGACCCAGTGCCGTATGAACCCAGTTCTTGCCAAAAGCAAACGCAAGCATAACGTCGAGAGAGGTATACTCAAAATCCTTTTTGACGCTAAATGGCCGCCCGTGTGCGACTTTCATCTTCAGCTCAAACAGCTTCATTAGCTTGAGCCCCTTGTTGTAAACCGCGGGTCCCACATTCTTGTGCAGAAAGCTGGTGGTCATGAGATCCTGAATGAGTTGGCGATTCGACTTGAACTTGTCCCCCGTAAGGTAAATGCCATGGAAAGAACCCATGCACGCCATGCCATCGGAGAGAAAGGATGACTTGTCGAACTCTCTGCGGCGCATCAGTATATCCCTGGACTCACGGAAATCGGCAAGGAGGATCCAGGGCTTGGAGAAGGGGCGAATGAAGACCTGGCAGATTGGTGAATTCATCTTCTGGACCTGCTTAGCGCACCAAACGCGGAATTCGCCCGTCACGCCGACTTCTCTGATCATGGCAGGGGCGTCGCCGAGAAGCGACTGTATCGCCTCCGGGTTGCATGCAATGCCTGGAACGGGTTTGGGCAGAAGCCATTGGTACAAGCCGTATGAGACGAAGGCAACCGTGACCAAGGCGGCAAGAAAGCGACGTATGGTTGACTCCTCGTCAGACGCTGAGATGACTTGGTAGAAGGATATGGACATGCTGCCTTGCTAGCACCCCTGGTGTTGGAAGGCAAGGCTTGGCAGCCTCATTTACTATAAACAGCAGGATACTGCACACCCGCCGTTCAAACGTCTCGAATTTGGAAAGGGGATGGCAACTAAAATAAGCAAGCAAGTTGTCTTCAGGTGGATGTCTCACAATTGTTATGCAGGAAAAGTCCAGAAAGGGAACAGCCGACCACACGGCCGTCAGGGATACTGTATTGGCGGGGCGTCATCGGCCGACGCATCTAAGCGGCTTGAAGTCCATTGCTTACCCACAGAGCCGACAATGAAGCTTACTGCCTAACCCCCATTTTGACCCCTGTCCAAAGGTCTCCAAAGGCGATGAAGCTGTATTGAATGTGTAGCATCACAAACTGAGAACAAGCAAACGTTTTCTCGCAATTTGATTGCCTATCTAGGCCACAATGTATGCTCAAGGCCTCTTCAGATAAACCTCAAGCAGACCCAACGGCCCGTTGTCAAAGACATTGCGAATCTCATACCTAGGATCCGCCTCCTTCAACAGTGTCTCGAACTCAGCCTTGGTGCGTTGCTTGGCACCACAATTCACCAACATGACCATGTCGACCTGGCGCACGACACGCTCCTGATGACGAGGCCAGCTACCTGGCCCCGGAATTATAATATCATTGATGAGAAGTGGAGTATCTGGGCTGGAGTTTTCGAGTCCAGGAACGAACGACTTGAAAATGGTGACCACATCTTCATCAGCCCAGTTGTGTGTACATTGGCGGATGAGGAAAGCAGCAGCGCCTTTAATCGGCTGTGGCTCGAAGAAGCTGTGTCGAACATATGTCACTCGACCGCCCAGGTCATCGGCAAGTGAGTCTCGACCCTCGGCAAGCATGTCGGCATTGGAGTCTTGCACCACAAAATTCAAGTCGGGATAAAGCTGTGTTTGACCACGTCAGAGACGGCAGGCGGTATCGTCAGTTCGGAGCAGACTTACTTGAGCCAAAGTCTTGGAAATATGGCCGTTACCCCCTCCGCAATCAACGACCGTGCCCTTGATAGCAGACCAGTCGAAGCCATCTTTGAGCAGATAGTCGAGATGGCGATCCATCTTTCTCAATCCAGCCATGGCTTTCGCGAACCGGCGCGCCTTCTCCGGGTTATTCTTGTAGAACTCAAAGATGCCAACACCATGTCGAGTGACGAACGGGTTCAGATTCTGGTGTGCCTCGTAGGGATTTGCCTTGAGACTGACGTTGCAATCGGCAGCCGCTTTCAACATTTCATCGAGGGAGTAGTGGACAACGGATCGAAGCTCCTCATCTTGCTGCATGGCGAGAGAGGTGGAGCTGTGAGAGATGACCCTTGGCTCCAATTCTTCGAAGATACGATAAGTTATGAGCTGTCGAACGACGCGGCCGGTACGATCTACGTCTAAACCAGCCTTTTCGGCCAAATCTTCGAGTTGAATGCCTTTATGGGCCGGTACCAATTGGAAAAATTCAAAGTCAAGTGCAACTTGGAGAGCACCCAGGTCGTAGCCGGTGCAGCAGAAAGCTCTCAACCACTTTCTTGGGCCGTCGATGAGACGTGAAAGATCTTCCAAACAAGTCTTTAAGGAGCCGTGAAGGCGGCGATATTCCGGCGTGTCAGGGGGATCTCGGGAATCAAGCGCAAAAGTCGGCGCGACGAGGTTGTTGGCTTGAAAGTATCTGGTCATATCTTGGGTAAGCTCGACGATGTTCTGAGCCAGGCCTAGAATTGATGGGGATTGGCTCTGGACAGCGGAGTTCGATTTGCTAGACATTGTGGATGACAGTTGAGATGACTCTTTCGGTAACGTGTGACGTGTAGGGAGCTGCTACGTGCGATGGTTGCTCGGGGGAATGACGAGGACCGAGGATTCTTGCGGCAATATTGTGAGATAGTAGCAGTAGTATTACATGTCCTTCGCCTGTGGGCATGCAAGAACACCGTAGCTTTTAACTGCAGGGCACACCGCAAGATTGGCCCTGGACAGAAGCCCATAATCCAACGCCGTGCTGCCCTCCCTTCTGCTCTTGTACACCAAGCTACTTCTTGTCGTGGCCGCGTCTGGCCCGGACATGCCGCTCTGAGATGACCTGTAAGACATGCCTCGGCCTTTTCCTAATCGAATCGGAGCTGTAATGCTGACCCGGGTTCCTCAAGTTAGTTGGCTTGACCTCGGGCATATCATCATGTCGGCCGATGGGGTCGGCTTTGACTCCGTAGTTGTCGGCCGAGGAAACACACCAATCGCTGATGCAGATGCATATGCAAGAAGATCTTAGCACGGAGCAATACCTTGCAGAGACGTGGGATGGGTATAATGGCCTTGGCTGCCATCTATGGATGTATCAAGAGCGTTATGTGTGGGGAACTGACTCTCAACACGACTGTGCAACATTTGACCACCTGTAATTCAGTTCGAACTCACCATGACTTCTCACCAGCGCGATCCGCATGAGCCGGTGGCCATTGTGGGCATGGGTAAGGAGTTCCAATCCCCACTGCCTTGTGGAAAGACGGAGTGATGAAACCATTGAACAGGATGCCAGTGGCCTGGTGGCGTCCGGGACGGCTCTCAATTTTGGGAATTCTTGCGTGACAAGGCAGATGGCTGGAAAGAGTTCGACGATCCACGCTTCTCTACAAGAGGCTATCACCACCCCAACGCTGATCGCCCAGGTTCCGTGGCAATGAAAGGTGCCTTCCTTGCTGATGAAGATGCCCGCCTCTTTGACCACGCCTTTTTCGGCATGACTGGTCTTGAAGTGGAGACGATGGATCCGTCACAACGCAAACTCCTCGAAGTCGCATACGAAGCCATGGAGAATGCTGGAGAAACATGGGAGAGCGTCTCTGGATCTCGGACCGGAGTCTTCGTTGGCAACTTCTGCTTAGATCACTGGATGATACAGTCGCGGGATTGGGACAATCCAAGACCCTATGCTTTTACTGGAGCCGGAACCAGCATTCTCGCGAACCGCATAAGTTACATTTTCAATCTTCAAGGCCCAAGGTACGTCCCTGATTCGTCTTTGCTTTGGACATGTGGAGGGAGACTGCTGACTCGACCTCTAGCCTAACGATCGATACTGCCTGCTCATCATCCATGTATGCCCTGCATCTGGCAGTCAATGCAATTCGGGCTGGTGATTGTGATTCGGCCATCGTCGCATCTGCCAATTGGATTGCAGACCCCGGAGTCCAAATCGCGCTTGACAAGCTCGGCGCACTGTCTGCGTCCTCAAGGTGTCATACTTTCGATGCCAGAGCCGACGGGTATGCCCGAGGTGAAGGATACGGTGCCATATATCTGAAAAGACCTTCTTTGGCCATGGCCAGTTCATCACCTATCCGAGCATTGATTAGAGGAACGGCTGTCAACTCCAACGGCAGGACCGGTGGTATTACGCGGCCAAGTGCCAGAGGCCAGGAAGTTGTTATACGTGAAGCTTACCGAAACGCCGGCCATCTCCCTTTCGGAGAAACGAGCTATTTTGAATGCCATGGCACCGGCACATACGTTGGAGATCCTATTGAGGTGGCGGCCTTGGGGAGTGTCTTCGCCCCGGACAGGTCCGCCGACGATCCATTGCTAGTTGGTTCTGTCAAGAGCAATGTAGGGCATGGCGAAGGCGCCAGCGCCCTGGCATCGATCATGAAGGTTGTGCTTGCCCTTGAGCACGGGGCCATTCCCCCTGTTTTCAATATCGAGACACTCAATCCCAACATCGCTTTCGACGCCGCCAAGGTCCAACCTGTGACAGAAGTTACCCCATGGCCAAAGGAACGACTGCAGAGAGCCAGTATAAATTCATTCGGATATGGTGGCGCAAATGGACACTGCATTCTTGATCATGTCAACAACGTACTGCCGGACTATGTGGCACCTGGCGTCTACCAGCACAAGGCGAACGGCACAGCCAATGGCCATACAAATGGTCATACAAATGGACATGAGGACGGAGTTTCAATTCAGCACAGCCCTATCGTCAAGAGTCCGAGGTTAACTGCCACGGCCAACGCAGCTACACGCCAACTGGTGCTACTGCCTCTATCGGCCCACAATGAGCACTCACTCGAGTTGAATCTCGACGCATTGTCTCAAGTCATCGACAAGATTTCGTTGGCAGACGTCGTGTATACTCTTGGCGCTAGGCGCTCGAGATTTGCGCAACGGTCTTTCCGTATCGTTGACAAGGTCAATGTCGCCCAGAGCCTCGAGCAGCATGGCAAGATTGTGCGAGCCCCTTTGCAGACTGTCAACCTCGGATTCATTTTCACCGGTCAAGGAGCTCAGTGGCACGGTATGGGCCGTGAACTGTTCGAGTACCGCGTATTCCGAACAGCCATCCAGTACCTCGACTATGTCCTGGGCGCACTGCCAAATCCCCCCTCGTGGTCACTACAGAACATCCTCTCTGGTGACTGTGATGCGATTCTAGTCCAGACAGCTGAAATCTCTCAAGCTGTATGTACCGCCGTACAGGTTGGTATTGTCGATCTCCTCGCTTCATGGTCTGTTAGACCTTCGGGCGTCGCTGGACACTCGTCGGGCGAGATTGCGGCGGCGTACGCTTCGGGTCGCATCACAGCTGCCGAGGCAATTATAGCCGCATACTTCCGTGGCCAAGCAGTATCAAGAAATAAGCAAGCCGGTGCCATGTTGGCCGTGGGCCTCGGATGGGACCAGGTTGCCAGGTATCTTGAAGGCCGACAGGATGAAGTCAAGGTGGCAGCGATTAACTCTCCAGGTAGTGTCACTCTATCAGGCGAACCGACCGCCATCGACGAGATTTCCGCAGTCATGACAGCGGACAGCATCTTCAACAGAAGGCTGGAAACTGGTGGCAATGCCTACCATTCGCATCACATGGTTCCTATCGGGCGTGAATACGTCGAGATACTGACCGAGGGGATCCAACACACCCGAAAGTTGGGGCTGGCCTCCGCGAAACAGCGGTATCAGCACGTACCATGGATTTCATCAGTCACTCCCAGTAAGAGTACTGCTGAGTTCAACGGTCCGGCTTCGTACTGGAGAGCCAATCTCGAGTCTCCGGTGCTTTTCTCAGAGGCCGTCGCAAGCCTTGTGGATAGCCAGGATGTTCCGATTCATGCTCTTGTGGAAATCGGACCTCATCCGGCGCTGAAGAGCCCATTGGACCAGATCCTGAAAGCAGGCGGTAAGACTGTTGCTTATGCTTCAACACTAAAGCGACAGGAAGATGGCCGAAGGTCAATGTTGCAACTTGCCGGGACGCTGTTTAGCCTGAACGCATCTGTCGACCTTGCTGCTGTGAATGCTGTGGACGAGACGGACGATACGGGCCTGGAACATGGCTGCACTTGCATTGAACTTCCACCATACAAGTACACCTATGGAGGGTTGAATTACCACGAAAGTCGGGCCAGCAAAGAGTATCGACACAGGCCGGTTGTTAGACACGACCTCTTGGGCTCCAAGGTCGTTGGTAACGCAAAGCTGCGACCCCAGTGGCGCAACATTCTTCGTATCAAGGACGTGCCATGGTTGGGCGATCATCGCCTGGTGCCAGGTGAGTTGTTTCCCTGGTCCAGGACTACGTTGGCTCCGTTTTAACCTTGGAAACAGATGCGGTGTTGCCCGGCGCAGGATACATAGCCATGGCAGTGGAAGCCGCCTCACGCGTCTACGACGAGTTCCCCGAGCCGCTGACGATCAAAGGATTTTGCCTCCGCGATGTCGCCATTAAGAAAAGCCTGGTGATCCCGGAAGACGACTACGGTGTTGAGGTTTTGACGAGCATGGAGCTGGCCGATGTGGCCACGGCCCAGTCGCCAGCATGGGCGACCTTCTCCATCAGCTCTGTGGGACGAGAGACCAATGAATGGACCGAGCATAGCACTGGTCGCGTGCAGATCCAAGTCGAAGTTGCTTCCCAAGATTTTGACCAGCATCAAGTTGCTCCCCGTGCCCCACGCGGCGTCAATGCGCGAGCTTGGTATAAGAAGTTCTTGGATGCCGGCCTCGGTTACGGCCCTGCCTTTCAGCCCTTGTCAGACATCCGCACCGATCCAGCGTCGAACCTTGGTGTGGCAACCGTTGTCCTGCATCCGACAACCATCAAGGGGGGCGAGTCGCGATACGCCTTGCACCCGGCTTCGCTCGACGGTGCCATCCAGCTGGGGCTGATTGCCTGCCATGGCGGCCGCCTCGACGAGGCCAGCACGGCGTTTGTGCCCGTCCATCTCTCTCGCTTATATCTCGCCAACGACATTGTGGGGGATACGTGCACTGTCGTCGCGCGTGGAGAGAGACGCGGCATTCGCAGTGCCTATCTCGACTTACAAATGCTGGGTTCCAACGGCGAGGTCCTGCTCAACGTGGATACTCTCCGCTGCGTCAGCTTCTCCAAGGAGGCCAAGACGGCGGACAGGAGCTTCGCCAGTCCGTTCACGCGTCTTGTCTGGAAGCCGGATATTCGCACGCTGAGCAATCGCCAGGCCCGCCAGATATTCCCTCCTCCCAAGGCGAACGTGGAGAAGTCGCACCTATGGGGGATCTTGGATAAGCTAGTCCACTTTGTGGTCCTCAGCATGTATGAAAGCTTCGGAAAACTACGAGACGGGCCCACGCCTTCGGGTGACGTAGGCCACTTCTTCGACTGGATCAGGAGAAAGGGCCAAGACGATCATTCTCCCTTGATGGAGGAAGCCAGAGACTTGGTCAACAACGGGCTCCTCCAGAAGATTGAAGACCTTGTCAGCCAAGCACCCGACGTTATCGAGGTGAAGATTGCCAAGCTTTTACACGACAACGCGGCAGACATTCTCTTCGAGCGCCGAACCGGGATGGATATCATCATCGGCGAGGATCTGCTAACGCCTCTTTATAGATCTGGTCTCCTGATGACAGGTATCTATCCGCAGCTCTTGCGCGTTCTGAGCGGTCTTGCCCATGCAAATCCGAACCTCCGCGTTTTGGAAATTGGGGGCGGCACCGGCGGCGCGACACGCATCGCCATGAAGGCGTTCAACGGCCCCAACGGCATCAAAGCTTACCATGACTACACGTTTACCGACATCTCCCCCGGCTTCTTGTCATCGGCACGAGCATCAATGGCGGACTTGCGCGATATGAACTTTTCCGTCTTCGACGCCGAGGTGGAACCCGCAGACCAAGGATACGAGCAGGCCTACGATCTCATCATTGCTTGCCAGGTCCTTCACGCCACCTCCAACATGCGCAATACTCTGTCAAACTGCCGAAAGCTCCTCAGGCCTGGAGGCAGGCTTGTCCTGGTGGAAACTACCCAGAACTTCATCGTGCCTGGTGTCGTTGTGGGTACGTTCACGGGGTACTGGGCCGGTATCCCAGATGGCCGTGTGGATGCTCCTTTCCAGAGCCTGGACGCTTGGAACTCTTCGTTGCGAGAGGCTGGCTTCTCGGGGCTGGATCTCGTGTTGGACGACTTTCCAGAACCGCACAATACGACGTCTGTGATTCTTTCTACGGTTCTCCCGGAGACGGCAAATCTACCACAGCCCGCCACAGCTATCAATGTGCTCCATGGTGGCAGAACAGCTCAACCTCTTGTCGAGCACATTTCCAAAGAACTGAATCAACGGGGATTTGTAGCCAAAGCAGGCGCGTTAGACGAGGCCCTGGACGACCTTGCTCCAGAATCGCGCGTGATTGCTCTCTTGGATGAGAAGTATCTTTTGGCCAATGCCGACGAGCAAGCCCTGAAGGTGGTTCAACACCTGGCACGGAACTCGGCGAGCTTGGTTGCCCTTACGAGCTGTGGCCTGGTCAAAGGACGCAATGCGGATGGTGCCTTGATTGCTGGCCTGCTCCGCGTCCTCCAAAATGAGAATCCTGCCAGCCAATACGTGTCAATTGACCTGGATACGGACCATTTTGAAGTCGGAAACGATGACGGAAAAGACCTTGCCCGCAGCATCGTCGACCAAGAGTTGAAACTTGGTCGAAGCACTCTAGTGGACGACGACGAGGGTGATCCAAAGGACCATGAATTCTCCTATCACGACGGCTGCTTGTGGGTCAGCCGCCATGTGCCCGACGCAGGCTTCCACTCGCAACACGGTCTGGACAGCCGGGGCACGAAGCCCGAGTTGCTGCCACTCAGCAGCCAGGGCGGCGTACGGGCTGCCTTTGCGACCCATGGGGTATTGAACTCGTTGTGCTTCATGCCCTACAAGGAACTTTTGCAACCACTGCCGCCCGACTTCATCGACGTGGCGGTTGCGGCCGTTGGCGTGAACCGGAGGGACTTGGATCAGTGGACTGGCCGACTGGATGTCGACCACCTTTCGTCTGAATACGCGGGCATCGTCACAGCGGTAGGCGCCTGCGTGGATGGCTTCAAGATTGGCGACCGCGTATACGGTCTCGGGAAAGGGCAGCTTGGCAACCGCACTCGCGTGCCAGCTGCCTTTGCGGGCAAACTCCAGCCGCGTGATACCATGGCCCAGATGGCTACCATGCCATTGGCATACACGACGGCCATCTATGCTTTCGACCATATCGCCCACCTCCGGAAGGGACAGTCGGTGCTTGTTCAGTCAGGCGCGAGCGATGTCGGGATAGCATCAATTCGTCTCGCCAAGGCAAAAGGAGCGCATGTTTTCGCCACGGTCGAGACACCTGAACAACGGAGCTTCCTCATAGACGAACTGGCCATGTCAGCTTCGCATGTCATTCGGGCACCCAGTTTCACGGATCTGCGACGCGCTGCACAAATGACGCCCAAGGCTGGGTTTGAGGTGATTGTCAGCACTGCTCGAGGCGAACTCCTCTCTTCGTTCTTGCAAGTGCTGGCACCTCTAGGCCGCCTGATCGATGTTGGTCGAGTCGAGGTACAGGCCGCTCGGAAGACAAGTCTGGAGTTGCTCCCGCACAGCGCTACCTTTGCTTCTATCGATCCTTTTGCCATTCTCGACCTGGATCCAGCCCTTGGTGCAGAGCTCATGCAGGCCGCTGATGGCTATTACCGCAGCGGACTCATCGGACCCATCCAAAAAATCACCGCGCCCGATGTTGCTCACTTGTCCTCCGAATTAGACGATTTCCCCAACATCATTGGCAAGCTGGTTATAAGCTTCGAAAACACCGAGAGTTCCGTCATGATGATCCCTTCAGCACCGGCCGTCAAGTTCGACTCCGAGTCTTGCTACGCCATCACCGGAGCCTTGGGCGGCTTGGGACAGTCCTTGATTCGATGGATGGGGGATCGAGGTGCAAGGCACATGGCACTTCTCTCTCGACGTCATGTTTCCAGCGTATCTGGAGCCCAGGAACTTGTCGACTCACTGGCCGGCCGCGATATCCATGTCGAATGCCATGTCTGTGATGTCAGCAAGAAAGACCAGGTGATGCGTGTGATGCAGCAGATCTCTTCGCATCGTCCCATCAAGGGTGTTGTTCACGCTGCTGTTTCCTATCTTGACCTTACATTCGAACGGCTTTCGCCTTCGAGATGGAACGACGGCCTGTCAGCCAAAGTGGAAGGAACCAAGAATCTGCACGAGGCCACCTTGTCAATGCCCCTTGATTTCTTCGTCATGACCACCTCGGCCTTGTCTGTGTTTGCGTTTGCAACACAGGGTGCATACACGGCAGCCAATAATTTCCAGGATGCATTCGCACGACACCGCCGGCAGATGGGGTTACCTGCGTCGACAATCTCGTCCAGCTTAATACGAGATGTTACCAACGTTGGCACAGATTCTACTACCGTAAATCTTTTCGAGCGCAACAAGGCTCTGACGCTGAGCGAATCTCAATTCCTGGCCCTTGTCGAGCCAGCGTTCTTGGACAACAAGACGGCAGACAAGACAAGCCCCGAGCAATGGTTTGGTCAAGAGAGCGATCCGCTTTCCGCCGCAAACTTGCACACCTACTTGGACCCCAGTGGCCTGGTGGCCAGGATGCGTCATGACATGGCAAGCGAGGGTTCTCCGTCTTCTACCGTGCCTCGCTGGTATAGTGACGGGCGAGTCTCGCTGATGATGCGTGCCTTTTCGGATGCGCAGCGGCAGTCTATCCCTGTACAGACTTCCCTCGACGAAGGATCCAAGAACACCATTGCTCATCTACGCAGCGAGCTTGACGCGGCTATTCGCGAAGGACCTGGAGCGCGTGCTTCCGCCGTGGCCCTTGTGCAGAGCGCCATCATCAACGTCGTGGCCGAGATGCTGTTTGTCGATGTGGAGAGCATTGACCCGGCCAAGTCGGTGGCGGATCTAGGTGTAGACAGTTTGATCGCGGCCGAGTTGCGCAACTGGTTCCTGCTAGGGCTTGGCACCAACATCAGCATGCTGGATCTTCTTGACCCGAGCGTGAGCATCAGCATGTGGGCTGCCAGCATTATTGATAAGGGTCTGAGTGCCAAGGCAGAGACTGAATAGACATCTGGGCTCTGTCATGTACAGAGGAGCACCCTATTTCCCCTTGTTATTACGTGACAACTTCGTATTTGCTTTTGCTTTTTCGGGTTCCAAAGTGTGCACACCTAGCTATATACCGATTGCTGCAACGGCATAGTAATTGGCCGTCCATACGGTGTATAAAGCTACACATCTAAATACCTTTGCACTGCTTCAGATGCTGTTGCATTATGAGCCAAGGAATCGCGAGATAGTAGTACTGTCAAACATAGCAAATACCACTTGACCACCAGCAAAATAGGGGCACCCCCAATGGACGTATTATTGGTATGGTTTATAAGTCTTCGTCCTGCTGGCAAGTACGTAGGTCCTGACCCATCGGCCAGTAAAAGAATGCACCAAGCACAACCACCTACCAAGCGAGGACTCTCTGCACACCCTGCTTTTGAACGATTTAAAGAGCAAGATGTTAAACCATCTCGCTTCACTTGCTTACTATACCCCGTCGAGGAACCGCAAATCCTAAGCTACAATCGACCCTCATGACCCCATGCCGTGCTCAAAGTGGCTTCCGTGCAACGCATACAATTCTTGGGACGCATAGAGCAGCTCCAGCTACGGACTCGTTGTACGCTTTTTCAACGAGCCCAAAGTAATTGGAGGCCGCCTCTGGTTTCCCGAGCTTCGCCAAGCCCTCGGCAAACTCCTCCACCGTGAGAAGATGCTGGTCGTTGAAAGCTCTGGCCAACTCGGGACGATCTCCGAAGAAGTCAATCGTCGCGTCGTGGAAACCCTCTTCAATGAAGAATTGGGGAAGTCTAACAGTCCACTCGTGCCGGCCTTCTGCCCTCGACCAGTCTCGAAGTTGCTCCAAGGCTGGCGCTTGCGGGTTCGGATCCACTTTCTTGACGGACATGTTGACGGTATCGATTTCGTCCCACTGCAGATATCCTCCCGGCTTCAGCAGCCTGTGGAGATTCCGAATGATGGGACGAGGATTCTTCGATTCCACGACAAGAACCAGTAGTCTGGTGTGGACATAGTCGTATTTCCCAACGAGATCGGCTGGGATGTCCTCGAAGATGTTCAGGTATCGCGTCTTGACGTTGGGTGGCAGCCATTCCTTAGAGGGAGCCTGATCGAGGTCGTAGTCCAAGCCGTCTAATTGGGATTCCGGGAGCTGTCGCGAGACATCGATGAGCCATATGCCGCTCCCCGAGGCCACATCGGCGATGGCGGCGGTTTTGGGAAGCAAAGGTAAAATCGAAGGATGAATGTTGAATTTCAGAGCATCTCTCCAAAGGTAAAATTGGAGATTGAGACGACTGGCAGCAGCGTGTTTGCGGTTGCGATTCAACATGTATCCATGCCCATTGACCAAGCTCCAGTCAGTGATTGAACCCTTTTCCTCCATTGTTGAATGACGTGCTGGAATCCGAGCAGAGAGAAGGTGGACTTGAGCCGAACCCTCGAACAGAAAACAAATGTGTATCTTGCAGGTTGCTTGTACCGTATACACAAGGTGTCTTACTCGCATCCTATCCATTATCTATGCTCGCTGCTGGAGTAGTACAGTTTTGTTTATGATTGGCGCGCGGCCCAAATCCTTGCGTCGGCCGAGAGACAGCGTCGGGGTGGAGCATCCGGCGTCGGGCGTCGGGCGTCGGGGTGGGGCATCCGGCATCCAGTCTCCGGCGTCGGGCGTCGGGCGTCGGCTTTCGGTACCCCAAAGTGCCTTCAGGAAGCAAGCGTTTGTACAAACCAACAGCTTGCCATCCCAAGACTCCGGCTGACCAACCCTAAATCCTACGAAACGTCCAGACCACATCTCAAGCGTTGGGTCTACTGCCAAAATGGCACCGGCTTACAAATTCCACGTATCCAGACCACATTTTCAGTGTTACTTGAACGACCAACAGACGGCACCCGGCTTACAAATTCCACTCATCCAGACCACATCTCAAGTGGATACTTGTACTGTACGACCAACAAGCGGCACGGCTTACAAATTCCGCTCGGGAAGGATCTCAAGTGTTACTTATACGACCAACAAATCGAGACAGTCTTTGGCGGTCTGGGGCAGTGGGGGCCTCACCCCAGCTACATCTGTACTGTATACTGACTTCACAGCCAAGGCGAGACCGGGCAGGTTGGTTCCCACTGCGGATCTGGTGGTGGGTCCATCGGTGCAGCCCCCACTGCCCCGACCGCCAAGACGTCTCCATCTGTTGAGCTTCTCCGTAAAGACCGTCAACGGGCTTCCAAGCCACGTTGGGAGGGAGAGACGGGGCGTGATACGATGGTCATCCATACCTTGGATCTCTTCATTTAAGAAGAGTCCATCAATCACCCCCAACACTATCACCACTTCGCAATCGGCCTGCTTCGCACCACTGAACAGCCGTCCGTCGTTGAGCATCCATGGCTTCCTTTCTTATTACTGGCGCCTCTAGAGGCTTCGGGCTAGCACTCGCCCGCGAACTTGTTTCCCTCCCGGCCACCAAGGTCGGCAAAGTCATCGCATCCGCACGAGGCGATTCCCCCGACCTGGATGAGCTTGCTAAGAATTCGGCTGGTCGGGTCGTCGTTGTCAGGCTCGATGTCACCAACCAAGAGTCTATCAAGCAAGCAGCAGCCGATGTCGAAGCAAAATTGGGAGGCAAGGGGCTGGACGTTTTGATCAACAATGCCGGCGTGTGTCAATATGCTTCTGATGGAGTCAAGTCCATGTGAGCCTCCGTTCTTAGCCAAACCGTGCCGGGACCGACCCGCTAAGTTCCTGCAGGGATAATCTCCAAGAAAGCTTCACTATCAATGTTCTGGGCGTCCACTGGGTGACTCGAGCGTTTCTCCCACTTCTACGGAAGGGTAACCTCAAGAAGGTTGCCAATATGTAAGACGACAACCTACCCCTTTAAACATCTCATTCCGGTTTTAACAAGATCAAGTTCAACCACCTTTGGCTCCACTACTCTGGCTGGCGCGACCCATATTCTCCCTGCCCCGGCCTACAAAATCTCGAAGGCGGCACTGAACGCGCTCACCGTCCAGTACGCTCTCGATCACGAAAAGGAGGGCTTTAGCTTCATTGCTCTCTGCCCCGGCGTACGTGCCCCCCCAACCCCTCCCTCTCTGCAATGCTTGATAATACTAAAACCGTCGCCAGTGGATGAAAACCGCTCTCGGTGGCGGCGACATGGCTGATTTGACTCCCGAGCAAGGCGCCAAGGCTTCGTTGGATATCATCTTCACACCAGGGCAAAAATACAACGGACAGATGCCAAAGGTTCTGGTTAAGGGCTGGGAGAAGGCCGAGGGAATCAACAAATACGATGGGGCCATTGCTCCCTGGTAATGGCTACGTGGGTCTCGCCACCTCTCTGATGCCAGTTCGGCGAGGAAAGACAACAGCTCGTGCAGAAGGTTGGAACCACCTATAAAGGGGCCTCCTGTTCCTCTCTTTTATATACATCTATCAAGCTTCATTCTTCTCTTCATTTCTCACCTGTCCTCTCTCGCTTGCTCCTGCCGCGCCCCTTTGCCGGAACGGAGTCATTGAGAGGGCGTAGTTGCTGTCAACAAACCAGTCAGTCCTGTCACTTTGGCGCGTTCAGTCTGCCTATAAGGAGACTGTCAAAGGATTTAAAAGGGGTACTCTCCAACAGTAGGTTCGAGAGCACAGTGGAACGGAAAGGGGACACGTTGCCGCCCTACTCATATCTCACACCATTCTATAAGGAGGCCGTCAGACTGCTCATGGTTGTGTTCCGACGTTGACTCTCGTGCCCCTCGTATTGAGATTCATTCGCCGCTCGTGCCACCCACCGGAACCAGCACAGCACTCATCCGAGGCTTCTCGGCAAAAGAGTTGCGTATGTCGGACTTGCCCATGGTTGACAGAGGCCGCGGGGAGGGAATTAGAACCAGAGAGCGCAGCAGCTACAGATGGCTATCTCGAGAGCTAGTGCTATCGAGAAAATTGTTGACGAGGGCCGCAAAGGGCCCGGCATACTGGTATAGAAATCCATGGCCGGCGTCTGGATACAGATGCAGCTGCGCGTCGGCATGGCGCAGCTTTTTCCACATAACGATGCTGTTGTCGGTCGGCAGCAACAGGTCATGGCTCCCTAGAGCGGCTGTTGTCAGCGGAAAGCCCCGGGTCTCGCCATGACATGCGTACCGTTGGCAATCAGCACCGGCAGCTCGAGCTCGTGCAAGCGGTCAAAGGACGCATATTTGGCCTGGCTCGGGTCCATGAACTTGGCAAACGCAATGGCTTGCCGGCGAGCGCTCTCGGGCGACACATACGGGGACCTGTCTGGCCGGGAGGCGCTAATCCTGTCCCATGAGGCTCTCCCGGCGGCCTGGCTGCGCGCCGAGCCGGTGAAGAAGGAGGAGAGGAAGGCGTCCCGCTGCTCGTCGGCGGACATGGCATCCTTGAGCCGGTTAAAGGGCCCCGTGGGTGCCGTCGTCACACCCTCGCCCGTGCTCGGGATGGTGCCGCAGAGGACCAGGCAGCGGACAAGGCGCGGGGCGTCGAGGGCGATCATTTGGGCAACGCAGCCGCCCATGGAAAACCCCATGACGTCGGCGCGCTTGATGCCGAGGGCTTGCATGACGTCGATGTAATGGCGTGCCCAGCCGCCAAACGTCTTGGGCACCTGTCCGCCTGATCGTCCCACGCCTGCGTTGTCAATCAGGACGACGGGCCGCAGCTCGGCGAGCGGATTGACGAGGGCGGGATCCCAGTGGTCCATGGTGCCTCTGAGAAGGGGTCAGCAATGGCACGGCGGAGGTGCAGCCAGTCTCGGAGCTCGCCAACCTAAAGTGCATGAGCAGCACGAGCGGGATGCCGTCGGGTTGGCCGAGGCGGCGATAGGCAAAGCGGATGTCGTTGACCTGGATGAAGTGATCCGGCGCGTCCTCGTACGTAGTCGCCATTTCTGCTGCGACGCGGATGCTTTTGTTCGAACGACGAAAGCTGCAGAGCAGGATTAAAGAAAAGTCGGGGTTGACCTTCTCGGCGCAACGAGGCGTCACGGATGCCGAGGTCCGATATCAGGTGACCTCGTGGTTGCCTCTGAATCGGAGCTTTGCCCAAGCTTCATCCGACGATGCCTCTCTTGCAAAGAGCCGTGGGACCGTGTGCATCATACTCGTCTTGCGAACTCTATTTATTCTTATATTTTAATTCTTTTTGGGATGGCCTTGAATCCAACGACGCATCTCTTTCCCTCTGGTCCGCCAAGATGGCGGCGTCTTCGTTGACCTGTTCAGTCAACATGCCATGCGACTCGCACCGGGAAGATGCAGCTCTCCCCTCTTGTGGACATTGACGATGAACATCAAGACCGAGACGGACTCACGCCAAGCATGTCTCGGTCGCAGGACCCCCAAGCTGACCCGCACCACCTCTTCTAGTATCGTCGACACCGCTGCGAGCCCCCAACGCCGTGCTATAAAAAGAAAAGAAAGAAGAACAAAGGAAACTCGTACTCGGTCCGGTCCGATTATAAGTAGCCGGCGGCACCGTCATTGGCGTCCAACGCTGGCTTCTCGGCCAAGCTCTCTCTCGTCAAGGGGGTTCGGGGGCCGAGAAGACCGCGTGCCTCCAAGGCGGAAACCGAATCAAACTCGGGGTCGATTTCATCGTCTTCCACAGACCTGACGAGACTGCACATCAGTACAATGAGCGGGAAGCTTGTTGGGGGCGACATGGACGAACCTTCCCAGGTACAATGAGGTAAACAGCAGCCACAGAGAGACGATAAGGATGGCAACGGGCAGGCGTGCACTGAGGCCCGACATGGGGTCCAAGTAGAAAGTCCGCGTCGAGGGGTTCCAGATGATGGCGCGGACTCTTTGCCCGCTGCCGACGACAACCAAGTCGCCGTCGACGTCCGTCGTGACCTCGGCGTCGTCGGTGCCGACGGCGAAGACGGGAGTGACGGAGAAGCTGATGTCAAAGACTTGCAGGTGCTCGATAGCAGCGGACGCATACCGGGATAGTTGCTCGGCGAGAGAGGTGAGGGTGGCTGGGTCGTCGATCAAGGAGGTGTCGACTCGGCCAACGCTGGGCCTCGTCCGGGGCATGCCATGGTCTGTGGCGACGACGTGAGGAACGGGGGCCGGGGCGGCGAGAGCAGCCGCGACGAGGCCGAAGCCGACGAGGGACGATAGCAGCTTCATGGCGATGTCGAGCTGGGGGGAGGTTGAGCGGTTGAGGATGAAGCAGGCCTAGGCAGGGCGAATGGACCGAGGAGAGCAGGCAAGACAGAGTGCTGCGGCAGAGGTCCAAGAGCAATTATGGATGGGCTCGAGACGACTAAAAAGCCAAAAAAGGGCTCGTGTGTGGACTGTCTGCTCGGACGTGTGGGCGAGCAAGGAGATATGCAGAGCTCGCGGAGAGAGCGTGTCGGGCGAATGGGCGACTTGGCTAAAGGCAGATAGTAGGGCGCAAATGCCATGCAGAGCAACAAGTGGGAATCCGGGGTATGCAAGCGGCGCTTCGGGGCCAAAGGGAGGGGGAGAGGGGTTGGAACGGAAACGTTGACGATGGGAATTCCAACGGGGCCGTCTTGCAGGCTAAAGAGTGTGTTGCACGGATATGTAAGGTGGATTTTGCGTCGAGTTTGCGTCGAGGTGAGAATGGATTCTGGAAAGAAAAGGAAGACGGACAGACAAGAGGAGCATGGATGCAACTTATAGGGGTCGACGAGTTGAGGCATGAATAAGGCGCAACATGGGCCATTTCGAACCGCCCCCCAATGCTTCAGGGCCCCCGCGCGCTGCCCGTCCCCAAGGGGTGTGTTGCTCTTTGTAGGCAGCGAGGCTGGTTGCCCCGAAGCATGCAAGCGCCGTCGCCGGAAGCAGTGGTCTGCTCGAGGAGACGGGACTCGATCTACCTGCGCTTCTATTTTGCTTCTATCCGCGCCGTGTCATGCTTGTATCCGAGTAATGATGGGCGGAAAGGGGCCCCCGAAACAAGACGACGGCCTGACTCGCTGACGGAGAGAAAGGTGGTGAAACGGCTGTTTGGAGACTGCTCAGGGCTGCGATTGATACAGTACAATACAAGCACTTCGCACCACGAGGTGCTCATGGTTGGAAGCTGAGCCTTGTTTGGTTCTTGAATCGACAGCGTGTGTTGCGCGTCCCGTGCCCTCTTGCTCATTGGCAGAGGGATGCACGCACGCACACGCATGCATCCACCTCGGTCGAGGGCCGAAGAGACAGGGGCCGAAGAGACAGGGGGGCCGGCCGACTGGCTGGCCCCGAGAGAGTCTTTAATCCCCCATCAAGCGGTGGCCTGGTCGCAGCCAATCAAGGCACAGTACCGCCGCCTCCGAACACCGCTCGGATGCAGGCCGACGGTTGCTGTCATTGTACATGCATACAGTACGGTATACTGTAATATGACGGCCGAGGCCGAGGCATCTGCTGGGATATGAGCCCAGATACCGAGTCTGCACTATTTAGCAGCGTCGCCGCTCTCCATACCTCGGGCCCATGACCATCCACCGCTGCGAGCCAGTGAGATGAGACCCCCCCTCCCCCTGTCGCGGGCGAGGAAAACGGATCCGTGGAACCTGAACGGCGGCCAAATTCTCCGATGCTGCTGCTGCATGCTGCTGCTGTACTGCTGCCTTAAGGACGGGGGCCGGGGTGGGTTCTTGAGTTCTGCTTGCTGGACACGGCGGCTATTACGTGAACGCTCCTTTCAGTGAGCGAGTGGCCAACGGGGGCCAGACAGTTGGCGCCCGCCCCCACTCCCTCGACGGGCCCAGTGGGTACCGCGGCCTGTACTCTGTAGGTGATTTCTCCACCCTGCACAGCCCGCCAGTGGCCGTCCAACCACCAACCACCAACCACCATCGCAAACCTTCTCTTCTCTTCCTCAAACAGCTCCCCTCCGGAGCCGGCATGCGATCGGCAAGCCACCACAGCCAGCCGCCCCAGCAGCCGTCCCAGCAGCCGCCCCAGCAGCCGCCCCAACAGCCGCGACCCCATCCGCAGAATAGCTTCGCCTCGGGCGGTCGGTGGCGGCAAGCCCGCGGCGGCGGCGGCGGCGGCGGCGTCCAGGCCCCGGCCAGAGACTCGCGCAATGCCCTCGCCCACCGACGACGAGGCCTCCTCCATCTCTGCCCTCGGCCGCGCACACACACACCCCTTTGCCCCCTTTGGCCGCTCGTACCTGTCGCCCCATGACGCCGCCCTCTCCCCGCCTCTGCGAGCCCTCTCCCCGGGCCCTGCCAGGCGCGGCTTCGACGCCCGCCCCGACGCGACACGCATGAGCCACCTCGATGCCGACCACGGCAGAGCTCGCCGCCGCAAGCGCGCCTGGAAGAAGCTCATGTGGGTCAAGCAGTCGTGTACGCTTGACTCCCTAGATGCGACCACTGCACCGGCTTGGCTGACGTTGAAGCTGCCCAGGCCCCGACAATTACACGGATCAGGCCACCTTTCTCGAAAGCCTGCAGCGCAACCCGCGCCTCAAGCCCTACGACTTCTGGCCCCTCGTCGCCGACTCCACCGTCATCCTCCAGCACGCCTGCTCCGTCATCGTCTTCATCGTCTGCTTCGTCGGCATCTTCCAGGAGCGCGTCTCCCCCGTCTCCGTCGTCAGCTGCAGCAGCTTCGCCACCTTTCTCGGCTGGCTCCTCTGGGAACAGTGGGTGTCTGAGGAGGACCACGAGGGCGAGCCCGGCGCCGGCGCCGCCACCGTCGTCGTCAGGAGCGGCAGCACGCGGCGCAGAGGGCGCGCTGGCAGCATCCGCTGGCCTGTACACCCGCCCCCCCGCCCCCCGCCGCTTGGCTCCTCGGCGCCCTCGGCCGCCAGCTCGACCAGCAACCTTGACGGAGGCGGCGGCCCGAGGAATCTCCCATCTGCGTCCATGGGCTCGCACAGCCCGAGAAGCAGCCCGGCGGCGGTCCCGCAGGACGCGCCCGCGGTGCCGCCCGACGAGAATCGCGTGCACCAGCGGCTCGAGACCATCAAGTCGGCGCTCCTCATCTACAGCACCCTGCTGGGCCTGAGCCCCATCCTCAAGTCCCTGACGCGCTCGACGTCGAGCGACAGCATCTGGGCCATGTCGTTTTGGCTGCTGGCCATCAACATCTTCTTCTTCGACTACTCGGGCGCCGTGGGGGCCAAGTTCCCCGCCTCCCTGTCCACCAACGCGGCGCTCATGGCGTCGACGGTGCTGGCCAGCCGGCTGCCCTCGACCAAGCAGGTCTTTAGCCTGACGCTCTTCAGCATCGAGGTCTTTGGCCTCTTCCCCGTCTTCCGGCGACACGTGCGCCACCGCAGCCGGAGATACCACGCGCTGTTGACGGCGCTGCTGGTGCTGGGCGCGGGCCTGGGCGTGGGCATCGTCCTGGGAGATGCCCAGGCCGACCGGTGGCCGTGGAAGAGCGGCATGGTGGGCATGATGGTGGGCGTGTTCCTGGTGGCCCTGGCCGCGGGCGGGTGCAGCTGGTGGCTGATTGGGCTGCAAAAGTACAAGAATGAGATACGAGGGCCGTGGGACCCGGCGAGGCCCATCATCATGAGCCGGACGCGGTGGGATGACGGGTAGCAGGCAGCACATAGGACGGGTACATACACACACACACACACACACACACAATACATGCATACATATATGCTGCATCTGCGTCTACATACATGCGTCTTGGGGGCTTCGCAGCCCGCACGTGTCGCCGTGGTTACGGGGCTGTCTCGTGGGATCTGTTCCCTCAGAGGCAGCAGCTGACCTGGCAACAGCAAGGGCGCCGGCGCCGACCTGCCACTGCGTCGGTTTCCTCGGTGCGTCGGGACCGTACCGTCCAGTATGATTTGCAAGGGCAGCATGTCTGTCTCGCGGTAGTTTCGGACACGCACCATACATGACAAGGGCAAGCAAAGTGTAGATGGCAGAAGCCGCTGCTGTTAGGGAGACCCCAAGGGAAGGGTGGCAGGGGGAGAAGAAACACAGGCAGAAGTGAACAAGGTTAAAAAAAGAAAACACAAGTTTGGATCATGGCCTCCCTCCCTCGAGGAAAGGCCGCGGTCTGGGGCGAGGGGGTTGTGTCTCAACGGGGGATAAGCCTGAGCGCAAACACATGACGGCCACGAGGGCGACGAACTATGGGGAGAAAAAGAAACAAGGAGATGAGATCTCTGTATCTCATAGGGAGGGATCGTTTAACGGGCAGCCGAGCTGCACTGGAGTGGACAGACGGACAGCTGGGGGTTTTCCCGACCTGGCCAAAGTCAACGATTAGCCCGAGGTGACGTCGAGCAGCCCAGCCACTATCTACAGGTGGCAGATGGGCGTTATGCTCTGCAGCTGGGGTGCCTTTGACATTGAGCCGTCATCCATGCATGAGGATGCTGCATGCAGACCGAGCCCGATAGCCGGGTCTGCTGCAGATGTCAAAACTCGCCGCCCCTGGGCCCGTGACCTGCGGCCGAACAAAGCCGGCCATCTCGACCATGCAAGGAGTGTAGTCCAGGCGTGCGCGGGAACCGCTGGCTGGCGGGCTTGGTGTGGGGGGCCTTTCATGGCGATGAACGAGGACGCGGGGCAAGGAGAGAGAGACAAGGCCAGAGACAGACGGCGCAAGGGCAGTGGTCCATCTTGGCCCGGCAAAAGAGGCACCGAGACGGGCCCAGTCCAAGCATCGAGGGAAGCTACTCGACAAATCCTGCGACCCAGGAGACGCCGTGTGCTTTGTGCAGGGAAACATGGTGTTGGCAAAGCGGCAAAACCACCTGCTGCAGAGCGCAGACACTGGTGAAGCTCGCAGGATCCCTGTATGTATTACATGCCGCACTCACAGTAGGCCACTCTGACGTACAGAACCTAAGTAATTAATCCCTACAGCACGTACAGTGGGGTCGGTCCTTGACGTACTTACCGGCAGCACGTACAGCACAGCGGGTGCCCGCCCCCGTACGTACGGCCAGGCACGCAGCAGCAGGGGGCGGGCCCGTCCGCTAGCGCACTCCACCACCGCCCGCCCGGCGCCCGGCCCCCGTCGCCGACGCTGCTCCGCCGTGCACCACCGTTATTTGCCAACCTCCCTAGTGTAAGTGGAAAAGGTAGAAGCGCAGAATTGGGGTGGATTGGTGGATGGGTGGATGATGAAAGCCCGGCAGGGCAGCCAGCAGATGTCTGACAAGTGATGCTGCCTTGCTTTGTTGGAGCAGCCCCATCATTTCCCTCGCCGTCTGCTCGCTCAAGGGCAACCGCTCCTCGACCATTTTAAGACCCCGTCCTTCCCTCCTGTTTCCTTGTCCCCCCCTCTCTCCTCATCGCATCTTACCACTCATTCCAACACTCTCGCTCTCACGCTCTCTTTCGTCCCTGTACATAACTCGCAGCCTTTTCTCGTCCACGCTCACTTCTTGCACACACGTCCCTTCCACTCTCCCCTTTCCACAGAGCAGACAACCACAACAACAACAACAACAACCACACTCGCCATCATGAAGGCCACACTCATCACCCTCGCTGCCACCGGCCTCGTTGTCGCCCAGAACTATGCCGGCATGCCCGAGTGCGCCGTGAGCCTCCCCCCCCCCTCCCTTGCAGCACCCTCACCGTCCCTCTTACTGACAACTTCCTCCATAGATCCCCTGCCTTCACGACGCCCTCCCCCATTCCGGCTGCAATCCCGCCGACGTTGCCTGTCTCTGCCGCGAGGACACCCAGCGCAGGCTCATGGGAGCCGTCGCCCCCTGCATCCTGTCCAGGTGCAACCCCGACGAGGTGGGCCGCGTCCAGTCCTCCGCCGCCGCCGCCTGTGCTCAGGCCGGTGGAGCTCACCCGGGCGCCCCCGGTGTTCCCGGTACACCCGGCTTTCCCGGCGGTCCCGGTGCTCCTGGTGCCCCCGGCTTTCCTGGCGCCCCCGGCTTTCCTGGCGCCCCCGGCTTTCCGGGCGCCCCCGGCGCTCCCCACTCCGACTACCACGGCTCCGACGCCACCTCGGTCCTCTCCGGCAGCACCTACATCTCGGGCTCCTGGGTCGGCAGCGTGCCCGTCACCGGCGCCCACTCGGACGGCTCCCACCCCTGGTCCACCCAGACCAACCCGGGCCTCATCCCCACCCCCGGCGCTTCCCACACTTGGGACGACGACGATGACTCCTCGAGCCTCTGGTCCTCGCCCACGGCTACCTGGTCCTCGCGCAACGGCCTCATCACCAGCGCCTTTACCACCGGCCCCAATGGCTCTCTTACCCCCACCGCCACCCAGACCAACGCCTTCGCCTCCACCACCACTTTTGGCTCTCCTAGCGTCACCACCGGTGCTGCCCCTGGAGGCCCTGCCGCTGGTGCCCTGGCTGCCGTCTTAGCCGCTGCCCTGATCCTGTAAGGTGTCTCTTGTGTATTTGCTGGCAATGGGAAGTCGTTCGGTCTTGGAGTTGGACAGCATGTCACCGCATGATGGGATGAATAATATGGTACATAGGCGATGGGGGCTTGTCACATGTGTCCGAAGCTGAGTAGGGCCCTCGACTTTGGACTTGTAATGATAGATGGCTAATAATAATACTACTACCTTTGCCCCTGTCCGTCCTCTCACCGTAATGGTTCTTGTAGTGTCTAGCCATGCCACACTCGTCCGGTTACCCCTACCCTTGTCCCTTTGTGAAGAGCAATGTGTCTTGTCGCGCCAAACTATTTTACAATTACTGGAGCACCTCGCCAGCTCAGGAGTAGCATCAATGTACAAACAAGCCAGCAGCGGTCGGGACCGTCCTCTCCAGAGTCCATACGTGTAGCAAGCTCAACACTGCACCCGGCCATCACGGGAGCGTCGAATCGGTCGAATAGTTGTTGGCCACGGCAGCCGCAGCAGACTTGAGGATCTCATCGGCCAAGGCTTCGCCCGTGGGCCCGTCCTGGATCACTTCCTGACCCTCGTCCTTGTCGAGGTAAACGTCGACCAGAAACGGCCGCTGGGTCGTGTTGTATCTGAAGTCGTTGATGGCCGCGTTGACGAACAGCGTCTGCCTCCCGTGCTCCAGGCGAGAGTGGCCTTCTGTCAAGTCGATATGGATCGACTGCTGGTCCACCAGCTTGCCCAGGGCCTCGGGGCCAGGCGGGAAATAATTGAAGGAGCGGTATATTTGCTCCAAGTCGGTCAGCGTCGAGAGGCGCGACATAGCGGCGTCGATTGAGTTCTCCCAAGTGGGAATTGGCAAGTGCGAGCCTGCCATGGCTGTCCTCATGACGGCCGTGTAACTGTAGTCCATCCATGAGGCGAGGTAGCAGCCCCAGGCCTCGTGGATGTGGCCGAAGCAGTGAATCTTGGGCCTGGCGTTGTAGACGGCCTGGAAGAGTGTGCTGCAGCCGGCGCGCTGGCCGTTGAAGGTATAGTCGAGGATGCCGTGCGGGGGACCGTGGGTCATGGCGATGTCGACGCCCCGGGGGATGGCGAAGTCATGGCTGCCCGCCTCGTACTGAAGTGCCCAGTTGCCGAACTTGGGGGTGAAGGGGCTTGCGTAGATGGTCAAACGGGCGCCGTTGGCGAGGGTGAAGGAATGCGTCCCTTCTTCGAGGTAGCGCACGCCATCCGTCTCGGCTGAATCAAACAGATTGAGTACCATGCAGTTCATCAGGCCGGAGCTCGGGCCCGAGAAGTGGGTTGCCGTAAAGTCATAATCGAGAGCCAAGTCGTGGTTCCCGGCAATGACGAGCTTGAGGGGCGCGCGGATCTCACGCATCATCTCGATAGTGCGCTCAAACTCGTCCACCGAGCCGCGCCTCGTCAGGTCGCCGCAGTGAATGGCAACGTCGGCCTCGGGCAGCGGCTCGCGGTACCCGACGGGCGGCGGCTTGCGGCACCCGGCGGGCAGCCAATCATCCTCGTCGTCAATCTCAATGCTGAACCCAGACTCGCTCACCGAGCTGTCCATCGTCGGGTCGTCGGCTTGGATGTGGCCAAACTTGGGCGCGGGCAGCGGTTCGCCATCGTGGGACTGGGCCAGCATGATATCGGGCACCGGCTCGCCGAACCCGGCTGCACGGTACTCGGCGAGCAGCTTCCTGGGCGAAATATGCTCTTGGGGCGAGGGCGGATCTTCCTCGAAGTCGCCAGCCCTCTGCGGCTTCTGGCCGTGCGTATCGGACAGGATCAAGATGCGCGTCTTGATGCCGGGCCGGGACGACATGGCTTCTTGTTGGGTTGGAGCAGTGTTTGGGGGGTGAATGGTTGAAAACCCTACACGAGAGTCGGTGAGAGCGGGGGATCGAGGAGTCTCTGTGATGGACGGGGGCGAGAATGAAGGCCCGGAGGCTATCGCTGGCTGCCTGGAGTGGTTTGTTGCCTGGCATAAGCCGCCATGTGACGGCTTCCAGGGACAGGCGGTTAACCGGAACCGGGAGCGAGGAAAGCGCATCTGGGCGAGGTCTGAGTTCGCTCACTCAAGTAAGTGGCCGCGGGAGCTGGTGAATCTGAGGGTATAAGAGCAAGCTTGAAGAGAGGCGAAGCATTGGGAAACCCCCTCTTGCGAGAGCCGTGAGGCTCCAAGGGCGCCTGCCTTGTTAACTCTAAAGACTCGGAAGGAACGAATGTGCCTGTTCAACCCGCTGCGTGTCCCGGGACCTCCAGAGGCAGGAGCGCCATGGGTGGCGTGGAAAGCATCCCGGCAAAGCGACACCAAAGAGAAGCTTAAACATGAAAGAATCAACAGGGAATGGGGGTTCTTGCATGATTCAAGTAATGACGGAGTCTCGCAGTATCGCCAGTCGTACGGACTTGGAGCGGGCAGAGTGGAGACCTGCTGCTGAAGACTCCACATGCCAGAGGTACCTCCTCTCTCAAAACATCTCCCTTCATCATCGCCAACCACGCCAACGCGACGACAGCAGCGCCGCGCATCCCTCGCCAACACCCCCCACCGCTCACACATGGACTCGCAACCACCGCTCGACGCCTCCATGGCGTCGCCCCCGCTGCCCCCGGCGTCCGGCTCGACAGACGGGGAGCCCATGTACGGCGGCTACTCGCGCTTCGAGATTGAGCTCGAGGTGCGCCATCTTCTTTCGCATTCTTTGTCCTCCTTGGACTCCAGCCAGCTTGGCACTGTTTCCTGAAATGCTGACCCTTGCGACACGCAGTTTGTCCAGTCCCTCGCCAACCCCTACTACCTCAACCACCTCGCCTCGCAAAAACTTCTCACCCAGCCCGCCTTTGTCGCCTACCTCGCCTACCTGCAGTACTGGGCCGAGCCGCCCTACCTCAAGTACCTCATCTACCCGGGGCCGACGCTGCGAAACCTCGAGCTGCTGCAGCAGGAGAGGTTCCGCCAAGACATTATGAGCCCGGATCTGGTGCAGCGCCTGGTCGAGGAGGAGATGAAGGCGTCGGTTCAGTGGCACCGCGAGCCTTGACCGTCATACGATCCTACAGCCCGACTGACTTCAATGACGTACAACCCGACGGTGGAAAACATGCCTGTTCCACTGTCTGATGCATGGTGCGCGATAAGGCCTCCAGATGCTTTTCATGGCGACTGCAAGAGCCGGCCGGAAAGAACCAAGACAAAATTCACCAACACGAAACAACACCTCATACCGTTGAGCAACTCCAAATCGAACCAAAACGCCATGCACCGCAACCCTCACGCTCCCTCCCGCCACAAACGCCTCCTAATTCTCGCGCCATCGGTTGCCGCAGGTCATGCACTTGTAGAAACTCGTCATGGGCTCGTCGGCACTGCGGATCTGGACCTGGAAAAAGGCAGCCTCGTCGCCGTCGCACCCGTCGCCGGGGCACTGCACGCGGCCCTTTTGCGCATTGTCCCACGCGCCGGGCCCGCCAAAGACGTCCTCCTTTTCCTTGCGCTCAAAGAGGCGCCGCGAGAAGATGGGCTCGGTGATTGTGTGTTCAAAGGGACATGTGCGGCACTCGAGGCGGTTGGTGCGTTGGTTGGTGAGGGAGACGGTGAGGATGTTGGCGCAGTGCGGGCAGACTGGGCGTTGTCAGTTGACGTGGTCCAGAGGGAAGGCCTTGACGGCATAGTCATACAGAGAAGCATGGTGGGCGGCTTGTATCTCCCTTGGTGCCGGGAGGCTGGTTGCGTCTACTAGGCCTGTGAAATGAGAGCGTGGTCCTCTGAGCTGAAGCCTGCGCCCGAGCGCCAGTGGCCTGTGGTCGAGTTTGCGGCAGTGTTTGGTAGTTGAACGAACGGGAAAAAGTGAGCCAAAAAGCCGTCATGGTCCAATTATCCTCCGACGAAGAGCCGGCGCGGGTTTGATGGTGGGGTCCACTACGTACTTGCAGGCGGCAATTCCGCACCCACCCTCAGGTACCACAGTACCTGAAGCACCTGCCCGTGACGTCTCGTCCCCCCGAGTCACCGCCGCTAAGAGGCCGACTTCCCGGTCCGTGCTCCGGCCCCAGGCGCCAAAGTACAGCGCCCACAGTTGCCCAGCAGCAGGTACCTGAAGCCTGAAGCCCATCACCGCCCTCACTCACTCCCACTCCCTCCCTCGCTCGCCTCCCCCTTTCCCGCCCCTACCCCTTGCGCGCCCCGCCAGCACCGCCCTGCAAGCCCCTCCACGCCACCCCCCCGTCTTCCGCGCCTCATCGCCCATCCGATCGTCTCGCATCCCGTCCCTCCTCGCAACCTCGCGCCATATATCCTCTCCAGTCAACCCCGCCAAGCCTCTCCCTGGGATAACCAAAAAAAAGGAAAAAAACACACGCAGCTTCGTCATCCACCGTTGTCGTCCCGTCCGGTTCTGCGACATCATGGCCGCCGAGGAAGAGCACGAGGTAAAAGCGACTCCTCCCTCTTGAAGTCACAAAAGTTGGGACGAGCAGAGAGATGGTGCTTGAGAAGGGGTTCTGACCATGCGATGCCCTTCTTTATAGGGCGCGTCCGTCAAGGAACTCCTCATCGAAGCCTGCCGCCGCAACAACACGGAGCTCCTCGTCGAGGTTCTGGCCGACCGCTCCGAAGACGACATCTCGACGCTCCTCAACTCCACCACCACCGTCATGGGCAACCACCTCTACCACGAGGCCGCCTCCCACGGCAACTGTCGGTTCAAACTCCCCTCAGCCCCCCCTTCCCCTTGTTGGCTTTGGCTAACCCGCGACCAAAACACGGCGCAGACGAAATCATCGACCTCCTCCTCGACCAACCCAACTTCGAATGCGACCCCGTCAACCGCCTCGAGGGCGACACCCCCCTCCACACCGTCATCCGCTGGCTCAATGCCGAACCCCCCGCCCAGCGGCCCTTTGGCCGCGCCCTCATCGACATGATGCTCGAGGCCGGCTCCAACCCGCGCGTCCGCAACAAGGCCCGCCTGACCCCGCTCCAGCTCGTCGACCCGTCCAACAAGGACCTCCGCGACCTCATCCAGCAGCACGAGTATGCCAGCCAAAACGCAGGTGACTTTGTCAACGTCGATGCCCGCCCCTCAAACAACGCCAAGTCCGCCCCCCCTGCCCCGCCCGTCCCTGGCGTCGACGCCCCCGCCGCCGACGACTCCGACGACGATGCAGAGTTTAGTGGCAGCGACGACGAGGAACGCGCCGAGTGGGAGCGTAGGAGAAAGGAAAGAGGGCAGCGCAGCTAAAGGGGGGAGGCCTTCCCATGCTGTCGTGTCATCATCAGTCGGGTCGGCGTTGAGCGTGCCATTTCACACCGCTGGGCGGACGACATATTCCAGGCATACCGTACTACGTGAGCATTAGAGTCACGCACCAGGGGTTAGACAGGAGCTAAATATATCATGTGCTAGGTTTCTCCACGTCTGCAGAATGGGTATATGAACTCTAGGTAGTGCTCTCCTAAGCAGCTGTTGTGGTCTGTAGGTTGCTTCCTCCGCCACACGTCCCCCGTCATCAATGGGCTGATGCGACTCCTTCGCCGCCATCGCACACTCTGTCATCCCCAGTCGCTCTCAATCCTCTAAGCTTGGTCCACGCCCGAGTGCCCATGCCCGCCAGGGGCAGAGCAACCCAGCAGTCGTATGCCTCCTTGGACTTTCCACCTCTTATAGCGCAGACCACACGACGGCGAGAGCAGCTGTCAGAATCGTGAGCGCTGGGCTGAGATGCCGTACACTGCCCGCGGCTCCCCTCGCGGCTTCGATATAGCCGATATCCCGCAGCCGCTTCATAGACGGCTCCGATAACCTGCCGCCGCTCGCAATTTCAAACAGCTCCTTGCCCAGCTGACGCAGAATGTTAGTCGACCGTCCGACCGGGCACATGACGACCTCCCAGCCGCCGCCCTTGGGAACGATAAAGGTCGACTTCTGGTCATCAAAGGCAAAGCTGTAGGCATCCGGGCATACCGTCTTGACCGAGGTGCTGTAGCGCGACGGCTTGCAAATATTGGGGTCGTGGTACTTGCCAATGCAGCAGTCCTTGTCCGAGCCCGTCGTGGCGCACGCGCTCTTGCAGGGGGAAAAGGCAGGCCTCTGAACGTTGTCGTCAGGGTAGGGGTAGACGCCATCCCCAGGCTTAGTTGGGGGAAAGGCGAGATTCGGCCAGGGACACCAGCCGCTGACGCTCTCGTTGGTCTCGTTGGCCTCGAGCGGCACGGGAAATGACGAGTTGGCGTAAAAGGTGCCCGTGGGAGCTTTGGCAAATAGCCAGCCCTCGGTCGCGATGCAAGCGCAGTTTGTCAGGTTAGGCGGAATGTACGTCGTGTTCTTGGCAGGGATATAGCTGATGCCCATAGGCAAGTTGTATCCGTCGACCAAGGAGATGTCGTAAAACGTTTGCATGCCGTCAACTCCGCCGGCGAGGTTGAACTCGGCAAGGGTCGCTGGGGGCGCTCCCTAGCCACACGCCGTCCGTCAGTACATGGAGAGGATGCGCGAGACGACCTGATACGTACGCTGAACTCGCAGTCCAATTTCGCGAAGCAGTCGCCCGTTTTGCAGGCGCAGGATTCACCATTGACGGTGCAGTTGGTTCGACCCCAGATACGGCCCTGCCAGTCGGATCCAACCCACATTGTCTTGTTCTTGCCTGGTTCCAGCTCGAAGCCCCCTGTGCCCGGGCCAGTGCCAGCCTGGGTGGCTAGACCGGGCCATATCGTTGCTTCGCATTTGTTGGTTACGACGAGGGGCACCTTGTCTTCGCCGTCCTCGGGCGGTCCTCTCTTGGCAGGTGGTGCGCGTTTGGGATGGCCAGGGGCATCGGCCCGCCAGTCGCGTTTGACAAGACGAAAGTCGTCCGCTGATGTGGTGGACAGCAAGGATGCGATTGCGATGGCGACGAGGAAAAGCCGATTCATGGAGCAGTTGAATCGCAATGACTGGAGCCAGGACCGATGAGATGAGAACATTGGTCCCATCTACCCCCTCTGTGCCTGCACCTTGGGGCGGCTGGAGCGAGACGCGACCCTCGTCGACTCCGGCCGATGGCGAGCTCCGAGCTGAACAAACCAAAACCCGTCGGGGCGTATTTCAAAATGTGTATATGTCAGTTCTTACTGGACATTGCGAGTAGAGCTTTTTCTTGCAGAGGCACGGCCGAGTTGAAGGCTTGCACGAGACCTGGGCCAGTTGGTCTGAGCTGGGAGCGTCGACCGTTGGAGGCGGCGATCGAAGTGTTGGGGGAGCGAAAATGAAGAGCAGCTGGCCACACCGGTACCAAGAGCTGCCTGCCCTCTCGGTTGCTTGCGCGGCGCGAGGGCGAAACAGTGACGAAGGAGGGCGGTGATGATCTTGACACGCCCTGTTGTTGGGACGAGAGCAGTGAGCGGCGAGCAAAGAGAGTCGTATCGGAAATGGCCCGCCTAAGAGAGGGAGGTCAAGTTTAGATTAAGAATAACGAAGATCGGACAACGGAGCTGTTCAAGGAGTTTCGAGGAGCATGCAAAACAGCCTGGCCAGCAGGATAATGAGAAAGGCTTGGTTGCGTGAAACGGCCATCGGAGATTTCAGGTAAGGCATGGATGCGTCATATGGTTTCGCCTGGTGCTTGCCATGAAGCGGCGAGCGCTTGGATCGGCAGTAGCGCCAGGGTCCACGAACGGGGCTGTCCTTCTTCAGCCAGCCACCATCCGCTTCTTCCCAATCGGGCAATTAATAACCGTTCTCTCCAGAGCCACGGAAGCCCGACCGAGCTACAGTTGTAGTACGTCATCACCACCGCCCTCATCCCATCCTTTACATCTTCCTTTCCGTCGTTTCATGTCCAAGAGAGTGCCGTTTCCTCCATGCGCTGCCTTGCCCCTCCGTAAAAACGTCAATCATCATCGTCTGAGCGCCGCCGATAGCTGACCATCTAACCAACTTTGATTCATTCATCTATCATCGACTATCATCGTATGCTTCTTCAGGCCCAAATCCGTAATCTTCCATTTTTTGTGAATAACATTATTTCTCGTCGAGCTGCCCTTTGCCAGACCCCTCGGCGACACCATCTGGCCATGGCCAGCACCGTCGCATGCTCTTCCTCCACGTCGTCCCACCCCAACATCGTCTGCCTATATGCGCTTGGCCTGCCCTGCCGTGCTATATCGCCGTCTTTCCAATGCATTCAACGTTGGATAGGTATCATAATCTGCCCCCAAGATGACCATGTCGCCTCTAGTCAAAGCTGCAAAATCGAAATTATTCAGATTCGTCTCTCGCCTCGCCCAAGCTACCGGAAGCGCGCACGGCAACGGCCCATGACTTCGCCTTGGCAGACTAGTTCGGCGCTGAATTCCGAGCCATCCAGAGTCAAGTAAATGTCAAAGTAGACGCGGTAAAAGGTTCCTTGGGGTGTGTCCATCCTCTCAAAGTCCTTTTCCAGGTTCTTACGGGAAAGGTCCGACGTGAGAGTGACGACTTCCTTGATGCCTGCCATCCAGTCAGCACGACATACTGTCTCTACACGGGGAGGGTAGTTCGGGGAGAAGGGGGGGGGCTTACGGGGATCTTTGGTGTACTCCGGGCAGACATCATCGTCGCAAGCATAAAGCACGTCCTCGTACATAAGAGTCGCGCCCGGGGCCACTTGTCGGAAAAACGACACCTTGACGGGCTCGCCGTTCTTGACTTTCTGGCCCTTTTGCACAAAAATCTGCCGCGTGAATTTGCATCGGTCCTTGCCATCCAGAGACGGCACTCGGTAGGCCTCTGGGTGATAGCCCTCCTTGAAGGGCTGTAGCGTGGCCATGAGGTAGTGTCGGCGTGCGACTCGGTGGGTGATGATGCGCTCGGTGATGCCGGCAGTGACGGCACCCTTGACAATGGCAGCCACGGCGTCCATCGGGCGGACAACCTTGGACTGGAACTGAGGCGGAACATGCAGCTTGATCTGTTGGAACAGGTATTCCGATGCGCCGAAGCCGCCGACGACCAGGATGTTCTGCAGTGTCCGGTTCTGGGCCTGGATGGCAATAATCTGGTTCCGTACCAGCTCCAGGATCCGATTCACGACTGGCTCAAAGCACTGCAGGATTTCTTCGTTGGTAAAGGTCATGTAGCCCTCCTCGATGCCAGCCTCGGGGAACTCGGCCTCGATGCCAACGTCGACGGCCCACTTCTGCCCGTTGTTGCGGAAATCGGCCTTGATTCTGTTCTCAAAGTCCATGATGCACTTGGCGTAGACGCGCCCCGCCGTCTTGGACCCGTCGGGCAGCTTCATCTTGCGGATCTTGGTCCGCAGGATATTACTGAAATTGCGATTGAGGGCCGTAGAGCCGCAAGAATCGCCGGACCCCGTCGTGCACTCGGCAACCGTAAACGGGTTTTCCTCCTCCACCTCGTAGGCAATCAAATCCACGGTACCGCCACCGCAGTCCACGATTAGGACAGCGTCGTGCACCTTGAGGTTGAGCAGCCCCGTCTTTGAGCAGAACAGGGCGGCCGCTTCGGGCTCGGAGATCAAGGTCAATCGATTGTCGTTTTCGTCGCGAAGGAACCCGGCCTGGATCGCCGCCGCCCGAGTGGCCGCCTTGCCGGCGTCGTTCCAGATGGCGGGCACAGTTAGGTAGTACCGAATGTTGCGCTCTTCTCGGTTGAACACCTCGCCCAGGGTCTTTTGTAAGGCTGACCGCATCGCTTGCCGGAGCTTGAAGAGGTAGTCTGCGGCGACGTCGATTTCAGACTTGCCCGGCGGCAGGGGAGGGAGGTTGATGGGATCGATGTACGTGTTGCCGCTGAGCATCAGTTGCAACTTGAACCATTCCACTTTTTGCACGCCAGGCTTTGGGTAGCCAGTCGGTGCCAGGGCGTCGGCGATGTCGGGTCCCCAGCCCACGACCTTTTGATACTGGTCGTAGTACAAGACAGTTGGGATCTAGAACAAAATAAGTCATCTTCCGGGGCGCTGGGGAGCCTTGCTTCTCCAACCCAGCCTCACCTTTTGCTTGGTGTATGAGCCAGCGCCAGGCCACTCGGTGATGATGTCCTCCTTGGCCTCGTTGTTTGTCGCAAAGGCGAAGGCGACTCCGGAAAAGGTGGTGCCCTGCATCGGGTGTTAGCCGCAGAAATGTTGCATGGCCATTGCGAGGATGATCAGAGGGATGCGTGGAAGCCACTGACAAAGTCGATGCCAACAATCAGCTGGGCCTTGCTCTTGCTAGCACCCTCAACTTCTGCGGCCGGGTTGGTACGCTGGAAATGCTGTGCGATGGAGCCACCGGCCGGAGGCTGTCCGCCTGGAGGGTAGCCCGGCTGCCCGCCGAACCCAGGCGGCGGCGGCCCCTGACCCATGGGAGCCATGTTGGGCGGATAGCCCATGGGGGCACTGGTGTTGATGGGAGGCGGCCCTCCAGCCATCTGGCTGGGCGGAGTGCGGCTGTGGCCCGGGTGAGGACTGGTACGGTCGACGGGGGCGCCGGGAGGAGGATAGTTGGCCGAGTAGCTGGGCGGGCGATTGCCCGGGCCGGGATGGTTCATTGGGAGGCTCGTGGACGACGACGCGGCGCCGATGGGGGGCGTGTGGCCCGGGTGGGGGATCTGGTGTTGCTGAGGTATTTGGCCCGGCGGAGGGGTACTGGTGGGAGGGACCCCCTCTGCGCCCGTCTGGATGCTCGCGGCTGATTTGCGTTTCCCGAAACCGAAGCCTTTGAGGCGGGAGTTCCTAGAGCTCATATGGAAAGCGGAACGAGGGGGTCTGGCGTCAAGGAGAAACGGGAAGAGTTTGGCTGTGGCACGCGGTCAGAGCACGAGATTGGAGGTGCACTGACGGCCTGGGAGGGTTGCCTGGAAGGGTTGCCTGGAAGGGACAAGAGGCGGGGAGGGGTGTGGGGGGAGGCGAGAGGGAAAGGACCAGAAATGAGCAAGGAGCAAGGCGAACAGCTTTGGCTGGCTGCTGGTCCAAGCCCGGCAATCGTGAGGGCTTTGGCGGGTCGGGGGAGGATGTGCGATTGCTCCGGGAGGGTCGTCGGGGGCTGAAAAGCTGAAGTCGGCCGCCACGGCTGACAAGGGCTGGGCGAGAGAATTGGCGAAGGCCAACGAACGCTGAGATGGCGAGAAGGGGCTGCGAGAGATAGATTACTAAGGCCGCTCGAGGAAGAGGGGGAGGTGGAGGCGCACAAGGAAGACGGCGGCGTGCGGCTGACGAGCACTGGGCTTGTCTGTCTAAGGCAGGCGGAGGCGGGGTCTTGACCAGAGGTCCCTGCACTCGAGGTACCTCGGCGGCTTGAGCGCTTGAGGAGGTACCCGACAAGGAGTTGTTTAGGCTGCTATCCGTGTCGGGTGTCGGGTGGGCTTGCTTTCGCTGCCCACAATGGATTCGCCGTCCAGGCTGGGCGACCGCGGTAGGGCTCGGATGGAGACACTCGACGACAAACAATAGTCGCTGGACGGTTTTCGTGGCGTCAGAAGGTCTTGATGAAACGAAGGGATGGAGGTGAACCGCCGCATTGAGCGAAATGGCCGGAGCGCAAGAAAAGGGTGCTCGCGGAGCCGGGCGGTGCGAAGGAATGGGAGATATGTAGCGCGCACAATCTAGGACTCGTGCAAGGTTGATTTCCTTGTCGGGAGGTTAAAGTAGGACTTTGGGGACCTGTGGGCGGGGCCGAGTTCAAGAAGGAACCCCCAGCCCCAGCCACGCTGCTTGTCCTGGCTCCCGGGCCCAAGGTACCAAGTACACTGTACGGATACGTACCTAGGTAGGTACCTACAATGCCTACACTGCAGGGCAAAGCAGCGGTAAGAGAGCCACCTCCTCCGTCTAGCCGCCCGTCCTTCTACCTAGAAGCATGACCGAGAATAACATGCGCCTCTGCACTGTCAGGCTTCCCTCTCCTGGCTGGTCAACGAGGTGCCGCGTAAGCTCGAGGACCCAGACAACGTCGGCAAGGCCTCGATTGAGAAATGCCCACCCGCATCGTATATCCAAGCCACGACGACGATGACGCCGACATGACGATCCGTACCCAACCTCACCCTCTTGGCGAGAACTGCCGGGAGTCAGGACAGCTTCTGCCCAGGCCATGTCACGGGACCTCTCCCCGGGAAAGGTCCTGCTCTGCGCCAGCGTGCCATGTGGCGGCAATGAGCCAGCAGCCCTCTCGGGCCTGCACCCAACGTTGACTGGTGTGCCGCGTGCTGGGAGGCTGAGTGTCCTGCATTGGCCGAAGAAGCCCCGGCAGACGCTCCAGACGCCACACGGCATTTGCAACTCCCATCCATCCCATCCATGTCCACGTGACGCGGAAGTCCGCAGCGTGTGCCGAGGGTGCCAAAGCATTGCGCTTCTTCTGTTCTTAGCCGTCATATCGCGCGGGACAAGCATCGTCAACCTGCCACTGCCTACCTAGGAAATCTCACCACCTTTGGGCCGCTCTACTTGTTCAGGCGAGTTTCGAGATACTCGGAATTCGGGCTCGCGGCTTCTACCCAGCAGAAATGGAATCTTTTGGTGTTAATCCTGACTGGTGGTGGCCCGTCGAGGCGCCTTCCCCGTCAAGCAACTGGGAGACACGCTGCCAGGCTCTTGCACTTTTCCTCTGGCCGGCCGCTTGGCAGCATCTTCTTGATTCTGCCATCGGCACACGTCCGTCCTCAAGCTCAAAACTCTCCCGACTCTTCCAACTCTCACAATGGATTTCTATACAACAACTCTCGCAGCTCTATGCGGGCTCTGCGCCGTTCTCGTATACCACAAACACGGTTTCCGTGATGCAAAGGATGCCAACTCAGCTCGCCAGGCCACCGCCTGTCAATTCCAACGCCGGTTCTTGTTCGTTTATGCTTTGGCGGTCGGCGCCGACTGGTTGCAGGCGAGTTCGCTGCCACGGAGCCGACAAGGCTCAAGGCTGACGGGTGCCGCACAGGGACCACACCTTTATGCCTGGTACAGATACGACAAACAGCTTCCCGAGGAGCTGGTCGCCCTCATGTACGCCACCGGCTTCGCTGCCGGCGCCGTCAGCGCGGCAGTGGCTGGACCATTGATGGATTGCCTCGGCCCGGATTTGGGATGCCTGGCGTATTCCCTCTTCGCCTCTACATCGTGTGGCTTGATCGAATCAGACAAACCGTCAAGGCTTCTTCTAGGCCGGGTTTGCGGCGGTTTTGCCACCACTTTCCTCTTCAGCGCCTTCGAATCATGGATGGTCACCAAGTACCACACTCTTGGCCTTGACGACTCGACATTGCCTTTGGGGACGGTCTTGAGTAACATGACTCTCGTGAGCAGTACGGTGGCCATAGCAATGGGGATTGCGAGCGATCAACTTGTCCGGATATCTGGTTCGCGCGGGCTCCCTTTTAGAGCAGCTTCTTGGTGCAGTATTGCAGCATCTTTGGCAATCCTTTGTCTTTGGCGCAATTACCGATACATCAGGCCGACGCATGATGACCGGCTGGAGGGATTCGCGCGCGGGTCATGGCGAGCCATCACCAGAAAGAGGACCATGGCTCTTGGACTCGCCTCATGCTGCTTCGAAGGAGCCATGTACCTGTTTGTGTTCTTTTGGACCGCGGCTTTGAAGTGCGTTCGTCGGCAGGCCGACACAGAGGGCGAGCTTCCTCTAGGACTCATCTTTGCGAGCTTCATGTGCGCCATGATGATTGGGTCCACGGTCGCTTCAGGGCCGCTCATGACTTTTTCGGGACAGAGCGCAACCAGGGACTTGATAATTGCGATGCTGGTTGCATGCGGGAGTCTGTCGTGTGCAGTACTCCTCGACAGCGAGCGAATGCTTTTCGGGGTCTTTTGTATCCTGGAGGCATCCATCGGAGCGTATTTTCCTGTCATGGGTTACTTGAAGGGCGAGCATGTCGACGACAAGGACCGAAACCTCGTGTACAGCATCTTCCGACTGCCCCTAAATACCTTGGTACTGGTCGCCCACTGTCTCGACACGGAAGGTGAGTGGACACGGCACGAGCCGGTGGTCATGAGGAGACTGACGCAAAGCCTCACAGGAGATGAACACCGGGACAGGGTGTTTTTGACGCTCGCTGGAATGCTGTTGGCGGCTTCATTGGTCGTCAAACAGAGCCTGGCTTCTTAGCTGGCCTCCTGCTTGGCAAAAAATGACATGTAGGGCTGGCTGCATTGGTCTTGTGGGGTTGTGAAGATGGATGGCTCGCCGAAGGTGGCACCGGTACCGGACGGGCTCATTGGGATGAGGTATTCGAACATGGTTCCATACTAGGCACGGAAACAATAGCCAGTCGGACCTATTGTTGTCTCCCTGGCCCCTGGCCTGTGGTGCTCCAGAGGCTCAGCCGCCTCCCCAGCAGCGTCATTGCGGCCATGCGCCGATACGATTACCTCTGGGATTCGCAATGCCTCGTTGACCATTTGCCGACACAAGGCAAAGACGGGGTTCTCAGGCAGAGGAGAGATGCTTGCCAGGGCGACGACTTTTGACTTGTCCCCACCGACGAGGCTTGTATGTAGGGGAGGTGCGCGACTTTTACGGTATTCGGGGGGTCCGCCGGTGTCCTGTGGAGTTGATGCTACTTACCTGGGGTTCCTAGGTCATGCGTGAGGCAAGGACGTGATGTGGGAATGGACCTGTGAACGGCCCAGGCCGAAACGGCGCGGGAAACGATGTTGGACGTAGCGGCGGCAAAAGATACAGTAGCAGTCGACCGACCTGGTCCAAATGCTCAGACGCGGGCGGCAACGGCGAGAGATTGACTTGGCGTGCGAGCTTAGCGTGCGAGCCTGCCTCCAGGTAGGTACAGCTGTGCAGTGCGGGCAGCAGAAGGCGGGGGAAGCCTGCTCGGGTTGGTTGGCGAGTGCCCTAGCAGCATTACGCCAACGCCTGCAATAAGCCCCAATCCCCCCCAAACCCCCCCCCCCCCCCCAATCCAGACAACGCTTTTTGCCATCTCTCAGCGAGTGACCAGATCGCAGCCGGAAGGGCGCGAGCGTCAAACAGGATATATACAGGCACGGACGGAGCATGCCGCTCAGAGAGACGGTTACAGCGGCCCACGCCCTCCGCCAGAACTACAACAAGGAGCCACAGCCCAGCGCCAGCAGCCCCGACGGCACCGCGGTTCGAGACGGCAGCCCTTGATTGAACCGGCGCTTGCTGGGCATCGCATGAGCCCATCGATCGACAGGTCCCTCGACCTCGACCTCGACTTCGGCAGCATCAATTGCAGCAGCAGCGGTAACGCCGGCACGACGACGTCTTCTCAAGGCCAGCGCGCCGCGGGCGGCGTCTGGCGTCACGGTCTGGAGCGGCATGTCGACGGCAGCAGCCGCAAAAGACGGCGCCGTAGTACACCGCTGTAGCCTGCTCTCGGTGGTGATGCTGGCGGCAGTGACCTTGGTAAGCTGGCCTCGGCGTCCCCCTGGCGGCCGTTGACGAGCCCTCCACCCAATGGATTCTGCAACCCACCCACCCTTACCGCGCTAATGGAACCCCCTCGGCCATTCTCTGTCCTCCCCCCCGCAATGGCCCCATGATGCTTGGCACCGCTTGCATCACCACAGCTATTTAGACTACTGTGGCTGCTAACACCTCCGCCAGCTCGCGCACCTTCTGCTCCACGACGCCAAGCTGCTCCTCCTCCGGCTGCCGTCGCCCGTCTGCCTCTTCCACTCGCCATCTCCATTCTTCTTCGTCCCCCGCTTCTTCTCCTCGTCCGCCCAGGCTGAGCCCGAGCCAGTCTGCCTGAAACCGGCCCCGTTCACCACCGTGCCGCCCCTCTCCCGCCCTCTCACCATGGCCCTCGCCAGCGCGACAACGCGCGTCGTCTCCGAATTCGACTTCTCCGACGCAGACGCCAACAGACATGTCCAAGAATTCTTGCGACAAATGGGTGAGTCTGGCGCGCACCCTGCCATCGTCGCCTGCTCACACCTGTCGACCAGACGAGGGGCTGGAAAAGGATGGCACGAGCATCAGCCAGATCCCGACATACGTCACGGGCGTCCCCAATGGCACCGAAAAGGTGAGATGCGCCCATCCCCGGCGCCCAGCGACACCGCGGGAAGCTCACAGGCCGATCCCATGCATAAAAATATAGGGCTTGTATCTGGCAATCGATCTGGGCGGGACCAACTTTCGCGTCTGCTCCATCACGCTCAATGGCGACACTACCTTCAACCTCACTTACAACAAAGTCGCAATCCCCAAGCCCCTCATGGTGGCAAAGACGGCCCCGGAGCTCTTTGCCTTCTTGGCAAAGCAGATCGAGCTGTTCCTCAAAGAGCACCACGCCGAACACTTCGAGAGCCACGTGCGCCGACGCAACACCTCCAGCACCCCCATGGGCTATCGAGACGAGCACATTTTCCGCCTCGGCTTCACCTTTAGCTTTCCCGTCAAGCAGCTGGGCATCAACAAGGGCAAGCTCATAAGATGGACAAAGGGCTTCGACATCCCGGATGCGGTGGGCAAGGACGTGTGCGCCTTGCTTCAGGTCGAAATCGACAGGCTGCGCCTCCCCGTCAGGGTGGCTGCTCTCGTCAACGACACTGTAGGAACGCTTATGGCGCGTTCGTACACGTCGAAAGGAAAGCATCGTTCCATCCTCGGCGGCATCTTTGGGACAGGCACCAACGGCGCATACATGGAGAAGACGGCCAACATCCACAAGTCCATTGAGGGCCAGTACGACACGTCGACGGGGGAGATGGTCGTCAACACAGAATGGGGCTCCTTCGACAACCAGCTCAATGTGCTGCCCTCGACTCCTTGGGACAAGGCCCTGGATGCGCAGAGCGTGAATCCAGGCTATCAGATGTTCGAGAAGCGCGTGTCGGGCATGTTTCTCGGCGAGATTGTGCGCTTCGCGGTTCTGGACATGATGAAAAACGATGCCACGTCGCTCTTCAAAGACCTGAATTCCAGCTTCAACGATTGGGAGACCACGACCAACATCAGCCCTCAGTCTGGGATATTCGAGGCTTGGGGTCTGGACAGCGCCATCATGTCGGTCGCGGCCTCGGACAACAGCCCCGAGCTGTCCACCCTCCGGCAAGAGCTGGAAAATACGCTGCAAATCTACAATCCGTCGCTGGAGGATGCCCAGGCCTTCAAGGCGGTGGCCGGTTCCGTGGCTCGTCGCGCGGCGAGGCTGTCTGCTGTCGCCATTGGCGCTGTGGCTCTCAAGTCTGGCAAGATTGACGATCCCGAGGAAGAAATCATCGACATTGGCATCGACGGCAGCCTGGTCGAGCACTATCCCTTCTTCCGAGACATGATCTACGAGGCGCTGTCCGCGATCGATGGCATCGGCCCCGAGGGCGTCAAAAAGATTCGCATCGGAATTGCCAAGGACGGCAGCGGCGTGGGCGCAGCCTTGATTGCCCTCGTCGCCCAGCGGATGGAGAAGCCGGACGACTTCCTGGCCGATCTAAGAAAAGACATCAAGCGCAGCCTGGACGCGATACCAAATCCTAGTATGTCGAGGCCCATGCCCCCTTCTCACCAGCGTGGGACAAGGTTTAGGACACTGACCAGCTCCTAGTTGAGGAACCGATGGTACCGACGAATCTGTTGGCGGCGGCGGGCATTGTCGGACTCGCTGCGATTGCGGCCATCTGGTGGAGTAGGCAGCGGTAGAGCAAAGAGGCTCCGACCACAGCCTGTGTGCATGCCGTTTCCCCCCATGTTTGTACTAGATTCAATCGTACTTTGGTAATGATTATCACGGCCGAAGCGGTACTCGGCTGCTGCATTTGCCTCTTGTTGCGTCGCCGTGGGACGCATGGCGCACGAGATGCAATTTTACTCTGATGTCGGTGTCTAAAGATTGCGTGGGCAACCCAAGACAGGGTCTATACACGATAGGCTGTCTATGCAAAAAAGAAATCTGTCCTCTGCCCTCTTGGTACTGTCCGTCCTCTATTTTGGTACCCGTCTTGACTCTTGTTCACTATCCGTAAGCCCTCGGGCACCCCATTCCCGTCTTAGTTGCCAAACGCCGCAGCAGGGTATGACCGGTCTCTCTTCTTGCGCGCCGTTGAGCTGCTTCTTGAGCTGGCGCCAGATGTAGGCTCGCTGTCGATCCTGCGTGGCGGCGCGAGAAGACCCGGGGCCATGTCCGTCGGGAGATCGTTCCACTCGGTGTCGGGTCGTTGGTTCTGGAACGATTGCCCCATCGAGGAAGCCAGCGAAGGGGTGCTGGTGCCGCTCTTAGATGGCGGCGGACCTCCCGGGGACGTTGACGCAGATTCCAGGTTCATGACGGCTGCCGTGGTGCCTAATGCTGGGCGGGGTGGTGCTGGCGAGGCCGAGGGCGGCAAGGGCAGCGAGCCTCGCACCGAGGCGCCGACCAAGCGCTGGACCAGCCAGGCCGAATCCGGGCGCAGCTTCAGATAGTAGCCCGGGATGGGAAGCTCCTGGCGCTTGAAGCCCCGGCCATTGTACCAGTGCAGGCCCTCGTCGTTTTCCGTCCACACATGGGCGGTGACGGTCCTCACGTCGAGATTGGGGTCGGACACGGCAGTCGCAATGACGTTTTCGAGGGCTGCGCTGATCAAGCCCATACCGCGATAGGGCGAGAGTAGGCATAGGGACTGGATGTAGAGGTTGTGCGGCGCGGCGGGCGCGGAGTCGCCGGCAGGCTCGACGCGGCAGACGACGCCGCCGACAACCTTGGGCTCGTCGGCGTCGTGGGCCCAGGTGATGACGCGGGAGAAGCGGCCGGATTCGGAGGGGCAGACGGCGCGCTGGTAGAAGGAGTCGGGGTAGCTGACGGGCAGCAAGAGGGCGTTGATGCGACGCAGGGCGACGGCGTCGGCGTCGGACATGAGCCGGACGCAGGCTTCGCGGGGCAGGTTGGCGGGGGGGGGCGGAAGCGGCGCATCGACGCAGGGTTGCGGCGGAGCAGCGGCGGCGGCGGCGGGCGATTGGTGCTGCGGAGGAGGACCCGGGGCCGGAGCGGCAGGGGGCGAGGCGGACGGAGGAGGCGGAAGAGGAGGTCTGCTGCTGCTGGCGGGAGTGTCGCGAGACGAGGGTGGAGGAGGGGCGTATTTGGGGCTTTTTGCCTGGAAAAACGAGCGGATGGAGAGCTGGGCCGGAGGTGCTTTGCTGGAGGGTAAGGACATGGCGACAGCCGAGACAAGGGAGCGACAAAGGAGGATAGGGAAAGAAGGGTTGAGTTGAAGCGGGAGCGATGGAGAGGAGGAGGGAGAGGAAGAGAAAGAGGGCGTTGGAATGCTGGACAGGTGTTAGTGGTGGCCATGGACGGTCGCAGCGGGTGTTGGGTTCCCTGGAGTTGTCCTGTACCGAGCTAAAAATATAGTTAGTACCTGGTCGTTGGGCGAATCTGGCGCTTCTCAGCCAGTACCCAGCGGGCTGCACTACGGAGTACCCAGCAGGCAGCCGATGGAGGCTGCCGGTGGCACGCAATCGTGGGGCATTGGGGGACGAGGCTGGCTCTGGCAACGGTCAAGAGCATGGACCAGCCGTTCTCGGCTCTGTACAGCTACCTCGAGGCTGGCACGGGTATCGAGGGCCCTGGCCGAAGACATCTTGGGCCAAGGCGATGCAGGTCCCAGCATGACATTCTACTACGTACTCCGTAGGTATGTATGTACAGTATGTAGAATGGCATCTGTTAATTACCTCGGCTGCTTGTTCTTTCACATTGAGTTTGCCCATACAGAGCATCTTGGTTTGTAATTTTCCGAGCGCATTTGATTTGCTTCCCTATTGTCCCCCTCCCCCCCTTGGTGCCGCATTGGCAAGCCCATTCATTCACCTATTGTCCATATCGAAAAGCATTTCCAAAGATGGTCATGCATCCGTCCGATCCAATGTACAAGCAGGCAGCCTACCACATTGGGACCCTCGGTGGGCTCCGAGGCAGGTTGGCAGGCCCTGTGATGCCCGCTGCAGCAAAGGCCCCCTGTACCAAGATCGCTAGGCGCAGCTGCTGCATGAAGGGTGGTGACGTCTGGCCAGATCGCCTTGCTTTAAATCCAGGGGTCGGAGTCTTTTCTTCCTATTTCTTCCTATTCCTGCCGTGGCATTTGCTTTTTCCCCCGTCCATGTTTCCCTGGCTTCCGTGCAGAGGAAAAAAGGGGGCGACCCAAGAGGAAGGAGAAAATGCCCGGCCTTCGGGCTGCCTCGGAGCCTCCTAGACTCCCCTAGAGCGGCTAGCCTGCCTTCAGCCACTGCTCTTTGCAGCATCAGCCTCTCTCTCCACTCTCAAGTGACAGCACGACAATTGTTGCATCAGCGATAATTAGGCAGGCAGGCAAATGCTGGAAGTGCCGAGGAGGGACCAGAAAAAACCCTCCGTCGACTTATTTAGTTACCCTTGGTCATTTCAGCTGCAACAACTTGCCCTTGCGCCGAGTTGCCACCGCGACAAACCGCGACAAATCGACGGGGCCGATACCCAAGCACCTCGGTTTCCGCCTCTCCAGCACCTCCATCCAGCAACTCCTCCATCCAGCACCTCCATCCAGCACCTTCAGTCCCCTATCCACCGAGTTCACTGACGCAACACCCACCACCACCCTCCTTTATCCACCAGCCCATTGGCGCTGCCTTTCCCTGTCAGATTCCCCCGGCCAATACCTTAATTCCACCCTGTCACCTGGGCCAGGCCGGCATCACCTCACACGACTTTAGTTACACTCGACCAAAGCTTCGGCCTCTCACCCACCCAGCATTCCTGATCTGTCTTCCACCCGAGGGGAGGGCCGTCCTCTCTGGCAGGGCACGAAACCGCCATGAATTCTCCCACGGGGCGGGCCGGCCTCATCCGCGCTCGTGACGATGCCGGCAACGTCGACAAGCTGGTAAGTTGTCCCGAACCCTGTTGCCGTCGGCCTCGCTTGCGTTGCCCGCCGCCGTCGGGCGCTGGCCATTGTCGACCATGGGCTGACATGGGCTCGTTTTGATTTCACTGCCATTCAGGCCCACGCCGTGCTCGACGACGTGCTCTACAACGTCATTTCGGATCTCTTGATGAAGGCACACCGCGACGAGAAGACGGCAAGGGCCAACACGGCCGCCATCCGAGTCGAGAAGCTGGCCTCGGACGCCTCTGAGACGTCGACGCCCGACTCGAAACCCGACCTTCGCGTCGAAACCGACGCCGCCGTCTACGAGGACGGCAAGGTTCTCCTCAAGGGCAACCCCCTCCAGACCACAAACGACATCCTCTGTCCCAAATGCCACCTGCCACGACTGCTCCACCCGACCGATGGCAAGGGGGCTCGGAAACCCGATCCCGCCGTCGCCTACTGCAAGAAGCACCCTTACATAGAGAAGCCGGGATGCGACATTTACGGCCAGAGCTGGGTCGCGCCGGGCCCGGGGAGGGGCAAGAAGAAAAAGGACATGGAGAAGAAGGGCGACGGCACCGACTCGCCTGCTCCCGAGCAACGCCCCCCCAATGTGCTCTCGTTCCCCTCGGCCACCTGCAGCAAGTGCAAGCGCTGCATTCTCGTCACGCGACTGAACAACCACATGGGCTCGTGCATCGGCAACAGTGGCCGAAACGCAAGCCGCGCGGCGGCCCAAAAGCTCAACAATGGCGGTTCCCAGCACGACTCGACGCCTCCGTCGTCGCAAAAGGCCACGCCGGCGCCAGGTTCTCGAGCCTCGAGCCCTAGGAAACGAGACGCTAGCGACGACGAGGCAGACTCGGACAACAGTCACAGGAAGAAGAAGTTCAAGTCCAACTCTACGGCCATGACCAAAAAGGTCATCATCAAAGCCAAGCCGTCGCTCAAGAAGGAAAAGACAAAGGGCGCGTCCCACCTGAGCAAGGAACAGAAGATGGATGCCTCGGATGGGCCCAACCTCGGGCCCAACAAGTCGAAGCCGGCCAAGGACGGAAGTCCGCTGAAAAAGGTCAAGGCTGCCAAGCCCGTCACGAGCTCGCCAATGTCCAAGAACGGGCGAGAAGCGGATGGGGAGTCAGAGTCGTCGGGCACTCTATCGTCCCCGCCGGCCGGCCCCAAATAATCATCATTGCCATGCCTCGTCCGATGCCGTCGTGTACTAGTCGGACTCGATGAATTGGCGTGGGGTGGAGGGCCTGGCTTGGCTCCTCGGCTAGGGTTGCATTTTCTTCCCAGGCGTCAACGGGGGCTTTTTATTCCCTCTTTTTGTTTCTTGTTCTCCTTCATTTTCCTCTTCCTCTGGGAGATGGAAAGAGGCTGGCGTCTTTGACGAAGCAGATCTACGTGACCTATCCGCCTGTGTCCTAGGATTGGATACAGGAGAGAGAAGGGTGCAGTTACCATCGTCGAAGAGAACATGCGTGCTGACTTGCGTCGACGGTCCCCTTTGCACTTTACAGATTTGCGTGTATTATTTCCAAGTCACTCAGCGCATCGGATGAGCGGCGGAATTTGGCTATAAAAAGGCGAGAGGGGGGGCCATAGCATCCACGGACGGCAAACAGGAGCCACGGCGTTTTGGGTGTAGAGGATTCTGAGGCTTTGCACCATGGGGATGAATACATAGAGCATCCGACGATTGCCTCGAGAATTTGATGAATGAGTCGATGATGTAATGTGACCCATGGCAGTTCTATACACTGAAAGATGGCCTATGACCTGGGTTACAAAGTCTAGCAAAGCCAATATGCGTTCATGTCCAACAAGACGGTGGAAACGCCAACAACACCTCAACGCCGCGCGATGGAGCGCGCCCTCCCGCTCGCCTGGACCGCTACTCGCCGTCGTCGGCCTCGGGCACACGCGCGCGCACAATCTTGACGTCCTCGACGGGGCGGTCCTCGGGCCCCGTGGGCACGAGTCCCATCCTCTTGACGGTGCCGAGCCCCTTCTTGACCCTGCCAAAGATGGTGTGCTTGCCGTCGAGCCAGGGGGTCGGGGCGAGGGTGAGGAAGAACTGGGAGCCGTTTGTGTTGGGCCCCGCGTTGGCCATGCTGAGGACACCGGCGCCGGTGTGCTTGAGGTCCGGGTCGATTTCGTCGTCGAACTTGTCGCCGTAGATGGAGGCGCCGCCGCGGCCGGTGCCCGTGGGGTCGCCGCCCTGGGCCATGAAGTTGGGGATGATGCGGTGGAAGACGGTGGCGTCGTAGTAGCCGCGGCGGACGAGGGTGGTGAAGTTGGTGCACGTCTTGGGGGCGTGCGAGGTGTAGAGCTCGAGGGTGATGGTGCCCTGGAGGGGGGGCGGATGCAAAGGTTAGCAGCTTGGACGGACAGCAGAGAGGAGGGTGTCGGCGTGCCATGGTGGTCTCCAAGATGACCTCGGTCGCCATTCTTGGCAGTAATTGCCCTCTGGAGGGAAGTCTATCGATTGGGCCTATCCGTCACCGTCTCTACAAGACATAAGGTGCGTACGCAGGGACAGAGCACAGTGGGACCATTTTCGCGGGTCGGCATGGACGAGGCTGAGAGGTTTGGCGACGAGAAATTGCCCAGCCCTGTCCGGCCACGCCCCGCAGCCCCTCTGTGGCCACTGGCGCCATTGGCCCTGTTGTTCCAGGGGATGGCGAGTGGATCTCCCCGCTAAATGTGTGAGAAAGGACCCCTGCGGCGAGCTGCGGAATAGCGCCGGGCTTGGTGGGGTAGTAGGTACTTGACAGCCTGTCCAACGTTAAGCGACTTCATAGCATCTTCGTTTCTGTTGTTCATTCTGATCGAAGAAAAGACTCGTTGCTTTATTATCTTGACCTTGGCTCTCTTCGAAAGTCCGCCTAGTCCAGCTCATACTCGAATCTCGCCCGGGTCAGGCAATGATGCTCCATCGAGGCCCTTGACAACTGCCCATTTCCTGCGGTTTCCGCGATCACCACCACAGGTCCGGGCCATCACCACAACACGTTACAGCACCATGTCTGCCGAGCCGACACCCCTGAGCCCCGGCGGCGGCGTCCTCGACGGCGTCAACGCCACCTTCAACGGCACCGCGTCTGCGCCCGGCTTGGCCTCCATCCAGGACCTCGGCTTCATGCTGCTCGAGCTGAAGCTGCTAGCCGGCGCCCTCGGCATCATCTACCTCGGATCCCACGCCGCCCTGCGTCGCCCGCCCTCGGCCTCGCCCGCCAAGGGCAAAAAGGCCGGGCGGAAAGGGGACGGTGACGACGACGACGACGACGACGACGACGACGAGCGCTTCTCGCAGGGCCTGGAGCCGACTGACGCCATCATGTTCCCCCTCCTCGCCGCGGCCATGCTCGTGGGCCTGTACTACCTGATCCAGTGGCTCAAGGACCCGTCCATGCTCAACAAGATCCTGCGCTGGTACATGTCCACCATGGCTATTGCGAGCCTGCTGACCCTGTATGCGCATGCCATGGAGCTGGGCACTTCGCTCGTCTTTCCGCGGTACTGGCGCGCCCGCGACGGGTCGCTGCGCAGAGCCGATCAAGGGGCAAGGGCCGTGGCCGTCTGCGACCATGTCGGCAACGTCGTCGGCCAACCCAACCCAGAGGCGAGTCCATTTCCTGGACCGCTGACCCTGCTGGCCCGCTCAGGTCGGGCAAGAAAGGCGGCGTGGGAAGTACGCGGCCTGTTGACCCGGCACTGGGTCATCAGGTTCTTCATGCACGGCGTGGGCGACGAAAAGGCCAAGATTAGGTTTGCTCACATGATGGCTTTGCTCTTGTCCCTTGCGACGGCTCTCGTCTACTCCTCGACCATGTCCCCCTTTCTGTCCAACATGCTGGGATATGGCATGTGCTATGGATCCTTTCTCATTCTCTCGCCCACCGACTTCTTGACATCATCTCTTGTGCTTGTCGCACTCTTTTTCTACGACATCGTCATGGTGTTTTATACGTGAGTTGTCCGCCTTGCGTGCGGCTGTGTACGCTCATAAAGGCATGGGCATGGCTAACCACAGTCGCCAGGCCGTACATGATTACTGTCGCCACCAAGCTTGAAGTCCCCATCAAGCTCACCTTTGAGGCAGCTTCGAGAAAGAGCATGCTGGGCCTGGGGGACATTGTCATTCCAGGCATGGTCATTGCATGGGCTCTCCGGCTTGACCTCTGGATCCATTACATGCGAAGGGTCAAGTACGAGTCGACCGAGCTGACGATTATGGAAAGGGATGCCGCCTCTGGCCAGGTGGTGTCCCGAAGCGAGACCAAGCACAAGGAGGTCAAGGCTCGCTACGTCAACGTCAAGGGCAAGTGGGGAGATGCGTTGTGGGCCCGTGGTGCTCTGTTCCTCTCGCAGCCGCCGCAGCTCCCCGCCGAGCTGGGGGCAGCCTGGTTCCGAAAGCCGTACTTTTACGCAGCCATGACGGGATACGCATTGGGCATGGTGTGTACGCTGGCGATGCTACTCATCTTCAAGCAAGGCCAGCCGGCGTTGCTGTACCTGGTCCCGGGCGTGCTTGGCTCGCTGGTGGTCACGGCGCTGGCACGGGGCGAGATGAAGGACGTCTGGAGATACACCGAGGACGGCAGCCTGGACACCATGGATGTCGTGGTGGACCTCGATGGCGAGGGAAAGGCCATCAAGACGGTGGGTAAGCTCGAAAACGGAGTCGTCGACACGACAAAGGACAAGAAGGGAGATGGCAAGGAGTGTCCCGACAAGGCGGACGACAAGGTCAAGGATGATGAGTCCGCCTCGAAATCGAGAAAGGGAGGTGGCGCAGGAAAGAAAGGCCATCAGGTCTTTTTGTTGTCGCTCGAGGCGCCTGCCGACGAAGAGGACGACGACGCCTAGAGCGGCTGCTTACGGCGCTCTCTTGGGAATCGAAGCCATGTACCAGATTAATGTTGCAATCGTGAGTTTGGTGCGCTTGCTGTGTGAAATACGTCAGAGAGAGCTACCCACGGTCCACGTCCCGCCTACCTTGTCGTCCCTTGCTGAACTCTTAAACCATGCTGGCGCAGGTGGAGTCGCTCTCTTTTCCAAACCAGGCACCAGTCTTGGCCGCGTGAGGGCTCATAAGCATTAACCTTTTGTCGTCGTAAAGTCTGGGGGAGAAGAGTCACTGGTCCGCCGCCGGATGCTCAAGGTTCGTGCCTGGCGACGGAAGGGCAAAGTCAGAGCGCCACCGACGATGCCAGAGAGGCAGTCCGCGGCAAGAGGGGAAGGAGGGGAAGCATATAAGGGCCCATGGGGGAAACTGTTGCTTTTCTGGCGCTGGAGTTTAGGTTGCGCCATGATGGGCAAGCGTGTAGACAGGCGTGTAGGCCGACGTGAAGGCAGTCGTGCAGACTTGGAACAGCCCGCCCTTTATCTTGCCTGGCCAATGAGGAAAATCGCCGCCGGTGCGGTTAGAGTTGCCTTTCCACCTCAGTGTGGTTGATGGGCCGCTTTCCAGTCTCCCACGAACTCTTTTCCTAAGCACGACGCCTCTTACTGATTCACGGCCGGGAACCTTTGCTATTGTCAGTCATTTATACGCGCCTACCCCCCAGGTCTTGGGTGGCTTTGTGTTCCTCCTTTGTTCATCAATCATCAATCCAACTTCTACCGTCTTTGTCTGGCATCACTACACACTTGCACAGCCGCACCAACACGACGAACAAAATTACAGAAAGCACAATGCTGGTACAAATACCTCACTCCGCCGCGTCCCCGACGCTGTCCCCCTCAAGGCCCAAGAGAGCCAGGGAGGAGTCGGAGCAGGGGGCTCCTGGGCCGAGCTCGCCGCGTCCAATCAAGCGAGCCCGCAGCGAGGAGGCGCAAGAGGGCGATGCCGCCCCCGGTGATGCCTGGGCTCCCGCCGAGATCGAGGTAGACATGGATTACGACCCGTCGTCCCCGGGGATCAAAGTCGAGCTTGAGGACGAGCCGATGTACGACGTGGAGCAGGGGCCAGAAGAGGCCGACCAGGCCATGCCCGATGTGGCGCCCCACGAGCCGGCGCCCCAGACCTGCGATGACTGGGCGGTCGGCTGGGTTAGCCCCGAAATGGACCTCCCTATGCTCGAGCTTGGCCCAGAGCCGTGGGTGATATCCCTGTATGAGCAGATGATGGGCAAGGAGCAATCCATCTGCGAGCTGGAGTATCCGCAGCCGCTGATGATGGATCCGATCCACGAGATGGGGGCCTGGAACCTGCGGCCCGACGACGAGCTTTCCGACGAGATAAGGAGAGCCTGGCCATGATGTCGCGCGTTGGGGGGAGGTGAGGAGGGGGGGTTGAGTGTCGTTCATATTCTGTTTCGACTTGTTTATTATTCTTATAATTTGGATACACGGCGTCTGTACATTGGAACTGGCATGTTTATGAGGCAGGCAATAAGATACCCGGGGAGTTTTGGAATGATACCGAGCGTCTTGAGCCCGCTTCCTTCTTGATGCTGGTGACAACACTTGCGCTGACTTTCGGTATTCTACCGGTGAGGGCGAAAGTAGATGATGGCTCGGGCGGACCTCTGAGGTCGTATCGGCTCGCAAAGACGAGATTGGGGAGAAAATGTGAGAATGGCTCGTCGTTGTAGGGACGAGGTTGCCACGTGCGGCTCGTCGCGGGAGACTCGGGACATTTCCGCTTCAACCAAGGGCCCCCGTCCAATCACAGACGGGCCTCATCACCCACCACCCATTCTCACTCTCACTCGCTCACTCACTCACACACTCATCCTCGCGCTCACCACCTCGCGCTCTCACCTACACATGAGGGTCCCAGCCTCACCGAGGCGAAACTGATTCCTTCGCTTCTCCGCCGCCCGACCACGACGCCGGCAATGAGCGGCCAGGCTGCGCCGGCGACGGGCCGCATGACGGTGCTCAAGTGGGTGCTCGACACGCGGCCGCTGTGGCCCGAGGCCAAGCAGACCAAGGACCTGACGACGACGACGGTGCGTCCCGGGCTTCATCCGCCGCCGCTCTTCTCTTCCCTTCATTCACTCGAGCTTGCTGACCCTGGTGGTCCCCGCCGCGCAGGCCGCCCGCGCCCTCGCCCTGCTCAACGCCCAGGAGCGCGACCAGGTGCTGCGCTTCTACTTCGTCAAGGACGCCAAGCTGGCCCTCGGCTCCGCGCTGCTCAAGCGCCTGGCCATCAGCCGCCACGCCGGCGTGGCCTGGGACGACGCCGGCGGCTGGACGCGCGACGCCCGCACCAAGCCCGTCTTCCGCCGCCCGCGCGACGGCGCCGAGCCGCTGCTCTTCAACGTCTCGCACCAGGCGGGCCTCGTCGTCCTCGTCGGCATCCACCACCGCCCCGCCGACCATGAGGGCCACGTCGCCATCGGCGTCGACGTCGTCTGTCCCGCCGAGCGCCGCGAGCGCGACCTGTCCACCATTGCCGCCGAGGGCTGGGCGCGCTACGTCGCCGTCCACGACGACGTCTTCTGCCCCGCCGAGGCCGCGCGCCTCGTGGCCTTGCCGCGGCTCCTCGCCGCCGCCGCCGACGACGACCGCCTCCTGGCTTACTTTTACACCCTGTGGTGCCTGCGCGAGGCCTACATCAAGATGACGGGCGACGCCCTCCTCGCCCCCTGGCTGCGCGAGCTCGACCTGCGCTACTTTGCCCCGCCGGGCCAGTCGCCGCCCGAGGACCGCGCCCTCGAGATTTGGTTCCGCGGCCAGCGCGTCGACGACGTGCACATGCGTCTCGAGGCGCTGCTCGATGGCTACGTGATATGCACCGCCGTTCGCTGCGGTCAAGACCATCGCACCGACGTCGAGGCCCAGGTTGCTCAGCCCGCTGCTCACCTGAATTTGGATGAGATTCTGGCCGAGGCTGAGGCGGCCAGGGCCCCTCGTGTTGGCGAGGGGGGTGCCGGGCCGCCTGGGCGGCGATAGACTCGGGAGCGGCAGAGTAGATTTATTAACGAGCCATTGGTGCAGAGCGACTGTCGGCGGCCCTGATGTGCCACTATCCCGCACCGCAATGAGATGACAGGCACTGGAGCTGTTTTCTGTATTTGTTCTTGCTCTTTTAATGATTTTATACTTTCCCCAGACGGCCGGCATGCCTAGATCAAACTGGTTACGTTTACACAGTGCAACCACAAATCACATCATGTTTCTTTTGAAGGGGGCTGCTGTTTTCCCCTACGCATTTTCCTGGCTCTTCCTGGTCTCAAAAGTGCCTTGAGAAAAATTCCAAGAGAGTCTTGTAGCCGCGCTCATACTCGTGCTTGACGCGATCGTCGCTCAAGTCGGCGCGGGCAGCCATCCACCCATGGATCTGGTCGGGGAAGATTTCGACGTATTTGGGCACCTTGAGGGCATCCTCAAACTTCTTGACATCCTCCTTGGACTCCTCCTTGGAAGCTAGCAGGATCATGGGGACCTTGATGCCGTCGGCGTCGGCGGGGTCGACCATGGCCGGGTGCACCGAGGCGGCGACGGAGAAGGGGTTGCTGTCGGCCTTGACCGAGAGGGCGACGACCTTGCCGCCCCAGCACATCTATGTTGGTGGAAGTGGCGTCAGCGGACTCTGGGACGTGTGTCTGGATGGAGAGGGACGGGGACGGGGAGAACGTACGCCAAGTATGCCCAGCTTGGAGATGGAAGAGTTCTTGGCCCTGACGGCCTTGACGTAGTCAGGGATGTAGCCGGCAATCTTGGGAGGCGGAAATGTGCCAAAGAATTCGCCGAGCTTTTTCTGCTTGTCCTCGTTGTCCGGGGGGTACCTGTGGTGGGTGATCAGCCAAGGGCATGGGACCGATCGGGCCGAGACTCACCACTCGATGGGGCAGGGCTTGCCCTTGAACCAGTCGGGGATCAAGACCCTGTACTTTTGCTTGTCGTCGCCGTAGGCCAAGATGTCTGCGCCCTGGAGCGTCTGCTCAAAGTAGCCGAAGATGTCGAAGATGAGGACAATGGCCTTGCTGGCGTCGGCGGGACCCGTGACATCTGAAGCTGGTCAACGGTGCTTTGATGAGCCGCGCTCTTCATCAGAGGGCCGTACACGTCTTGTAGCCGCCAATTTCCTCGTAGCTGCCCTTGGCCTTGTATCCCTTGGAGATGACGGGCGGGATGTTGCAGCAGGCCTGGCTGTGGCCATGGGAGGCCGGCATGGTCGACATGGGGGGCAGTGAGGCGCGTAAGGATCGGACGCGGCGATGGCGCAGGCTGATTGTGTAGAGAGTGGCGGAACTGCGGCTGTACAGCACTGGTCGTAGGAGAGGAGAGGTGATTCGGAAACGCGGTGCAATCATGAGCCGCGAGATTGGAGGGGTTGATGCCTCATGGCCGAGGGTGGGGAGAGCTTTCGAGCTGTCGCCCCGCCCCCACTGTGGAATTTAGGTGGTGACGTAGTCTTGTCGCAGTCACTGGCAACTCACAGCAGCTGCTGACTCATCAAGACAGGCTGCGCCGTCGGTGATTGCACAAGAATCACGTCAACCATCCACGATGCTGCACATGGCAGGCAATAATCAGCATGTACTCCAAGGCACTCAATAGCCCTATGCCGGGCCTCTCGGGTATTGTTGGGGTCTTGGGAGCACTCGGAACGATGCTGGGTGTGTTCTGTTCTCTCGAGAGAATATTGCTTCGTGTTGCAACCAAATTGAGTATACATCTGATTTCCGGGACTTCTCATCTTCAAAGAACAACAAATAATCACATCTTTCACATACATAGCCGTCTTTAGCTCCTTCTTCCTCTGCTTGTCCTAGCCGGAGCTGGTGTCCTCTTCACCGGTTTCTTCGTTACTGCAGAGGGCTTGCCCCGCCCGCTCTCCTTTTTCGGACGCCCTCGTCCTCGTTTGGGCCGAGCCCCCGTCTCTGTCTCCGGCGGGGGACGCGCGGGGACCGGCTTTGTCTTCGTGCGTCGAGTCTCTCGCGCGGCAGGCTGTGGGGCAGTCGGTGCCGCGGCCTTTGGTATTGCCCTGACCCTGGATTTTTTGTTTGGCGCTGCTTCCGAGGGCAGTGGCTCGGTAGGCCGTTTCATGGCTGCGACTCTGGCACTGCGTCGGGGCGGTGGTGGCGGTTGTTCATGGTCCCGAGCCCTGACCACCCCATCTCGTCGCTGGCGCTGGCGCTGGCTTTGGCGCCGTGATTTCAGTGGAGGACTGGCGACGTCTTGTTCCGGCTCTGGTGAGCTTTCTTGGAGCCCCTGGAGCGGCGCCTCGTCGTTCTCTTCCGGCAGTGACTCCCTCGGCGGGAAGAGGACAATCCTGGGAGCGGATGGGTCTGAAGGCGCAAAGTGCTTTGGACTAGGAGGCCGACCCCCAGTAGGGTCCAGCATCTGTCCAGGGAAGAAGGGCGGCCAGTCGCCGCGCCATACGGCCCAGAACTTTTCCGGCTGTTCGGGGCTTGGAAGCTCAATGGCCTCCAGAGCATCAGTCTCGGAGGGGGTAAAGTCCATAGTCTCGAGGGGGTTAAAGTCCCTCAACTTGAGAGGGCTGTCTTTCAGATGGTCGCTGGGTGTGAAATGTGTGAGGTCCTCGGGCTCTGGGGAGGGAGACTCGTGCCGCCACTTCCACGAAGTAACCCAAAGCCCATCGTTAAACTCGTCCCTCCAGTCCCCCCGCTCCCTCCACCATCCCACGACTTGCTTCCGGACAATGCGTGGGTAACGCCGTTCTTGCATCATGGAGAGGCGATCATACCGCGCATGTTCCTCGCCCAGTTCAATCTGAAATGTAAACCAAGGCCTGGAGATGAGGAATGACTCGGCTTGCGAGGCAGTGGCATCAGGCTCCAAACAAGACCGCGGGGGCACGGGGACACTCTCGCCACGACGCAGATTCTGGCGCAGGCGCAGAGCGCGTGCAACGAGCTGCCTCCCATTCGCCGAGCTGCCGTCAGGGTCGTCTTCCTGCCACCTCCACTTCCACGTGCCGACAGAGTCGTTGGGCTGCACGTTGCGTCCAGGAAACCCCCACCGGGGGTTCCAGACGCCGAGTCTCTCCCAGCGACGCTTGACATTGCGACGAGCCAAGACGCCTATTCGGCGATTGCCGTCCTTTCCTGTCAACATGGGATTCAAGTGGTCGTAACATTCCAGGCGAGCGCCCTCGAACTTGCACTCTGTGTAGTAGAACTTGGCGGGCCGGAGGATTTCTTGCAAGTTGAAAGCAATACTCTGCAGTTCGTCGTCGGTGATGGGAGGGTCCATGATGTCTTTCACGTCTTGTGGCAGCGGGCCGCCTGGCGGGGGCATGGGGAAAGCATCGTCAAGCTCTTCCGTGTCAGTCGACGATACGTACGCCGGAGGGTCATCGCGCTCGAAGCGTCTAAGCGAGCGGTCGCGCGCATGGTCATTTGCAGCAAGTGCCTCGATGGCGGGGTTGGCCTGGTTTCGCAGAGCCTCGTAGAACTGGAGTTGGTCGATAAAAGGAGGCATGGTTAGGACAACGATGTTGTAGTAGCAGGCGTATCGACGCTTGGGGAGTGCCTTGGTTAAGGAAGAAGGGAATGACTGATTGTGTCGCGCGGCGAGGGACGAAGCCCAGATGTGCTTACAAAACAGTTTCGGGGCTCATTTCGCATTCTCGTCTTGGCCTCTGCGCGACCTCGGCTGCAACGTTGTGAGGCATTCCCGCATGGTCGCTGCAGCGTGGCCCTGGCGCCTGGCGAGGCTGGCCAATCAACCCTCCAGGCACTCGGCTGCCATGATGGTTGATTGGCTGGCAGCACGAAAACGAACGCGCCGTCGAAACGCCCGCCTGCCAGCCGCGGCGCGTCGCTGACTCAGGCCCAACTTGCAACTTGCACGACCATACACGCTTTCCTCCGCCTCGTCTGGTTCTCGTATAAGGAGGCATGATGGATCTTGTCAACATCTTGCTGGCAAAGCCAGGAGCTGCGTCCTTGTCCTCTTCTCGACACGGACCCCCAAGTGCCCATCCTGGTCCTCGTCTCGGCACGGACCCCAACCTCTTCTCGACATGACCTCAAGCGCCCATCCAGAAACGCGTTTCGTCGGTTGAGTTTCGGATTCTTGAAGAAAAGCATACAACTGGAGAGCCCGTCACCGGAGAAGCCGCCGCTGGAGAAGCCATTGTCGGAGACGGTGTTATCCTCTACGGACAAAACTACGAAATCGACATTGCCTCTTACAAGTTCAAATTGATCTGGCGTAAATTCTCTGATGTTCCAGCAACCAACATCGAGTCTCTCAAAGCCCTCACAAACCAAGGCTACCAGAAATCTCTCCAACTAGTTCAGCATATAAGATCACGCGACCGGCCAACTGAGTACGACGTTTCCGAGGCGCAGTCGTGGCATATTACCAGACTAATCGCGTCAAAACGCCCTCTTTTCCAGGACATTGACCATCTCCGTGTGCTAAGAGCCGAGGGAGCCTTTGGCAAAGTGTATAAAGCGGTTGATCAGATCTCTGGCCAGAAATTTGCCATTAAAGTGGTTAAGCTCAAGGCCTCTCCGAGCGGCGACATTGAGACAGCGCGAGCTCTCCTCCACAGAGAAATCAAGATCATGGAGAGGGTAAAGCACGTCATTCATGTCTTTCCCTGCCTAGCGACGTATTCTCTTCGACTAATATTTACATATTTATATCTAGGTACACATTATTGAATATCTAGGCCACCAACACTTCCATACTCTTAAGCCCGAGATCTTCATGCCCCTACGCGATGGGTCCCTAACTTCGCTCGCCAAATCGTTAAGCCTATCCACGGAATCTGAGAGTCTCAGCCTAGTTGTCCTAGAACAAATGCTCGCTGCCCTTGACTACTTGGCCAATGAGAACTTAATCCACCGGGATGTAAAGCCTGATAACATTCTCTACTCTAAACTAAGCGAGGGTGGTTATCATTTCCAGCTGGCTGACTTTGGACTCACCCATCACCATTCGCTAGCCAAATCACCCTGTGGCACCGGCTACTTCCAAGCCCCTGAGCTCTGGCCTCGGGTTTCAAAGGTCAACGCCGGTCAAAGCACCAAACTAGACGTATGGTCTCTCTTTGCAAGCATCGTTGCCGTTCACTCGATGTTCGAAGAGTTCCCACCAAAATCAGACACTTCCGACTATCACGTTGTTTTGTGCAAACTCAGAGCTAAAGCTGAAGTCTCGCCAATGCTCGAGCCCATGGCGAGGCTACATCCAGACCGTCGGGCGTCAGCTGCACAGATGATTGTCCGCCTCTTTGGTGGCAAAGGTTTGACAACACCCATGTCAAAAATCCCTCCCATCGAGCCCGATGTCGAATCTCGGCCAAGCTCGTCAACAGCCGCAGGGCCGAGCAGCCGTCTACAAACGAGACGTGCCCGTCCGTTGATCGTGTATCCGCCACGCAAGCGTGCTTGGCGCGACAATCCTTTTGCCCGCGTGCCGCCAGCCCTTCCGAAGCGCGCCGGTAACCCCAAGCTATCTACTTCACCACCGCTTCAGCCAATTTGCACTCACAGAAACGGCGTCGTCAGGCGCCGGGCTGAACGTCCTGCTACCCGAGCAAATGCTCCTTCCAGATCACCGCCAGATTCGGAGCCGCCTGTTCCCGAGGCACCGTCGGAACCTGTTCTTCTGATTCCTGGCGCATTTGTTGATTGAACCGCGCAGAGATGAGTTGGTGGAGACGGCGCGGAGGGGACATGACCTCGAGGCATGGAGGGGGCATGATACCCAACCTCAAGATCAAGCAGGTCGTCGTTGAAGCTTGACACGAGGCATCTATTGTCTGTCGGTGAAGACGGGTATCGCGAGCGAGTTAGTTGGTTTTACGAGGTATTTCTTTGGCCGCCCAGTCTCAAGGCCAGGGCCTATGTGGGACCCTAATGCCCAGGCCGCCAAGGCTGTCTCGATTTCTTGAGTTTCTACAGTACGGTATGCGAGTATGTAAACAGCACTGCTCTTCTCTATTGTCAAACTTCCAATGTGCGCGGACGAGATAAGGCCGAAGACGTCGTGATATCGACCTCCGAGCAACATGTCGCCGCTAGCGAGACGTGGCTATGGGAAATGAGGTAGGAAAGCACGGGACGGCTCGGTTGCCCGTTGGCGGAGCACGTCAAGGTGCATGGCTGCCTGGCGAGACGTGCGGCGACCGTTTGGAAACACTCTGGCCGAAACAATTAATGAGATGGAGGGTGAGTAGGAGTTGTACGTGAACCAACAGTCAATCAGTCCACTGACTGTCACAAAGAATGCATTTTCAACCCACGGGACACTCAATGCTCCGTTCTATAGCACCATGGGCGCTCAAACCAACGACGATTTTCAGAAAGAGGTGACACGCCTTCGAACAGACTACGCACAACGCCAGGGCAGCACGAATCTCTTCCCTCCAACGGGAAAACCCCTCATCGACACCGAGCTCTCGCACGGAGGAAAGCCCTCGGTGACGTTCTGGTTTGAGGACGGCACCGAACAGCGGCAGTGCGTGCGTCTCTTTGACATCCCAGGTACACTCTCTGGCAATATTCTCCGCATTCGCCGCGGCCTACCTTCTATTTCCGGGCACTACGAAATCCACGGCGAAGTGCTGGGATCAATCATCAGATGGATCAGGGATGGCCCTGGTACTGATAGCGTAGACGGCACTGCCGACTTTCAGCTACAGCACGTGCAGGGACTGTTCGTCTTGTTGGTACAAGTTCAAACAGAGATGCGGCTTATCAATGGAGGGAAGTGCACAGGGACTATGTGAGAGCGGCACAAAGGATCGGCAGGATCGATGTTCCTTGTTGAGAGCTTAAGCCCCGGCATGACTGGACGGAAAGACTGGTCACTGGTTGCCCCTTCGCTTTGTCTGGGTGTAACGGGGATGGTGCTCAGCCTCAACCAAGCAACAAATCTGAAGCCTTTGCATCCCGGTGCACTGCTCTTGTCCAGTGCGGTCGAGGGGGTTGGTGATTGTGCCGACGCCATGGCGACAGAGCAACGACGCCACCTGGAGTATTGTGAGGGACGTTTTGGTCGGAAGGAGCAGGTCATCCTTCTTAAAGACCGAAATGCCATGTTTCATCGACTTATTCCTGTAGCAAGCCTGTAGTCACCAGCCTCCAGACGGCGGCGGCTCAAGCCGGTTTGCCAGCTGGATCTCTTCTGGGTACCCATTGGACTATTGGCTGTCCCACTCCTGTCGTTGGATGCACGCAAATCTTGTCATACATGGGGCAAATCTGCCTGGCCGAATAAGACCTATCCGAGTTGATACCACGAATACAAAGTACGAAAGATGAAACAGCCTTGTGCATGTCAGACGCACAGGGCCCGGCGCGCGCGTCTCAGCCTTTAACCGGCGCGCTTCCTCGTCCCGGCCCCGCTTCGGCCCCACTCCCGGCCGCCGGCCGCCAGCCGCATGACAACCACCAATCCAGAGCGGTCTTTCCGGGCGACTGCGCGCCGCTCTGCTGGATCCCACCATGCCAGCCTCCTCTGACCACCCCCTCCCGAAGCGCGCTAGACGTTTTCCCGCCCGAGGAGGCGGGCTGGCATAGCTCCTGCTCTACACCGAAGGCCCTCGGCTCCGCAACGCTCTAGGACCTTCGAGGCTGGTCAGAAAACTGCGGCGACTGTCGTAATCATCGGTAACCCATAGTTAGCGCTCTCTCCGCAACCCAGGGGGGCGACCGGGTACTCCCAATCAAGATGCGGAAGCTCACTTGTATGCATGAAAATGATCCCGTGCCAAGGTTGAATCGGGCGAGGAGAGCGAGCTGAACTGCTTGGCGGCCAAGGCCTGATATTGGCTCTGCTACTGCAGTTGACCTCGTCCTTACCTTGGAATATTTGGCACTTATAATAGGTCCGGGGCGATTGGGGCAGGCAGGGGCTCTGCGAATACATGCACGAGGTGCATTCCCGCGGAGGAACGCATGACTCCTCTCATTCAATCTACTCGCTTCCATCTGTACAAGCTGTGATAAGGATGGCTGGAACGAGATCCGGATTGGCTCGCGGTTTATGGAGAGATGCGCAATGCGCAGGCTTGGCACCACCTTCTCCACGCTTATGTCCCCGCCTTGCCGGCTGCGTACTAAACAAGTTTCATGAAACACGACAAAGTAGTCATTGAATTCAACGTACAGTAAGCATCTATTTTGCTCCTGATCTACTATACGTCACTCCAGGGCCATCTCGCAGAGCAGTTGATAGCAGCGAGTAAAGGCTGTCACCACCGCGACGCCGGATCTTAAACCAGAGGCTAAACACATGACAGTGACACGTTTGTTTGCCAGTTGAATTCAGCTGGGACTGCAACTCGATTGCACAGACTTGTCTTTCCTGCGCACCTGGCTTACACCCAGCTCGTTACGTCTTTGACTTGACATGGTCTGAGCCCTACACATCTAGCATCTATGGTTTACCCGTGATGACTGCGGGGTCGACTCAAAGTGTCGCCTCATGCAGGCTGATCGGACTTCTGAGAAAGTTGAAGTCGATCTGACGTTGCAGAACTTTTGACGGCGTAACCCATCGCTCTCAGTCGCTCACGAAAATGTCCACCACTGCCCTGGTCTGGCGATGGAAACCTGGGGATGGCTGACGTGTCGTGTGTCTATTGGTTCTCGCCGAATTAGGTGAAAATGATATTCATAAGTCGCACCCATACAGAATTTCTGCGAAGGTGTCGAGTGGGTCGATATAAAGTTCTAACGCTAAAGTGGCCTAGACTCGGTAACCAGCTGAAGCAGACAGGGGGCAGAGGGTTGGGCAGCTTGGCTTCGGAAGCAGGGGGTTGAAGGCTTTTTGGCGGGCGGGCGAGGATCCGAAATATACGACCGTTGTACGAGACCGTATTTTTGAACTGCATGTCTTGGGCATTCCGGTTATAGAGAGTACAACATTCGAGGCAGAGTTCTGAGTTATATTTCTCAGGCGCGCGACGACCCCAAATCTCCTGGGAATGGTGTAAACACCATAACCCTCGTTCTTTGCTCGAGTTAAACTTTACAGGTACGCCGAAAGGTAGGCGTCACATCGTCTCGGGCCCTCGGGCCCTCGGCCTTCTTCACCTCGCTCCGGCAAAGGCGGTCCGACTGTCACCCTAGATCCCTTCGCCAACCTGCATTGGTTTCGCCGACTTTTGCTGGGGAGAGCACCCCTAGCTCCTTTAGGAGAAAACCCAGACGGACCGGAAGAGAATTCGGCCGTCTTATTGTAGAGTCCTGTCTATCGAGGGTGTCGACTCGCCTACCGTGAGTGGACTTGAAGTATAAAGAATTCCTTTGCCCCCGGGACATCAACTCTGGATAACCAAGCCCAACACTTGAGAGATCACCTGGAAATCCAAATCAAGCTTCTACTTAGTCAACAATATGCACCCAATCCACTTCGCCTATTCCTTGTTCGCCGTCCTGGCGGTGGCGGCGCCAAATGCTGAGGCTGAAACTGCTTCCGACAAGCTGGGCACTCAGGCATGCCTTCCTGCATCTTGTGTCGCCTCGGGGGTATGTGCGCCCAAATGGAGAGCGGTATAACTGCAGCCTTGAGGATTAACTGACTTGGATCTGGATCAAAAGTGTTGCTCGGGTAATTGCCCGTATTGGTGTGTAAGTATCAGCTTGCCCTGACGGACCAAATCCGTAACATGTCGTGTCAGCTGATGGTGGTGTCTTGTCTAGCGACAATGCCGCATCGATTTCAGGTGTTAAGTCTTGGCTTCACCAAGGCGGGATGGGTGGCTCTCTTTCAACAACAGTGGTACCCAGAGCTCTCCTCGTGCAGAGCCTTATTCATGTGTATAATGAGACCAGTTACTCTTCAACAACCGTTCGGTTTCGAGGCTCGACGCTAGAATTGTTTCGTATTTGCATGGCCGTAGCAATGTCAGAATATTCCTTGAATATGAGCCTTGACCAGCCAGGTGGCTTTACTTTGAAGTTTGGAACACACTGTTGCTCTTTTACATGCCTTGATCGTGCATCCTGGGCAATGCGCCGGACTTGGGATGTGTCGGACCGGCGCCATGGTCCACTGGATGCTGCATTTTTGTCGGCTCGTGGTCTCTATCATCCCTTCGTCAACTGCAGAGTCTCCAGAGCGGACGTGGTTGCTTTTTGGAGACAACTTACCCCCTAACAGCATCTGATGCGTGTATGACTCTCCATATGCATGTTGGTAACCCATGAAAAGTAGTAAATAACCATCAGAAGAGGTAATAAAGAACCATGTCTTTGGTCAACCTCGGGCGGCTTGTGCTGCAAAGGCGCACCTCTGTTCGGCCGCTGCGTATAATAATTACCGGTAGTTATTAATGATATCAGGGTACCAATTAACGACAGCCGCAGACATAGCATGTCAGAAGACCACGTCTACCCCTGACACCCACTACCAGGGAGACTGCGGACCAGTGCTCTTCTCTTGCTTCTGGGCACGGCGCGGACGGGGTCTTGGGGGCTGCCAGAGATTCACAACCGGCGTCAACCGCACCGCGCCGCCTGCGAGCCGGGGCCGCAGCTTTATGTGTCAAACTACGAGCCAACAATAAGGGCATAAATTTGGTCTGTTAAAAAAGTAACTAGTTGCTTCTTCTCCTTGTTTCGAGAATGTGAGAAATCCTCAGAGGCTATGTACCTAATTTGGTAGCAACACGAAGTAGTATTCTCCTTGGAGTGTTTATTCGTCCAGCATCTTTGATCTTTCCGGATCCAAGCATTTTGCCAGCATTACCCTGTATTTCCAAGAATTTCCAACACCAGGTTACGGCAACATTATAACGCTTATGTGCTGCCACGTACTGTACTCAGTACTCATCTTCAATGTAATCCGTCTAGTCTTCCATGTGGCATCCTTTCGCCGCCGTACGACAATGGCTGCGCGTGCTGCCAGTTGTCTGAGCCAACTTCAATCTTATCCCCCTATTCTCGTTCGTATGATGAGAACGGGATGCCACAAGGAATTCACTAACTTCTTGAGACTCCCCGAAGCGTGCTTGATCAGGCTGATGAGAAGTGGAAGCACGGCCACGATCTTCTGTTGACAGGCTCTGCCATTCGCCGTCTTCACTACTTAGTCGAGATACCGAGGGTTATAGGCTTCAAAAATGACACATTTTACGGCGAGAGTAGGACCAGAGAGCGGAGGTCAGGCTGGTTAGCGCGCGTGCCAGCCTGAGCCGCAGGATTACCAGCAGCAAAGCTTCCTCGCTAGCTTGCCCTAGTACTCGCTCTCCAGGCTTATCTGTCCTCGCTCGCTATTCCTTTTTGAAAGGCACGATGACAGTCCCTATGTCCGGGTTACGCTTTTCTCATCGTACTGGGCTATAAACTGGACAGCGAATTTCTGAATACCCTTCTATCTCAATTCCTTCCGTCATGAATCAATATCAATGTCCGGTCTGCCAGAAGCAGCAGCGTAGCCGTTTGCTTTCATGTTGAATCGTCGTGCAGGGCGATATCGCGTGGCCCTGGATCTTAACCCTTGTAGCCGGCGGGCTTCCTTGTCATAGAAACCGCCCGCAATCCAGGAAAATAACCTCTATCGCCACAATGCGAACCTGCTCCAGCCTGTGGGGATGAAGTTTTGCATGCCAGCGTACTCGAAGAACTTGGGATAAAAGCCGGCATAATCCCAGTCGGTAACCCACAGCTGGCCAGTAGGATCAAGCATGATATTTCGAGGTGCTAGGTCGTGGTGAGTGAATACGGAAGGGTGGCCGGCCGAGAATGTCTGTTTCGAGCAGATTGAATGCTGCGCTGTCGTCTTTTTTTACCTCTTGGCGGATTGAGACAAAGCCTTGCCAGAAGTTCATGAAACCGTTGACCTGCTCTGAGCTCGCTCTGGGTGGAAGGCCAAAAGAAGTTTCGAGCTAATATGGCCTGCATTCGCCCGTCACAAGCGACCCGGCTGTGGATGACTCGACTGATCTTAATCGGCGGATAGTGCGACGCAGCTGCAAGGCCAGCCGAATGGTTGTGAACCAGCCGAGATTCAACCACTCGGTAGTTAATGTCGCTCCTGGAATCCGATCCATTATGCAGTATACGGCATTGTCGGCCAGAACGCTTCGTTTAATGCGCGGAACGTGGATCCCGAGTCCAGACGCAAATTCGATGGCTGTGATGGCATCTTTTGCCTCGGCCTCATCAAAGGCTTTTGCCAGATACTTGGGAGAAAGCAAAGTAATGTTAGAGTGCTTTGGCAGGCAGGGGAGGATGTCGATATAATGGGCGATTTGCGCATCTGTATAGTTTAACAGTTGATCGTCGTAAAAAATGGAGCTCATCTTGGGAGGTGCAAGGAGAAGTTTGAATGTCCGAATTTCTTTTCGCGGTAGGCAGGTTAAAAGGGCCCCTGAATTAATCTTTGGGTAAGGGCCCTGCTCATAAGCCACATCGCGTCCCTGCACCAGTCTGAAATCAACATACACACACACGTACAAATACAAGGGAGTCTGCTAAGACTTTTTAGTATGTACAAGAACAAGATCACTCAACATCAAAACAAGGCCGGGTTAGCCTTCGTAAGTTGTAAAACGTCTCTCTCCTCACCCGGGCACCTACTCAGGAGCGAAAAGTCCCCTGCCTGGCCTCCCGTGGCTCATATCCTGACGGGTTCACGAAGTAGTACGATGCAGCACTCTAGCAGTCGTCGCACTCTCGGCTTCGGTGATACCTTGCGCCTCAAGCTCCGAGATGAAGGTGTAGACCCAATACCCGCAATCTTTCCATCCTGGCGTGAAACTATACTTCTGGCGTCGATTTCTTTGGATCAGGTCGACAACGTTTCTCGCCGTTGTTCTGCTGGTAGGATCCGAGGACAGCATGTAGGTGGCCTTGTCGTTTATCTGTATATCTTGCTGAATACTTCAATCTTCCCCCTTGGACGGTCAGAACCATAACCCAGCGCCATGTCCATTCTGACTGATTGAATTTTGGAAACATCCAAGAAAGTAGCCCACTGGTTGGTCGGGCAGATCTTCCTGGTCCCTCTCGCTGTGCTCGTAGATACAGGCACATATATCGATATATTTCACCCTTGAACGTGTCTGCCTCTCAACTGCAGGCCATGGCTGCAGAGGCATTGATATCGTGGTTGTAATTAAGCTACCTTAAAGTGGTAAATTAAGAAGCAATAAAGCCGATTCATTAAGAACATAGCGTAGGTTAAGCCCGGTGATATTACCCGCTACTCCTACTCTATATCAAGACGAATAGCTGCTCCGATTTCTTATCATAATAATACCAAAGGAAGCCACGATACCCAAGTCTCGTATACATGGCCATGTTTCCAGCTTTCTGCGGCCTCCTCCTCGCACAGCAAGGCCTTTCAAACTAAGCCGACCTTCGCCCATATCCCTTGCAGGCGCCCAGCTCCGGCCAGTGCTGAGTTGATGGTGATTCCTAGTTAGGCATTATCACTTCTTCACAGTGGTTCATGAGCCAGTCACGGCATCGTTGAACGTCGTCTTCCTCCCCTTCAAGCACCGCACTAGGCCCAGGGCGCCTCCAGAACGGTTTTTCAAACCATTCAGGCCAGAAGCCACCAAACTCCCAATCAATAATGGCGTTTATCTTGAGTGTGTCGGGGTCCACTATCACGTTGTGTTGCCCGAGATCGTTGTGGCAAAACACGTAGTCACCCTTATCCTTGGTCGGTTTCCAACAACTATTGGTCTTCCATTGGTTGGTTGCTGGTAACCCGCTGAGGAGGACATAAAAGCGATTCGCCGGGTACTCCAGGAGTATCGGATCGCAGAGACCGCAAGCTTGCCACATGTTGTTCCAGTTCTATCGCCACTTGCTCCTTTTCTTCTTGCTTTAGATGCTTCATACTAACCCCGTCCACGTATTGCGTTTGGAGATAAAAGGCGCCGTCATCTTCAAAGGTGCATTCCGCCGGTGGGAGCGGGATATTGGTCTCCTTGCGAAGAAATCGCAGAATTGCAGCATCGTTACTCCATCGCTGGGGATATGTTGCCGGAGGAACTATAATGTTGTCCGAGACTGATTGCCACTCATGCTGGCGGAGCGTTCGCTTCATGAACCAGCAACCCACGTGGAAGTATTTCTTATCAGCAAGAACGACTGAGCAGCCAGGCTCTCGACGGTCATTCAGCTCCTGGTTCGTAACCATAGCGCGGATACTTGGTCGGGAGATTGAGCAGCTGTGGGTAGCAAAAGGTGTATTCCGACCGAGAGTTTGTGCCCGCCGTCGACATAGGAGAGGAATTCGGGGGCGGTGGAGGACTTGGGAGTTTATGTACGAACATCACGTCAACCCAAGCATTACGGCACGACTGAATCTTGGGGCGGTGTGCCTGAGACTACTCACGGCCGGGGGCGGGGGCGGGCACCGGTCCCTTTGGGACGCACGATTAATTACCATGATGCGATAGACTTTTTTGCTTTGCTTTTGATGGCGCAGTGATTTGTTTCCTGGTACAAAGACGGCACATGACATGTTGAATGAAACATCTACCGACCTCATTGATCCCCCCAAACACGGAAATTCCAGCACTATTTGAACCACAAAGTTGACCAACTCAGTTTTCACGTCGCATCCAAAACCCCGCCATTCCCTCACTTATTTGGTTTTCTGCTTCTTCCTTAACCTTTTGTCAGTAACTAATCCTCTAACGGAATGAGGAAAACATCGCACGCAGCACAGGTCACAACAAGAGCTTCAGCAAGACACAACCTAAGCCTTGATTGGCGAGAAGCCATGATGCTGTAAAAGAGCGTTGGTCAGCGCATTTCTATTACCCCTTCACTATTCGTGCAGCGTACTCCTTCAACTACTACCTTCTGCATCTGGCACTCAGCCAACAACAAAACCAACCCGAGATGGACTTTGGAGCCGCCGATGGCCTCAGGACAAAGCCACGGCACCCAGAAGTTCCACGCTTGCCCCGAGTATTGTTGTCGATTCCCAACACAAAACAGTGGTGCATGCTGCCTGTTTCTTCCTGCTGCTGCCTGTTGTTGCAGTTGGTTCAGGATCCATGCACGGCAGCCTCACATATGTTCATCTAAACGGTTGTAGCCCCTCCCGGGTCGGTATGGGCTGTGCGAGTCGTCCGGGGTACCTTGCAATAGCTCAGTCATTTGACGAGTTGCAGGCATCTCTTTATAACTGTAGTACTCTAACAAAATGCTATCCTATGACGCATCGTCTTGTGCTGGTTCCTACAAGGGCCAAACGTTCTTGCTCTTAAACGTTGCGATGCAGCCTGAACCCACTCCTGCTTCGTCACGGCTGTCACACCTGGTGCGGTCTTGGACATAGTAGAGCTGCAACAGAGTAAGGCGGTATTTCGAATGGGAGTCACATCGATCGGCGTGCAGCCCTCCCTCCACTGCACCTCGCGCCAAGGATGATGCCCTTCGGACGAGCTCCTCACGAATGCGATCTCGTTCTACAACCTAAACCAAGAGATGCTACAGACCCAAGGGCCCTCACGCACAAGCCCACAAGAGATTTTACCGTGCTAGAGTCGCCTCAAGATGTGACGTTGAGCCGTGACAAGGTCGATTCGTTGAGGAACAAGGCACAGTCAAGGTTCGGAGACAAGACCTGCTGCTTCTCTTACTTGTCGAGACGGACGGCTGCTCCGATGACCCATTGCGATGACGTTGAAGCCTTGGCATCCGAGCCCCGTAGCATCTACGTCTAGCTCGAATGTCGGAATAGGGGGGGGCAACGCAAGGCTGGCTGCATGACCCAGCAATAAGTGTAAGCCACCAATATGTGAGCCCAAGGAACAGTCTTGGGGGCCGACAAGCGAAGGCTGGCCATGTTCATACGGAACGAACATGACGGGACCAATGAAGCGACTGCAGGTAGTTTGCCGCGCGGCTCGACGGCATGGTAATACAGAACGGCAAGGCTGGGTGCAGCTTCGATTTCTTCATGTACAAGTGCAGCCGCCTGGATTGCCGGCGCCTATTCAAGACACTCAGAGGGCTTCTTCGACCCCTGACTTCATGCAGCCACCGCCATGATGACATCTAGGTACTCGTAATCACGCATCGCCAACGTTCGCGCGCCCCAGTGGTCGGTAAGCCTTGCGACCGCTGCGAGGAACTCGGGCCCATGTCGGATTGACTGACTCAGTTGGATTCAACAAGATGGCCACCCCGAGTGACCTGCTCCTATTTTCGGTTGAAGGCTGGAGCCAGCCATAGCCGACAGTTACGACCATATAAGGCTGCCAACGCATATGCTCATTGTGCCGAAACCCTTTGCCTAGAAACATTCCCGACTTCATCTGTCCAGCAGACTACTGAAAATGGTTTCAAACAAAAAACGACTGTACGTTGCCCTGTATCCTAGCGGCGTGGTCAACAATGAAGAACGAAGGTAGACAGCGCGGCTCCCATCTCACCATCACCCCCTGCCCCGGGCTCATGGCTCTCTTCACAGATACCACTGGGGCTTCCTCGTCGGCCCAAAGATTGAGAACAGGCAGCAAGTTCCCGGCATGCGCTACCACGTCAGGAACCTCCCCATCCAGGGCTGGGCATACGAACAAGTCCGCCTGGACAACGTACGGAGCACCAACAACCTCCTTGCCCGCATCGCAATTGCCAAGGTCGAAGACGAAGAGCGTCTCGTCAGAATTCTGCGTGAGATACCCATCGTTCAAAATGACCCCAGTTGGCGATGCCGCACGTGGGTATCCAACGCATTGGTCGGGATAGCAAAAGACGGCCAGGCCGTTGGGACGGCGCAACTGGACTGGGCTCAGATCGAGACGCTAGCCCGCGAATATGTGGCTGGGAAAACGGTATCCGGAAGATATTCAGTGGCCGAGGATATGGCAAACCCCAAGCCAACATGGGATATGCTAGAAAGGCGAGAAACTGTGCCCTAGACTGTGATAGGGGCTCTTTCTAACCTGGAGCTTTGCCAAATGTGCCTTCGACCAAGTTCCAGCACGGTTTCCTAGATGACTAGTCGTGTCAAAAGGGACAACGCTTGACGCGTGTGTTGCTCAAAAGTCTCCCCACCACTTCTGGCGTGTGATTTCCATCTTGAGCTCCTCAGGGCACGGTTCGAGAAACCTATCAATCGTTTGCTGCCACGATTGACGAATTCTGTTTCCATACCACGCCGAAGTATACTCCCAGTAGTAGGGATACCACCCTGCGAACTCCCAGTCAATGATGCCGACGACCTGGTCGCCACGGACCAAGATGTTGAAGGGGTTGAGGTCTCCATGCGTAAACACGGGAGGCGGCCACGGTCCATCCTGCTTGGCGGCCATTCCTTTGATATCCTCCCAGTCCTGTTCGTTTACGTTTTCGTGGTTCGCATGCTCTCCTGGCCTGAATCCATCACGGAGCCAGAGGTGAAACTCCTGCGTCGTCTTAAAAGGTCCAAACCTTGGCCTGGACCGAGGAATGCGGGAGTCACGCAATGAGGCACCCACGCAACTCTCGATTCCCGCATCCGGATGGGGCGTGAGTGCTCTCAGCTCTCGTAACATACCCCGAAGCTGCGCAAAGATGGAATCGAGATCTGACTCAGACAACGTCTTCCAGGCTTCAGGGAGAGACAGGCCCTGGATGCGTTCCATGACGATGTAGGCGCGGTTTCTGTGGACAAAAGATGAGAGCACGCGCGGCACGGGTATGGAGGTTTTGGCAGCGATGAAGCTCAGGGTTGCGGCTTCAGTGAGGTGAACAACTTCGCTCGACTTGACTATGAGGTGCTTCGAGATGGGGACACAGGGGCCATCGTGTGCGTAGAATCGCGCAGTAGTCTCAAGCGCGACAAGAGTCAAGAAGCGGCGGAACCATGTGTTGTTGATGGCCAGGTGTTGAGCCTCGTCGTGCTGGGTGGCTGTACTGTCGACTGGTGGAACGTACGGCGTTGACATGGCGAGGCCTTGATCTGGCAGCAACTACAAGAAGCGGGCCTGTTGAAGCATTTTTGGCTTTTTCCATCACATTTTGCATGGGCGGAATGGCCGAGTCGACAGCCGGTGATGAGTAACTTGATATCCAGAAACAAAGAGGGAGACGAGAGGCGAGGTTGTGGGAACAGTGAGAAGTTGGAAGTTGAAAACCAGGCTTTGTCATTCAGCCCATGCTTAGTCATGCAGGAACCTTGTTTCTCTTACTCTTGCCTACCCTGCAGAGCAATTCAATCTCTACCTCGAATATCTCAACTTCTCCTCTGTACTTGGATACCATTCAAACCCCGAGTCTCGCCACCATGTCCAAAGAGCAATGGAACCTCGCTTGGCATGAGAAGAGTCACAATGGAGTATCGACGCTGTGCTGACATGTTCCGTCACAACTCAAGCACAAGGCTCGCGCCATTCTCAACCTGCACCACGCGCGGCTCTTCCCCTGTGCCGCAAGACTCGTCACCTTTGCGCCCAGTCTCCTCCTCCTCCAAGGCCCACGGCAGAGTGCGAGGCGTGTCCACTGTCCGGAGCAGTCTCATAAAGACGCCGGCGTAGTTCAGCGTCGAGTGGTGCGACGGGATCCAGTACTTTGCTCCCCCGATTTTCCGATGCAAGGCCAGCCCGCCTTTGGCACCCAGCGTCGTCATGTAGCCAAAGGTGTGGCTCTCTTTCAGGCCGTGCAGCATGGCCAGCTTCTTGGTCGCCGGCTCGGCGTCGAGAAATGCCTGCAGCGGGCCCGCGTCCAGCCGTGTCCCGTGAGGCGAGTTCAACAGAGCTTCGTGCGTCTCGACTCCGGCCTCGTCGAGGTGTGTCCAGATTATGGCCAGGCAAAAGTTGAGCTCTGCATGTCCAGGCAGCCGGAGCGGCGTTAGCCACCCTGGCAAGTTGCCTCCTGGGTGTAGTTCCGGGCTCCGCCACGACTTTGCTGAAGCAGGCAGGTCATGGATCAGGGCGATGTTGCGAAAATGGCCCCAGGTCTGTAGAATTTTGGCTGCTTCAGGCGTCGCAATGACGGGTATCTGCTTGTCAAAGGTGCGCAGCGTAGCTTCGTGCAAGTGGTCGAGATAATGAAAGCCCAGCAAGATGGCATCGATGGCGCCACGGTAGCCCGTCTCCGATCTGTCCTCGCTACCAGCTTCGTCTTTGCTCGAATCGTCCCGAGCAGCGTCTTCGATTTCACGAATGAGGGCCTTAATGGCCGAGACGTCGCCGACGGCCGGCGGCTGGGACAAGGTGATGTAGATGAACCAAGAGCTGAGCACACTCGTAGCCCCCGCGAGCCACGGCTCGAAGACGACGTGGAAGTAAGCTTTGCCCGCTTTAACAGCCTCATCTACCGGACGAGGAAACGACATGAGCCAGGAATTGTCGCCGTTGAGCGACGTCATGATGGGCCGCAGGGCCCGAGGCCGCAGCTGCGCCCTGAGGGTGGCGGTTCGTGAGGCATCCATGAGGACGAATCACGATTGCTAACAACGGGGGTTTGAGTCGTGGAAACTCAGGCTCGGCGAGCAAACGAGGAGCGATGCATTATATACGAGGCAGCGGATGCACGTCTAAATAACGGCTGCGATTGACTAGTGCTTACTCGAGCCAAGACGGCGAGTCGACCCCTTTGCACTCGTGGCTGTCTGCTGATGGCGAGATGGACGGCACAAGGTCTCGGAGGCGCCATCAACTGGGCGGCCATCACACGCAGCTCGCCCCTCAAAGTGTCCAAGTGGACAGGGGCAAGTTGGAGGGTCGACAAACAAGCTCCTCGAGACACATCAAAGACACTCGACACGCCCCTTTCACTCCGCCCACCGCCGCGAATCCTCTCTCAGGCATACCAAGCATACAAAATACGCCCTCACGACCAGCCGTAAAACTGCGCATCCACCAGGCCGCCCTCGCGCTGCTCCCCCCCGTGCCACCGAAGACACGGCACCATGTCCGGCCTCTCCTCCTCGACCGTCCGCGCGCCCTGTCCCAGCTCCTCGACCAGCAGCGCCGCCGCCGCGACCGTCTGCTCGGCCGGCTCCCACACCACAACCTCGCGAAACCCCAGCTGGCTCGCCTCGGCCGCCGCCATCCCGAGCACCTTCTTGATCTCCCTCTCCATGCCGCGCACCCGCGTCGAAACGAGCCGCCCGATGTAGAGCCTGCGCGACCGCAGGTCGTGCGTCCACCACACCCACGCCTCGGTGCCAGTCTCGCGGTTCTTGGACGTCGCCCCGTGCAGGCTAGGGCGCTCCTCGCCGGTCTGGCGATTGGCAAGGTGCTTCTTCTTGAGGATGCCGGAGCGCACTATGTGCCACCTCATGAGCCTCTGCGTCGGCATCAGCTGGGCGTGCGTCTTGCTGTTGCCGTCGTCGCGGAGCCCCGAGAGCCGGAGCTTGGCCATGTTGACGTCCTTCTTGCCCAGCTCCACCAGCCGCGGCACGCGCGTGTACTTGAGCTCGTCCGTCTCGAGCGGCATCTCGACGAGGGCCTTGCCGATGACGATGCGGAGGTGTCGTGCCGGCTGAGGCGTCCAGCCCAGGCCGCCGTAGAACTCGGGCCGCAGGTCGCTGTAGAGCACGCTGAACTCGATCCTCTTGACGACCTCGTCCAGCGTCTGCTGTACCTTGCTCAACAGCATCGTCGCCATGCCCTTGCGGCGGTAGTCGGGCAGTGTGAAGATGTCGGTGACGACGGCGGCCCTGACGGGCCTCATGCCCTGGCCCGCGTTGACCATGGCGTCGCGCAGATACGTGGTGCAGCTCGAGATGATAGTCTCGGGCGCCTCTCGGTCAAAGAGCACCCAGTATGCCGTCTGGCCAATGCTAGCCTCGGTCTCGGACAGGTGCATGTGCAGGTCTTTGTAGTCGCTTGTCGACAGCGGCGCCGCCCACATCTGGCTATTGTTCTCAAAGTGCTTGGTGATTTGCGCCGGCGTTGCGCGCTGGTAGACGAAGCGTGAGTCCTCGTTGTGCACCAGCATCTTGGTCCTGAAGCGGGCGAGGCCTTGGTGAGCAACGCCTTCTGGAGGGATGCGATGCGGGATGAGGACCAAGTTCTTACTTCTCTCGACTCTCAGTCCCGCCTCCCGCCGAAGACGTCATAAGTGCCAAGGGAATGATGCAAGCAGGTGGAAACTGTGACGGGGCCAAAGGCGTGGGTGCTTTTGACGAACGAGGGAGCGATGAAAGATGAAACATGGGCGGCGAGGAAACGGATGGTTTTGACTGCTCAAGCAAACGCCTCGTGCCCCAGGCAACCGGCCAGCTGCTCTCTCGCTGCCCTGCCACGCGGACTGAGTGCCCCTTAGAAAATCCGCACAACGAAACAGGCCGTCATCGAACACAACCTGCCCCAGGGGCGCTGCTTGTTTGGTGAGGACGCAAACTCTCGAGAGATAACAAATGTATCATTGAAAGGAAGGCCGCGGTCAGGTTCAAGGCGGTTGAGTCTGTCGAGAAACGGCATTTCTCACCGCTCGGCCCCAAGGTTTGGCGAATCGTCTCGGCATCGTCGTCCGAAATGCCCAGGAACCGCTTTATGTATCCCTCGGCACCGCCAATCTTGTCTCTCGGATGCCCCATCAAGTCCATCATCACGGCTGTATTATTGCCTATCATCTCACGCAACCCAGAGCGTCGACGCTAATCTCCGACAGGCCGCTGCTCGAGGCAAAGTGCTCGATGGCCAGGCGCAGCGGCTCCTCCCGGGAGGGCCCGAGTCCGACACGCGGGCAACCTGTAGCTGCGAGCGGAGCAGCGCCGGCTTGAGTCGGGCATGTAGCCGGGCGTGTCGGACCGGAACACGGTGCGGGGCTTGATATGGCCAGGGACAATGGCCTCGAGGTCTCGCAGGATCATCGAGCCGGAGACGGTGATGAACGGGGGAGTGGAGAGGGCTTGTGTGAGCTGTCCCGGCGGATGGATTCGTCCAGGGGATTTCTGTAATGATTGCGAGCAGCTTGCTGTCTGGGGTTGAGGCTGATGAGTTGTCGTGATGAATGCTGTTTGATGGCATGTTACTTTGACGGTACAAAACGACTAGCTTCCCACTCGGGACGGCAACTTCCGGTTACGAAGTAATTAGCAAGCAATTATAAACATCTTCAAGCTGCGGCTCAGCGGGCTCTTCGTACGGCTACCCGTCCACCTTGGACGAGGCCGTCTCGCGCCTACCAGCGAGCTTTGAGGATCATGTGAGGGTACGGGTCGGTGCTCTGGGTATTGACGGGCGTGAAGCCGTTGTCCAAAGTTCCAACTGCATTGCCTCCATCGATCTGCTGCTCATCCGCTCGTGAATGAGGTGACCTGGGACCTTCAGTGACCCCCGGATGAAAACCGGGTCCAAAGCGGCTGGACTGACTTGCTTTTCTAGCTGGCTAACAGAGATCAACCTTGACGTCTCTTCTCAATTCACCACGCTGCATCGGCAGACCGAAGCCATCCACTCAATATGTGTTCCCCGAAGGCGTGGCGTCGCTCTCCCAGTCCCGCTGGAAGCGACTCCACCCCCCGTTCTCGGGCTCATCCGCCATGAGGAGCGTGTGCACGACATAGTCGTACGACCCGTCGGCCGGCGTCTTGCCCTGACACACGTTGCCCCCCATGGCGACGTTGAGCAAGACCGTCATGTCCCGCATGGGCCGCGTGCCCCCGGGAATCTCAGCCTTCATGACGGGCCGGCCGTCAATGTACCACAGCAAGCGTCCCTGACCCGGCCGACCGTCGGGCTGGTCCCACGCGAAGTCGTAGCGCACGGGGCGGCAGTGCATGTCGGGGATGTTTGTGCCGAGGACGCGGTGCTTGTGCGGCTCGTGGTGGAAGCCCCAGTGCAGGCACGACTTGTTCTCGCGGTCGCCGTTCCACGTCTCGGCAATGTCGATTTCGCCGTCGACGGGCCACGAGAAGGGCTCTTGGGGCAGTAGCCAAAAGGCGGGCCAGATGCCGTCAGCGCAGGGGGCCACGAGCACAGCCGTCAGCACGCCTCTGTCGCGGGCCAACGTCTTGCGGCTGACGAGCCGGGCCGACGTGTAGCGCTGCTCGGGCGAGGGCGAGGCGTTGTTGGCGATGGCGCGGATCACGAGATGGCCTTCGGGCGTGCTGCTCCGGTTAGCAAGCACAGCCACCCACGGCCACGGCGGCGTGAGACCAACTGAAACGAATTGTCGGCAGCAGCCGTGTAGTGCTGTAGCTCCTGGTTCCCCCAGCCGTCGGGGCCGTTTCCAATCTTGGCATCCCACTCGTCGCCCACGGGCACGTCAGGCCGAAATCGAGGCTGCCAGTAGGCCTGGTTGGCCGCAGGAGCTTGCGCCGGCCGGGACTGCGACGTCAAGCTATCCCACTCGTCCTTGGCCCGCTTCAGGTGGTCCTTCCAAGGCATCACATACGATAGCAGGGGTAATATCAAGAGTCTTTGTCGATTCGCGGGCGGTGTGGATGCTACTGCTGAAGGGAGCTTCAACGGCTGTCGTCACTTTTCCCCGCAGCCAAGGCGCGTTAGCCGCTCCACGCTGCTCGCCTACCCTGTACCGCAAATCCTCCGAGCCCCGGTCAGGATGGATGCGAAACGAGAGCCACCTACTACCATCAATCGACTGGACGCCGTGCCGTCGAGTGTAGCTGTTTCGTTTAACTTACATCATATAAATGTGTAAGGACGTCCAATCACACCTTCCGTACTCTATAGTAAAGCTCGAATTCAAGCTAGCCAGGGCCAACTCTCTTTTGCCCCGGTCGTGTCAGCTCCCGGCTCTCGCACGCAACGACGATCCCCTAGCGGCATCACATTCCGTGTGTCGAGCCCAAGAAACTAGAGCCAGTGCCAGGGGACAAGGACGCGGAGTGGACGCTCCGTACCCATAGAATGATGCTCTGCGTTGCCCGGCCACAACTTCAACTCCCAACGAGCTGTTGCGTCCTGCAACAAACTAGAGACACGGAAAGACAGGACTGTTCCTTGCTACACCTATTAAACCCTTGAGTACATCTCCTGCTAGGGACTATGACAGCTTCCAGCATCCAACCCGGAACCCTATGCCCTATGTTGCTGTCATGCATCCCGCGGACCGCTCCTCCCTGGGTCAGACAAGACCAGCAGGCTGCGGAAAACGCGTCAAGACGATGCAGAAAAGCCGGCAATGTCGTGCCATTTCCAGCTTCTCGTGCCCCTCGTGTCATTCGTTATAAACCAACCCCCCACCCCCCGTCCCCCCCCCGTTCCATTGTCAGGGCAGCGTAGAATGACGTGTAATAAGATTGCTGAGAAATCGCGCCTTTCCCATCGTCTAGCTGCCCAAAGCATCCCATCGCCAAGGTGCTGCTGACGTAGCAGGCCCTCGCTTGAAATTAAGGCGCGTCCAACAATGGCCGCAGGCGCTCGTCTGAGCAACATCCTCCATGGACCCCTCACCGGGAGGGAAGCCCGAGCTGCCATTTGAGCTACTTCGTACCCCCAGCTCTTATATTTCCCGAAAGGCTGGCGTGGAACACAGCATGGGCCCTGAGGCGCCTTGGGGACGGTGCTCGGCGTCGGCCACGCGTCTGTCATATCTGACAGCTCACCATTTTCGTCCCTTTTCATCTCGCAAGATGTACCTAACTAGAGCAGCTCTAGCATGGCGAGCCTTGAAATAGGCTTGGCCTCGATGTAGTAAACGTCGGCAAGACCAAGATCGAGACGGGGATCAAGGGAGGAGAGAACTGAGGTTAGGTATTGTCTTTGATGTATATATGCATGCTCAACGGGGACTTGCCGGTAAACCACCTTTTGGTTCGCCCAGGCACGCTTGGAAGCCAAGCACATAATTATCGTGCACCTCATATAAGAATTCTTTAATCTTTACATCACCATTGTTTGCTTCGTCTTTGGCTTCTGTGGTCCTGTCATGCCTGAACCGTTGAAGACCGACTTGACACGCCCAGGACCCCTTCGTCTCTACATACAAGCAAAGCATGCAGTCCAGCTCATTCCCCAATGACCGATTTGGCCTGCGCGTTAAATGCGAGGACGGGATGCGACGCCACAGAAAGCCGAACAACGTGGCTCCGCACCTCCCTATTGGGTCTCTTCGCTCTACCGTTTCTCCCGTCCCTTCGGCTCGCTCTGTGTAACCAGATCGTGCATCAGTCATGCACTGGACTTCCGCTGTATCCGGATTCGGGAATAAGAAGTCTAGCTGGACCACCTCATGACTCCATCTTCGCCCGAGTTCCATCCTCGCCCGAGCCCCCAAGTTTGCGTGTTTGGAGGATTGGTATGGGAAACCTCAATACCTTCCAGGCCCCTGGGCTCGGGAACAAGTCACCATTTATACATATGCCGTCTCATTGCAAGAGTTTGATGCGTCAGATACTACATCGCTCGTCGTGTTGACGGGATACAGTGGGCTCGTCGATGCCTCTACAACACGGCCAAAACACCTGGCCTCCTTATGCCTCGCAGCTCCAATACCAAGCTTTGCAGATGGCAAGAGGATCAAAGACCGGGGATCATATACCGACGAGAGGCATATCAATGCCTGCCAACGCCTGTCCATCTATGACGTGCCTCAGAAATAGAAACAGACCGCGGCCTGTCTCCTGAGGGGTATACTATCAAGTACAAACGTCAAAATCGCCGCTTGAAGATGGGCTCTGCTTGGTTCGAGAGTCAGATTTGGAAAGCAAGTCTTTTGGTTTCTGTTCCAAAAGATGCTACATCGGAGATTTCCCTTGTTGGCGGTGAGACATGCGGGCCGAGCTGCTTGGCCTGGCCCAAATTTAGCAGGATATTTAACCATGACGCCTCAAACAGACGCCCGCCCCTCCTCCACCCAGGACCTCAAGTCAGATGGGTCCTCGGCGAAGTGCGTGGAATTTGCTCGTAACGCATTTATTGCTATACTCTAGACACGACACTGCCATACTTGTATAAGGCGGGCCATTGGCAGCTTCATTCCCACGCACCAAGGGATTGCGCCGTTGTCGGTGCCGTGTCCCTCTCTGCCCAGTTTTGTGACTCCTCAGCTGGATGAGATCCGTAATGCACATGCCGGCCAATGATTGAATATCCAGCTCTAATCCAGGGCGAAGGTGCCATGGCGCATGGCCTTTTGCCACGGGCACAAGCTCGAATCATCTGCAACTTTTTGATGCAGGAAATCCGCCACGGACGCCGGTATTCCACCGCTATTGGGTTTCCAGCCGACTTGAAACCACTGTCGTGGCCTGCCGCTTTCCGGACGACGTCTTGATATGGCCCTGGCCCGCCTGTAGCGCCACAGGCAATGACCTGGGGGCCCAACTCGCTTCGCGCATCAGCACGACCTGCGGCCTTCAGCCCCTTGGCGGCGTTGAACGCCCTCGAGAGGTAGCTGTTGAACTGGACCTGTCAGCGGCCGTGATTGGCGAAAGGTGTTGCTGTAAACGCACTTAACCACATGGGGTGCCGCATTCCTTGCAGTTCTTGCCGGGGATCACCCAGACCTCGACGCCTTGGGCGGAGCATTTCGGGCATCGAATGCCGGGCAGCTAAAGTCTTGTCAGATTGGGCGAGATTTTGGTAGTAATTGCGGCTGCGGACCTTGGCTGCCTGCTCAATCATGTTGACGACGCCGAAAGATTTGGGTCTCGTGTCCGTCTCCCACACTCTTGACATGAGGGCTCCAGGTGTATGAAGGTCGGGCAGGTAACAAGGCGGAATCATGGCAGGGCAACGGCAGCGAGGCCGAAATGGAGGTGAAGACGTCGAGTGGAAAGGCCGGAGGAGTCGTCCAATGAGGCCAATTTATACCCAAAGACTTGAACGGTGCAGCAGTGGTAGGAGCTATGGATGAAGGCGGCAGGGACCAAGGACGAGGTATATGGGACAGTCTCAAGTGCTGCGTCTGGTCGACGGAGAAATTAGGAAATAGGTGTCGTCATGGAGCTGTGGAACAAGTAGAGGGTTCTGTCGTGGACCGGTCAAGAGGCGCGAGGTTGTGTAAGTGTCAAAAAAGAGCAGATTGGGTGCCAGGGGAATGATATCGAGAGCCGGTGATTCATAATAGGCCGACGGCGTGGTACAGGGTGTGGGGGCCGTTGGCATTTATGGTTTTAGGAATCCGAGGAAGGGTCAAAAGGGAGGGTGAGAGGGGGGCGTGCGCAAAGGAAGACGGAGTTGTCGAGCTGGTGTGCGAGGAACCAAGACTCTGGTAGCTGGGCCGCGCTGTGTCACTGCCGTGGACCAATGCAGGCCGCCGGGATCTCTGCTCAGTCGGATGGAGCAGACCTGTCATATCGGCTGTGAGACGCCGCCATGTAGGTAGAGGGGAGCCTCTTTTGGGGGAAGCGAGGGAGGGGGTGTGTGGGAATGACTTGCGCACACACAGGAGTGGTGGCGTTTTGGCTCGCCCTTTGGAAAGACTGTGGGTGGAGCAGCGATGGCTTTCAGATTTTCTCGGTTGGGTCGAGCCGGCAAGAGAGGACCCGGATCGGGAGGTTAAGACTGTTCCATCTTGCTTTGTCTCTCGGCCATGTAAGTACTACAAGCTCTGCCGGGATCGAGGTTCCTCGGCTGTCAGAGCTTAGATGCTACCGTGCTAGCAAGCAGGGGACCCCCTCCTCTTGCTGGCCATGTCGATTGGGGCGGCGGAGCTCTTGCGCACCAGCTGGTTGGGTTGCAAGAAGAGGGACGGGAGCCCACAGGGCTAAACAACTCAGATTGACGCGGTTGGGGCCGGGGGAGGGGGAGGTATCGTAAGGGGGTGTCGAGACGGGGCGAGGGGAGGGAGGGGCCAAGGATGGGGAAGACGAAGGGCAGCATGCTTCCTCTTCTGCCTCCCCCCCCTCCCTCTTGTACTCCGTTTGTGATTCTGGATTCGGCGGCGGCGGCTCGGGCGACGCAAGGCGGGGAGTGTACTTGGGGCCAGACGATTGCCGATGGAGGTGGGCTGTGAATGGATCGAAAAACGTCGACTCTTTTCTTTTGTGGGTGAAAAGAGCAGGAGAGTTGGCTGCTGCAGGTACCAAGCGCAAAAGTAACGCTACGGCGGATGGAGGGTGCGTCTACAGGCCGCCGGCTTACTAAGGCAGTGCATCAGCCTCCTCGACGGCGCCTGGTAGATTTCTACAAGCCTTGGGCAGGCCAAGTACCTTGCATAAGCACTGCAGACGGTGGATGCCCCAGGTACCTCGGCAGGTACTGCGACTGCATCCCTGCTGGCTTCGGGAGAGGGAAGGCACCCGTCCGTCAACCCAAGTTTTCCCTTGATGGCCACTTAACACTCTCCTCCTCCACCATCATCCACCCGACAGACGGCGGCGGCACCGGATACCGGGAAACTAGGGCACTGCCCCGTCATCTCCCACCGACTGTCGGCTAGGCTAGCTTCTCGGGCTGTCACAGAACACATGATTCGCTTGGTGGCCCTCGACCCGGCGGCATTGCTGACGTCGTGTCCAGACTCAGGCGCCTTTCTTTTTCCAGCCGACCTGTCATCCGCCCAAGCCAACAAGCTTCACTCGAGCTCTTGTCCGACGGACGCCCGGCCATCGCTACCCGCGCACATGGACGGACCAACGGTGCTCGGAGCGCGCGCCTTGTCGCCTTGGCACGAATTCCCTATGCGTGATGTACGCTCGCTTTCCTGCATGTCGGCGCATGCATCTAGCCATGTACGTACGACATGAGATTGTGCCATCTTGCGCTCCCTTTTCTCTTCCGTCTCCCGCTGTGGTGGGAGACCCTCCTGCACCACCTCATTGGCCTGATTCTCAGCCGCCTATGCCGTGAAGCTGGCCAACCTTGAAGACCCCCTCCTCGCGCAGCCAACAAGCTTCAAAACGCATGGCTTCCGTGTTACAGAAGACCATCTCACGATGTCAGCCCGACAAACAATCAACCCAAGCCCGTTACCCCGTCCACCAAGGACCCCCAGTCCAAGTCGGCACTTGGCCTGACAATTCCAGATGCTGCGCCCCTCTGTCTCGCCATGCAATGCAGCGCTGCTTCCGCCGGAGTTTTTCCCAGCGTCGCCGTCGACGAGATACTGCCCCCCTGTCGCCCCGAGCCCTCCAACCCGCGCCCCTTTGTTTTTCTGTCTCTTATTCCTTGCTCACTTCCCTTCTACCCCCTGTTGCCTCCCCACAATGATCCTTGCTTTTTGGGGCCACGTCCCTCTCCGGCCCAATCTTTTGTTTCTGGCCGTATCCAGATATAGGATTTCATTCACCCCCCTTGTCCGGAGAGTGACCCCACGTTGGAGCCTCTCTCCAGAGCCTCGGCGAAAACCAGCAATCAACTTTCTCCTGCAGCTCGACCCAGCAGGGCGCCTTTCTTTTCTTTCTTTTTCGCAGACCGAATGCTCACACTATCGGATCGCTTCGAGTCTGTTTTCCAAAGCCATGTTTGCGTAAAATCCCATCCTTCCTGCCGTACCACCCCTCGACGGCCCGGCTGATGATGTTTGCAATACCACATTGAGGTATGGCGCTCTAGGCCCCAGGCTAATCATAGCCCTGTATAGCCGAATGTCTTTTCGACGCCCCCTTTCATTTGTCCACGGCAAACACCAACGCATTGGCCGAGCAGAGCGTGAGGCTGGCGCACCACATACAAGCTGTGCGGCTTCGGACCTTCGGCCCGATGGACAGCCGCGGACTCGTTGCCGACGTAACTGGCACCGGGGCGCGGTAAAGTCTCCGTTGCTCATGGTCCAACGCCGCGGGAGCTGCGGGCGACTGGAGACACAACCATTTGTGTTAATCATCCGACCCCGAGGGCCTGCACATTGGTGACACGTAACGCATCGACAAAGGACGGTACAGTACATGGAATATGACAAGATCCCGAGCCAATGACGCACCTCGCCTTGCACTGTGCTGCAAGCAAACCAGAGAGGATCAGTTACAGCCTTCTTTCCTCAGATGACTTGTGAACTCGGTGTCAGGTTCGTGACAAGAACCGCCGGTTTTGACACCCCAAGCCGGGGGGGGGGGGATTGAGCATCGGCAGTCTGTCTGGGACTTGCAGCTGACTAGCCTTGATAGACTCGCCACCGGGGCCAAGTGATTTACTTTTGGCCGGCAGCCAGCTTTGAGCAGACACCACTTTTCAGATACTTTGCCGAGACGGCGGCACACAGAGGCTAGGCCCGTGTTCCACAGCCTTTTTGGTGATGTGCAGCCGCCGTCGCCTGGGCCCACCGGATCCCCGTCCTGTAGGTACATATCCGCATATCGTCCGGCACTGACCGGGGGAGAAGAGGACGTTTGAGCGTGCTGCATCCACAGACGACCTGGCGGGAAACGTCAGCCTGCACCTTGGATCAAAAACACAACCCCTGGTAGCACGTCTCGGCTAAGGCCCGTTATGGCATAGTGATGGCCGGTCCCCTCGCTTGCGTGTATCCGAGTACGAAGTACCGCTTCGCGAGAAAGCCGATAGTCTTCGGGCGTCCAGCTGGCTGAGCAAGGCCAAAGCAACAGTATCTGCCGGAGCGCCTTCTCTGCGTGCTCACTCTTCAGGGCTCTGGACCCCTCGTCGAAGCAAACATGCCGTCCAGCGCTTGCTGTTTCGCAGCCTGCACCACTCCCCTTCCCGGATGGCAAAGCACTAGGCAATCGTATGGCACGCAGCGCAGCGATCTCTCGATTGTGTGCATGACGTGCTGCGACATGGCCAGAGACTCGTCTAGGACTCCTTGACACCTCCAGTCAGCATCAGTTCCCGACATGCACGTTAACGCGCCGAAAATGACGAGAATGCCCAGGCAAGCCCTCGGGTTCCCGGGTGCTAGCAAACCTGTGACCCGGCAGCCCAGTGCGCCCGCGTCCACCGGAAGCGAAGCGTCACACTCGGCATGAGAGGTGCGTGACGTTGAGCCTCGCGTTCGGGGTCCCAGGAGCATCATCTCTTCGCGGCACCGCGACGCAATCCAAGTGTCTGTACCTGAGTTACTGCATGCTAATCGCCTCGCTTGCTCGAGGCGAGCGTAGGGGCCCCCTAACCTGCTTCTTTTCTCCCGCAACAAGAGCCGACATGAAGCCGTCAGATGATAAGTCAGATTCAGGTGCACCAGGCCAGTAGGCAGCGACCCAAGCTCCCAACCATTACTTTCTAGCAGTTGAGCTTGTCCGACTCCCGCCGACTTGTCTTGGGAGCTGTAGCATAACGCGAAAGATTCTCTGCCTTTTGCGCTGCGACAGGCCTTGTCAAACACGGGTGGACCTTGATGGCGTCCACCTAGCAGATCCACCCCCGCGATGTCTCAGCTTTCGACTTTTCGGCCGAGTTGTTCTTCAGCAACGGCGTATCACAGTCGCACTACCAGGTAGGGGCCAAGAATTAAAGAATGCCTGCAAACAACCATTGGCTTTTCGTTGCGCTCATGCTCGGACTGGCAGCTCAAGCAGAATAGCATGGTTGCCGACTTGAGTGCCGAACTTGTGCCCTCCTTTTCTATTCCCTGTTTTCCTTTCCATTTTTCCCCTCGCGAGAAACTCTAGATGCGCGCTTGGAAGCGACTCACTGGCCTTGGCTGTCTAACCCGCAAGGCAATAAGGCACCCCCCTTCCTACGGAACCCGGGTGTCGAGGTGTTGGGACGCATCTTCAATCTCTCCAAAGGCACAGGTGGCCTCCACTTTGACTGCTGCCCTCCCGAAACCAAGTTGCAAGATTCGAGTACGTACATACTGACAATGGGGGCGGGGGCGCCGGGTGTTACATGACAGCATACTATCGACTGACTTGCATCCCCACTAGCAACCGTACAGATGGGAACGAATCATATCTCATCTCTGCCGGGATGCGCTTGCCGTGTCCGCGCGCCATGGGGTGGGGATGGACGTTCGCTTCGCCTCTCTCACGAGGCTGGCTGGCCTCACATGTGCCTGTTCGCTGGGACGCGGTAGTGGCCATGATCAAGAGGCTTGGCAACTGCGACCCGAGGACGGGACGTGTTACTAGGAGAGCATCTCAAGGAGACCGGATCGCAGACGTGACAGACAGCCGCAGCAGCAGCGACCCAGGCAGTTCGACCGAAATCTGATCGGGAGAGGACTTTTTCCTGTGGCAGATCTGAGATGGAACACGGTTGCCGATGCTCTGCCCCCCTACTCTCCTCCCGTCACCTTAAACCAGCCACAGCTAGTCGGGCTTGTGTCGGACAGAGACAGGACAGCCGCCAGGAACCACCTCGTTCCGAAATCGAGAGGCACAAGGGGTGGTTGATTCGTATCTGCGGACGACATGCACGTACGCACTTGCCAAACATCATGAGTCGTCAGGATTCGCCTGGGACGTCCCGTTAAGTGTCAAACCGGGCCCAGAACAGTTCGCCTCTCCTCCCCGAGAGAAAAACGGGGGAAGGCAGCGTTTGGCCGGTGCGTCCTCCCCTCAAGTCCCAGCCACGATCGAGGCCCTGCCAGACACAGACGCGAACGAACCTTGCTTCTTCGCAACCCGGGCCATGCAAGTGACCAGCCGGTCCGAGACGAGGGAATAGCATGGATCGCGCGGGAGAGAGACGAGGCCTGACGGGTCGTCGGAAAGGGTTGCCCAAGGCGTCCGGGCCATGTCGGCAGAAGGGAACACGCACACAGTATTGCGTGCGAAGCCCGTTGGCAGTTCCTTTTGCTGTTGGTCGGGCTGGTCCCCGGGTCTGTGCGAGAGGGCGTGGATCCATGGGCAATCCGCACGGGGCGCCGACACCCGGGGTGCCGGGATCCATTGACGGGGGCTGCGGGACCAGAGGGACAGCGTTCCGAGCCCTGGCCATACAAACTTGCTCTTGCTCCGGACGGGTCCTGCCTCAAGCCTCGAGGGCTGCGGCGAGAGCGAAAAATTTCGGGGGCAAGCAATCCTAGTGTCTCACGCGGGTTCTTGTTGCCATTTCGGTCCAATTCTCTCCGAACCCAGAAATGTGAGTACGGCGATTTCTGTTTTGGCCGGCCCGAGCCGACTTTTTCAACGCCTGGTATGTCGATTGCGTCTTCTGCCACTGCAGTCCTCATTTCGGCGACCAAAACAGGCCGCGGAAGCAATTATGCCGCGGAACAGGCAATTCCCCACGCCAGAAAGTCCTTTTATGCAGCCGAGACCCCAGAAGCAAAGAAACGTCCTCCATTGCAGTATACAGTCATGTCGCCGACTCGGGATTGCTGCTGCAACGGACAAGGCCAGGGAGGCGGGCTGCCCGCCAGGGTGCAGCGCCTTTACGTGTGGCTTGCAAGTGTTCGATGCTTCGTAGAGCCAGAAGCGGTGCTGCCTCGTCGCTCCTCAGCGCATCGTCTTTAAAACCTTGACGAGGAGCTTCCCTCCGGGCACCCGATTCCCATTCATATCCAAGAGCCGAATGAACCTGTAGCCCTGGCGCAGGCGGTCTAGACGGATGCACGCCCACGCGAGCGGTGGAGAGCTGATGATGCCCGTTCGCGATTCGTCATGGATTTGGAACCTGCGCAGGAGTCAATCGGGTGTCAAGTTAATCGTCAGTCGCCTAACCAGGCGGCCCCCGTCTTGTCGCAAGGCGATAGAACGTTCATGACAGCTTACCTGACAAAGCCGAGTTCCTCCGCCACCCTGGATACGTTGAGGAACTGCAGCGTCTTTCCGGACTCGCCAAAGTTGGGGTGGCTGGTCTTGTTGGCGTCCGTACGTTGCTTGTACGAACACTCGGGTGTAAGCCCGTCCTTGTCCGGGCTGCCCACCTTCTCGACGTGGAGCTCGACCTTGACGACCGGCCGGATCGTATTTGCACTGCGGCTGTGTTCGCCCTCGTCGTCGCTACTCGCCGTCGGTAGATTGTGGCCCGCAAAAAGGGTGATGGTGAGGTCGAGGGTGTGTCCGGACTCGGCCACGTCTTGCGTCTCGCTCGACTTGTCCGAGCTCTGGTACCTAGGCGGTTTCAAGACCCATCCCTTTTCATCGGCAAACATGCCCTCATTGAGCATCATGCCCTCGTCCAGGTTCTGCCAGTTCATGGCAACCATCTGGACGCCCCTGCGCCAGAACAGGCTGGGGTCTGGATTGGAGCTATCGATCCTGCGAACTGCCGGGAACGCTCTCATGAAGTAGTTCTTGTTGTGCATGAAGACGTCACGATGATGCCTCTGGCATATTTCCAAGATCCGGTTCTCGCTGATGGAAAAAATGTGCGTGGGCATCTTGGCCTGAGGAGTCCCGAAGCTCTCAAACCGCTCGCTGCGCGTGTACACGGCGAGCTCGGCAAGGCTTTGGCATATGGGGCGAGCTTTGGCGCTCTTTTCGGAGGCTCCGGCCGACGCCGGCGCTGACTTGTCGGGTCGCGGGGAGCGAGGGGGGGCAAGTCGTTCGTCGTCGGATATTGATACGTCGTCGTCGTTGGCACTGGCCGCGAGCAGCTCGGCTGTATCCTGGGCGGCAACCATCTTGGCCGGGGCCCTCTTAACCTTGACGAGAATCTTGTTCTGAAGGGCATCGAGGGTGGGGACCCGGAACCTCGGGTCGCAGCCATCGAGGGGTTCGCTCACGAGCAGGTCTTGCCACACCTCGCGCATAATCTTGACCATGACCTCTTGCTGCTCCACATCGGCGTGGACCTCGAGACTAATGATGATGGGAAGGTGGTTTTCCACAAAGGCGGACTCTTTGATTGCCTCGCAGACCTCGCGGAAGCCGCAGGGCGTTGTCAGCGTCCAGCCGTGGGTGACGATGGGCTCGCCCCGGGGTAGGGGGTGACGAGAGCGAGGGGCGACGGCATGCGAGGCGTCAAGTCTGGCGTTGGAGTCGCGAGGGTCGGCCGGGAACTGGACGCTCGAACGGGGCGAGGCGTCATCGGCGGGAGCGCGGCTGAAAGGGCTCGGGGTGCGGGAACGGCCGGCCGGTTTGTCGTGCGTGTCGCCGACGGTGTCGAGGATGGCCTGAGCCACGTTTGGGAGGGAGCTCCCCGAAGGGCCGCGGGCATGGTTCGACGCGAGGCGAGAAGGGCCCGCATCGCCATTCCAGACGTCGATTTCGATGCAGCGACAACCTCGCGAAAGGGCCTGGATGGGGTCAATAAACGGGACCATGGCGGTTCATGGCCGGTGGAGATCAAGGACGCACGTTCTTGTAGGCCTCGGGGGAGCTCTTGGAGGCCCATTGATGGCCGTCGAGGTAGGTGTTGTGGCTGCTGTTGATGAAGTAGTTTGTGAGAGGCTTGGACAGGTCCTTTTGCCGCGGGGGCGCGACAGCATCGGTGCCGTACCGCTTGAAGCAGACGTAGAGAAACTCGCCAAACTCGTAGGCGTCGCGGTCGAGGGCAACGGAGGGCTCGCCCTGGACGTCGACGAGGAAGCGGTGGAAGCTCGCCCTGGACAGGAGCCGGGCGCCGTCGAGACGCCGTAGCTGGTCGTAGAGGCGGCGGAGGGCCTCGTGCATGTCGGTGCTCATGTGGACGTCGAACTCGGGGGCTCTCCTCCCGGACGACGAGTCGGTGGAGCCATGGCTGGAGGACTCGTCGGCGGCCTTTGCAAAGACGGTGACGCCGATCATACGCCGGAGCAGCTGGACCGACTGCGGATTCGAGTTTCCAAAGATGGACAGGGTGCGCGTGCGGCGAGGCGAGTGGGCGGGATCGCGGTCGCGGCGGCGTGAGCGGTAGCGCTGCTGAACATGGCCGTCTCTCGTCAGCTTTTCCTCTTGGGCGTCTGTATAGCGGTCGAGGTGAAACTGCGTACAAACAGTCCGCACAGCAGAGGCATCGTGGGCCCGTGTGCATCCGTCGTCTTCGGGGCGGCCTCCCGGGAGCAACGCCGTGGAAGGAAAAGGCCTGCTTGCCCTGTGCGCGCGCGCGCTTTCAGACGCGCTTTGGGCCAAACATGGAAGGAAAGGCAGATGGCAGACAGGAATTTTCTTCTTCTTCTTCTTTTTCTTCTCCTTCTTTTTCTTCTCCTTCTTCTCCTTCTCCCCTTTATCTTGGGATCCCCGCCCCCGTGTTTCTTTCTCTGTTGATTTGGTTTGTTCCGTCTCTCGTCCGAATTCACATTTTCGTTGTTGGGCTCTTGATTGGGGTGTCCCAGCTGAGGGTTTCGTACTCTGATTAGACGGGCGGTTTGCGCGACCGAGGCGAGATGGAGGGGGAAATGGCGAGAGATAAAAAAGAGGCGAAGAGAGTGTGGAGGATCAAGGGGAGAGAGAGACACACACACACACCACACACACACCCACACCTCGCGATTGTGTCAGCACGAGAAGAAAAGGGGGACTGGAGGAGCGACCTGCGATGATCGATGAATACAAGAATTGGTACTTCGTATCGAGTACAGGAGGGCTCATGGCTCGTCAGCCTCACGGGCCCGTCGACAACTGATGCGCAGCCCGGCCATATCCTCGCACAAGGAGGGGGAAACAACCGCCTAATGCATGGCAGGCAAATAATAATAAGCTGAGCAGAACGGACGACTAGCTCTGCCTTAGTGGCCGAGGGGCTGCAGCCAAACACTTACTTGGACGCACATATACCATATTATGCCGGCATCCTTGGATCCGCCAGCATAGCTCTAACGCCCCGATTCGTAGCCATCTTTCGTTGCCAAGCACAAGTACTGTACCTCGAGGATATCGGTTCCGCGTACAATGTACATACAGTACAGGGACCCGATACAGTCAGCGCAACGCCGCAGGCACTCGCTCCCGCGTGGCTCGCGTGTCGGGTGGCATGTACCACGACGCATCATGACCCCTGATCTTCCCCTGGCGGTGCCGCTGGCGTGAGAAACGTCCCCCAGGATCCTTCCAATCGGACGGGCCGATGGCTGGGGGCCGAGAGCGGTGGGAGCCGCATCCAATGTCCGTCGAGAGAGGGATTATGTGCTGTTAGTTGGCCAGGGAGGAACGGGGGCCCGGGGGCTTGGGGGCTGCCGCTCCGTGTCCGGCCAAGTGTAGCGAGCGATGGATGAGTGGAAAGAATGGGGAGGGGGCTCTGGGTCGATCCAGGCCGACGCGGCGCTTGCCACCGTGTCATCGCCTTGTAAATGCACATATCCGCATGCACCGTACTCCGTACAGTCCGCCGTCGTTTCGTTTCCTTCGCGCGTGCGTGCTTCGCAGCCTGCTGTCCGTCCCGTGCCAGCATCCCCACCCTGCCCTGCGGACTGGATCCCCCCCCTGCAGGCCTGGATTTCTCCCAGGCCCTCGGGAACAGACCCCGGTCTGCAAGGTTTCTTTCGACTCGCAACTGCCGAGCATACTACTACTAAACGAGATGTCGAGACCGAACCAGCAGGCCGTCCGAGGGAGGGTTCTGTTTAAGGGACGAGGAGGAGGGTTCGGCGCACACTGTAGAGCTGCTTGTGTTTTCCTTTTTTGCAACATGCATGTTCTTCGTGGGATGTAGCACGTGGTGCGCTGCACGTCCTTGTCCTCGCCTCATTATTGCTCTTGCTCACAGCCCCGCGCGTGTGCCGAAAAATTCAATCCTATCCTTGCCGCAGCGGCGCGGGCGTGGGGAACGGGGCGGAGTGGGGCGCGGGCCTGAGTGGGGCCGGTGCCGATGAGGTCATCGCCAGCCTGTCCGCCCTTCCCAAAGTCCATCTTCACTGCAACCGAGCCGCAGCCCACGCACTTGCTTCTGTATACCGCTCAAGGGGAGGTTGCAGCATAATCTCCGAAGCGCACGTAACTACATCACACACACACACACACACACACACACACACCAGCAATGGGCAACGACGGCCACGAGGCCCGCGTCCGGTCCTGGGGCTTCGGCCACGTCTTTACCTGGAGCGACGGGGCGTAAGTGCTCCACGTATATTCCCGTCCCCGTCCCGTCGGTACAGCAACACGATTACACTTTGGAAACTTTATTCCAACGACCAACACCACCCTGCCCTCGTCCCCCTCCTTCCTCCCCAAGATGCGCTGTTCTTACAGAGCAAATGGACACGACGCATACACACATGCAGAGAATAACTCCACCACGCTGACTTCCGTCACTCCCCCCCCCCCCCTTTGTGGCGCGCAGCAACGCTCACTACCCGCCTCACCGGCACGCTGGCTCCACGACGCACCTCATCGTCTCGGGCGAGATGACGCTGTGGTACCCCGACGAGGCGGACCGCGAAAAGGTCACCTACGGCCCCGGGGCCAGGGTCGACGTCGAGGCCCAGAGGATGCATGAGGTTTGGATTGGGCCGCGAGGTTGTACCTACGTCATTGGCGAGTGACCTCTGGGCAAGCCTTGCATGGGTCCACGGAAAGGAGGGAGGGAGGGAGGCCAAGTCATTTACCGTGCAGAATAGCGAACGGGAATGCCTTGCCCGTTGACTACCTGGGCTTCGTGCCCAAAAGATGAGATGTTCTTCTTAACTGTCAACGCAGAATGGGACACGCGCCCGTCAACGTACACACAAGATGAGGCGGCAAGGTGGATTCCACAAGGCAACCGAACGGGTCAGTGAAAGGCCATGTCATCTGCATACAGAAATCGTCGTCACAAATCCAGCCTAGGAGCGCATGACATGCGCTTACGGCTCTTCTCTGCGCACTCGTCAACGCCGCTCGCTGGCCACCTTCTCGGCCGAAACTGGTAGCCTTTCCTCGGCATCGGGGTAGCCCTCAGTCGCCTTGCCGCGATATCCCGTGGGATGCTCCCGATCGAGTCCATACTCGCGCATCGGGTCCGACGAATTCGCGCCAACGCCCTCCAGCCCGGCACCAACCTTTTTCCGCTTGCCCCCGTGCAACTCTTGACTCGTCATTCCCTCGCCGGGATGGCCGTACCCCTGGTGCACATCGGCCGAGGAGGCCCCCGTCAGAGAGTCGAACGCATTTGTGCCCGCGTGGCCAGCAAACTCTCCAACCGGGCCCGGTCGGAAGCTTTGGTTGGCGGGGGCCGTGCCGGGCATGTGGGCTTCGGCGTGGAATTCGGGGACGCGGTCCTTGCCGACCTTGACCCCGGGAGCATGCTGCAGGAGAAATGTGGTCAGTCCGGGTTGTGTTAGCTCTAGCGTCTGTACTTACACCTCTGGTGGTCATGGGCTCAGAGGGCGGGACTCTGCTCCTGAATTCGCCTTGGGCAGCAGTCATGGCTTCGGGGTTCTTGCTGGCAGACATTGTGTGATTTATGATTAGTTCTAACCTTGAGTCAAGGATCGCGAGTGCAAATGGTCAAGGAATTTCGAGACACAGTCAAGAAGAAGGAAATCATGTAATAGCCCTGCTCTTGGCCGGCCATGCCTCTCTTAACTCTTCCACCTCTCACCGACAGCTTGAGTTTGGGACTCCCTCCACCTTTTGGGTGGTGAAGAGCTCTCGATGACGACAAACTGATGTCAAATGGGCTGTTGTGGGCGGAGAGGGGGGCTGTCGTGCATTACATCATTCATACAAGAGGCGAAACAGGCGGCTATTCGCGCCGTCGTCCAATGGCTCGAGACGCCACAAGCGCTCCGATCCATCCTGTACTCCGCCATGCGGTTTCATAGATGAGGCGAGAATCAAACGGCGGCCGGAGCAATCCTTCCGAGCTTGGTGCGTCGCGTCTACTCGTTCCATGGGGCAGGGAGCAGGCGCTTGTTGGACTCTTTGACGGAGCGCGCCTGAAGAGCCCTCGGATCGCGTCCAATCGCATCCAATCGACGATGGTGCTGGGCGTGGGCCATTCTCGGACAGACGGTACGGAGTAGCACGGATGACTTTGTTTTGGATGGTTCAACGGACCTCAGTTGCATTGAACAGCTGTTGAGCCGCGAGCAGGGGCCCATGCGTTCCATGACGGATCAGCAGCGACGCCTTGCCGCTCCCGACCTTCCCAGGCGGCAAAGTGGCGCAGGAATTCGTTCTGTCGATATTCTGGGGCGTGGGGAAGCAGGCCTGGGGAAGCAGGCCTGAGAGCCAACGTCCGGGAGCAACCAGCTGGTAAGGCGCAAGCCATGTCTGCCTGTCAAAGGTGTGCTGGCTGCCTCGTCGATGCCAGTCGGACAGGGGCGAGCAAACAGGGCGGCTGCTGCCGTGGACGAGCAGGTCCCCGGCCTTGCCCAAAGCGTGGTCGACGGTGCCCCAAAGGGGAAGGTTTAGCGCTCAGCCCTCGGTCTCAGCGCCTCTGGCCGTGCACCGACCGAGGTAACATTGCTGAGATGAGCTAAGCCACAGCGTTGTTTTTTCCACCGGGGCCTCGGTGATGGAGGGCAAAGTAGAATAAGCTCGCGAGGAAAGCTTGTGCAGGAACCGCCGAATCCCTGTAGGGGGCCAAAGGGGGCTGGATAATTGATGCAGATCAACAACGGAAAGTCACCGGTTGCGCTCTGCAATCCGAGCTGCATGCAACAGCAACCACCAAGGCGGTATCTGTAAAAGCTACTACCGAGATGAAGCAAGACATTGGTCTCGGTTGGTCAGCGGGCAACTCAAAAAAGCATCAAACTCGATGCGGTTCTGCCACTCTTTGTCTGGTTAGTACGGCGGTATTTTGGGGTGTTTTTTAAGGTTTCAGCTCCAGGCATGTCGCGCCATCTCAACGCCCGTCGGCGTGCTTCGAGTCGAGACGAACGAGCCGTTTGCATTTGTTTGGTTTCCCGTCGGGCCCAGTCGAGACTTGAAGCGAAGGGAAAGAGACGCATGGTTTGTTCGCTCGTTCGTTCGTGGCATCAAGCTAGCTGCAGCAGCCGTCGACATGCAAAAGAGAATCCGCATGCAAAGTCGCCCGAGACGAGACCGGTGGGAAAAAAGGGGGGGACCAGAGAGGCGCCTATGTGGCTCCCAATTCCCCCATTCAGCCGCACCATGGCTGCCGGGATCTGCGGGCGGCGTCTGCCGTCTCAGGATTGCCGCGGCGCTACAGACGGTTCTAGGCTCGAGGAAATTGATGAGGCGTTTCGAAGGGGGGAGACGAGATGATGCTGCAGAGAGAGGGGGGGAGGGGGCGTGGGGAGTGGGGAGTGGAGAGGTGGAAAGCATCATCAATTGCTGCACTTACCGGAGCTGCACACACTGCACCGCCTGGCCTGTCTGGCGTGTTCTGCATGTACTTTGGTGCAGTGTTCGCTCACACGAGGTACGTACGGAGTACATCGCTCGGCACTACTGGAAAGAGCTCTAGCCTTGCGCGGTCGCCGCCTGCCTGCCTGCCTGCCTGCCTGCCTGCCTGCCTGCCTGCCTGCCTGCCTGCCTGTCCGTCATCGCCCTCTCCTTCCCCGGCCCCGGTGACTTAATATCTCGCAGACGAACACGGTAGGCACGATGCTACCCGCTCTGACAGCCCACCCTCCTTCTCCCCTCGTGTCTGCCGGCATACCCGTACCCTCCGTCTCCGCACTCGTGCAGGGTACCTTGAAGCCGTGCCGCCCTCGGGGGACGACGCCTGTACTCGGATTGTTAAGTACCTCGCCTCGTCTCTCTGCATCCACCTCGTTGCAACCTCGTCTTCTTCTCCCTCGAGCCACTGCCTGCTGGTCTGGCCGTGCGTATCACCAACCGAGGCTCAGCTCCTCCTTCGTTTCGATCTCGTCCGTCTTCGCCGCCCACTCACCGGAGACCCCAACCGACTCCGCCCGCTCAACAATGTCCGCTTAGACGCTTCTCCGCCGCCAGTGGGAGCCCTTCCATCTCAGGGCCCTTGCGGTCGCCGTCGCGGCGCAATGGGCAATACTCCCTCCTCGGAAAGGCTCCGAAAGGCCCCTCACAAGTTGTCCAAGCCGAGACCGCCCAGCCTGGCGTTTGACTTGGCAGAGGATCTGTCGAGGGAGAGCGAGGGCCTGTCTTCGCCCGCCAGCACTCGATACTGCCATAGTTACCTGGCCGGCTCACGCCGCACCACGTCATATCAACACTTGCCGTCTCCATCGCACGACGGCCATTCTCTGTACCGCCAACCTTCTGTCGCAAGCATCTCTCCCTCGGCCCCCTGCGAGCCTTGGCGACAGCCCGAGCCCTTCGACACCGTCGTCTGGTGCCAGCTGCACGCCCCGGCCCTTGGGCCGTCCATCCCCGATGTCGCCGGCTCCGACATGAGAGGTCGCCTCATCAGGACCAGGTCCGTCGTCTACCCAAGCGGCTGCGCTATGCAGTCGCTGACTCGGGCGTACAGGTTAGTCTGTCCATAGCTTCGACACATCCACCCCCTGCTAACATGGCCTCTCCCAGCTTTCATAGCAATGCTTATTCACCATGCAACCCGCATGTCCGTGACCGTCGGCGGTACTCTACCATGGACTCGGTCCGCAGTCCAGATGGCTACGGTGGACCGCTGGAGATGGACTTCCCGCTTCCTCACGTGGACGACACCTTTGGCGTCTTTGCTCAAGCTACCGACTCCAACAGCCCCCCTAGCCTCCAAGAGCGTGCCAAATCGACGTCGTACGTTCCCATGCGCCGTCGGTCCATCTATCAGACTCCCGGAGTCGCCACTCGAGCCGCCAGAGACTATCCGCCCTTGCCGACCAAGCCTGTTATCCAAATCAGTCACCTGACCCCCGCGGTCCACACATCCGGCGGCTCATCCATCTACTCCGACGACCCTGCTTCTCCAATTTCTTCCAACGGACCTGGGTTGCAGGAGCGATCCGTGACACCCTGCGACGCTAACTACAGACAGCTGGGGGGCATCGAGTTTGGTACCTTGCGCATCACCAACGGCTCTCCTATCCCGAGTCATGCCGCCCACAGCGACGATTGGAACGAACAACTTACGCCACCGCCAGTCAACTCTTCCACGCAGGCCTCTTTCGTAATAGAGGAGTCCGCATGGCCGCTGGGGGACATGGTTGTCGCGAACCCCGACCCAGGGGTCGAGGCGGGACCCAAGTTTCACCTTGGTCAGACGTCACCCAGCCATACTAGTCCCAACCAAAACACGCCTCGCAAGGGTCACAATTCTTGGTTACTGGACAAGGACCGGAAACAGGTGGCCGACACGACGCCTTCTCCACCGACCAGCCCTCGGCCAAATGAAGAAATAACTTGGAGCAAGGGCCCCAGCGACGCCGAGTTTATATCACCCGAAGCCCTGGACGTCCGAACTGAAATTGCCGCCAACTCTCAACCCAATGATAACGAATCTCCTCGGCCCTCTAGCAAAAGCCAGCACGGTTCCGTCGGGTCTGATAGCGGCTTCGTTTCGTCCTCGACCTCCTCAAGACAAAGCTCGCAGAGAACCCTGTCCAAAGCAGATAGCGGATACAGCTCCAATTTCTCACTTCGGTCCATGCGCAGCAATTCTTCCAAGTCACGCCGAGACGCTGAGAAAGCTAAGCGTGCATCTGAGCCCGCGCCACCAAAGGACCAAGCACGGCAGCAGTTCCTTGCGGAGGACGAGGATCCATATCACTTGACCAACCACCAGTCGATGCCGTTGCCCCGGAACGCGTTTGCACTGATCTCGCGTGAGAAAATTCGCCGCCTTTCAACGCGAACCAGCAGAATCCCAAGATTATCACCGTCGACCTCCAGGGATCAACTAGCCGGACCCACTGCTTCCGAGACAGTCATGCACCAGGCAGACGTGGGCACCGCAACGCCTAGATGCAGCCCGGACAAGCAGGAGACCCCAAGCAAGCAAGGAAAACTGCATCGTTTTCTTGGCAGCGCCAAGAGACAGAGCCGCGTGACAGCTCTTGTGTCTCTTCACCAAGTTCCCGAGCCTGTCCCAGCAATTCCTCGCAACCTCGAAGGAAAGCTGCAGGGACATGACGAACAACTGCCAAGCGCACCAAAGAGCCAGGCTTCCCGCACGGAGCTGCGACAGCATCCCCAGACGATCGTATGGACTGAGAATACTATGGACGTCGCCAAGGACAAGGAGCACGGACAAGGCAACAGCATGCCACGTCAACGGCGGGGAGGACACTCCGCGCGCTCGGATCCAAAGCCTCAGCAACCTTCCTCTACAGCCATTCCTGTCCCTCCGTACAGCCCCCCGTCATATACGGAAAGACCGTCAATGGACTCAACCCCTCCTCCGATACCCACCAGGCGCCGGCCACTGTCGGGACCGATCAAGCCGAGCCGCGACGAGCAACGGCCTGAAGCCGGTCTGGACAACGCCACCTCGAAGGCTCGAGGCGCTGGACAGCACAAAGAGGGGGCGGACGGACCAGGACTAGACTCCAGGACTTCCGTGCATGAGGCCGCCGTGGGCTCGCCGACTCGAACACGACGTACTCTAGCCAAGCCAAATCTGAAGACTCCTGCGCGTCTGACGCCGCCGATTCCTCTCAAATCTCGGGCATCTGCGCCGAATCTGGTGAGCTCGCCCACAGAGTCTCCTTATCCACCACTTCCTACGCCCAGCCTGCCGCCCAGCAAGCTAGCACGGCCCATGAGCTTGCGGACTCGCAGCTTAAAGACTGCTCGCGACTTGTTGCCGTCACAAGCCTTTTCGTCGAAGAAGCCAGAAGCTACGCCTTCGCCCTCGCAGAAGAGTAGCCGGGAGGGCTTTCATTGGCGCCCGTCGTCGGCGAAGAACTCGGATCCGGTCCCCGTCAGCACGCAGCCGCAAATGCGACACAGCCATTCGGTTTACGGTCGCCACCCTCCCGTTGTCTATCAGCCTCGCCAGCGACAGACCCGCGACGGCGAAGGCCAAAACTACCGCGTACTCCATAGTTACAACTCGCCAGCATACAAAAACGCCCCTATCTGGGGCTAGAGCGCCCCCTCGACATGAATTTCCACTTCGTACCCTCTTTCTTGTACCAGCCTGTTGCTGGCAGGGTTTTGTCTCAAAGATACCATCATGTGCGCCGCGCATGCCTAAAGTTCTGGTTATTCCTTTTGTTCTGTCAAACAGCGCGCCGCGGACCCGTAACGGCAACCCCATATTCCTTCAGGAAGACAGCAGAGCCTGTACTCACCGATTCCTTTTCCTACATGGCCGACTATCCTTTCTCGAGGGTTTGATCAGCCCTGGCCCTTTTTTTGTTCACGTGTATAATCACCCAACAAGCTCACTGACTGAGAAGCACGCGTGGGGCCCGTGTTCCATCCTTACTATAAGTCCCGCGGTTTTCCTTGAGTTCTGGATGGGTTCTGAGGACGAAAATATACCCCTATGCCAGAAAGGCAATCCGATGAGGAGACTTCCGCATATATATAGAGAACGCATAGATTTGTCAATCTGGGTCTTGAGAGCATGACACGGCGCGTGTTGACGTCTCAGAGGTGCGGGTCGACGTGATCAACGTCTACGCCCATTTGTGTATAAATACAAACTCCTACGCAAAAACAAAGAAATTTACCAGTGAAATGCCTAGTACGCGTGATCTCTTTTGACGTATGGCGTCCCGTTGACCGTGTCCACCTTTTGCCTACTCGTCTGCACGGCAGTGCCGACCTTAAGCCTGAGGCCTGGGACCTTTGCGCCGGCCTTGTCGAGCGCCCAGACGGCGAGGCCGATCCAGTTTTGGCCCTTGTATTCGAGGATTCCTTCGGGCACAGGAAACTCGGTCTGTGGACCGATGTTGCTGGCGTACTTGCCGTACTGGAAGCCGTTGACGAAGAGCGTGGCGCGGTAGTCGGCCGTCGTCTGGTTTCCGCCCTGGTCCTTGTCGAATACAAAGGACAGCGGGATGTCGTAGGCGTCGGACGGGTAGTCGAGGGCCAGCGGGGCGACGTAGTAGGCGATTCCGGGCCCGTCAAGGCCGGCAAGGGGGGATGAGCCGCGGACGAAGGCGTCGAGCGGTGGGGCGGGGAGGTGGTAGCCCTGGCGCTCGAAGAAGAGGCCCCCCTCGTTGAGCGGGCCGCGGAAAGTGTCGGCGTAGTCTTCGCCGCCGAGGTTGCCTGTCAGCTTCCAGGGGGAGATGATGGTGGTGGTGGTGGTGGTGGCGGCGGTAGCGTTGGCGGAGGAGTTCCCGGAGAGCAGGGCGTAGTCGAGGATGCCGCGCGGGGCCTTCATGGTGTCGAAGCCCGAGTTGAAATTCTCGTTGAGGCCCATGGTGTCGACGACGACGGTCAGAACGTAGTGCTCGCCGCGGCGCAGGGCGGGGACGCTGTACGTCGAGTCGGTGTCGTCGGCGACGGCTGGGTTTTTGAAGGATCCGAGAAAAGTGCCGTTGAGCCAGACGGCACTCGCAAAGGCGCTCCCCCCCGCCGTCCGAATCCTGAGCCGCGACTCGCTGCCCCCGGCGGTGAAGTGCCCGCGGAAAACGAGGGTGCCCGTGTGGAAGCCGTAGTCGGAGCCATACAGCGACACGGGCGTCTTGAGCGGGGCGGCGGTGTTGTTGGACGTGGCGTGGTTGGCGAGCGGCCAGGCCGAGTCGTCGTAGCCGGACTGGATCTCGGGCAGCGAGTCGATGCGGCGCCAGTCGAGCGTCGAGAGGTCCGGGACGACGAGCTTGGGGATGGCGATGTCGGGCGTGGAGATCCAGTCGCCCAGCGAGGACTTGGTGTAGGCAAGATTCTTGCCATTGACATGGAGCTGTGAAACGCCCTTTGGGGCGCCAATGACCTCGAGCGTCGTCGACGTGTTGAAGTCGGCTTCAAGGGAGAGCGTGGAGCCGTTGACCGAGGCGGAGCGGATGAGGTAGCCGCCGTTGACGATGACGGCCTCAGGGCTCATCAGGGAGCTGCCGTAGGCGCTGCCGTTCTTGGGGAGTACGGGGATCCAGTAGTTGTACGCCGAGTTGCGGTCTGCACCGTTTGGTTAGGAGGGGGGTGCGAGAGAGCGGAAGGTGAGAGGGGGTTGGGATCGCTCCGCTCACCGAGCATGTAGACAAAGAGGTCGTCGACCTGGATGACCTGGCGGCCCGGCGACGCCTCCCACTTGACAACCAAAGCCACGCCATCGATGGCTTGCAGCGAGTAGCTGTCGCCCTCGAGCCGTGTCACGCGATGATCGTCACCCGGCAAGGCAAACTCGTGCGTCTCCCCCGGCCCCCCGTACAACACGAGCACAGACCTATCCGCAAACCTCTTCCACGTAAAGACCTCGGCTGTCGAGTAGAGCAGCACATGGCCCCCGCCGATGGGGTAGTCGGTGACGTGGATCTTGGAGTCGCGGCCATTCAGGGTCAGCGCGCCGCCGCTCTGCGGGATGGCGAGCGTCCCCGCCGATGTGGGCAGCCGCAGCGTGTACGACGCAGGCTTTGTCCTGGCGTAATCGGTGTGCCGGACGACGAAGAAATTTCCCGTGTTGGCGGCGGCGAGCAGCGGCGTCACGGTGATGTTCTTGTTGGTGCTGTATGTGTCCGTGGTTGGGCCTCCGGGCGTGGCGACGAGGTATCCCGGCGAGACTTTGAGGAATTGGGCTTCGAGCTTGAGCTCCGAGTACTTTTCGCGATCAATCACGCCGTTTTCTCGGATGCACTGTGTAGGAATGTCAACGACGTGCTGCCTCCCGCGCCCCCCTTTTCTTACTCGGACATTCTTACTGCGCCGTAGTCATACGAGGTGTAACCCCCTGGATGTCCGAGATTGCCCCAATTAGTACCGCCAAAGATCTAGTTATCAAGACCCCGTCAGCGAGAGGGAGAAGGTCATGGCTCGCCGACGCTCTCACCATGTATAGGTTGAAAATGGTCACGCCAGCCGCAAAGTTGTTCTTGTAAAAGACTCGCTCAAACTCGTGGTTGATAAGGGCGGAGCATTTCTCGGAGCCATAGCCACCCCATGGATCGAAAGACCCGCCTTGGAACTGGGCCGGACTGTCAACTCGGCCCTGCGGCTTATGCCCTTTCCCCGGCCGGGTCTTGGTCACGCACCTCGACGAGTGAAAAGGGCGTGCTCGGACTCTGCTTCACATGGAGCTGTCGGAAGTTGGTTGGCAGGCGAGACGGAGGCCATGTGGTTGGGTTCGCCTGCGTTACGTCGCCGTTAATTCAATTTCCAGACTTTCCATCTCTTGTCATGACCACGTACACAATCGAAGCCAAGAGGGTAGCTATCATGTCCCTACTGACAGTCAGCATCTACAATCCGTTCGTGCCGGCACAGGATAAAGGGCAGAAACCGACGTAAATGTCCACCGCGCCCACGCCGCTGCCCGGAGCATAGTTGCCTGACGGGCCCACGTCGTTGTTGATCATCGGGACGACAATGCCCGCCTTTCGGGCCTGGTCGATGACATATTGAAAATACTTGCCGTTGGGAAACGGGATGTTGTAGCCGTAGCTATACTCGTTCTCCGGCTGGAACAAGACCACAGGTCCACCCCGGGTGATTTGATGCTTAGCAATGATAGCGCATATCTCAGCCATGTAGCTTCAAGACGTGGGGGCTTAGCGACGGCGAAGGCAAACAACATGGGACAGCGGGCAGGTCTTCTCACTTGTCCGTCGAGCTGAGGTAGTCACCGGCATCGGTCCGCAGCACGCCCTTGATTCTCTGAAGCCAGCCGGGGAAACCGCCGCCTGACACCTCGGCGTTGATGTAAGGCCCGGGCCGGGCGAGGAGGTAGATGCCGGCCTCGGTGGCGGCTTCAAAGAAGGGCTCGAGGGAGAAGACGCCGTCGGCGCGGAACTGGCCTGGCTTGCCCTCGAGAAGCGCCCAGTCGACGTAAAACGACACCATGTTGAAGCCAAGCGCCTTGATCTTTTGGAAGATGTCAAGGTACAGGGATGGCACTGGGAGCCGGAAGGGGTGGAATTCGCCCGAGAACATCATGGCGCGCTCTCCGTGGATGAAGAGCGACTGGTTGTCCCAAGTGACGATGTCCTGGAGGAGCTCGCGCTTCTCCGGCTCATAGACGATCTGAGCGGGCCGGCCGCCGTGGCCAGTGAGGCCAAAGGCGCTGCAAACCGGCAGCGCGAGCGCCGCGACGAGCGCCGTCGATGGCTTCATCCTGGATCGCGATGGTCTACAGAGGGCACTACACCCGCAGACTAATCCGAGGCCACTTACATACAGCTACCGGGCGTCCGTGTGATATATAGCAGCGACCATGGCCCCGCTTGGCCGGCAATCTCTTCACTTCCATGGCCAAGAGGGCAGGGGAGGGGAGGCGCATACAAGCTCTAGGTCCCATGCGCGGCCGGGCGCCGCTCGATGATACCTTGCCAGATCAGCGGATAGCACCAAGGCTCACCCCGGCAGGCCGAAAACGTCGTGTCGGAGAAACCAGCATCATTAGTGACCTTTTCTAGCAAGCTGTATGCAACCGGGGTGTGCAGAGTGATCAGATTGCAAGCGTTTGATTGGAGACTTTTGGCCGGCACATTGCGAGATGCAGACAGATCATCTGAGATGGCCGGCACGTTGAAAGCCTGCAGGAGGCGATATTGCAATGTCCTGGTCGGGGTTGCACCCGCCGGGACGTGATGCGGCAAACCCCCGTGCTGCGTGTTTGGGGGCGTCGATTGATATATGCTTCGCATGCTCCGTATCTGCAGTGTTCAATAAGTTACTTGGTGTCCCTGCTTATGCTTCGTGCCGTCTATTACCTCCAGCCGGCGCTCGACTTTCCTGCGAGGCTTGCTCAACTGCAAAGCCAGGGATGCGCGCACGCTTCTGCAGCCAGTTCATCTTGGCCTCTTCCGTCCACTTGCTGTCGATGCCAATGTGCCTTTAGGAATCCTGCCAGAGCGATGCCGCATGCCCCCACTGATTGAGTAGGTACTCGCCGATGCTGAGTCTCCGGTCCAAATCTAACGTCGCTAGACTGGTCCTCGGCGGTCAGGCGGATGCCACGCTGCAGGGCTAGCTTGACCTAGTGTTGAGCAGCTTCGACTCTCTCCTCGGACATGGCGTCCGTGGGTTTTTCTTTTGAAGTCGTGTAGGGCTTGATAGACATCCGCGCCTTGTGCCAGCTACTGGACGGTGCAGTGTCCACGCTCAACGGCGCCGACGAGGGTTGGCTCTAATCGATACGTTGAGCTGAGGTCAAGCAGGTGTCGTGATGAGTCGCGGCGAGTCGCGACAAAGCGTGCCACCTTCCTTTTAGGACATGGCAAATATAGCAACCGGCAGAGCTTTTTCGTGCCAAGGGTAGAAGCAGGACTACAAGAGTCTCGACGATTCGAAACGGCGCAGCTATACACAGTTTAGCCGAGTAAAGTAGGTAGTCTTCCACATCATCTGTGCTTGTCCCTAGCGCTGCCCATTTACCTACCGGGTAGGCCAGGAACAGAGGACCTTGTCCGCCTCTCCTCGCAACGGCCCAGGTGGACAGGGGCGGACAGGTGCCGTTTTGGTTCGACTGGTAGCTACCGAGTCTGATCATGTCGGCACGGACAGCTTGATAGGCGTCCCACAATAGCGGCTTTTCCTCCGACGTGGGCCCCGGGCAGCACCGGCGGGAACGGGCCTTTTGCAGCCCCATACTTGTCCGTCCGGTCGGGCGCGGGAGGCTGAAGTCTAATATCCACATGGATGCCGTCTCTCGGGTCCCTCTCGTCGCCAGACTCCACATTCGGCCTCGTCTGGACCCTCACCGCGTGCTCACAACATGTCTTGACCGGTCGCGGCCCGCGTTCCATTCACAGAAATGGGCATTCCCGGCCGCGAGACTCCAGGTCCACCGGCCGGCCATCCCTCTCTCGCGTGCGTGCTTGTGAGCAACCGCACAGTGCCTCGCACGCGACTGTACATGACGGAAAGTGTGTCCGGAGATGCTAACGGAAGCTCGTGCAGTTAGTAGTGTGTGTGTGTACAGTATGCATGCAACATGCACACGTCGGTGGTGAGTGATCGGACTGCGCCTTGAAGTGTTCCAACGCACCTGTGAGAGAGAGGCCACCATCCACCATGTACTCGGCCGTAACACGGCGCCTCGGCCCAACCAGCAGTGGATGGATCCAACGCGAGCGATGCTGTGCAGAAGGTCGTATTGCTCGCAGCCAAGCTACTGCCGAGAGAGAGCGCATGCGGGTGTCTGCCCAGAGTCGACGGCAAGCCACGATCAAGTGCTGGATAGCTGGGACAGAGGAGCGTTGGACACACGTTGCTTCGGTTTGGCCTCGGGGCGCAGCTGTCCCCGAAACGCAGTTGTCCCGCATCTCGTCATCAGGGGCGGTTCGCCGGCCAATGTGGACAAGGGACAGGGCGGTCGAGATTGCTTCCTTGTAGCCTCGCCATGCCGGCATGGTTGTTTATTATGCTGTTGGTCCGTGGATTGTTCTTGAACAGGGGGCCCCGAGTTGAGACGTCAGAGAGTCCTCGGTCTGTCGGCCAATCAACAGGCTGACAACGCTGTGCCTCTTGTCGCACTGTACTAAGAGAGTACCTACAGTAGGCGAGCAGGTACAGATTGTACCTACGGTACCATTCCATCTCTCCTGTACAGTACGGTAAGCTGTTGAAGTGGCAATTTCTGGGCGGCGGGATGGCCGGCCGAGACGAATCACAAAAGCATGAGGAGACGTGTTGATCAGGCAATGGGGGCGCCCATGCCAAGCCATGCTCAAGGGGAGGCAGCCAGCTGGAGCGGAGCCAATGCCCAGATACTGTGGTACCGTGCACGAAGCGGTGCCCGTACCGTGCGCTGCCCCGGGCACAGTGCATACAGTCCGGGTACATGCTCCTGTCCGGTCTTCGACCCAACAACTGCGCTAACGGCTGGCCAGGCCTCATCAGCAGGTCGGTTGGGCTAACGTGCGCCTGTACAGAGTACAGTGCCCAGGTATCCATGTCCAAGAGAAGAGCCCGGCGTCTGGAAAGGTAGCGCCCAATCCTGGGCTTGCCCTTTGGGCCTCACACTTCTGACACCTCCGTCAGCTCGACTTGTCGCCCGGGCCGCACTCAGCATCTCCAGCAACGGTAGCCACGTAGGTACCCGTCAGGCATCAGCCGGGTCTCCTACCGCGAACCAAAGACCTGAGGCACTACGGATAACGAGTCTTTGTTTGCCAAGACCCCTGCATCGCCCCCACAAAATCCTGCCGCTCCGTTTCGTCCGCGCCTGCGCCTCGTGATCTCCAGGGCCTCTCACCAGTTCCTCCCACCCTCCCCTCCTTCAAACTCCCTTGGTTGCATCCATTCGCGCGCGTGCACATGCCTGTCCGACTCAGGCGGCACTCTTCCTACAACTCACACAGTACACCCTCTTCAGTCGACTTGCCTTGCTTTCTTCCCCCTCCGTCAGCTTCCTAATTCTCTCGTTTGAAAATCCATAGTCCTCGTTTGCGCCTCGGGTCTTGCCCTTGACCCGCTCCGCTCGCTCCGCCCTCCTGTGCCCTTTCTCTCTCTCGACCATCTCGATCCTCTCCGACGATTACCCAAATCATCGAGCCGACGATTCGCTTCGCGTCATTCTGTCAACCGACCGACCGCGTGCCGACAAGGAGCTCAAGGGGCTCCACGAGTTTTGGCGTCAAGTTGCTCGCCCATCTACATTCCATCGCTCTGTTCACGTCCACCGCATGTTCCATCATGTATTCTCACCGACTCTGTCACCTTTTGGTCGTGGCCATCTCGCTGCTCTGCCTCGCGCAGGCCTCGTGGCCCAGCTTCAGCCTCTTCGGTCGTCTCCTCCTCGTCCCTAGGCAGGCCGTGAGCGCTGGCGATGCTTCCAACTCTGCCTCATCCGCTGCCGCCGCTTCTGGTTCCGACGACGTCGCGAGCCCGTCGCCGTCCTCTCCCCCCAGCAAGCCTTTGACGAGCGAGGCCCCTGTTTCGGCCCCTGCCGAGACGTCGCCTTCACGCCCCGCTCCGCCTGCGCAAACGTCCATCCGGGTGCCTCAGACCAGCAGACCGGCGTCGCCCGCGTCCCAATCCCGTGTTGAACCAGCTGCCACGTCGGCAGCCGCGGCCTCGTCCTCGGCAGAGAAGCAGCCCGAAAGCCCTTCTTCCACGTCTCAGCCTACATCAACCTCCGATGCAGCCGAGAGCAGTGCTTCCACGTTCACGCCCGTGGTGTCCACCTCGATCGAAATCATCACCATGACGAATAGCGATGGCTCCACGACGGTTTCGACGTCGACGTCGAGGACTACATCCACGCCCGTGTTGAACTCGGGGGGCGCCGACCAGACGTCCGGGATGACGCCCAAGACTCGCAACACTATCATCGGCGTGGTTGTCGGTGTCGGCGGCGCCATCGCGCTCGGCGCTTTGGGCTTCGTGGCTTGGCGAATCTGGGGACGCAAGAAAAATTCCGAGGAGAACGACGGCCTCATGGACTACGACATGACGGTGACGGGCATTGAGAAGCCTGAGCCGGGCAGCTCTGCCGGCCCGGGCCCGCGAAGCCCTTTCCAGTCGACCTTGGAGAACTATCACCAGCCGACACAAGTAAATGCGTCGTCCAACTTTTGATTTCCACCACGGCTGAACGGCGCCACAAAGCCGCCCACACAAGCCAACTCGGCGTTTCATCTAGCGATGAGGACTTGATACTGTCTCTTGGTGGTTACCTCGGCGCAATGCCCGCGTTGTCGGCTTGGGTTCGACGACTCGCCATTGTCTTCTCCGACCGGCGCCATTCCATCGCAGGCTGTGGAGCACCTCCCCCAAAAAAAGATGGAGTGGAAGATAAGTCGGCAGGGAACAAGGTTGGGGTGACAAAATGGAGGACCGCCACTTTGCCTGGTTGCTCTTGAGATGGCGCGGAAATCGCCTTACACAATGCATAGCGAGCCTTTGTCGAGCATTCTAGTTTTAATTTAGCCCTCTGGTGTATGGACACCGATGCAGCATTGTATCATGACACCGAGTGGGCTTGTAATCTCGTGGACCCGCCTCGTCCGGCACCTGGCGATTCGACGTATATTCTTGCCAATACACTGTCCGCGCGTTGGTTCTTTGTCGCTATTACTCTTGAGAGCCTTGACATGGACCGTGCTTGAACCTTGGGCCTGTATCGAGGTGATGGCGATGATGGCGATGATGGCTTTGAATGAAAGGGTCATCTGCCCCGACATTTCCAGGACATGAGCCCAGTGTGCAGTGCCCTGCCTTGCTACGTTGCCAGACTATTCTTGGAGCCTCCTGCCCAGGGTTGTCTCGATGATTTGGAAAGGTTGGACACGACATACGGATAGATGGAAAGCAGTTCAGGGAGACGCTAGCCACTCAACCTTGTATTAAAGTAGCCTACCCGGCCGGCCGGCGCCAGACCTAATAATATGGCGACACCGTTTGCCGGGTGGCCGAAAAGGGGGAGGGGAGCAAGGAAAAAGGAAAAGTTGTAGTTTTCGGTGAGACGTAACCTCGGACTCGTTGGAATGCAGGTGTTTTCTTTCTTTGCGAGGCTTTGAGTGAGGCCGTTGGGTGGCTGGTCTCGACCGTCTGCCATCCTCGAAGGGATGGATTGGGTACGGAATCACATGATGGAGAGCCAACGGAACAGCACTCGTGTTTCCTGGACAGTGTTCAGACCTTTACAGAAGACGGATGGAAACGTGCACACCAAGTCGGCCGTCTCCAGCGGCACCGTCTTGAATGGGTGGATTGGAAGAGGTTAGCCACAGCCGCTACGGGCGTCAATCCAAGACGAGAGAAGAGGCCAGGGTCTTGGTCCGACGTGTCCACCGATGCCAATGCAGCTTTGGGGCAGAATATGATGACCTTGGCGCACACAACTGGCGACGCAAGGGCGAAGGGGCATCAGAAACAAACCCGTAACCACACACGCGTGCTTACGCATACACATACGCGCGCACACGCGCGCACAGAAGCACGCTGTGGGCGGGTGGGATTTTCCTGTATTTTTCTTCTTCTTGGTACTTCGTCTCCTCTCCCTCTCGGCCCCCTCTGCTTTGACATCTGTCAGCCCAAAGCTATTGATTCTTTTTCTCTTGCCCCCCACACGTCGTCCCCTTCATTTGGCGAGACGTTGATTGGCGGGTTCCGTGCGCGCGCATGACGCCGCGGCCTGAACTTAAAGCACTCGTTGGGGGTGGCCTGAAGAGGCAGGCAGGTGGGCCATGTGGACGCGAGCCGTCTGGTAGTTCCCGCGCGGTGCCTGGACTTTGTTTTCCTTTCTCGCTCGCCGCACTCGAGGGAGAGCCTCGCTGCCTCGGCACGAACATGCAAGGTACCAAGGCAGTACTCGAAGGCTTAGGTAAGGCACGTCGGATTCGCATTACAGAGTACGGAGTACGGATACACCTCACTCATCTCCTAAAATTAGCTTGCACTCTGTCCTAATGATTACGGAGACGAAGAATACCCTACCAAGCAAGATGGAGCATCCCTGACCATAGGGTATTTTCGTCCTCTCTACGGATACGCGTCCCGAGCACAAGGTTGGCTGCATTCCGGAGCGTGGCCCGACCTGGGGAAGAAGGCTGGGGAGGGGGGAGTTCATGGCGGTACCTCGCTGTACAAGGTGCCTTTCTATGACGACTTCATCATTGCATGTGCCCGGTACCCACTTCTGGTGCGCGGACACTGGCCACAAATGGCCACAAAGGTGTCCCGCGCGTGTTTTTTTTATATGACTCTGAGCTTACCAGTACCGACAAGTACTCGCTGCCGCATGTCGACTGCTAGCCAGTGCGAGCTGTCTCGACGCCGAACGATGAACCCGGTTTCCGTAACTCATGCAGAAATTACAGATAGCCCTTGAGCAGTTGGCGGTTTGTGGGTGCCCTGACTCGAGGTGTTGATGGGGAATCTTGCCATTTCGCGTGGCAGTAATCAAACTCGGGGTCTGCGATGCTGGCCGATATCACGCGTTGGGGACCTAGGCTAAGCTGCTGTTTACTCTGTACCCTCCCTACCGTGTTGCGCACCTGCACTCTCCCGTTCAGCTGCATCGTCCCCGCCAGTGGCCGCCGGCAGACGCGGTGCTACGGATACAGTGCTGTCCAATACCTAACCCCCCCCCCCTGGCGCGAGATGACATCCTGGACTGGCGTGGTGTCCGAGGGCGGGCCGTTCATTACGAGCACTGGCTGGAGCGTCTTTTTCCTTATTTTACTCGGCGGGTGCTGTTGTTTTGCATGAAGAAGAGAACAACAGGAAGTGAAAAGGTAGCAAGTAGCAGCCTCCCAAGGCCATGCTCCATCCATCAGAAGCATGAGCTCTGCTGCAAAGAATCCCTCGTATGCTGTCTGAGACCTCATTGTTGGCTTCGGTACCTTGTGGCGCGTAATCCGTACCTTGCAGTCCCGCCGCCTCCCCCTACCTCCCCTGGGTACCCGACACGAGACGCAAGGTAGACGCAGCTGGCAGGTACTGTACTGTACCTCGTCACCTTGCTTTGCTTGAGCTGGCTGGCATCGAGCAGCCCTCCGCCTCCCACCCCCCCAAAAAACTGGCAGCCCTCGCCCTCGTTTTGGCCTCGCCAACCCCCGACCGGCTACATACCAGAAGGGCCCTGATTCTTCGACATCATCCCCCTCTTGCCCGCTCCCCCGGCCCCGACCCCTCGAGCCTCCCGATGTGTCCGGCCGCATCGCTCCGTCCTCTCTGCCGCTGCTCTCTCTTTCTGATGCCGTCGACGCCGTCCTCCCTTTGAGCTGTCAAGGACGGGAGCCAACGTCGAGGCTGGCATTGGATCTCGGCCCCTTTTCTTCATCCACACGTCGGGCAACGCGTCGCGTGCCGACGCCCAACGCTCTCTCACTCTCGCGCAGAGCAAGCAAGTCCGGGAACCAACCCGCGAGGTGAGAGATTCGGCTGCAGGCGATTTATCCTTCGTCTGCGCTGATCTCGCCTGGTAAGCTGCTACTCCTACCCCTGCAGTTGGCCTCGGCGGTGCATCGGAAGCTTGGCCCCGTCTACGCCACCAGCTAACCATTTCTCTCACTTCCACTCTGAATAGGCTTTCGTAAACACGTCGCCTCAAAGGTCGACAACGCCTCCTCGTCCTAGTGCACGCGCACAGGACGACCCTGGCCATACGTACTTTTCTCGGTCCTTGTCATCCCCCGCTCTGTCGACTACCTCTACAGCCCACGACGGCGACGACGATCTCGAGTCCTTCCCTGCCGTCCCCTCGCTCCCAACGCCAAGCTTGCCCGCGTGGGTTGCCGATATCTTGAGGACTCCGTCCCCCAGCGCGGCGGAAGAATTTGGCACCGCGAGCTGGGGCTCTCCGTACCCCGAGTCGGACCATAACCTTCGTCGCTACAGCTTCAGCAGCGAGACCTCCGACGACTCGCTCATCCACCACCTCAACCTCGACACCCCCTTCTTGCGCTCACAGCCCGGTCCCCCCCAGTCCGAGTCGGAGCCGCAGTCGACTGTTAGTGCCGCGGCTGCAGTTCTCGCAAATCGCGCCAGGCGTCGAGATAGGGGGCTGACGGAGGATTGGATCCGCACCCACACGACGGGCATTGTCAACGCTGAACCCAAGCACTGGTTCAGCGAGGGAAGCGAGACGGACCACTCTTCACTGAGTGGCTCTGAACTCGGGTGGCTGGACAGCGACCTCCGCACCCCTAGGGCTGCCAGCGTCGACGAGCTGTCCTCGTCGCGGCAGTCTCGACGTCCTCGTGGGCGGTCCAGCGTCGAGACGTTGAAACCACGAGACTCATTCGACCTGGAAGCAGCCGACACAATGGCCATGGCCACAAGCGAAGGTGCGGCCAGCGCGCCTGACTTTGCTGCAGGTATCTTGCTCGCCGCCGAGCAGCAGGCTGCGACTCCCTTTTACGAAACGCCAGACGAGAAGATGCCGAGGGGCGAGATTGAAGATGCCAAACCACACGTCACACCGGTCAAGGGAGTCCACAAGCCCCTACCGAAAGAGCCCTTGATGACCCCACCCATCAAGAAAAAGGTGCCGTGGAAGGGCAAGAACATCTTGGTCTTGATTCCACGAGATGACAAGCGTGGGCTCTCGGGCCAGAGCCCCATGCCTTTGCGATCAGATGAGGTTGACCGAATGTTTGCTTCCTGGAAACAGCTGGGTTACAGTGTGGACGGATTCGACCTCTTGGTCGAGGGCTATCAGCCGCCGGGCACGGACGATTCTCAGAGCCGTCAGGACTGGCCCTCGGATGCAGACATGGCTCAGGAGCGGGCCGGGAGGAGCTTCAAAGTGACGCTGCCGGATCTAAATGGTGAGTTGCTCAGCACGTGTCCGGCCTTGCCCGGAGCTGACATTTCCCCGACTGCAGCTTGGAAGGAGTACGTCAATGAGCTCCAGGAAGCAAAGCTCCGGGCTTTGGGCGTCTCGTTGGCGGAGGAAGAGCCGGGGCCGCCGACAGTATCACCTCCAACGACAAATCCGTCACGGCAGCCATCGGCGCAGCACTCAGCGCTGCCATTCTCCCCCCCAATGCCGACATCTTCCGCATCCAGCAACCACGGCATTGCGGGCTACCCCTTCCCCGGGCAGTTCATCCCCGCCGCCCAGAGCCCCGGATTACCCTCGGGGCCTTCTCCGGTCCCCTTTGCTGCCATGCCTGGCAAATTCAACTCCCGCCAATCCATCTCCCTGCCCGCGGGCCCCTCTCCCTTCCAACTCCGACAGCCGTCCCCTCAGGCATGGCACAACGGCCAGTCTGGAATTATGCACGGCTTGATGCGAAACGACTCTCCTTCACTCGCCAATTTTAACGGTATCCTCTCCCCTCAGTCTCCGTATGGCATTGATGGCCTGCAGCAAGCTGGAAGCCCTGCTTTCAACCCGCATCAGAGACATCAGTCAATGCAGTACTTGCCTCAGCATATGACTGCCAGGGCATCGCCGCGCTTGCAAGAGGTAATTGAGGAAGAGGGAACTGTTAGCAGGAGCCCGTCAATGACGCCGGAGCCGACGAGGCAGAACCCGGACAGCCTCCAGGCCGAGATTGACGACGCAGAGTACCACCTGGAGGAGCAGCTCCGCGAACAGCTCGAGCACGAGGACTACAACCCCCAGACTCAGACTGAGCCCCCCGCTGTCGGACCCAACCCCCCCGCCCCCGCCCTCGGGCAGGACAGGAACGGACCTGGCGACATGGCTGTTGCCCAAAGTTTTGCGAATGAGCCTGGCAAGCCTCTCATTCTTCACCACCCCCGACCCCATAGCCGTGGCCATTCTCTGTCCCAGAGCTTCTTCCGAGACCACATCGAGGATCAAAAGAGCCCAGAAGAGGGCGGCCGCCATAAGCTTGACGCATTGAGCGAAATGCCCGAGGCTCAAAAGGTCCAGGAATTGCAGGAGATACAGACAAATCCCAGCGAACCTGGCACGCCTGGCAAGACCTTCGACTTCCCTACGGCATTGGGTCAGCATGAAAAGACACTGTCGACTATCAGCAATCCCTGGCACGACTCCGTCTCTGCCACCGGCAGTACCCGGAGATCCAGTCATGGCAGCAAACAGTCCCTGTCGACGCTCAACGTTGAGGCACCGGAATTCAAGTTCAACCCGGGCAACACGTTCATCCCCGGCTCTTTCAACTTCTCGGGCAACAGTTTCCAGCCTGCCGTTTTCCAGGCCGGGAACGCTGCGGAGACACCGTCGGCCAAGTCTGTCTCTCAGTTTAGCGGCTCTGCCAAGTTCCATGCTACCGCTCCATCCTTCTCTCCGGGCCAGAGCGACTTCAGCTTTTCTGCGTTTGGGCCCATGTTCCGCCCCGATGCGCCCGCCTTTACTCCCTTCCACCCGCTGTCTGGCTCCATCACCAGTCCAGGAGGGTCCAGCAGCGACAATGCTGGGAACCGGAGCTCGATCTTTGGGAGCATTGACATCAAGGCTAATGATATTATCAAGCCAGCTAAGAAATCAAAGGCCATTCCAATTGTCAGACCTTCTAGTATATCGTCCGTCAAGTCTACAAAAGCCTCGAAACCCGTTGACGCGATCCACGAAGCACCCGAAGACCAGCCCCTCCATGAATCCAGGGTCAAGCGAGCCTGGAGCGCTGCCCCTGACGGAGACGACGTGCCTCTGTTCGCCGAGCGACCAGAAGATGCCCCCCCGGAGACCGCTCCTGATACTGCCAGGGACGAACACAGCGGCGGAGAGGATGGCTCCATTCTCGAGGGAGATAATGCGCTGCTCGCTGACACGTCCATGTCGTCCATTGTCACGTCCGATCACAACGAAACAAAAGCAACCACCGCCGCGTCGTCGGAAATATCTCCAATCGGCAACAAGAGTCTCAAGGACTGGGCACCGTTCGAGTTTGGCACCAATTTTGAGGCACCAAACTTCGGCGAGTCGCGTATTTTCGGTGACGATTCGAAGAAGGGAGAGATTGCCAAGCCGCTTTCTACCACTGCCGAGCCGCCGGCTAGTATTGATGATCAGCAAACCAAAGAGTCAGCATCCAGTCAGGACAAAGAGGCACAGTCTGCCGGCCCTCTGTCCGCGCCTGCTGAGCCCAGTCTCCAGTCCTCTAGGCCTAAGCTCATGCCCAAGGGCTTGGGAGCTTCGCGCTTCGCGTCACCGCCGCTGCCCGTTGACGGCTTGGTCGCCTCTCACTTCGAGGAGGCAGCCTCGTCTGTTGGCATACCGGAATCTCGACCCACTGAGTCGGCGAAACAGGACGTCATCCAATCCGTTGAACAAGATGGCACACCCGCCGTTGAGGGCGCCGTCGAGCAAATCACCGATCCTGGCGCGGATCGCGAACCTACTTTTGAAGAAATCGATGCCGTCATGCAACACCTGGAAAACAATCCATCTATGGGAGTCAACAAATCGTTGGACATGTCCCAATGGCAACCGCCAACAGCTTTGATGGAGGCCGACTCGCCTGGCGCTGACCTTCAGCCTCCCATTGATCAGTTTGCGAGAGACGGTACCAGCCTCACCCCCCGCCAATTCCATGCCATCCCTGATGCTCCTCCGATGTCGAGCACGGAATTGGAAGATCCATTTATCGATCCGCCTGCGAGCTCGCACTCACCCAACCTGAACAACGAGCTGGACGATGCTGAGCTTGAAAGCGAACCAGCCAGCGATTGGGAAGCCGCCTTTTCAAACGAGGAGCACGACAAGCTCGAGAGCCGAGCTCATTTCTTTGACGGACGCGTCAACGAAGTTGTAGGTGGCTTGCTGGCATCCAGGCTTGAGCCCATGGAAAGGGCACTCTTCTCGATTCAGCATGCCCTGGCACCCAAGTCACGCCGCACCCCATCCTCTCGCCGCGATATGCGCAGCGTGTCTCTTGAGTTCCAGGAGAGTGATGCTGATGATGAGGACGAAGAGCTTCTACCTCAGCGCTCCATGAGTCCTCGCAGAGACCGCAGGATGGAGCATATTCGGATCGCCGTGACTGAGGCTTTTGCTGCTCAGCAAAGGAACCAACCCCCCACCTCAGCGGCCGGCGAAGGCTTGCTTTCGAGTGGAGATCCTGCCATACTAAAAACACTCGGGGAAATCAAGGAGCAGTTGGCTGCCCCAACCGCCGCACGCGCAATCGAGCCAAGCAAGACTGCCAAGGGTGAGAACGAGGGCCAAGAGACTCCAGTCCCTGGGACCGATGAGCAGATTCTCTTGAAGATGCAAGAGCTGCAGTCTAAACTTGTGCAATTCGAGGATCGGCTGTACCAAGAGCAGTTCAATGTCGAGAAGGCGGTCGCCGAGCGCCGCGGGGCCCAGGACGAAGCGGCAGAGCTCAATCGCAAGCTGCAAGCTGCCGAGACGCGAGTCGAGGTCGAAATCATCAATCGAAGCGTTTTCGACCAGCGTGTGGCAGACCTGGAGGAGCGTCTAAGACAGCAAGAGGAAAAGAATGAGGAGGAGATCAAAACTCGACGGGCTGCGGAAGACAGGTTGTCTGAAGTACAACGCTTACTCAGGATCTCGTCTGAAGAGGAGACTCGCCTCCGTGAAGTCCTGGACGACAGGGACGAGAAGATCAAGTCCTTTGAGGACGCGAGCGGTAAAACTGCCATGCAAATGGCTCTTCTCGAAGCCGCGCAGACCAACTCGACACAGGCTCAGAGTGAAATGACCAACAAGATCAACGCGCTCGAGGCGGACCTCAAGAACGTGCGCCAGGACAACACGCACTGGCGATCTGAAGCTGAGCGAGCCGACGAGGCTGCTGGTCGCAAGAGCGGAGAGCTTGCTCACGTTCTCCAGGAGAACAAGCTCATGCAAAAGTCGCTGACCACATTGACTTCGCAGCTCGAGGAGAATGAAAGGCTGCGGGAGTCGTGGCGAGGCAAGTTTATGACTCTTCAAGATGACATGGGCAGGGCTGCTCGCGATATTGCCGAGGAGAACGCTCGGCGCATCAAGAAGGACCAGGCTATGCTTGCCAGGCAAGAGGTTCTTGATGCAAGACTCCAGGCCGAGGCTAAGACCCGCGAACGTCTGGAGGTTGAGATGGAACGCCTTCAACTCAATGAGAGGTCTGGAATGCGTGCTGTCAACGAATGCAAGCGTCTCGAGGGTCTATTGGTCGAACTGCAGACCGAGAACTACAAAGTGCAGCAGTCTGCATCGCGCTACCAGCGGGAATTCGAAGAGGCCAGGGAGTCTGGCGTCAGCGAGGTGAAGCGGACCCGCATTGCCTTACAGACCGAGATCGATGCCGCCAATAACCTGGTCAACGTCATTCGCGAAGAGCTCGAGGAACATAACTCCAAGTTGCGCGGCGAGCTGGATAACGTCAAGCTCGAGGCGGACACGTCCAGGGCTCAGAATGAGATGTTGCTCGAGGAAGTTCAGACGCTCAAGGTGGCGGAGATTGAGGACATCAAACGCAAGCACCAAAACGAGCTCGAGGACGTGCAGACACGCTTCGAACGCCAAATCAGCAATGCGAGCGAGGATGCCCAAAAGGCGGAGCAGCAGCTCCTCGAACGCCTCAGCCTGTCTTCTTCCAAGATTGAGCATCTACAGGATCGCATCGTGCATCTCGAGGACAAGCTGGATATTGCCAAGGAGGCGGCGGCAGCGGCAGCCCAAGCCGCCAAGTCTGCCGGCGCCGAACCCGGTGTTGCTGCCACTTTGAACACCGCTCCTCCCCAGGCACCCTCCCGTCAGCTCGATATGCCCGAGAAGATCTCGCCCCAGGCCCTCCGGGAATCAATCATGGTTCTTCAGGAGCAGCTCCAGGCGCGCGAGCAGAGAATCGAGGAGCTGGAGCAAATCGCTGCCAAGGCTGATCCTGATGCGGCTTCCAAGATTTCCAAGCGCGATGATGAGATTAGCTGGCTGCGTGAGTTGCTTGCCGTGAGACACGGAGATCTTCAAGACATCATTGCAGCCCTGTCTGGTGCTAGGTACGACCGCGAGGCCGTGAAGGATGCTGCAATCCGCCTCAAGGCCAACCTCCAGATGGAGGAACAGGAACGTGAGAGGGCCATGAACGGCGGCTCTGCCATCCACCTGCCCAACATTGCGCAGAGCATTCAAGCCGCTACGCCTCGAGTTGCTCAGACCATCGGCCCCATCGCGGCGGCATGGGGCAACTGGCGCAAGTCGAACCAGCAATCCTTCCGAAGCATCTCCGGGGTGCTCAACGTGCCTGCCGGGAACAACGCCACTCCGTCTAAGGGTCGGGGCCGCCCCGACTCTCAGAGCAATCCGCTTGGCGGTCTCCTCACACCGCCAACCTCGAGTCTCCGCCAATCGCCCCTCGTTGATACCAGACCTCAGCCGACGGCCTTCTCCAGCACTGGCCGCCGTTACACGGTCCAGAGCAGCGTACCTAACAGGGCCCGGGGCGAGTCGAACTCGTCGCGCCGGTCTGAGAGGATCATGACTTTCCAAGGAACCCCGCCGCGCCAGCAAGAGCACAGGGAGCTCATGACGCCCCCCATGATGCACGACACCGGCTACGATTCCGACGCCCAACCAGGCGATTTTGACGATCAGGACTTTTTCGAGGAGGAAGACGAGTGAGCCAGCCGACGGCAGCATGAGCGCGGCGCGCGAGATATGCGCGGCCCGAGAAGCGTGTGTCGGGGGTGGAAAACAATGTGAAGCATCACGAGCTTCTTCTCTTTCATTTGTCTTTTGTCATGTTGAAAACGGCAGCAGACTGGTCTTTGGAACCGCGAGCAAACACCTACGTACCGTACCTACTACACTCTGCCCTGTCTTATCCTTTTATTTCACCCAGACTGCAAAACCACTTGTACCTAGAAAAGATACCCCTTTGGATTTGCGGCTTGATTTTCATCTTTTTTTTTACACTTCTGCACCTGGCCACTCCGTTGTCTAGGACGCTTTGAGCCCCCTGACAGAGTGCGTCCAGGGCCCGTTTTCGGGACAGAGCGCTTTTCTACTCGCCCCTTGGAAGCCTCCTGTCGGCTCTTTTATGAACGGTTGAAAACCGCCTTTATTTTCTTTTGTGAGTGCATAGCGATTTGGGGAAGGGGGACTGGAGGCCGAAGTCACTCGTTTTTAATTCGATGAGGAAAATGTCAAGACAAACCGATATCCCGATAATATTAATTCTACAATCTCGCAACGATTGGCGTTTTGTGTCTGCTTGGTGCAGACTGGGTGACTGCATCACTTTGCATCACTTGGTGGGCAGGCAGGCGTGTGTGAGTGTGAAAGGGAAGAAGCGGCCAGGAGTGAATCACGAGGCTTCCAGTTGGAAGGAGTATGAATGCTGAGGCGCGATGCCTAGATTAATAATTCATAGATGGCGGACACCAGAATACATGGGTAGGGGGGCCTGGACAAGACGATAGAAAAATATGCCTTGCCGACCCCGCGCACGCCCCTGATAACACTCATCATTGCGCGCTGCTCAGGAGCTTCTCGACGGCCCACTTGACGGAAAAGTTGCGCAGGTCCGAGTAGTGCTGGCCGACGCCGACGAAGAGGACGGGCACGTTTGTGGCGTGGACGAGGCTGACGAGGGTGCCGACCATGTCGCCGACGGTGTCGCACTTTGAGATGATGAAGCCGTCGAGGGAGCGGACAGAGCCAAAGGCGGCGTTGAAGTTGCGCGCCTGGGCGACCGAGTCGGTGCCGACGAGGGCCTGGGGGAAGACGGGAGATGTTAATTTAAGGAGGGTTAAAGGGGGCCGCAAAAGTACAAGGGCGAGGAATGCTGCCATATAGGGGTAGACGTACCTCGCCGACCATGAGAATCTTGTCAGGCTGGGCAAACTTGGCAAACTTTTCCAGCGATGACATGAGGCGCTGATCGTTGTGCCGTCGGCCGGCCGTGTCGATGAGAACCACGTCGTAGGCCTGCTGCGCGGCGTGGGCGACGGCATCCTTGGCAACCGTCGCGGCGTCCTTGCCGTAGCCCTTCTGGTACAATTCCACCTCGCCGCCCTCGCGCGCCGTCAGCTCTTTGAGGTTGCGCACGTGGACGGCGAGCTGCTCAACGGCGCCGGAGCGGAACGTGTCGCCCGCGGCGATGAGTACTTTGTACTTGTTCTGCAGCAGGAAGAAGCAGATCTTGGACAGGTTAGTCGACTTGCCCACGCCGTTGACGCCGACTATGGAGATGACGTAGGGCCGGGCCTTGCGGAGCGACGTGGCGGGGGGCGCCGCGACCGAGTCGATTTCGCGCAAGAGGTCGAGAGAAGAGGTGGGCGTGAGCATCTTGGTGAGCGAAGACTCCATGGCCGTCTGGATCCTGGAGTTTATGCCTGTCGGACGTGTTAGCCCAACACTCGCCCTGTCACAGGGGTAATGCAGTCATCAAGACCAACCTTCGAAGCTCCCAGTCTTGACGCCAGTCAGCTCCTTCTCGACTCCCTCACATAGCCGCACCGCGGCCTCGCGCGCAACGTTTTTCCTCAGCAGATGGTCCTCCATGCCCTTCATGGCCTTGTCGAGATCCTCCTTGGTCAACGTCTTGCCGCCGACGACGTTGCGGAAGAGCCCGCTGATGGCATTGACGCCGGATCCAAGGAGGCCGCTCCTCGAGTCTGTTTTCGCTGCTGCTGCCTTCTCGGCCTCGGCGGAGGCCAGCATGTCGTGCACCTCGTCACCCAGATCCTTCAGCACAAACTTGCCCTTGCTTGACGATCCCCACGTCGAAGAGTCGACGGCATCGACGGCGCTTGACCGCCCGGTTGCTTCTACCTCTGAGTCGCTCGTAAGGTTCGGTTGAGCCGAGTAGTCGAGCTGCACATCGTCGTCCTCATCCGCCATGCCGTCGGCATCCCACTTACGCCCCTTCTTGGGTGCTTTGCTCCCCTTCTTCAGCCTGCTGCTCGAGGTTTCGTCGCCGGATGATGCCGGCGCAGATGCGCTGTTCCTCGCTTTTCGAGCCCTCCTCGACATTTTCGCGACAGGTCCGGGCTTGGCGACGACCAAGTTGCCAGTACCGGGAGTCGAGGGCCGCGATGCACTCGGGGTGATGGCCGGGGTCGAGTCGCTCGAGGGGGCATCTTGAGAGCCATTGTGGAGGGCGCGGCCTCTATAGGTCAAGCCGGGAGCGACGGGGGCGTCGTCTGGTCTGTTTCGCGTCAACGTCTCTTCTTGCAGGACTGCGGCGGGGTCGCCTGCACTGGAAGCGTCCAATTCTTGCAGCTGCTGGTCGAAGTAGTCATCGAAACTAGTACACTCGACAATGGTTGTGTGTGGCTTCTTGAGTTGGTCGCCGTAGAGCGAGACGAAGATGGTCTTGATGTTGTCGACGAGCTTATCGACCCATGTGAGGTGGAGGAGGGAGCGATAGACAGCCTTGGAGAATCAGCGAGAGAAGGGACCAAGGGCAGGGAGCGTGGTAAGACGTACGACAAAGATGACGCCGAGTTCCTTGACCAGAGCCCATTTTAGGGTGTGCTGGTCGCTCTTGAAGGGGGGATTGGTGGCAGCGGACTGCGAGTCTTTGAGGCCGGACTTTTCCTCGATGAAGACGTCGGCGATGAAGCTGTTGACGACAGAGGGATTGACGGGGGCGTAGGACCTGGACCAGAGGACGACGCCCGACGTTGTGAGGATCTCGAACGTGTCCAACATGGCGTGGTCGCTTAATCGGCAAAACGCAAACGGCGGGGCGGAGGAGGAAGTTAACCAGCGTTAGACGACGCTCGTGACAGTCATGGTGTGTGGCGCGGCATGCATGTTGGTTGACTGTCGGTCAGGGTCCCGCGCACTGGGGCGTCGGCATGGCGGTTGATAGGTAGGAAGCCATCTTGGAGGGAGGGGCCGCGAAAAGGGCATCACGTGCTCAAGATAAGATGTTGGACAGCAGTCGACCGAAGATTACGTAAGCATCGCGCAACTGCACAAGTCTATGAGAATGGATAACTAGTTAGTGAACTATGATTCTTCTTCTTCGGCGGCGGTCGACAGCTTGCTATACCACGCCTCTCGAGCGTGTCGCATCGTGTCCATCACCGGTAAAGGCAGGCTATTTCAGGACGAGGAGGTCCTATCAACACTATATGCGCTTGGTGCGACGGTAATCTCAAGCACATGAAAGGAAGAGGCCATGTCTCTAAGCCCCAAGATTTCTCGGCGATGGCCTCAGACGGAACGTTTCCGACAGTCATCCATCACGACCACAGCAGCTTGAATACTGCTCAGAAGGCACGGGAGCCGAGTCTGACAAGGATTTGACTCACGAAACTGACCTGTACAATACCAGGCATAGCGTCAAGACTTACCACGCCCAGGACGCCCCCGATTGGGATGATGCGTCTTCTTCGGCGTGGCACGTACTGCCGTTGCGGGCTTCGGCCATGTCTATAAACTTTGTCTGGTCGAGGGTTGTTTGTGACGCTTCTTGGGTTGTCGTGACTGCCATGATGGCGCACTAGGAAAGGGTAGAAAACTCGCCCAAGGCGGCAACGACTCTGAAGGCGGGGATCTACCGTACGAGCGATGTGCATTCTCCATCCGGGAGGGAGCTGTTGTACCTCGAGACGGCTAGAGTCGAAGCGAGGATCCACTGGTTCACACTTACACGACCAGCTACAAGCCACCAAGACGACTGGAATGCCCGACGCCCTTTGCCAATTATTGGTCAAGACAGACGAGTAACCTCCATCCCCTGTCCGGAGCCGGCGCCAACCCCGCGGATCCGCCACATGGCTGAATGCGGAGAAGGAAATCCGGGGGTGGAGCCGGGGGAGACATGAAACTATCGGCTTACCATCGAGATGCTCTGCGGGGCTGTCGAGGCAAGCAAACCCGGGACGCCCCTGGTCCCCTGGTCCAATATGCCCCTTCGCTCCTCTCGCCTGGCCCGTCAACCCAGATCCCATTGTTGACCGTCTCATCCACATCCTCGGCTTGGCTGGCAACGAAACGAGGCCATTGTCTATCAACACGCTTGATCCCGCAACAAAGATTCATGTCCCGACTCCTACGACCATCATAGCCCTGTTCTGGTACTATCTAGAGATTTGCGCCCCCGCCTCCCGGGAAACGGCCCGCGCAGTTGCCGAGTTTGCCCCTTGTCCGGCGACAAAGAACTGGCTCTTGGGCCTTGGCAGCAGCAGATACCGTTGCGCAGACTTTCGTGGAAAAGACGCACGTCAATCTGTGCCAGCTGCTTGCTGCTTGAAATGGCGTCGACATGCTGGGACGGGGGCACTTGACCCGAAATGGCCTTGACTTTGGTGCTCGATAATCTGCCGATGACTCGTCCACGCTGCTACCCCATCTCATCGTTTCAGTGTGGTTTCACCCCATCGTGTATCCATCACTGCTCTCTCCTACGATCTCCTTGGACCTGGTCAAGCACTCCATGGCGACAAAGTCTTCGCCCACCTGCGTCGCTCGGCGTTCAAGCTTCCCACTGGTGCCTCGTGCCTCTTGTCATGCTAGAAGCCGGTACGGGCATCGCGTCTTTCCGGGCATCCATCGCAGAGCGCGTACGTCTTTAATCCCTAGGTGGACGAGTTGGCGAGATGATGCTCGTTTTCGGCTGCAGGCGAGCGAACCAAGACTACATCTACCAGGTAGAGCTAAAGGATATCAGGAAAGCGCTAGTAAATAAGCGACGGATCATTGTGGCCTTGTCTCGCCTCGAGAGTGAGAGAATGTATACTCAGGGCTAGATGCGGAAGCGTTCTGATGAAATCGCCCGCCTTGCGGATGCCGGCGCTGCCGTTTACGTCCGCGGGGGGGCGGGCACGGCCAGAGACGCGGACAAAACACTGGGCCAAATCATGGGCGAGCACCGATGATAGGGTGATAAGTAGGCTCAGGGGCAGGTTGCCAGCATGAAGCGGACGAGAAAGTGGCAGGAGTATGTACGAGGCGGAAGTCGATGTCAAGATAAATACATTGTTCTCCAAGATGCCGTTCGTCTGGTGCAAATCCTAAGCTTCTTGCAGGCATTCGCGACTGTGAAGAGTGAGCAAGGCCAGAAGGGAGGGTTCAAGGTGCCCAACTTGGGCCATATGGGTTGGCTATCTAAACTTGTTTTTCGCTTTGGTCACTAAGCCAACGGGAGCTGTCTGCTCCTCGCGCTGGGTGAAACGATCCTCCACAAGAGGGATTGCCAAGCACGCCGTTCTAAAGAGTGTGAGTCTTGTTTGTATTGTGATTACACCACTTGCACACAACTTACGAGTGCGCGGGATGAACGTGACCGGTCAATGGACTCTGCAATCCCGCAAACCGCCCTGACATTGTCTTTTATAAAAGACTGCAAGACTATTAGCTTCGGTTGACGGCGAGCAGCAAAATGGAAGTCTGCATACGCCTTCACTTTGCTTTGCAGATTTTCGAGCCGCACCTAGCAGTGGCATCCGCGGATTATGCGAGTGCAGCAGCATCCTGGCCAGGTGATAGTATCGAAGCCCTCCGGCAGCAACATGGTGAGGAGCCATATCAGAAGAAACATGTCTTGCTGTTTGACTTGAAAATCCACCGGGTCAAAGTACGAGGGCCTGGACCCCATTCAAGTCGACGAGTAGTCTACCAGCCGGTTGTACGTCGCGGAACTGCGTTCCTCGGAAAAGCAGTACTGCACCACACGGACGATGGGGAGGAGCATCGTTGTAAGTCCACGTGTGATGGTTGTTTCCGCCGTCTGGTGCATGATGGAGACGTAGAGCTCTGCTTCTTAAAGTCACATGAGTGGTATATGACTGAAGATGCGGCAATGTATTGTCGGAATGATGGAACTTTGTGTTCCACAACTCGTTGCCGAGCTTCCTGACAGGCGAAGCCCCTATTTGGGTTGGGAGAGGTATGGGTGCGCAGTCGTCGGGGGATGCGAGCACCTCATTTGTAGATGGCCGACATTCCTTGGGGGAGGACGGCGGCTGAGAGAGTTCGCTATGAGCAGCTTCAGGTGTCGATGCTCGGTCATGGCTGTCGTATGAGGCGTTGTAATATGACAGAGTCTGGTCGCTGAATTTAGTGTGCTGCGGCTGTGTCTTGAACCAGACCTGGTGTGGTGAAAAGGAAAAGGGGGAGATTCTCTCTGGAGACGATCCGCCCGGGCAGTTCCACTAGTTAATGACATGGGGTTAAAAGTACGACGAGAGTGGCACGATGCACGACGAGGGATCGTGGCCGGGACGCAACATCAACTGCCTTGACAACCTCCAGTCTCTCGACTCGCCGTCGTCAATATGGCCGCTTTGCTTGTTTCCGCGCCATGTGCCCTCGTGCTTGCTGTGGCCGCAGTCCCCTTCTTATTCATCTATCCATTCGTCGTGTATATCCGCCATGTCAAAAGTAGGCGACCTTGTTCACTCTTCTTCCCTCGACGCCATTGTAGGCATTGGCCTGTCGGAGCGCCGCGGTCTTCTTGATCAGGGGCATTATGGCCAACGGGTCGGCCTGCGCGAGTGCCTCTACCCGACCGCTCGCAAGCAATCCCTCCATGTCCGGAGCTACGACTACTACAAGCTCCTAGATAGGCTCTCCAACCTCATTCGCTTTTACAGACAAATGGCCCACTCGAGCGTTGGGTGGGATGCCATCGTCCTTTGCCGCGCCAACAAACGGCTGGAGCAGTACATGCCGGAACGATTCGTGGGCGAGCAGGGCAAGAGACTGCAGTCGTCGTCTTATCGCCTTCTCGGCCGGAGCAAGGGCCGCATCCGGCGCAACATTTCGCCCCTGGAGCAGGCGGTGCTGCTGGCTTCGCTGGTGCGCAGAGACGAGTTTGTCCTGCTCGAGGGCTTCGAGATTCAGAGGTTCGAGACGATGATCCACATCCTGAGGGAGATGCCACTCAAGGCTTGGAGGAGGACAGGCTCATTTTCTGGAGGGTCGGATCGATAGGTGTGTTTCGTAAGCTGCGCCGCCGCTCCAGAGCCGCCGCATAGCTCTGGATTTGTATTTGTTGTGGCGCAACGTGGTTGATGAATTGTCTTCAGCGGCATGAAGTCGGCAGCAAGAGCCTTGTTGGTTGCATGGAATTACAGCAACGAGTCAAAGTTATTATTAGAGAGGAATGGAGGCCACGTGACCACTTGGTCTCCGTTGCCGCCTGCTTTAGGCTCAACCTTTGCGGTCGTACCCAGAAAATGTACGGACAGCTCATCCTCATTCTCTTAGTATCTATACTTGCGGCGGCACCCCCCCGCTAGAGATTAGTTGGCCGACGGATGGCTGCGTCACTGTACCTCTACATCCAGTCAGCTGCAGGACCGTCGCAAAGAGCCAGCTAAACTCTCGCGACAACCACTTGTCTCCCGCCTCCCACCAGCCTCACAGCTCGCTCGCTCCAGCGTCCGAACCCTCCATCGTCGCCATCCCGCCTCCCGTCCGCTGCTCGAACGATCGTCTCCTCGCGCGCCATGCAACGGGCGTCGTACGGGCAGTCGCCCCCGTTGCACCACCCCGTGCCTCAGCACGTCTCCACGGTCCCCCAGCTTCGTTCGCCGCCGCCGCCGCCGGGCTCGGCGCAGTCGCAGCAGCAGGGCTATGGCGGCGGCACGCCCTACCAGCAGCAGGGCGCCTCGGCCGGCAATGTTTTTGGCGCCTACGGCCAGTTCATGAACGACCCGACGGCCCAGGTCGCCGCCCAGGTTGGCCAGACGGCCTTCAAGCACGGCCAGGAATACGTCGAGCAGAACGTGCGTTGCTGTCCCCCCCCCTCCCCTCAACTCTTCAGCCCGCTGACTTGGTCCGTAGTTTGGTCGTTTCGTCAACGTCTCCGCCCTCAAACACTACTTTAATGTCTCCAACTCGTACGTCGTCAACAAGCTCTTCCTCGTCTTGTTTCCCTGGCGGCACAAGCCCTGGTCACGCAAACAGGCCGTCGGCGTCAATGGCCAGGAGGGATGGTATCTGCCTCCGCGAGAGGACATCAACAGCCCCGACATGTACATTCCAGGTCTGTCGTCAAAGCTCGTCTCGCTCCTTCCCCGCTTTCCCGAGGCTGACAAGTCGCCCCGCAGTCATGGCTCTCGTCACCTTTATCCTTCTCTCCACCCTCATCGCCGGGCTGAGGGGCAAGTTCCAGCCGGAACTACTGGGGTACACGGCCACGACCGGACTGGTGGTGGTGATTGTCGAGATCGTCGCGCTGAAGCTGGGGTGCTATCTGTTGAGCATCTCTAGCCAGTCTCAGCTCCTCGATCTCATCGCCTATTCGGGATATAAGTTTGTCGGCATCATCGTCACCGTTGCTGTCGCCGAGGTTTTCAGCGGAGGCAAGGGTACTGGTGGCTGGGTCGGCTGGGCAGTCTTTTTCTACACATTCCTCGCCAACTCTTTGTTCTTGGTACGCCCTGCTTCCCTCGGTGCAGGTCGCCGGATGCTTCAAGCTAACGCCTGAAACTAGATGCGATCTCTCAAGTATGTTTTGCTTCCAGAGACGGCCGGTAACGCTGGCGGTCCCATGCAAACCGATTCACGAGCCAAACGCGCCCAGAGGACCCAATTCCTCTTCTTCTACTCGTACATTGTCCAGTTCTTCTTCATGTGGGTTCTTACCCGGGCTTGATGGCCCATATACACATCGCGGGCGGAGGCCAGCAACGAGAACAGGCGCCGAGAGGACGAGATCGCGGGTCGGAAAGAGGGGGCGGTTTCATAGATCGGGGTCAAGGAGGAAGAGGGAGCTTCGCCGTTGGCCACTGTCAGCCATGGCACTTGCACGAGGCCAAACACGACAGACTCAATTCTACCCGAAGGCTCGGCAACAGGGGGCCGCAGGCCGCAGGGGAGGAAGCGCTACTTTGTTCGTCTGGGCAGCGGACGAAGCAGCGCAGTCTGCGCAGATGCCGGTGCCAAGAAGGCCATGTGGCACGCTCATGTCCGGCCGGTCAGGGCCGACACGAGAAGCAAGCCATGCATGGGCAGTTCTGCTTGGGGGGCAAGGATAGACCAAATGTACGGGCCACCATGGATAAAAGGAACATCAAGACGCGGCATGGTATAATAAAGTATAAACTTGCTTGAGCACGCGCTACCAAAGAGCCCGGCCGACGGACGGACCCCAAGCCGGCACGGCCTCTGTCACAGCGCAGCGCCGGAAGGAGAAGGCGGGCCGGCACGTGACTTATGACGTCCGGGACTGCATCTCATGCTCTCCGGCCATTTGCTGGTCTGCTTCCTGATCATCTTTGTTTTGTTTCATTTATTCGGTTCTCTTCCACGCTTTCACATCCGCTGGTGTTTCTTGTCTGCGCAGAGAAAAGTGTGCTTTGCAACCATGACTTCACGAGCCCTGCTGGACGCCACCCTCCAACAGGCCCTGCTGGGCGCCGCGTCCAATGTGCTGGCCCAGCTCATCACGGCCAGCAAGAACAAGGTGTGTCCTTGGCACTGAGGGATTTCGGTCACGATGCCGGTCATGAATCGACCGCTGGCTGACCTGGAATACTCAGACCGAGCTGTCGGTCGATTGGATCCCCGTGTTCCAGTTCCTCTTGTTCAGCATCATCAGCACACCCCCCAACTTTCTCTGGTGAGTAGCACCAATCTCAGACCAAGCCAGAACGCCACCTCCTTCATGCCTTGACATCTCCCCGTCAGGCAAGTATATCTCGAGTCAACCTATCCAGCCCACCCCCCGGCAGCACCCGCCCCCCACGCCAAAAAGTCCGACACCGCCAAGCGCCCTCCCTCGCAGCCCGCCCCCCTCTCCATCCGCAACACCGTCGCCAAGTTCGCCCTCGACCAGACCGTCGGCGCCGTCGTCAACACGCTCCTCTTCAGCGTCTTCATCCACTCCCTCCAGGATGCCATGGCCCCGGCCCCGCGCATCACCAGCCTGCCCAAGGCCGCCGCCTACTGGACCACCCCGGGCGCCATCGACCTGGCCCGCGTCCGCTTCGCCGACGTCTGGGCCGTCTCGCTCGCCGACTTTTGGCCCATTGTCATGGCTGGCCTCAAGGTCTGGCCTGCCGTTAGCTTGCTCAACTTTACCGTCATCAAGACGGTGCCTGCCAGGAACCTCGTCGGTGCTCTTGTCGGTGTTGCCTGGGGCATCTATATGAGCATGGTGGCCGCCAAGTGATGGCCCGGGCTCTCTTTTCTGTCGGGCTGGCCTGGCATGGCCATCGCGCAGACGACACGAAAGCCGTCCGCCGCTGGAAGGAGTTTGGTTACGGGGAAGAAACCACCTACTTAATGCAAGGGGCCGGTGCTGCGGTCATGGCCTTTGCAAGGTCTAATGCTAATCCCAGGTACGCTGTGATTTTTGTCTCTTGGCGTTGTCTCGCCGCTTCGAAATGCGCCTCAATTATCAAGGACAAGTTTGATGCTCTTATATGAGAATTCGGACCTGGTGGTCTTCTTTAAAATATTACGTGACTTATAAAAGCCTCGGGAAGAGACTGCTTCTGAGAAGTCATACTCTTTAATAGTCGTGATCCATGGATCCGCTTCTACTTGCCCAAGTCAAAACAACGGGAAACAACGACAAACATGAAACAAATCGCTCGAAAGCACTCCAATCCCTGGAAGCAATCGACGGCGCTGTAGTCTCCGCCGCTTCTCTCGGCAGCTTCCACCTGGAGACGGCGTCAAACAAATGTCAGCTTAGTCCTACATTCAGTGACCACTCTGCCACTTCTTCGCGCCCAAGCCCCTGGGCCCGCACTCTATAACCGGCATATGGGAGCATGTTGCAGTTTGAGGAGGTCAGGCACGAGCACGCAGATGTTTCCGTCTGCCGGTCACTGTCCTCGTCAGTCGCGACACTTCTGCCGCTCTCCTGCAGCGACTCCTTCTCCGTCAAACCAGGCAGTGAAATCTGCCCTGTGCGAGGACCAAAGACGGCTGCGCGCGGGTCTAATCGCGACCACGAGGAGACGGGCCTGCCGTTGCCGTTTGTGGTGGCCAGGCTGTCCCTGGGCATCGAGCGCCGGGCCTTGGGAGACACATACCCGCTAGGCGTGGGATCGAAGACCCTTGCCTCGTCAACGTCTGGGAGGTTGGGCTGTTGGGCGAGCCAGGTATGTATAGCCGCAACGCGGTCGCCAATGGAGCTATGGGACACCCAAGTTCCCTTATCTCCGGAGTCTGATCGGTGGCGGATGACGGTTCTGCGTCCTGAAGAGCTGTCCGACGCAAATTGGTGCATGTACCCCCAAGCTGCCGCCTCTTCGCTCTGCGATGTTGTCGTCGCTTCATGTTCTCGGGCACGCGAGAAGGGGTGCGCAAACCAGTCAATGTCAGGGGAGCTTGCAAAAATGTCGAAGCGGTCGAGAAGCTGCTCTGCAACGCTGTACCAGTGCATCAGCCATGGGCGCATCTGCCACAGCGCCTCTTCGCTGTTTTCGGGCCGGAGCATCTCGTTGCAGAAGTTATACATGGTGGCCAGCACCCATCTCAGCTCTTTGGGCAACGCCGGGCTGGCTTGGACAATGCAGGACCAAGTCCTGGCCTGTTTGAAGATGGGGTCGCCATCTTGGTCGATGGGCTGCAGGGACTTGAAGATGCCACACGTGTCGATGTTCTTTGAGCAGGGCTGGTATGCCGCGGCTCCGTGGAAAGTACAGTACTCCAGCAGGTACAGGCCCGGGATGCGCTTGTGAGGGATCAGAGTGGTACTGAGACCGGTGTAGGTGGAGTCCTCCTTGGGTATCTCGGCCAAGATGTCAGGGGAGATGCTGTCTGGAGGCGAAAGGGGATCACCCGTGGCCTCCTGCTCCTCCCCTAACCGGACTTGTTCGATCTCGGCGAGCAGGGCGTCAAAGTCGGCTCTGGCGTTGTCGACCATCTCGAGCGAGTTGGACATGACGGCGTCGAGATCGTATTGCCGCACCCAGACGGCATGATGCGCCCTGTCAAAGAACAAGACGGCACACTCGCCGCACAAGGGCTGGGGGCCGCCGGGGAAGAGGAATACAGCATGGAACTGCCTGTGGGCAGGACAAAAGTACCACGTACAGCCGAGCTGGCTGGCCTCTTGGTGGACGACGGGGTTTCCCTGGGTGCCGTTGGCGGACGAGAAACAGCGGCCGCGGCAGCGCATGATGTGCGATGTGGGAGGCGGCATATGGTCTGCTGTATAACGAGTATGTCGGAGGCGCGTCCAGGATATGCGATGCTGGTTGATTGGCCGCGCCGGGTGCAAGAGGCGTGAAGCGATGGACGATGGAGCGATGGACGATGGAGCGATGGACGATGACGCGCCGGCCAGCGAACAACGAAAGATTGAGCGAGCGTGGGGAGAAGGGGTCTTTGGTATATCGGCTGGACTTGCATTTTGACGCCAACTGCTCCATGATGCAAGCGCACTGCCGCGAAGCTCTCCTGCCCACCCATGGTGGAGGACGGCTCGCCACGACTTCACTCACCGCGAGAGCAACATGGCCGAGTCTGGATCAAGAAGCATTTGGGCCGAGCTGACAGCAAGGGCGGCAAGGTCTGCCATTTTCGACAAGCAATTGCCCTGGTGGCTGGATTCTCGGGTGAGTTTGTTTTGGTATTTCAGAGATGTTCTGCTGCTGTCAATCTTCTCCTCTTCCTTCTTTGCGTCGAAGTCTTTTGCAGAGGAATCGATGCCCACGGATGGTCTGGCCAGTCTGGAGGTGCAAGAGTCTAAGCCGTTGGAAGCCGAGCTGCTCAACGACTCCCGCGCATCAGCTGAAAGGAGGAATCGATGCGAGGCCAAAGCCATCATTTATGTTTAGCCGTGAGCGAAAATGAAGCCATTGTTCAAGGTAACCCCTAAAGGCACCTATAGGTAGCCAGCCATGGCTTAAGAATTGCTTGGAAATAGTTAGGGAAACAGAAAAGGCCGTGCCTGCCGAGGGAGCCGAGGTGCAGTGGGGAAGGAAGCTTACTGGAACGTCGCTTCCGGATACAGGAGGGGGGGTCCGGTAGAGATGAAGCCTCTCATCCACCCTCGCACATTTTCTCTTCATCTCGCTCGACTCGTAAGACGACACAGACTTGCTCACCCACACGCCGTGCGCAGAGAACACAGTCGCCAGGTGCACCATGGCCGACCGCATCCACAGAGTCACCATGTTCAAGGCCCCCAAGCCCGAGGACCGGCAGAAGCTAATCGAGCAGTACAAGCTGCTCAACCAGAACAACGCCAAGGTGAGCGCCCCTTCAGTGACGCCGACGTTTGCAAGACTGACGGCTCCAGGACGGCAAACCTTACATCCTGTCCCTCAGCGTCGGCGACGCTCAAGACGACCCGCGGTCCCAGGGCTTCACCCTCGTCTGCGAGACCGAGTTTGCCAGCCTCGACGACATGAAGTATTACGACGACGAGTGCCCCGCCCACCAGAAGCTCAAGGCCGCCGCAAAGGACATGACCATTGACGGCGTCATGACCGTCTACTTTCGACCCAAGCTTACCTCTCGCCGTGACGGGTGAGGGGCAACCGTCAGCACCCAACACTACTGCTCTTGACCACGCTTGCATTCGCAATCACATGATGCCCGACAACCACATGCAGGCAGGCGGGAGCATGGATGGCGCTACCATGTATGCTGTAGTGGGGAAATGCCCTTCTTGAAAAAGGTGTGTGATATCAGCCATAGCAAACGGTCTCGTCACAGGTTCGCGCCATCATTGCTTCACTTCTCCCAGTCCACCGTGTCCGTTGAGGCGTCCCAAACTCTGGCCCTTGAGAAGACGCCTATCGCTTTGCTTGTCTTGACTTGTGGATTTCGAATACAAAGAAATACTCCCAATTATTCTCTCGACGGCCCAGTCAAGCAGCCCCATGGCCCTCACACCCCTCACCTCCTTGCGCGTCTCCCGTCGCCACATCCCCGGCTGGACCCAGATCCCCAACTGCAGCATCCAGCAGCGCCCGCTGCTCATCTACCACGGCGCCTTTGGCCCCTCGGCCTCGGCCGACGACATGGAGTCGCACCTCCGTCGCGTCGGCGTCGTGACCCCCCAGTGGCGACACACCATGTACGACACAACACATTTCCACAGCACCACGCACGAGGTCCTGTGCATCAGCCACGGCCGCGCCCGCCTGCGCTTTGGCGGCGACGGCAACACCGGCCGCTTCGAGCCCGTCGTCGCCCGCGGTGATGTTGTCGTCGTCCCCGCCGGCGTCGGACACCGCCTGCTCGACGACCTCGATGGTGGCTTCCTCATGGTCGGCAGCTACCCCCCCGGCCTCGCCTGGGACATGTGCTATGGCGCGCCCGGCGAGGAGCCAAGGCTGCAAGGGATACGCACCCTTCCTTGGTTCGAGAGGGACCCCGTCTACGGCGACGATGGGCCCGCGCTCGCCGCCGGTGCGCCGCAGGCTGCTTGAGTGACGTCGACCGACCCCCCCTCTCCCCATGTTACGGTGCCATCTCGTCGGGTAGTAGCCGGAGATGCCGCAAGAGAGTTGCCCTCCTCCTTCGCCACCCACCGACTTCGCATCATGAGCCGAAACAGTTCTAGTCAGTCCCCCGCCTGCTCTGTGCCCTCGTCCACCGCGCATGCATCTATCCGCCCCTCTGCTCTGGCTGCCTGGCCACAGCGCTTTCGTGATCGGCGAGAGGGAGGAGTCGTGCGGACTACCTACCAGGCCCGGCTTCGATCGATCGAGGCTCTGGTCCCAACAACATCCTCCCGCCACTGGGAGGCCCCGACCATCTCGGCGCTTGCAAATAAGAGTCAGCGGCAGGTGTCACTCTCGGCTTCGTTCCGCCGTCCGCGCGCCCAAGCCCATCGTCACGTTACTCCGCGTCCAACATGAGCAACCTTGCTGTCCTTGACGAGACGTTTCACGCTTCTTCTCCCTCTTGGCAGCACCATGTGCATCCTCCTTTCTCGCGCAAACTCTCTTCTCCACTCCGAGAGATTCTTCGAGTGCGTCATATTGGGTGAAAAGCTAGTCTCTTCGAAACCCGGCCAGTCAACGGAGCACGTCTACCGGGAACGAGTCTACCGGGAACGAGACAGGACATAGACGCAAACTCAGCGAGGAAGCAGAGGCTCTTTTTGCAGAGCATCTGAGAAAATGCAGTTTCACAGTATTTAAGAGTGACTCAAGCGAGATTACATTCATATTTTCCACTTCTCTCTCTCTCACCAAGGCATGTTGCTTGGTGTTTAGGCTCGCCGTAGTCTGAGAGATGTGTCAATGCCGACTAGACCTGCTGGGCAAGATTCCGATAAAAGAGAAGAACAAAACGAGAGTGAAGGAGAATGGCTTTCAAAAATGAGACCATGGAGGTGCCCGATGAAGTAGCAGAACGCAGCAACTCGCTTCCCATGCAACTGCTTCATGCCCGTGTTGACCCTTTCATAAGACGCATTTTGGTGCACCTCGTCGCACGCCGTCAGGGAGGGGGAGGTGGGGAGCAAACGGTGCCCACCGCGTCTAGACTGTTTGCTGGTTGCTCGATATGGTATTGATTTCGGTGGCCGAGTCGCTTCCCCGGCGAAACGACGATGCCTCGTCCTTCCTCGTCGCGGCCCTCGTATTCTGCAGAGGCCTCGGGTGGCGCTCCAGGGTGAAGAGCGAGACGACAACCATGGCGGCGCAGGCGAGGCCCATGACCTGAATCTGCTGCCCAAATGCCCCTACGTAGACGGCCTTAACGAGCTCTTGGAGGCGTGGGGGCAGCTGGAGTCCCATTAGGGGCGACCGGTGCAGCATGTCGAGCTGCTCGCCCGTCAAGTCGTGGCCCAGTTGGCGGTTGACGTGCACGTTGAAGAGAACTGTGCAGATCGAGAGCCCGATGCAGCCGCCGAGGACTCGGGCCTGCGCCACGGCGCCCTGGGCAGAGGCTCGAAGGCTGGGTTCCGCCGCAAACATGTTGGTCATGATGGTGGCGGCCGAAAAGGAGAGGCCGACGCCGAGTCCGAAAATGGCTTGGAAGCCGTACTGGGCCGCCGTGCTTGTGTGCGTCCCTGCAATCGTCGTCATCAGGCCCACGCCCAGGAGTTGAAGACAGGAGGCCGCCACCAGGGTGTAGGACGTGTTGTTTCGTTTGCTCGACAGGGCGCCTCCAAGGAACGAGCCGCTTGCGCACGCGCCGAGGAGCGGAAGGATGTGTACTCCGGCCATGAGTGCCTTCTCGCCGTCGACAATCTGGAAGCGCTCCGGGATGATGATGCAGAGGCTAATGTACGGGAAACCCGTGAGTAGTGTGTTCCTGGACAAGGGGTGAGCAGAGAAGCGCAAAGTCGAGGGAACGATGTCGGCTTACACCAAGCCGGCAGCATAAACTCGTCTGCACATCAGCCGTATCGGAAAGATGGGCTCGACGCTTCCGAACCGCTTTTTGTCCAGAAAAACCTCCCAGCCGACAAAGACGATCCAGCAGATTCCCGAGAGCACGAAGGTGCTGACGATTTCAGGGCTGTTCCAGGCAGACGACTGCGAACCGCCCTGTTGCAGGGCGTACACGAGGAAGCCCGAACTGCAGATGAGCGCTGCACTGCCGATGAAGTCTATGCGGGAAAATCCCCGCCAGGAGAGCAGGTGAACGGCCTCTTCGCGCGGCCAAAAGTTGGTAATGGCCAGCATCGTTACCAGCCCGCAGGGAATGCTGTACAGATCAGCTGCCCGTCTTTTCCCCTCTAGTCTGATGGCGAAACGACTCACTTCAGGTTGAAGATCCATCTCCAATCAGAGAGCTGTGAGATGATGCCTCCGAGAAGCGGTCCCAGGACAAAGGCCACGGCAAGGGTCGCCCCTATCATGGCACCGACGAGGCTAGGCCGATGTCCAGGCCCAACCTCGACAAGCCCAAGTTGAGTCAAGGTGTACAGCCCGGAAGCGCCAATCCCCTGAAATGCACGGCACGTAATCCTACCGAGAGTCAGCAAAGATGTAGGCTCACGTGGCCCCAGGGGGTCATCTGTACAGAGCAGTCATATCCCTGGCGGAAGCACATCCAAGAGAGAATCCCATGAAGATGATCCATGACAAAAGCAACATGTTCCGTCGGCCATATATGTCGCTGAGCTTGGATATGCAGACGGAAAAGCCTATGCAGCATCGTGAGCATATGCGGTTTCTTCTCAACTGCTTGTCAAACAAACTGACCCATGTACGTCAAAAGATAGGCCAAGACGATCCAGGGGGCGTTGACGAAGTCGTTGAGTTCGTGCGATATCGTGACCAAGGAAGTCGACACTATCGAAGTATCGAGACTGGAAAATAACAGACCGACGAGAAGCCTGCGGGCAGCATGTCAGAAGCGCTGAGCCATGACAGAGGATACTTGGACGTGATGCATACGAAGCCATCACCACAAATTGGCGAACTCCGCTGATGGGCGGGGAACCATCTTGAGCCGGTGGCCTGGCTAGATCTTTGCCCTGGCAGCCGCGATCGTCTAGCTCAGGCTCCAGACAGGCCATCTGGCTGAAGGATGGGTTGGGATAGGACAGAGACAAGCCATGCTCGTTGGCCATTGTCGCTGATCCTTGCTGTCGCCAAGCCAAGACACCTTCTTCCCTTGCCAGTCGGAATCCAGAACGAATCCAAAAAGGCAAAGAAGCGCCAACAGAATGTGGAGGAGAGGAGATTCAGAGCGCAGCTTAGTGTTAGTTGGGTCTGATGACTTGGCAGTGAACAAATTTGAGGACTCTGGCATCAACGAAGAAGCTCCGGATGGCTTTCTTCAACTGGACTCTGACTTCTCGCCCGCCGTGCCGGGATGGCGTGAAGGAGGGGAAGTAGTTGGTCGGCAGTGTCCTTCGTGGTTGCCTGTCAGTCCTCAGCTGGCCCCGACTTGGACATGGAATCCCATCCTGGGTGGCTAGTTCCCTACATATGGCGGGTCGAACCGGACATGCCGTGAGGAAGGAAAGGAGGGAGGGTGAACAGGCAGATGCAAGCGAAGAAGAGTTGGGTAAAGAAGCTCACACAGACCTCCAGGCGAGGCACTACCCCCCTCCCCCCCCTTCTTCCCAGGTAACGTAGTTTGAGCAGAGATGTCTTGCTTGCGAGAAAGAAGAGGATTCATCGAATAAGCATCTGAGACAGGGTCCGGACGAGGTTGTACCCGCACCAACAGGCGGCCATCGTCGGCCTGCAGGTATCCAGGCTCGGCGTCTGCGGGCGGCGTTGGTGCACACGGACAGCTTCCATGAGGCCGGGACGGACGGGGAGAGGTTGAAATAACCGTGGCACAGCGAGAACTTTGGCGCGCCCGTGGACGGTCCTCCCGGCTGTATCACCATCCGATGATGCTGATCTGGAGTCTGGCCCAAGGGAGACGGGGGGTTGCTCACATGGCCATGCCTTAGGCGAGACCGCAGTCGGCAGGCCACCGATCTCTGCCCAACGTTGCTGCATGCCGAGGAAACGAGATCTGGACACTATTCGACCGGCATTGCTCTTGGGACCCAAGACAGATGTGATCGGCCGGGTCTCTGGGGTCTGAGTGGACGACGAGGGGCGTTGGAGATGGCACAGAAGTGTAGCAGCGCTCCATGGGAGCTGACGATGGCGTCGAGGATGGGGGTGACACACGATGGCGCATGATGGTTTGAAGGCCTGCTGCTGTGTGCGCCCACCTCATCTTTGCCATCCGGTAACACGGCGCACCAGCACCAAGAACCGAGCAGTTAGGCAATCGAGGAAAGGATATCCTGAAGGCCTGGATCAGTGTCACCCCGGCCTCGTCTGCCCTGGGTCGGACGAGTTGGCAGACAAGCGACTAACAGATCCCAGCTGGCGCTTGGAGCTCCCGTTTGGCTCCCATGCCGGGGTCTCCTCGCCTGGCCCGCGCGTCCCCAATGCCGTCGACGGTATCATAAGCCGAGCAGAACAAAGAAGGGGCCCCATCAAGGCCCCCCTCGCCCGAGGTCCGTCTGGGCCAGCGTCAGGGACAAGGAGCTCGTGGCATCGGCGCACAAGCTACTGCCGCGAGAGCCTGATCGGACTGCCCAGGGCTCGTGGCAAGCTGCGGTGCCGCCGGCGATGTGTCCAGAAGCGGTCGGATGCATGGCTCCGTGGTATTGGGTGGTGGCACAGAGCGGAGCCTTGTCGACGGCTCAGGATCCGCCCGTACAGTGCAGTACGGGCTGGAGGAGTATCTCGCAAGGTTTTTCCTCGGCCCTGGATGCGACGGGCTGGCAGCGCGTCGACTTTGGCGGCGAGTTCCCTGGTCTTTGTCAGGGCGAGAGAAACGCACGGGGTCTTTTGCGCTTCTGAGCAAAGGGGCACGTGACCCGCGCCGACTTCATCCTGTCCCGAGTCGGGTCTTGCTTGCGGCAATGCCGATGTCGATACGCCCTGTCCAGCCGACGGGCCAGGTCGTGGGCACCGTGGCCTACGTTGAGGAGCAACAGGCTTTCGGGCCGCCGGTTCCCAGCGGAGGATGAATCGTGGGGAAGCAACGGGGGTGAGAAAGAAGAGCAGCATCTGTATGTTTGGTCTCCTGGCGCCTCAAGCAGCCACGAGCTATTCCGCCCGCGCAAACGGGGTCTTGGCTCGCAACGTCCAAGCCCTTGGCTGGCCGTTGGATCTGGCATGCAGTTGGCAAACTGTCAACGTGCTACGCCTCCTGACTCACGGCTGCACTTGGCCGTCTCTGAAAGGCGGCTGCAGCTTCATGTCGCTGAGTCCGCTTATAGCTATCCCGAGTAAGCGGCTCCTCCACGAAAGTGGCGGCGGCTTTTGGGGGCTCTGCTGCAGCTTCTACGGCTCTAGGAAGCTTCCATACTTATCATGACGCTGTCTTGAGCAGTCCACGCTCGTTCAGGGGTCGGGGGCAAGTATCCTGCTCCCTCGCTCTCCCAGGGCAACAACGCGATTCCCAGACTGTGGGCACTGCAAAGACCTGGACAGGTGAAATAGGCCCGAGTAGAGAGTCCTTGATAAGCAATGAATCCCGGGTGTTTCCGCTGGCCATGAAGATGGAGATACAAGCCCGCGCGTCCGTTGGCTCTGCCTTGCTTTACTCTGCATTCGCCAGCCCAGCTGCGGGCTGGGCGGCCAGCAGTGCCGTCTCTCAACCACATGTAACAGTAGATGACGAGATGAATGTCCTGACCCCATATATCGACCCGAGTCTCCACTCCTCTGCATGTGGGATAACGTGTGAGGGAGAAGGGGGTGAAATTTGACATCTGCAGCCCGCGGCTCTCCCCGTCCCATGTCCTCTGCCATCACAGTCCAGGACCAGTGCCACTCATGTCTCCGAGAGGGAGAGAGCGAGCGAGCGAGGAAGCCCCGGCCAGGCGGGTCTAGCCGGAGTTTTTCGTTGCTTACACCGGGCCGCATCATCCCCATCGCGCGCACTCCTCTTCCGGGACTCAAGGCAAGGATGCCGGCTCCTTCGTCCTCCTTTTTTTTCCTTGTGGCCTCCCTCGTGTCATGAGACTTGAACACCATCTTTCCAAGACCAGCTGCTGAGCCCCCATGCCGTGAATCGTCATGTGTCATTGAGGAGTGTGGCCGCCTCCCTCTCCGGTGTTTTCGTCGTTCCCCCCTCCCTCCACCTCTCCGTTGGCCATCCTCGTCCCCTGACCCTCCTCCCCCCTTGTTCCTTGCCCCCTCTCACCATACGGCCGTCGTCCTTCTATCATATGGAATTGCGCGAGAAAAGTCCCTGTGCGGAGGGCGGAAGAAGACTCCGACCTCCCCCACCTCCCCTGATTCTACGTTCTGGGCGTCTGCCTTCAACTCCCATATATCTCCACCACCGCCACCGCCACCACCCCTTTTCTGCTTTCAATCCCCAGCTCTCTGCTCCTATTCCTGGCCGATAGCTTCCCCATAGCGGAGGCTACACATCGTTTTGTCTCAGCCTTGTTCTTGTTCCCTGGATTCGAGGTCCAGGATCAAGACGGACAGTTACCCACGTATTAGCTGTCAGCCCCGGGCTGCTCCGGTTTGCATCTACTTTCCATTTGGCTACTTTCTCATTTTCACTCCCTCGAGGACTTGTTCGGCCTCGATTCAGCCCGGCCTTGGGACGTGCAAACCGAAACGCATAGCGGCTTAGCGAGCATAGCGCTTGGGGTGGTCAGCCCACATTCACCGAGGCTGTCAGATTCACTCACAAGTGACTGGATTAGCACGGGCATCTCGCATGCATCTCGCGGCCATCTCGCGGCATGTTCGGCCTCGACATTTGCCGCCGCACTTCTCCACATAAAATCCAGCCTTTGTTCTCATCAAGCGAGCTTTTGCTCTCCACGCCGAGCTCTCCGTCTTATATCTCTCTTCACCCTCTTTGCCAGACCCTCACTTGTCTGAGCCAAGCACTCTCTCGGCCTTCCTCCTGCTGCTGACGACGGCCTTTGTTTCCCTCGGGAGTTGCAACACCCACCATGGAGGACATTGCGGTCGTCGGCTTGGGCCTCCGCTTCCCTGGAGACGCAACCTCCCCGGAAGAGCTCTGGGGGGTTCTTGAGCGCGCCGAGTCTCAGTGGTCCGAGTTCCCAGACGACCGTCTCAATATTGACGGTTATTTTCACCCGGGTGGAGATCGCCAAGGCAGTGTGAGTACATGAGACGAACGAAATCCCCCGACTGAGCCGTCCAAGAGTCTAATCGTCTAGATATCCTTTCGTGGGGCACATTTTCTCAAAGGGGATATTGCCGCCTTCGACTCTCCGGTAAGCCAGGTCTACTCGCTTCATGCCGATCACACACACATCCTTCCCTCCCTGTGTATGTTCTTTATTGTCTTGTCTGTCATTCAAACTTACTTCTTCATAGTTCTTCTCAGTCGCAGCCGAAGATGCCAAGGCCATCGATCCTCAGCAAAGGATGCTCCTCGAAGTCTCCTACGAGGCGCTCGAGAGCGGTTCGTCCACCCGTTCCCAGCACCAACGCTGCTCCGATATGCTGACGCACAAATACCAGCTGGCCTCCGCAAAGAGGACCTCGACGGCAGCGACACAGCAGTCTACGTCGGATCCTTCGTCAAAGGTACACAACAACCACCCCTGGCTGTGCTTCTCCATGCCCTGGGTTCCAGCGGCGGAGGCTGACTGGATGTTGTAGACTACGAGCAAATCTGCCTTCGCGATCCAGACTGGCAGCCGCGATATGCGGCGACCGGCAATGGCATCGCCATCATGGCCAACCGCATCTCGCACTTCTTCAACTTCCACGGCCCCAGCATGACCCTTGACACTGGCTGCAGCGGCAGTCTCGTGTCGGTTCACCTGGCCGCACAAAGCCTGCGGAACGGTGAATCCTCCTTGGTACGTTCACTCTGGCTAAGCAACTCGTACATGCCATTGCGCTAACGATACTCAGGCCATCGCGGCTGGTTCGGGCATGATCCTGACACCAAATACCATAATGCCCATGACGGCTCTCAACTTCCTAAGTCCCGACGGCAAGTGCTTCACGTTTGACGCGCGCGCCAACGGATACGGGAGGGGCGAGGGGATCGGCGTTGTCGTCCTAAAGCGCATGTCCGACGCGATCCGAGACAACGACACGATCCGGGCCGTGATCCGGGGCACCGCCGTCAACCAGGACGGCCGGACTCCCGGTAAGTCGCACAGATCCTGCTCTTTCTTCACTCACAACCTCTATCTGCGCCCATCACTGACCCGCCGTCAGGCATCACGCTGCCAAGCAAGGAGGCCCAAATCTCCAACATAACCTCTGTCTATGCGGGAGCCGGACTCGACTTCAGCCAGACGGCGTACGTGGAATGTCACGGCACGGGCACCCAGGCAGGTGACTGGCGGGAGCTCGGGGCTATTTCCGAGACTCTCGGCGCTGGCAGGCCCGTTGATCGGCCCATTGTCGTCGGGTCCATCAAGCCCAACATCGGTCATCTTGAAGGCGCCGCCGGCGTGGCCGGGATGATCAAGGGCGTCATGGTGCTCGAGCACGCCAAGATTCCGCCCAATATCAACTTTGAGTCCGGGAACCCGGCCATTGACTTTGAGGACTGGAGGGTAAAGGTAGGGCAAGCGCCAGCAAGCGGTCGTCCGACATCAAGCATTGCTAACGACAATGCTCAGGTTCCTCAGTCTGTCATGGAGTGGCCGATGGAGGGCCTTCGTCGGGTGAGCGTCAACTGCTTCGGCTTCGGCGGCACAAACGCCCATGCGATCCTCGACGAGGCTCCCGCCTATCTCTCCGCTCGGGGCTTGACCGGCCATCACAGCTCTTTTGACCACGCCGCATCTCCTGTTGAAGAGATGGCTCCTTGCCTGCAGCTGTTCTGCTACTCATCGCACGAGAAGAACGGCGTACTGCGCATCATCAAGTCCCACCTCGGCTTCTTCGAGGCCCGGCAGCAGGACTGTTCGGCTTCCTCCCTGCGTGACTACGCATACACGCTCGGCTGTCGACGATCCAACCTGGAATGGAGAGGCTTTGTCGTGGCCAGCTCGCTGTCGCATCTCGCGTCCAAGGTCCAGGACATGGGCCACGACACTGTTGTGCGCGCCTCGCGGGACAAGAAGCCCCGTATATGCTTCGTCTTCTGCGGCCAGGGTGCCCAGTGGGCACAGATGGGAAAGCACCTCATGCCGTTCGATGCCTTCCGCCTCAGCCTCGAGGAGGCCAGCCGATACATGTCCACGGACCTGGGCTCCTCGTTTGATCTCATGGCGGAGATGCTCAGAAACGAGGCGGAAACGTGCATCTCGCAGGCGCACATATCACAGCCCGCCACGACCGCCGTACAAGTCGCCCTCGTCGACCTCTTCAAGTCCCTTGGCATCTCCCCCCGGCATGTGGTCGGTCATTCTTCTGGTGAGATTGCCGCTGCCTATGCCTCTGGCGCCCTGTCGAGGCAGGAGGCGTGGCAGGTCGCCTACTATCGAGGCCTTGCTGCCTCGAGCATGCCCGTCAGAGCCCCGAAGCTCAAGGGGGCCATGATGGTCGTGGGCATGTCGCACGAGGAGACCGAGGCCTATCTTGCGTCCGTCAACCGGTCGGCCCAGATCGCCTGCATCAACAGCCCCCGATCCATCACCATCTCCGGCCAGGCTGAGGCCATCGACTTCATCGACAAGGACCTGCGCAGCAAGAAGACCTTCTGTCGAGTGCTCAACGTCAACATTGCCTATCATTCCTCTCACATGAAGCTCGTGGCACACGACTACAGGGCATCTCTGGTCCACATCTCGCCGCGCGCGTGCTCTCCGTCTGTCAGCATGCTCTCTTCGGTCACGGGCAATGCCATCAAGGGCACGGAGCTCGACGCCTCGTACTGGGCCGGCAACATGGTATCTCCCGTGCAATATGTCGCCGCCATTCAGGCCTTGATGCAGCGCCCAGTCGAGGAGAGACCGAATATCATCATAGAGCTCAGTCCCCGGGCATCTCTGCGGTCGCCTACCTCGGACATTCTGTCCACCGAGACCGGCGACTCGCAACCCACCTATCGCTCAGTCCTTGAGCCCAAGGTGGACGGCGTTGCCGCTCTGCTGGAGCTTGTGGGTGAGCTCTGGTCTCGAGGATACCCGGTCAACATGAAGGCGGTCCTTGAGCAAGGCTCGCCTCGGAATCCGCCAAAATGCCTCTCGGACCTTCCCCCTTATCCCTGGAATCACTCCAAGTCGTACTGGCACGAGTCTCACCTGAGCCTAGCCAATCGGTTCAGAGAATATGGCCGGCAGGACCTCATCGGTGCGCCCACTGCGGATTCCGTGCCGTTTGAGCCCAGATGGCGTGGCTTCCTCCGCGTCTCGGAGAACCCCTGGATCCAGGACCATCAGGTGCAGAAGACCATTGTCTATCCCGCAGCGGGCATGGTGTCCATGGCCCTCGAGGGCGCCAGGCAGATGAACCGTGCCGGCATCGTGGGCTATGAAATCGCCAACATGCAGATCGAGAGGGCCATGATCATTCCAAACACCGCCCATGGCCTGGAGGTCGCCCTGAATATCAAGACGTGTCAAGAGTCGGCCGAGGACGGGCAGGGTTCTGCACCCGTCGAGTTTTCGATCTATTCGAAGCCGCTCAACCACGAGTGGGAGCGGAATGCCAGAGGCAGTCTGTATTTCAGGACGGGGGCTGGCGGCTGGGACGCCGTCTTCCGGACCCGTGACGCCCAGCACAAGACTCTCGACGAGACTTGCACGGAAGCTCTGAAGCCGCGCCAGCTGTACGAGTTCCTCGACACCGTCGGCATGAACTATGGCCCCCTCTTCCAGAACATCACCGAGATTCGCAAGGGGGGAAACTGCTGCGTCGGCAAGGTTCGTGTGCCGGACACCAAGTCCAAGATGCCCGCCAAGTTCGAGTTCCCTCATCTGATTCACCCTGCAACCCTCGACTCCATGTTTCAGACCTTGTTCGCCATCGACTCTTCACCAATGGTACCCACATTCATCAAGAGCATCTTTGTATCGGCGAATGTCGATGACCCGGATCCCTCTCCCTTTGCCGGCTATGCCGTGGCAGAGCGCACAGGCATCCGAGATTCCGATGCTACCATTGTCATGACGCGCCCTGGCCCGGTTCCAGCCCGTGTCGTCATTGAGGGCCTTCATCTCACCGGCCTGTCCACTCCGTCTGCCACCGACGGCGGCTTCTTGCCGAACCACCGCAATCTCTGCACCGAGATTGTCTGGAACCAGGACGCTGCGTTTGCACGCCCGACCACATACGCTGAACAGGTCGCCCTGCTCGCTCACAAGTATCCCGCGCTGGCGGTGCTCCAAGTCGGCGGAGGGCCTGCCGTGACCTCGGCAACTCTTGCGATTGTAGCTCCTGGTCGAGACGAGACGCCTCGCCTATCAAGATACACTGTGGTCCAACGTCCCGGCACGGACGATGCTGAACAGGCTCTGTCTCACGTCAAGGGCACGTCACTCGAGCATTTCTTGGAGGTGAAGAAGGACTGCTCCGAGCTCCTGGCCGACTATCACCTCATAGTCGCCTTTGCTGACACTGATATTGACGCGGACAGCTTGAAGAAGCACTTGAGAGTCGGCGGCGTGCTTCTGCACCAGCCAGTTGCAGACACCCATTCGAAGAGCAACGGACATGTAGCGCACAAGAAGTTGCAGGTATCTTCCCAAGTCGAGATGGCCGTCACGGACAACCCTCCCATCTCTATGGACGCCTTCCGAAGCCACCCCAAAACTGTTGCTGGGGCAGCTTCTCACGGCGTCGCGGTTCTGTTGCCCGAGGCACCCAGCGCAGAGGCCCTGGATCTCGCGGCAGGGCTGGTGCAGCAGCTCAGTGAGGGTGAGCCGGGTCTGAGAGTGTCTTCGGTGTCGGTGCAGAAAATTCAGGACGATGCGGCGCTGCTTACGGGGAGCATTGTTCTTTCGCTCCTCGACTTTGCCACATCCGACACCGAAGGCCGTTGGGTCTTTGACTGGAACGAATCCGGCTTCAAAGCTTTCGATGCTGTGCAAAGGTCTGCCAGGGGCATTATCTGGATAACTCGAGGCGCTCACATGAAACCGCTGAACCCCAAGGGCGCGCCAATTATTGCGCTGGCCAGGACGCTCATGTCCGAGGACCCCCTGAAGACAATCGTCACCTTGGACCTGGGCGCCCTCTCGCAGCTGGGCCATCCATCCGTCATCCAAACCGCCGTTTCTGTATTCAGGCGGAGCTTCCAGACCAACCCAGGCTCTGATCCTCGGGAAACCGAGTACGCCGAGGAAGACGGCAAGCTCTACGTGCCCCGTCTCAGCACCGTCCGGTCCCTGAACCAGCTCATCGAAGGCGACAACCATCACGACGGCCTTGTCCAGACGCCATTCTCCTCTCTCCCGGGCAATGACGTTGCACAGTCCGGCCTCTCCCTCACCATTGCAAAACCAGGCATTGCTGATGGGTCACTATACTTCTCTGAGCTTAATCACGCCGAGCTGGGGCCGGATGATGTCGAGATCGAATTCGAGAAGGCACCCCTGACCCATCTAGATCTCGACACCGTCATGGGCCGGACCGTCGAGCCAACCATTGGGATGGACGTCGTGGGTCGTGTGAAGCGGGTTGGACGCAGCGTGACAGGCATCCAGCCCGCGGATTGCGTGGCCGCCTTGGTATCCGGAGGCACGATTCAAAACACGATCCGCGCAAAAGCAGGGCTCGTGACGAGATACCAGCCCGGCCTGGTGCCCAGCCTTTACGCCAGTGCTTACCATGCAATCATCGACGTCGGGAGGGCCAGACGCGGCCGAAGGATCCTCGTCCAGGCGGGAGCAAGCGCCTACGGGCTGGCCGCAGTCCAGATGGCGAGATCGGTAGACGCCGAGGTGTTTGCAACGGTCCTCGGGTCCGAGTCTACACTCCAACGAGAGATTCTTGTTAAATGCGGCGTTCCTGACGATCACATCTTTGACGCCGACTCGGATAGCTTCGTCAAGGCCGTCCAGGCCGCGAGCAGCGGGAAAGGCGTAGACATTGTCTACAACCCAACAACAGAGCACGTCGAGGCGGGCTTCAAGTGTGTTCGGAAATGTAAGCATTCGCCCCGTTCAGGCCGTAGGGATTCTGAGCTGACCTTTCTCAGGTGGGACCGTTGTCCAGTTCGCCAACAAGTCGCCCTCGCCTCGGGCATTGCCCATGGTGGAGGGCTCGGTCACCGTCGTCAACCTGGACCTCTGCCAGCTCCTGAGGGAGGAAGAGGAGTACGTCGCCGAAATATTGGACCGCGCCACTCGTCACATGGCTGAGCGACTGCCCGCCTCTGCCCTGCATCCTGAGACGGAGCATGGCTACGGCATCAACCAGCTCGAGGACGCGCTCCGGCACATCCAAAGGGTCCCGTACGTAGGCTATTCGTCGGTGAGCGCCGACGGGTGCAACGTACCCGTCGTCAACAAGAACCCGACGAAGCCGCTGAGCCAGGCGCTCGACGGCAACGGGACCTATCTCCTCGCCGGCGGCCTGGGGGGTCTCGGGCAGAGCGTGTCGGAGCTGCTGGTCAGCAACGGCGTGCGGCACCTTGCCTACATATCCCGGTCAGGCGCGTCCTCGGACAAGGCCAGGCTGTTCATCGAAGGCCTGCACGCTCGGGGCATCGACGCGCGAGCCTATAGCGCCGACATCTGCGACGAGGCGGGACTGACAGAGCTCATGATCAGCCGCGTGGCGGCCGAGATGCCGCCCGTCAGAGGCGTCTTCCAGTGCGCCGCCGTCATCAAGGACGCCGTCTTCGACAACATGGCATACGCCGACTGGGTCGCGGCCACCAGGCCCAAGACGGTTGGCTCGCTGAGTCTCGTGCGATCCATGGCGGCGGCGGGCCAGGACCCCTTCTTCATCTTCCTCGCCAGCTCGGCCGGCGTCATCGGGAATCGAGGCCAGGCCAACTACGCCGCGGGCAACTGCTTCGAGGACGCGCTGGCGCGACACTGCCGCCTGCAGGGCAGACACGCCGTGTCCATCGACCTGGGCCCCGTCCTGGGCGCCGGCATGCTGGCCGAGGACGACGAGATCCTCAGCATGCTCCGGGCCAGCGGCTTCTACGGCATCCGACACGGCGACTTCCTCAAGGTGGTCGAGCATGCCATCACCATGGAGACGACGCCCGGCACCAGCATGCCGGCGCAGGTCATCCTGGGCGTCGGGACGGGCGGCATCATCCGGCAGAACCAGCCCGCGGACCCGTACTGGTCTCGCACGGCGCTCTACGGCTACCTCAACCTCGTCGACATGCCGCCGCCGGACCTGGCCGCCACCTCTGGCCGCGGGGCCCTCGTCGACGTCAAGGCGATGCTTGCCTGTTGCACCGACACGGCCTCGGCCGCCGACATTGTCAAGGCCGGGCTCGTCAGCATGCTGGCCAAGGCCATGACGATGCTCCCCGAGGAGCTCGACGCCAACAAGCCGCCCAACGCATACGGCGTCGACTCCCTGGTGGCCGTCGGCGTGCGCAACTTTGTCATTAGCAGCTTCGGCGTCGCCGTGTCCGTGTTTGAGGTTCTGAGCGACGCCACCATTGCCGAGCTGTCCATGGCGATTGCGGTCAAGGGGGGGTTCGGGACGGACAAGGCGTCGTAGGGGGAGAATGCCTCGGCAGCTTCTGGAAATTGGAGGGACGAGGCAAGGCCGAGAAGTGGGATTTGTTGTTCAAGCTCATTGTACAAGGTATCATGGCCGCTTTCTGAGAGGCAGAGATAGCAAACAAGTTGTCAAGCACGTATGCCGAGATGCCTGGCTTTAAACTGTGCAGCTCACATACGCGCGAGGAGGAAGATCACGCAAAAAGGAAAATTCTCCCTCCAGACATTGAGCCTGTGGGAAATGAGTTGAGACGTCAAAAAGATTGCGTGATCTGGGAATCGAACCCAGGGCTCCCCGACGTTACACGGATGGCAACGGAGAATTTTACCACTAAACCAATCACGCGGTCCTTATTATGGAGTAGTTCAGCTGCAAGATGCGTATATGGACTGCATGCACAAGAGGTCATTGGGAAAAACCTTGTCGTGAAACTACCCTAGGCCAGTATCCAATGTCTTGGGGCTCCTTCATCATTGGAAATCCTGCGCTTCCAGTATAAGAACCATTGGCAAGTGCGGCTAGGGGGTTGATGAGGAATGATCGTAAAGACGTGTCATTATGTTTAAAGCTATCCAGCAAACTGCAAAGCATGCTAGCATATACAAGTTTCCTATCCGCAAGACGCAAACATAGATAATACACACAACCAAATAATGCAATACAGCCACCACGGCCCGCAAACAACACTCCACGCAGGGCGTTGAACAACACTTGTCACGTAGGGTAAGAGCAAAGCTCTGCATTGCAATCCCTGGTTGAGTCCAGACCAATCACAAGCGCCTCTTGGACGGTCTCCCGTTGACTTTGATTTCACCCGGCTCCCACACTGCCTCGATAATGCTCATGCGGCAGCCCTCGGTTCGTGTAACGCCCTGTGTTCTAGTCAGCAGGCTCATCGGCGAGAGAAGCATCAAAGGGTTTTGAATCAGCCCCTAGACTAGAGTCTCACCTTGAACACGAATCGCTCATCTGCCGCTCGGAACAGCGCCCGGAACTCGTGCTCTTCACGCTCTTGCGCGTTGAGCAGCGTCAGCATGACCATGTCCATGCCTCGAATCAACTTCTCGTCCCATGGCTTCTCCGCCCCAGGGTCGCGCAGGCAGTGGTCGTTGATGACGACGCGGGAGCCCGGTTTCAGCGCGGGGACGAGGTTCTTGAGCAATTTGACTGCGTAGGGCGTCGAATAATTGTGAATGATCCAGCGAAAGAAATAAACTGCGCTCGTCAGCATCGAGACGAGTCTCGAGGACTCCAGCACGCCGTCCAAGGCGGGAAAGGACATACCGTCAGCGCCCTTGACGGGTTGCTCCTCAAAAAAGTCGTGGGCTTGCAGCTGAATCCTCGCCGCGACCGACTCGTCGTCGCAAACTGGCTTTGGCGCGCTGTCAACCGTCTTGGGAAGGTCTTGCACCACAAACGTCATCTTCTTCCATTTCTTTGCCAGGTCGACGCAGACAAAGCCGTGGCTGCCCCCGATATCAACAAAGGTTCCCCCCTTTTCATCAATCTCCGACATGTCATAGTTGTCCTTGAAATGGTCTACCTCGTATCCCTCTCCCTCAGTCAGGCTCGCCATCGCCCCGCCCATTCGCCTGGCACGCGCGCCGTCTTTGCCAAAAGTGACGAACATCGGCTCTTTGCCAATCGTGTCGAAGGCGAAGTTAAACCCCGTGGTGGTCAGCGAGGTCGCCTCCGGATGTGCCTTGAGGGAGTCGAGGACCTTGGCGGCCGAGGGAAACAGGTCCTCTCCGTTGAAGCCGACCCAGTCTTGTAAGGCAGCATCCTGGGCTAGTTCACGCGAGGCTGCTGTGTGTGCGATGAGGCCAGGCTCGGGCTCGTGGAATATGTAATTGGTCATGGCATGCCGCAGCACGCGGGCGAGGTTGATCGGATCAAGCGACGTCTTGGCCTGAAGCTCTGTGAGCGGAATAGGAGAGTCCACGGGAACGAGGCGAGCTAATCCGAATCAGCCCGCGTCCCTGGTTGAGACGATGCCACTTCGACTTGTTGCCTCGGGACGTACCTATGCCGTAGCCGTTGATGATCTGGAGACTCAACGTGTCAAGGCACTGGATTGGCGTAGTTAGCCCCTGGGTCGTCTCTGCGGAGGGCGTGACCGACATTCCATATGGTCCATCGCACAGTCTCCTTTGGCCCTCGTACCAGAGTTTCGAGCTCCTTGGTGGCATGAATAATCTCCTGCCTACACCTTTGCATGTCCGCGGGCAGCCGTGGTAGGCAATCCGGGGCACCGAGCGCGAAACTTGGCTCTGGCAGGCCATTGTTTCTCACGTACGTCTCCAGCTTTTCCGTCTCGGCAGTGATCCTCCTGGCAAGCTCCAGCAAGTTCGACTGCTGCCGCGGCTGGCTCTCGTCCACCGCAACAGACTTTCGCGCAGGCAAAGACTCATGCTTGGACCTAAACTGAGAGAAACCGGAAAAGGAACGACGATTCTCCTTCTTTTGTTCTGCGTCGGGCGATTGCGACATGAGCCACGAGGGCACCTTGAACTTGCGCATGACGGGGGTCGAGGCGAACGGGAGCGTGGATTGTGGGTTGACGAGGCAGCCTAGCAGGGTAGCCTGGACCGGGTCAGTGATGAGTTCGTCCGGCTCGACGAAATCTCGGCGCGGAAGAAAATTGCAACATGGAGTCCATGCCGCTCCACCAAGGAAGGGCCTGGACCCGGAAGCAGGCCCTCGGGCCGTTGCGGTTACACAGCAAAGTGCCTCGATAAGGGACGACGACAGTGACGCCACGGGAGTTCCAGGTGCCGAAGGAATGGCGAGCTCTAACTATGATGCCATGTTTGTTCCGGGGGGGAGAAGGAGGGGAGAGGGGTGGCCAATGGCATGGGACGGCAGCATGGCAGCAAACAATAGGTCAAGCCGGGGCAGATGCGTCAAGTCGGGGCATATTTCGACTTGTCGTGCGTGCGTCACTCGACACAGGCGAGCAAGATCCAATCAATCGGCCGCATCTGACGGGTCCCCCCGTCCCGTCCCCTTGCCCCGGAAGCCTGTGGCACCCAACAGCAGAATGCGGGTGGAGGGAGAACCAGTCGCACGGATCGCTCCACGTGCGATTATTCTTCAACAGCAGCTAGTTGCCGCGGAGGCGCGTCGAAACCGTCGCCAATTGGACAGAGCAGAAAAGAAACGCACATGTCATGCCCCGTGCGAGGACTTTTATTGCCGGCAGCGCGAAGCCTCGTCCGAGATACCGGGAGCCTCCTCTTCTGACACAGCGTGCGGGGGAAGGAGGGTCGGGCGAGGCGAAAAGGAGGCAAAAGAAGCAGCAGTATCGTACCACGATGAAGATTCGAGGATTGAAAGAGGGGAGGAGAGAGCGCAAAAGAAGAAGGGGAAGGACGGTAGGAAACAAGGGACATGCTCCGGCAATCGATGCTTCCGCTCCTGCCACCCAGAGCAGCCACGAATTGCAGGCAGGAGGCACCCCCCAGTCCCCTACGCCGTACCTACCCTCTACCCTCCCCCTCCTTCTCCTGCCTGCCCTAACTTAGGGCAGCGATCCGACTCCTCGTACAGTACCACGCCTGGATGCATGCGCCAAAGTACCTACTTTTTGGCGTGTTTAAGACGGCAGGAGGAGTCCTCGCCGGCCAATGACCCCCTTGTCCGCCTCCCGGTCACTGTCCCGCTCGACCAGACAACCGATATTGGCTGACGAGGCATGCATCACTTACTACCTTAGGTAGTGGCTTATTATGCTTACAGTATATGCCGTTCATCATCCTCTGATGATCCTCATCCCGCCTTGGTCGCCAACGCGCCATATCACAAGAGGAGACGACAATGATGGTCCTCGGGCGATCAGGCCCAATAACGTAAATGGCCGCGCCTCATCACGCGTCTGGGCCCAAGCAGCCAAGACCCCTTGCTAGGCCACCCTGATCGGACTTGTCCCGTCCCGTCCCGTCTCAAGACTTGGTTCAAAGATTGATACCTTGCCCTGCGGGCGCTTGCCGTGGCCTGGCCCCCTGCTTGTCTTGGGCCTTGTCTGAGAGCCTCGGCCGTGACGCGATGCTACCGCCGCTTCCCCACTCGCCACTGTGCCGTTCAAGTAGCCTCGAAAAGGCGCACGAGGTGGCATGACGGTGCCGGCATGGATCTGCCTCTACTGTGTGTAGCCAGGGATGTATTTCCAACAGTACAGGTAAACCCGGAGTCTCTGATGTTTAAGAGGCATAGCAGATTATGGACCTGGTTCGCACCATCTTTGCCTTTTCCCATCTTGCCTCCATCACCAAGTATTAAGGAGTCGAGCGCTTCGTGTGCTCGCCGCGGCCGTAAAAATATAGGTAGGCAAACAATCAGCAGGCCATGACACGGCAACTTCACCAAGGGCTATTGCAGCCATATCCCTTCTTCGCCAGTAATGCACCAACTCATGGCCACGGGCTCCTGGTATCGTCAAGGCGACCGAGATCCTTGCCGCCCAACAGAATCCGATATACACACCGAAAAGAAAGAAAGGGAATTCTCGCTGCCATTCATTTCGTCGTTTCCAGTTGGTCTCGTGTACCCAGAGTCAAGCCAGGCCTGCTGTGCATGACTGGAGCCACAGCGTCATCTGCAAACGTTGCGCATCACGCCCCGTTCTCTGGCTTCTGGGCGTATATGATGTGGAGAGGCATGTACATGAGCGCCGAGTTGTCGTTGTAGGCGCGCCGCACCTCCATGAGGAACAGCTCGACTTGCTCGCGATTCCAATGTAGCCCCCGCGTCAAGGGCCCCAGCGCAATGGCCTGTAGGCCGTCGAGGAGAATCGTGCGCCAGTATAATCCGACCGTCTTGAGTACCTTGTTCTTGGGCCACGTCCCGATGGGCACGTGGAAGACGCGCTCCGTCACGTTGGTGAAGCCTGCGTCGTGCATCAACTGAGCCAGAAATCCCCCGGCCGCCGTGTCGAGGTCGATGCCGAGGGTCGTGAGGCCCTCGTTGACGCGCTCCCAGAACCTGGCGACGGCGTGGTCGGCGGGCACGATTCCCTCGGCGTGGGCGCTCCGGGGCTTGTGGTGTATCTCTTGCAGCTCAATCCAGCCACCTGGTTTGAGATGTCTGTCATGGCGTCGCTCGTCAGCAGGATGGAACCAACAGAGGTTCCCGCGACTCACTCGTAGGCCCGGCGCAAGAGCCGCATCCAGTCCCTGACGGCCATGACGGTGTGGCGCGAGTGGATGTAGTCGAAGTGGTTGTTTGGATACAGCCAAGGAGACTCGACATCATCCACCAAGAAGCGAACGTTGGGCGGCAGCCAGTCCGGCTGGATGGGCGAGAGGTCGATGCCGAGGACATGGGCACTCGGAAACTGGTCGCCCACTAAGGTGTGGTGTCGGTGTCAGCCGCCGTGGTCACGGAGAGGCAACAGAACCCACTTTCGATGGCCCAAATGCCAGTCCCCGTCCCAATGTCGAGTACCTCTTGGGGGTATTCGCCGATTGGGGCGAAGTGAAGCTTCTGGCTACAGAGCAGCTTCACCATGGCATGCTTCATGTCCTCTCGCTATGCCCAGTCAGAGTCGGGTGCAAAGGGCGGTTGGATCTCGCAGCGCACCTCCTGCTCGACATCGTCGTTTGGGAAGTTGTAGGTGCCTTCGCGGAAGCGGTGGTAGCGGCGGCCATTCTCGTAGAGATAGTCGCGCACCGACGACTCGGCCGAGGTGCTGCCGGAGCTGAAGCCGTCACTGCTGTAGCCGCCATCGGAGTCGTCGTCCCTGGCAATGTCATCGTCAAAGTTGTCGGCGACGATGGAGGCCTCGGCCTGCGACAGGGCTTCTCGCGCCATGTCCTCCTGCTCGGACGTGGACATGAAGGGGAAGATGGACGTTCCATTCGGGTGTGTCAAAGGAGATGCGAGCAATGCCTCTGACCTCGGAATAGTCAGCGAGGGCGAGGGCGAGCTTGACCCGCTTCGCAGCGGCGCCTGTCCATGGCCCTGTTGGGCAGGCGTGTCGCACTCTTCTTGTTGCACGCAATGGCCAGACTTTGGCTGCTGGGTTGAGACAGAGGCAGAGCGGGGCCCCAGCCATGGCTGCATTTCTTGCAGAGCCGCTGCTCCGGCGTTGTGCGAGGTGCTGCTTTCGGGCCTGTGCTGTTGTTGCCCATCGTCTTGTTGCGTGGTCCGAAATCCTTCGGGTGTCTTTGCCGTGGCAGCCTGTTGTTGGCTGCGCGAGGTGGCGTCAGAAGGAAACGGCCGTGTTCCCGATGGCTGATGCGCAGACTTGCTTTCCCACGGGTTTTCCATGTCGGAGACGATGGATTGATGAACAAGCTCAAAAGGACTTGCTTGGGGTCGCCCCCGACTTGAACCACCACGAGGAAGCTAGATGGGGACCATTCCGTCGCCAAAGTGAGAGCTGACGAGTCGAGAAGGCTGTCCGACGAAGCGGGCCGACGGTTTAATATAAGACCACGGGTCGAGTAGGATCCCTGTGTCAGAGCAGAGACGGGCGACGGCACTAGCTCCGGGGCGGTCGACTATCGAGCAGGCCAGGCCGTCGAGAGGACGACCAAGGGTGTGTCGGTGACGAGATTCGAGACGGTGAATCAACCCGGGACGAGACGGGGAAGGCAAGGGAGCTGCTGGCCGGGGGATGGGGGGAGTGGAAGAAAGGGAAAGAAAGGGCAAGAAAGGATGGGAAAGTCGACGAGACGAGCATCGCTGCGTGGCATTACGGGCACCTCTCAATTATCAACCACGTCCAAGGTCGGCGACCAAAAGGGCGAGTTTTCACAAGCCGCGGTCGCACGGGGCGATGCGTGCATCATGTAGTGCGCTGCTGGCGGCGGTACGGCGGGGCAGCTCGGGGGGCCTCGTAGCCTGTGGCCTGTGGCCTGTAGCATGTAGCCTGTACTGTAGCCTGTGGCCTGTAGCCTGTGGCCTGTACTCCCGTAGGTCGCGGCTTGAAGCAGGTGCGGATGCAACTCGGCAGCAGCTGTTGCCGCCTGTGGTGCATGATATGCAACCGAGCAAAGCAGTTTTCGGGCTCCTCGTAGAAGAAGAAAATGTGCATCGAGTATGTAACTTACGAGCCACAAGTACGACTGGTTTGCACATCATCGGCGTCGCCAGAAACGGTACAATGAGAGAGGCTGGTGGACTCCATGATGACGAGCAGACGCGAGTATCTACTGTCAGAGCAGAGAGTGGACTTATAATACGTTAATCACACCTCCACTGGGGATGCCCCTATTTTCCCCGGTGCAGCGGTAATTTACCAGCTTGACAAGTAACTTACATATCGAACCTCGTTCGGTGGAGTTGACAGCCACTCCATAACAAGCAAAAACAGAGTCACGCACTGGCAGCTGTTGTGAGGGGAGGGGTGAGGATTGGCCATGGGATGACACGCAATCATCAAGGATATTCTTCTTCAATGCTCGCCGTGAAGCGCCTATGTTCTGAGTGAGGGTCTCCTCAATGGCGATGGGGGATTTCGAAACGCTTACTAGCTACATAGGCCTATGTACGGATAGGTACTGACGCAAAATAGCCTCTAATTTTAGTCTACTAGACTCACATGAGACCTCTCAAACCTCCGACTCCCTCACACACTCGCACCGGCATCACTCAAGTTACTCAACCGCTGAATGTCTCGCGCTCCCAAGCCTCCCCGCGCATGCATCGGCAACCCGTCGTTCCGGCCCCAAGAGGTCATCAAGGACACGGCCTTGCAGAAGCAGGCGCTGCGTCTGCTATCTACCAACGACCTCGCCGGCGCCAGCCGCCTCCTGCTCGGTCTCCCGGAACACGACGGCTACACATACCACGCCACGGCAAGTGTCAGCCTGGCCGAGGCCCAGCAAGTCGTCGACCTGGGCGGCGTCAACGGCCTGCACACCTGGTACCGCGCCGAGGATGGCTCTCCTGTGAGTGTGTGTGAAGCCAAGCCGACTCGGGGCTAAGGATTCGCCAGAGAGATCCCCCTCCGCAGCCCGACATTGAGGCCTACATCTCCATCTTCAGCCCGTCGACGGCCACGGCCTCGGCCCTGAAGAACTTTGGCACCAATGCCAAAAAGGCGTCCATCCGCTCCGACGTGGCTGCCCACCTCAGTCAGACGCGATACATCCACCCCGCCCTGTCGTCCAGATTGACGGTGCCCAAGTCCAGAGCACCGCCCTGCCAGAACCCCTACCTTGACTTTTGGACATGGGCCTGTCGCAACTTGGAATGGTGCGGCCCCTGCGAGTCGTCGGAGAGAGTGGCCACGAGCCATCATGTCCTGCCCATCTTGATGCACCACTTTGGCTGTGCCACCCCGTCCCACGAGAGTCTCGAGCTTCTCAAGACGCTGGCGGCCGGGCGAGCCGTGGCCGACGTGGGCTCGGGCAATGGCTACTGGGCCTTTATGCTGCGCTGCTACGGCCTGACGGTGCATGCCGTCGATAGCATGCAGAGCGAGTGGAGGGTCAACTGGGTCGACGACACCGTCATCATGGACGGCACAAGGTGGCTGCGCAACAACGCCCACGGCAAGGACCTGGTTCTGCTCCTCGTGTATCCCGTCGTTGGCCCGGCCGACGGCACCTTTACTCGCAGCCTGGTCGAGAGCTACCGGGGAGACACGATTGCCGTGGTTGGGACGCAGAACGGCAACGGATACACGGGCTTCCGGAGCATGACAATGGACCAGTACATGGCAAGGGAGCACAGGGAATGGACAAGGGTTGTGCAGATTCCCTTGCCGAGCTTTGCGGGCAAGGATGAGGCTCTATTTGTCTTTCAGCGAGGCCATCGGGCGCCGCGGGAGGAGGCGGCTCAATGACTGCGAGTCAAGCGTTGGACGTACTCGTGTACTGGGACGTGGCAAACAGACCAACTGTGCTGTCGTGGCCGGGCTACTGAGTGTATACTCGCACATAAACCCCCGAAGAAAAACAAAGACAAAACCCCAACACTCAGATCTCTTCGAATAACCAGTCCCAGGATGGATGGAAGCACGGCCACCGCTTCGCCACAGACAGGCGGAGCCACCGGATCCACCTCGATGAATAAGCCAGCCCAGCTGACACCCGGTGCGTCCCGGTCCCCAACGGCCCGCGGGTGGCCCCGAGCAACGGCCTCGCGTGGCCCCGTTTTCCCCATCCGTGCCATCATGCCCTCTTTTCCTCGCTTTGACACTTTTGGCCTCACCTCACGCTTTGTATACGATGCCCAACTCCTTCTCGAGACCCATAAAAGACGGTCTCCGAAATGGAGCTTCCGGCGCCTGCCTCGGGGTCGAGTGCCATTGGCTGCGCTCCCCCCTGCTCGAGGCCCGCCAGCCCTCCTGGCTTAGCGCCGGGGCGCCCGAGCGGCTCCTGGGCCAGTGATTATTACACTATGACTGAGGTGAGAGAGAAGAGAAGCAGACGGCGGCGTTCAAATTGTCTCAGCCGGTTAATTAAACCACCACCCTCCAACGAGCGTCCTCGAGCTAGCCTTTTCCCCTCCTTGCCCAACCCTCTCCTCGCCCTCGTCTGCTTCTCGCCAACCCCATCCCTCCAATTGAACCTTATCCTCCCCGGAGCCCTCTCTGGGCAAACCCCGTCTACAGCATGTCGCTCCTCGTCGAAGACAACCGCCGTGGCGGCCGCTCGAGGTCGAGGTCCAGGACGCGTGACCAGCGACCCCACGAGGAGCTGCAGACGTACGCAGACGTGCGAGAGCCCAGCTACGTCTATCCCGAAGACCATCTCGACAGTGTCTACAAGCCTAGTCGTCGACAGGACGCCGCCGGCGGTCTGCCGTATCCCGCAGAGGGCGGTATGGACGGCATGCTCCCCGGACGACAGTCTCTTTACAACTACGACGACGACGACAGGCCCGTCTATCGCAATGCCTCGCCGCCGCAGCACGAGTCTTCGTACCGCAGCTCGAAGAGCAAACTCGACAGCCACTTGCCGCGGTCGTTCCCCGACGACGACAAGGAGCGCCGCAGAAGCTCGAGATACGGCGACGAGGAGCCTCGCGTCCGCCAAACAGAGCCGCCCAAGGACAGCAAGAACGGCCGCGGCGACCTGTCGGACGAGCTGCTCAAATTCTTGCCCCAGAAATACGGCCGCAAGTACGGCGATGGCGGCGACAGGGACCGCAAGGGTGAGCGTCGGGCCAAAAAGGAGCGCGACGAGGAGGACTTGGCGTACGGGCCGCCGCCGACGTCGCAGCCTCCCCGGTCTCCCAGGCCAGACGAGTCGCCTCTTCCTTATGGGGGGTATGCGGCTCCTGGCCCGCCGCGGCAGAGTGAGAATCGCTCGTCCCAGTACGGTCGCGACGAAGGGGGCGACAGGCGGCGGCACGGCCTCTCTGACGACGGCTACGGGACGAAAAAGTCGTCGCACAGAGACTCTTACCGTCAGGAGCCATCGGGTTCCAGCGCCAATGTCTTGACCGTCGAGCCGTCCGGCCGCGAACGGGACCGTCGGCGGGACAGATCGCCGGGTCCTTCGAACCTTGCCGTCGAGCCTGATCGCAGGGACAGGGACCGGTCGAGGGACCGCCGGGGCGGCGAAACGCGGGACAGGTCGCCCAAGCCTCCCACGGCGCGCATGTCCTCGTTGACCGTCGACACGGGCCGCTCGTCGAACCTGTCTCTGGCCGCCGCCCCCGGGTCCCCGCTCCTCGAGTCCTACCACGGGACATACCAGAACTGCTCGCCCATGCCTTCGCCCCTCCTGCTGGCCAGCCAGGGCCACGGCGACGACGCCCGAGTCATCGACGCCCTGTCCCCGCTCAACTCGGACGCCGAGGGCGATGCAAAGAAGACAAGCCGGCGCGCGCGCTTCCACGACGGCGAGGACATTGCCTCGAGCATAGCCCAGGCGCTCCGGGGCGACAGACCCCCCCACACGCAGCCGCTCGTCGAGATACTCCCCAGCCTCAGCCACGACCAGGTCATGGAGCTGCGCGCCGAGTATAAGCGCCTGGTCAAGACGGGCTCGGAGCGCAAGGGCGTCAACGTGGCCAAGCACATCCGCGCGCGGCTCAAGGACGAGGACCCCAACCTCATGAAGGCCTGCTACGCCGTCGCGCTGGGCAAGTGGGAGAGCGAGGCGTACTGGGCCAACTTCTGGTACCAGGGCGACAAGACGCGGCGCGAGCTGCTCATCGAGTCGCTCATGGGGCGCACCAACGCCGAGATCCGCAGCATCAAGGACGCCTTTACCGACAAAAAGTACGACAACAGCTTGACGAGGTGCATGAAGACGGAGCTCAAGGAGGACAAGTTCAAAAAGGCGGTGCTCATGGTGCTCGACGAGCGGCGCATGGAGGACCTGGACTCGCACGGCCGCAGGGTGCCGCTCGACTACGACCTGGTCGACCACGACGTCGACGACCTGCGCCGGGCCGTCAAGGCGGAAAAGGGCGGCGAGAGCGCCATGATTGCCATTGTCGTCAAGAGGAGCGACGCCCACCTGCGGGCGGTGCTCAAGGAGTACGAGCATCACTACCGCGCCAACTTTGCCCGCGAGGCCCTCAAGAAGAGCGGCAACCTGGTGGTGAGCAAACACAAACCAACTCTTCCAATCTTGCATAGGTAGTCTGACGTTCCTCAGGGAGAGCTGCTCGCCCACATCCTCAACGGCGTCATCAACCGCCCCGTGCGCGACGCCCTCCTCCTGCACCACGCCCTCAGCGCCTCGCGCAAGGACGACCTGCGCCGCGAGCTGCTCATCTCGCGCCTCGTCCGCTTCCACTGGGAGCCCGCCCACATGCAGGCCGTCAAGCGCGCCTTTCGCGAGCGCTACGGCGGCGACCTCCAGGACGCCGTGCGCGAGGCCACGTCCGGCCTGTGGGGCCGCTTCTGCTGCGAGCTGTGCATTGCTCGCATGCCCAACGATGTCAGGAGGGTCGAGAGGCGCTGATGTGGGTTGCTGGGTGCCCTCTGGGCATACATGGGTGTGTAGTATTCATGCTTGGATGAGACAGGAGGAGGTTTGGACATGATTGCATGAGGACTGACCAATATGATCAATGACAACATTTCCGCCATTCATCATATGCCCACCATCGTAAACCTCAAGCACAGTTGGCACATGCTGTGCTGCCTAGGCCACACGCAGTGCCACGTCAAGCCAAGCCGCCATGCTACTTCTTGGATCCTCTGCCGCCGCGTCCGCTTTTCCCCTGCCCCTTGCCGCCTGCCTTGCCCTTTGCGCCACCGCCGCTGCCACCCGACATCATGATCTTCACCTTGCCCACGGGAACGCAGTTAATCACCTCCTCTGGCTTCAAGCCCTTGAGAAGCTCCACCTCCCGCGGCCACATCCTCTCCGTGTCCCTCGCCGCCTCGTCGACAGACCCCTTTCTTGCCGAGTCGAGCTTCCACCGCTCCACCACCTCCTTAACCGCCTTGCCCTTCTTTGTCGCCCCGGGCTGCATCTTGGCCTTGTACTTGAACTTGCCCAGCGCGCTCCACGGCGCACAGACGGGAATCGCCTCGAGGACCTCGTCGCCGGGCAGCGGCGTGCCGACAAGCACATCGAGCCCCGTGACCTTTTCGGCCTCGTCGCCCTCGAGCGTGTCGACCCCTTCGTCCATCATGACGCGCCGGATTTCTTCGTGCCTGGCCGTCTGTTTTTGTTGGCGCTGGTGTTGCGCTCGGCGCCGCTCCCTGGCCGCCTCGAGCTCGGCCTGGGCCTCGGCCCTGGCCTTTGCCTCTGCTTCGGCTCTCTGCTTCCCGACAGCTGCTCCGATGAGCGCCTCGGCAGCGGCACGGTCTTCCTCGTCTTGATCTTTGTACTTGTTGGCAATCTTCTTCGCCTTTCCCTTCTGGCCACGCTTCGGGGGGGCTTTCTTGCTCGGTGCAGGGCCGCGAGACTGCGACAAAGAGTCCTCGGGTCCTTTCCGTCGAGTTTCAGGTGTTTCCGGGGCCAGCTCGGATCGGTCCTCACCCCCAGAGCTACTAACAGGCACTTCTCTAGCCTCGTCCTCCTCAGGATCAAGTTCATAGGGCTGCTCCGTGACGTTGAGATCGGTCATGGCGTCCTCCGCGGCTTCCACGCTGTCATCACCATGCCCATCGCTGGATACCTGCAGAGGGTTGTCGCGCTCAGACTCGAGTTCCGGCTCTTCTTCAGACTCGTTGTCAGACATGTCGTCAGTGTTGGCATGTGCAGCGGCATCATCCCTCGCACCCTCCTCGTTGTCTTCAAGCGCCTCCGTGGCTGCGGGTCTCCTCTGATTTCCCGTCTGGTCCGATTCGGCAGTAGTCTCGCCAACAGTGTCGCCCCCGTCTAGTCGATGCTTGGCATGTCGGGCCTTGCTCTCCTCGCTAATCTTGAACATCACGCCGAGGCCGAGCAGAAGCTGTGGGGGTGGCAAGAAGCTCTTTTCGCCTCGCACCGCAAAGACCCCGGTAGGCAAAAGCTCTCCCGTCGGGGCCGACTTTGATACTTGATCGGCGTTGACCCACCACGCGCCCATGCCAGCTTTAGAGTCCCATGCATCTGAAGAGCATACCGAGAGCGAGCCGGCCTGAGTCAGCGTTGCTGGAGGAATCGGGGCATCGGGCGTCTTTGGGTTGTTCTTGATCACAACGCTCGGTGCCCCACGCAAGTCTGCGTGGCAGTAGACGTCGCCTCTTCGTAAAGCTTTCCTGTAGAGCAACTCGCTCTGTGCCGGATCTTTGCCCCCTATGACCAGATACCCGTCCGACGAGATGAACCACATGAACTTTTCAAACCACAGCTGTTTTCGAATGGGCTGCAAAAGGGCCTTTTCCTGCTTCAGCCCCTTTTTGAGGTCCTCGTTGATCTTTTGCTCAGCGCTCTTCAAAGCCCTCGTTGCTTGCATCTGCGTCTTTTCTTCCTTGGCGGCAGCTGATCGCTTCTGGTCGTAATACTCCCTCGCGTTGCCCCAGGGGCTGATGCCAAGGTTTATCTCAACGACTATCCCCTTGTCTGCTTGTCTGCTCTCATCCGCGCCCGTTTCACCGTCTCCATCTTCTGATTCGCTGTCGTCTGTCTCAAAGGGATCATCGTCCTCGTCACCGTCGGGCTCTTCTTCTGCTACCTTGAGAGTAATGACATTCTCGGCAAGTTTCAGGGGAAGCATGATGATCTCAGCAACAGGATTTTGCCTCTTCTTCTCCCTCTCGACCAGCTTTCCGATGTCTATCCAGTCCATGCCTTGGGCGACGAGGCCGTTGACGGCGTCCATGGCCTCTTGCACGCGCTCCACGTTGGCTTCGATGGCGGCGGCCCGGCGCATGTTCATTGTCTGCGCCTCCTGTAACCCCTCTACCCGCTTGGCCTGGTCTTGCCTGGCTGCGTCAAGCTTTCTTTTGGCCGTCACTTCTCTTTGGTTCAAGCGAGACTCGAGCTTTTGACCTTCGAGCGACGAGAAGAACTCATCCACAGTCTGGTTGTATCCGTGAAACTCGAGAGTCTTGACTGAGGGATCGTCCTTGAACATTTTGGGGATAAAGGGGTGAAAGTCTTCGTAGAGGAGGACTTCTTTCTTTGGCGGAGCATCGCCCGAGGTCGCTTCGTCTCCTCTGCACCTCGCGAAGATGTAGCCCGTACACACAGGCGCAGAAGTTATGTCCTCGATTGTTTGGCGTGCTTCCGACAGAAGTCGTACGAGCTCGTCCAAGAGCGTCTCATTCTCCAGTATTTCTTCGAGCTTCATCGTCGTGTGGAAATCATTGGATTGGAGAGTGTGGTCCACTATTGCGGGGGGCAGCTCGGTGATGGACACCGCAAGGCTCTTTCTCAAGGTTGCGCCTGATTTGCCCTTTGGCTTCTTTACTGCTGTGAGGCTGGCAGCAGCCTTTTCGGCGGCCGACTGTAGGGCATGGCGAACCCGCTCCTTGGAGAGAGCAGGAATGCCATGATAGTTTTGTCTCTTGTCCAATGAGTAATGCAGTCCGACTCGCTGTGGCTCCTGTCCTTCGCCCTCGGACACGTTTCGCGCAATGGTCAGGATACCGAGGTCGGCGTCTGTCAGGATAATGTTGCCACTCTACCGTCCTTGTCAATTTGCGGTGTCTTATGCGCCTTCAAGAAGGAAACGTACGGCGAAGAACTCCAGGAAGAGGCGATACTGCCCGTCACTGAACTGGAACTCAAGTATCCTGTCTGTTCCTACTTGGGCAACCGACGTCACTCTCCTCGTCTTGAGGAACTTGCGCAGCCGCGTAACGAATGCAGAAGGGGCGGCCGCAGTGGTGCGGGCAAACTCAGTCAGGTGGCATCGAAAGCCGGAGTCGACAACGAGTTGCTTCTTGCTGTTGGGCTTGGCGAATTTGAAGAGCAGGATTTTGGAGGAGAGATCGTAGATGTTGGCCACGCGCAGAGTCACCAAGCTCTGGTTGAGCTCGTGGGCGATGACCTGGCAATGCGACGTGTCAGTGAGCGAATGCGCGACCAGGGGTTCCTGAGACTGGACGTACCCTGACGTCGAGAGATGAGAAACGCTGCTTCATGGTTCAAAGTGCAGTCGTCGCAAGGTCGGCCCGCTGGTACGAGTCAATTCGTGCCAAAAGACTTCGCCAACGTTTGCTTGCACGCAGCTCAACGTGGGGCAGCCACTGTGGCGGGGTACCGGAGCAGAGAGGTGACGGCATCGCATCACGTGCGAGCATGCACATGACGGCATGCACAGGCCGATAAGAGCTACGGATAAGGCTGGGCCACGTAAGCCGGCAGAAGCTCCCAGTCTCGCGATTGATTTCGGGCTCTTTTGTGCACCGAGTCGGAGCCCGGCAGTCGACAAGCAAGCCTGGCTGAGAATGCGACCCTCTCTGCCTTTGGGCGACAGCCGACGTGTCCCCTAGCTGTTCAGCATTGATATCCCCAGCGCGGAACACGGGACGGGGCGGCCTCGACCACCAGGGGTCAGGCGGTCACAGGCCTCCGCCAGTCTCAGCCGAGGCAATAGCAGTGGTTGGAACAGACCCGCCTCATCTCCAGACGCGTTATCAAAGCTATCATCACACCCCCCCCCTTCTTGGCGACACAGAGACCTGGCATCACCTCACCCGACTCTTGGGCCCCCACCGGCCATCCAGCCACAAACCCATGGAGCTCAATGTTGGCACAGCAACGACGGGATCCCTGGAAGGCTTTGCTTTGGCCAGTGGTCCTCTTCCTCGGGCTTGTCCTGTACAGTATGGACACGGAAGAGCACGCCAACAAGAGCTACAGTACAGTACCTACACGTCGAGGACGGCGAGGCATCAAGTCCAGGCTGCAGGCGAAAGGGGGTAGGACAGCAGAGCGAAATGAGAGCCCAAGAGGCTTCTGGCCAATGATGCAACGCCGCGCTTCGCCAAACCTAATGAGCGTCGCGGTCCAGCCACCACCATTGGGAGACGACACACCGTGTCGATGCTACGAAAACAAAGAACGTGCTTGCATGCGGCAGCGCAGACGGCAATCCAATGGCGGCTTTCCACGATGCCATGGATTGTGTACGTACTGTGCAGGGGGGCCGGCTTAGGTCGGATGGCCATCCGCTGCGGCAAGAGGCAACAGAAGGAAGGCTGTCGATGCATTGGACATGATGCCGCAAGGTGCAAAATGGTCCCAGCCATCTTCTGCCCTGTCATCCGCGTCCTACTGCCCCGGACACATGGCCCCGCGGGGGCTCTGCTCAGGAGGGTCTGAGGCCATCACAAATGAGCGGCGGCAACGTGCTCCCAATGATGAGCAGCTCCTTTTTTTTGCTTTCGGCAAGGTCTCCAGCCCCTCGAATCATGCAACCTCATTGGCTCGGCACGGGACCGGGGCCCCGCTCTCAAGGAGCTCCAGAGCTCGTGCGGTTGGCGAGCTGGGGAGGTTGGGCTTCCACTCTCCGCAGCTGATAACGACGGGGCTGGAGACGCAACAGAGACGCACAAAGTTGGCGCTGCGGTGGGGACGAGCTGCAGAGCTTGCAGGGCCATGCCGCTTCGGACGCGCGTAAACAAGAACCCCGGCCATTGTAAACACGAGCTCTTCATAGAGACACCCTTCTCAGCACCAAAAGCCATGCAACAACCCTCGCTCGTCCAACGGACCAACCCGCTCCCTCTCCCCCCGTCTTCAAAACTCATCGCGCCTCTGCCGCCACTCTTCTCCTCATCTTCTCCTCCAATTATCTCCATCCACATCAGGCTGCGAAAGGACTTCAAAGAGGCTTCCCCACGCCCTTTCCCCCCCTTTCCCCCCTCTCCTTCGACTTTTGTTTCCTTAGGAACAGAAGCCTGAGAATCCTTCTTGTCTTCCTTTCGTGCTACGAAAGGTTGTATGAGAAGATTCTCTCGCGCCAGCAAAAGTCGGCAATCTGGACTTTGAAGCCCGAGTCCCCGTGCCCTTCAGCATCTTCCCATCGACATATCGGGACAGCCAGTCGCAAACCACCACTCAGACCCACGAAGAGGTTGATATCCAACTCCCCAGCAAGCAGCCTGCCGGACGGGAAGGTCAATACTCTTCTTACTCCGCCCACGTTGATCTCCCCCCTCGTGGAGAGAATCGCTACAGCGAAGAAGAGGTCCGTTTTACACGTGAAGAAGAGCGTTACCGCCGTCCCGGTTCCCAGCACGAGCAGTACGTCAAGGAGGAGGAGCACAAGTAGGTCTTTGAATTTCCTTTATTCTTCGTCGCCACCCCACGCTGCCTGCCCATCGCCGTGGCCACGCGTCTGGCTTACGCTGGCCTTCAACCTCAATCCCCCCAGGCTTGGTCCAACGACCAGCAGCCGAGGCGGTGAAACGGGGCCCGTCCGTCCGGGAAGCCGCCCGGACAACAAAAACTGCTCCTAGCGTTTTTCCTTTCTTTTTCTGCTTTGTTGGTCAGGTCGCATTCTCGGGCGGAGCACCCTGGTTCAGGGGGGCCCGGCATCCAAGCCTGACGGCCCAACATGGGAGGGAACCAAACTAACCAAGCTGCAGGCCCGCACGCACCGAGTACACCGACACTCACGTTGAGATCGATACTCATCGCCACCCGCACGCAAGCCCCATTGACGTTGCTGAGCGTGAATACCGAGAGCGTTTCCGCCCCCAGTACCAAAGCACTGTAGACCCCCCACCTCGGCCTCAGTACCACGCCGAGCACACCCAGGTCAACGAGTATACCGTTGAGGGCCGACCTTGCCGTCCTACCTACCAGGAGGAAGTCAAGGTTACCGAGGAGACTGTCGAGCCTGCTCGCTTCAGCCGCGCTCACCAGAAATCTAACATGGGATACTACGACGAAGACGGTAAGCATATGAATGACTTATATGCCGTCGGCCCGTCGAGCCACTTCGGCTAACCTCGTACACAGGCCACTACCACTCCTTCCGTCACGGCATCCACAAGCTTGCCGACAAGATTGCCCACCCGCACAGCCACCACCACCACCGTGAGCAGGCCGAGCCGGAAGTCCGAGAGTCTGTCATGGGACCACGACCGCGCCCCGGCGACTCTGCCGAGTCGTACCTGCCAAACACGGTCACCATTCCGTGCCACCACATCCGCCTGGGTGACTTTTTGATGCTCCAGGGCCGCCCCTGCCAGGTCATCCGCATCTCGACGTCGCCGGCCACGGGCCAGTACCGTTACCTCGGCGTGGACCTCTTCACCAAGCAGCTGCACGAGGAGTCGTCCTTCATCTCGAACCCGGCCCCCAGCGTTGTCGTGCAGACGATGCTCGGCCCCGTCTTCAAGCAGTACCGCGTCCTGGACATGCAGGACGGCCAGGTGGTGGCCATGACGGAGACGGGCGACGTCAAGCAGGGCCTGTCCGTCATTGACCAGTCCAACCTCTGGAGCCGGCTCCACAACGCCTTTGAGTGCGGCCGTGGCAGCGTTCGCGTCCTGGTGCTCGACGACGGCGGCCGCGAGCTTGCCGTCGACATGAAGGTCATTCACGGCTCGCGCCTGTAGACGACGTCTGTCATGTCAGAGATTGGCCCACACACGCTCCTTTGACGAGTCACGACACGGTTGCCTCGTGCTCGATCTCGGGAGGGGAACAGCCTGTCCTGATGCTTGTGAAACGGGGTCATTGGACTGTAGAAAATTGCTACCCTGCGTTTCGTTTTGGACGGTCATAATCGTTTCTTGGAAGAGTAGATGGGACGCTTTTCTGTATATCGGCCAATCAAGAGTGAACTCCTATCTCCTGCTCCACCTACTGCCACCCTTCTACCGGTCCTTGTCTATCCCGTGGTGCTACCTTGACTGGTTATATCTGCACCGGATCCCGCGCGAGCGATCTGGGCCTATGTGCTATCCGGGTTCCCGCGACCAGAGCCAGTGTTATCCGGGTTCTCGACGCCGCCGAGGCCGGTCATGCGTTTTCGGCAACGGCAACGCTGTTTTCTTTGCCTTGATGGGGCATGTGTCTCATCTCTATTCCCGGGGAAGGGGGGAGGGGGGAAGGAGGGCACGCGCACCGGCGGCCCGAGCTTGGTCTTTTGAGCGGTTTGCCAATAACGGGCTCCCGTGACCGTCTCCGCGGCCCCCTCTCCGAAGCCGGCAGTTGGTTTAGTTACTTTGAGCTGGAGGAGTGGGAGAGCCAGAGGGAACATGGCGAAATCGAGTTTTCTTTAGCATTTCCTTTAAAATTTTCCAGAGAATGAAGAGGAAGAGGAGGAGGAGGAGCAAGTGCCATTACTCTCGTCCAGCGCGGCGTCTGGAGACAATCTGCTTACACGTACGGGGTACAGGCGTACGGAGTACACACCACCGACGCCGTCATGTGGGAGACGGGAGGGGAAAGTAACATGGGGGGCAGCGTTGTCTTAGACAGCTCTGCGCCCTTGGAGCACGCGCCGCCCTTTGCCCGGGCGCCGTGGGTGTGTGCCGACAAGGGCTTGCCGGGAAGAGGCAGGCGGGCGATGGCGGCATCGTGGGGACCCTTGGCCCATTCCGGACGCCGAGCTCTGGCCCTGGTTCCACGAATATATATCGCTGCCTCGAGCACCATGGCCCCTCTCTTTCTGTCCCCATCTCTCTTCCATCTTTACTCTCAAGATCTGTGTGTGCGCGCCGTCGTCGGGGAACATTCCTTACTTGCAAATCGCAACCGTCGCCGATTGTCGCCATTATGGGTGGTCAACAGTCCAAGAGCAGCACACCTTACTCACAGAAGAGGGCCATGCCGGAGCGCCTCCGCGCCATGGACGTGCGAGAGGAGAAGCTGCGGTACATCGAGGCCAGCGAAGACGACGACGACGACGACGAGAAGAGCGAGCTCCGGCTGCGCGAGCGGGAACCCGAAGCGCTTCCCCTCGATGTCGTGGCTGCGCTTCCTTCGAGCATCCTGCGGGATCCCAAGAACAGGTAAGCAGCAGGGAAATAACATGTCCTAGGGCTTTTTGAACAAAAGGACATGGCAAAAGAATTGCTGGCTGACACGTCGCTACCTCTCCCTTCGCCCCTTCACTTTAGGCTTGCCCTCTCTGCCCTGAGCTCGGCGAACCCGCAGCAAGTCCTGACCACCCAGGTGGCGCAGGTCTCGGATCAGCAGGTCTTCAACGTCAAAATCCCCTTCGAGGGCGGGCCCATTACGAACCAGCGGAGCAGCGGGCGGTGCTGGCTCTTCGCCTCGACAAACGTCTTTCGCGTCGCCCTCATGAACAAGTACAAGCTCGAGGCGTTTGAGCTGTCGCAGGCCTACCTCTTCTACTGGGACAAGCTCGAGAAGGCGAATTGGTTCCTCGAGCAAATCGTGGACACGGCCGACGAGGACCTCGAGGGCCGCCTCGTCCAGACCCTGCTGGGCGACATTGTCTCCGACGGCGGCCAGTGGGACATGGTGTACAACCTGGTCGCCAAGTATGGCCTCGTCCCGCAGTCGCTCTACCCCGACAGCTGGAACGCCAAGAACTCTCGGGCCCTCAACTCGGTCCTCAAGAACAAGCTCCGCGAGTGCGCGCTGAGGCTGCGCCGCATGGCCCGCGGGGCCTCGAGGGCCTCTCCGGCCGCCTTGAGCGCCCACAAGGACAAGATGATGCGAGAGATCCAGCAGATCATCACGCTGCTGCTCGGGCCGCCGCCCAAGCCAACCGACGAGTTTAGCTGGGAGTACAGCGACAAGGACGGCAAGGCGCACGAGCTGGTCATTACGCCCAAGGACTTTGCCAAGGACATTTCAAGTGCCGAGCTGCGAATCACGTCGGCCGTCATCGAGAGCATGGTGTCGCTGGTCAACGACCCTCGGCACGAGCCCCTGTCGCTGCTCACCGTCTCGCGCCTCGGTAACATCGTGGGCGGGCGCGGCGTCAGCTACATCAACGTCGACATAGACACGCTCAAGTCCACGTGCGTCAAGATGCTCAAGGCCGGTCTGCCCATCTTCTTCGGGTGCGACGTGGGCAAATTCAGCGACAGCACCAGCGGCATCATGGACACGGAGCTCTTCGACTACGAGCTCGGGCTAGGGACGAGCTTGCTCGGCATGAGCAAGGCGCAGCGGCTACTGACGGGGGAGAGTCAGATGACGCACGCCATGGTGCTGACGGCGGTGCACGTGGACGAGCAGACAAACAAGCCGGTGCGGTGGAGGGTGCAGAACAGCTGGGGAGCGACTGCGGGGACTCAAGGGTGGTTCGTGATGAGCGACGCCTGGATGGACGAGTTTGTCTATCAGGCCGTCGTCGACCCGCGCTTCTGCAGCAAGGAGGTGAGGAATGTCTTGGGCAAGGAGCCCATTGTGCTGCCGTTGTGGGATCCGATGGGCTCGCTGGCCTAGACCATCGGGCGGTCGAGATGTGCGTTTCATGACCAGAGTTGCGTAAAGCCCGCAGCGTACGAATTGATCAAGAGAAATCAGGAGCCGAAGTGCCGTGGCGCTGACTCCCAATGTTGTCCGTCTATGTCGCGAGTCATGCCTCATGCCCATCCAGCATAAATGCCGTGCCGAGGCCAGTTCTGAGCCAGGGAGTTTGGAGGGTCACCTGGACGAGAGTCTGTGTCAAAGGCCGGATGCCCAACGGCGATGAGGGGGCATCACCGCCCGGGGGTCGTGTTGCGCTGTCAGAGTTGTCGATCCCCCTTTGAGTCCCGCTCGAGCTCTTAAGCCCAGACTATGACTATGCACTTTGCACCTTTGTCATTTCCAGGGCGGGCCGAGTTGGGCTGGCTGAGCAGTTTCGGCGTCTAAGTCGGGGCAATGGCCGGAGGGGTGGCCATCGGCCATGTCTGCCCAACAGGCTGTGGATGTGTGGGGACCGAAAGGGCGACTGAAAGAGGTGGGGAGAGCGACAAGGAGAGAGCAAGCAGTCGGCGACGCAGTTGGGGATGGCCCTAGAGAGCGCGATGACATGGCCGTCGAGGCTCAGCCGTCACACAAGCGTTGCAAAGTCTTCGCGTTGCTCGGTCAGAGGACCAGCGTCATGTGCCTCTTTGGCATCGTCATCGTGGCTTCATGAGCACTTGGGGAATGGTGTTGAGGCAGGGTGAGGCAGGGCAGCCCAACGGCGGGCCTGGATTCGACGGAAGCGTCGATCCAGCGCTATTTGCGAGAGGTAGAGAGACAAGGACAGGGTATCCAACGAGTTTCGCAGCGGCCAGGTCGACAATGGTGATTGGGCGCCGTTCTGAGCAAGTCGTCAACGGCCTCTCTGTCCCTTTTCTGCTTGACTCGGGGATGGGGTTGGGTTTCCTGGGGAGGGGCCGGCGTGGGAGCCCAACCGTCGCGGACTTTGTCTCCAGCTTCGACTGTTCGAGGGTGGAGCAGCAGAATCAAGCAGGAGGCAGGCTGTTTCGAGAGGGCATCGACATGCCATGTTGCGTCGTCGGTGTACCTGAGGCGGTGGAGGATGTAAGGCGCGGGTGTCGGAGATGAGCGGGTACCTGTCAGCCCCGCAGCAGTTCGCGGGTGATGAGGTAGCTCGGTGGATTGGGATATCCGAGATACGCGACCGACTACTTGCTAGCCTCACGGGGTACCTGACAAAACGCGTTGGCACTCAATGCCCGCGAAAGCTCAGGGATGTAGAAGAATATGTACCGTACTGTAGCAGCCAAGTGCTTCTTGTGGCCGTATTCAGGTTTTGTTTGTTGCAAAAGACTGGAACGCATTGATGAGCCGGCATGGGGGCGAACCGGGATCAGCCTTGACGGACGGACCGCTGGCTGGGGAGGCGGGAGCTGCCGTGTAGGTACTGCTACTGCTACTGCTACTGCCTACCCTACTGCTACTGCTACTGCCACTAGTAGGGCTGACACCCACTGTAAGCTACCTGGAGCTCAGGCGGGCTGGGGGACCACGGTGCGTTGTCGAGCACTGACTGCCCTGGAGGCCACGGAGCAGCTCATGCATCATCCATCATCCAACGGCCACGAGACGAGGCCAAAAGTGCACCCGCAGTAGTTCTGCAGGAGTAGTTCTTGTGCGGATGCAACCAAAAGGGTCTTGTTTGCCGGCAGATGTGCAGAAACGGCCAGCTCGGCCGCCCCAAACGCTTCCATTCCAAGCAGAAAGAGAGGGGCTGAGGCCCAACCCAAACCTAATCTCCAACGGCCCGAGTCTGCACTTGGTGACGTCGGTTCCCATTGTCTGTCTGGAAAGTTATAACTTGAGACAAGTCTGCCTCGGCTGCCCGTGCCATGCCCTCATCTCAATGCCTATCCAGAAGCACTCGCCCCCTTGTTGTGTCTCTCTTGGCCCTTTCATGCTTACCACTTTGTTGTTGTCCGTCCTCCTTTTTGTGCCTCCTTTTTTGACTTCTTTTGTCTTTTCCATCATCTCGACGTGACGCGGTAGAGAAGGAAGCGTCAGATTCAATTGCACCCCCGGACTTTTCCAAAAGAAAAAAAAGAAAAAAAAACTGAAAGAACCGGTTGCTTTGCTCATTCATCCGATCCCAGTTATTACACGTGTGGCTTGCTGCAGCCGTTGGTAAGCGTTTTTCTCATTCCCTTCTTCGTTTTTTCCTCGTCGAGGTTCTACTGCGCATCATCAACATCCTCGACACAGATGAGCTGCAATCCCTTCAACGACACTTGGACCCGCCACTGACTGACCCCTCTTGACCCGAAAAGCGTCGTCCTCTCGGGCTATTGGACGCCGTGCCACGGCCATTACGTCCTACCTTGTCGACCTCTTACATCAGCCGCCTCGCCCCTCTTCCTTCGTTTTTCTGCTCCTCCTGCTCCTCCTCCTCCTTCCTCCTCCTCTCTCTTCTCCCTTCTCACCCCTTTGCGCCGCCACCTGAATTCGCTTCTCGCCCCCGCCCGTCGTCAGCCAGCTTGCCCTTTGTCGCGACGCCCTTGTACGAGCCGCCTCCCGCCACCGGCCAGCGCCTGCTCCCAGATCGCCCCCCTCCAACGGGGTCGGTCCTCGTTGAACCGACTTGCACCCGTCCGAGCGCTCTCGTCCGCCATGACTGACCGCTACCGGGCCAGTTCGCATGCCGCCGCTGGGCGCTCGTCCACCTTCAATCCAGCCAGGTCCTCCATGCCCACCAGCATAGGCTACAGCTCCATCTACGCCGGCGACATGCATGTCGTGCCGTCAGCGACCCCGAGACATCACGTCACAACTCCTCGCGCCTATGCTACCTCGTCGTCGTCGACTGCCTCGGCCACGCCCACCACCACGAGGACCTACGCCGTCGCCCCCGACCCTCGCCAGCGCTCCACCACTCGCGAGACCGGCCGCGCCCGCCGCTCTACCCTCGACTCGGCCTCGAGGCCTCCCGTCATCATCACCACTACCACCCAAAAGGACCGGCCCCACGCCTCCTCCTCTCACACGTCCAACACGCGCTCCGGCAGCCCCATTCGGGACGACTACCGTGCCAGCGACGGCCAGTTTTACGCCCAGCCCGCCTCGTCCATCCGTTCCCGGAGCACCGCCCGCCCGTACCACGTCGCCACCGCCGCCGACGACTCGAGCCGTTTCCGGGATCGCGGCGAGGCCCAGTTGAGCCATCGTGAGGTCGAGGCCTATCGCAGCTCCCGCCCCTCTGTTGCATATCCGAGCGACCCCAGACACAGCACCGCCGCCATCGACTACGGCGACGATGGCTATCAGTATACCAACGCCGGCGAGCTGGCCAGGTACGACCTCGACCTCCCCAAGTCCTCGCGCCCGCGCAGGCAGGAAAGCGTGGATAGAGGATACTATCGGCCCAACATCAACTACAACGCTGATCAGCGGAGCTTCAACGTCAACACGAGCCATGACTTGAGCCGAAACTACAACATGAACACCAGCCGGCCCTACGACGGCAGGGCCGGCCCACCTCCATCGACCCGTGGCTTCGACAGGATAAGCAGGGCGTACGAGCCCGCGCGCGACCTGCCTCCCGCTGCTCCGGTTCCGCCCTCGCCCACTGGTGCCTCGTCTCTGCTTGAACCGCCTTCTGACCGGTGGGAATCGGGGCGTCGCAGCCGGCCGCTCTCTCTTCACCAGGATGGCGCCCCTCGATCCTCTCACCATGATGAATACCAAAGAAGCCGCGATGATGAGCGCCGCATGCGAGAGCATCGCGAGCGAGAACCCAACATGGACCGGCCGTACGAGCCTTCCCGCTTCAAAGACGAGAGCATTGCGTCCCGCGGCTTTGGCATCCGGACAGATGCCTTGGAGGGTCCGGGTGACGCCCGAGAGCGTCGTCGGGAGCCCCGATCAGAGGAGCCCAAGAGGCGAATGGACGAAACCGTGGTTGAAGAGCGTCACGAGAGAAGAGAGAGCAGGCGCGAGGATGAAGGGGCTGACAAGGAACGGTCACGTCTTCGCGAGAAAGTCGCGGCTGGCCTGAGTGTCGCGGCCACTGCCATCGGCCTGGCGCCTACGGTCATGAAAGAGGAGGACAAGAAAGACCAGGGCGCAAGGGAGCCAAGGAGGCGCCGGAGCCCTGGCGAGGACAACGAATGGCGGAGAGAGCCCGGCTTACCCGAGCGAGCCCCAGTGCCGGCCAAGGACAGGGAACAAACGCGAGCAAAGGAGGCGTCCTCTCGAGATGGCTCCAGGACCAGCACCGAAAGTGCTGATCGCCCCAGGCGAGATGCCGAGGTCAAAACGAGCGCCGAGAGCTTCACACCGCCCTCGGACTCTGACGACAGCAGGCGGACGGCTCGGCGGCACCAGTCGTCCGGCGGCTTCGACCCCAATGACGCCTCCGATTTGAGGCAGCTTAAGGAGCAGCTGGCGGCCATGGATGACTCAGACAGGGGAGCGAATGCGGATCGGGGAGATTCGGCCGAAGAGGAGAGGCAGCAGTCTCCTTCGTCGCCCTCCACAAGGCGGCGCGGGTCGAGTGAGTCGACGACAAATCGGTCCCGTGAGCGCGAGCTGGCGATTGTCTCCACCGGGACGAAGCAAGTCCGAGTCGTCTCGCCCCCAAGAGAGAAATCAGAGGAGAAGCCTCTCAAGGGCATCTTGAAGCAGCCGAGCGCGCGCTTCCCGGAGGAAACCAACCCAGTTCGCGAGGGTGTCGCGCCTCACAAGGAGGACAAGAAGCTCAAGGACGCGCCACAGGGTGCCAGGTGGACCAAGATCAATCGCAAGATTGTCAACCCGGAGGCCCTGACTGTTGGCAAGGAGCGGTTTGAGGTCCGGGACGACTTTGTCATAGTCCTGCGCGTCCTCAGCAAGGAGGAGATTCAGGCATACGCCTCGGCAACGCAGGTCTTGCGAGGTACGTCCACAACCGGTGTTGTATGCACGTTGAGCCGTGCTGACAATTTCATGGCAGAGAGGCGACGAAACAAGTCTGACGGGGATCGCGAGCAAGATCGCGATCAGGATGACGAAGGGAGCCGGCGGCATCACCGCTCTCACCGTCACAAGGACGAGGATGAGCAGGACGGGGAAGAGAAAGACCGCGAGCGCGAGCGCGAGAGGCGCAGGCGCCACAGGAGGGACGGCGAGGACGAGTACGAGGCCCGGTCGCGAGACTCGGAGCATCACCATCCCCGGTCCTTCCGGGAGAGGGACCGTGGTGCGGAAGCATGAATTTGAGCGGGGCCACGGCATGTTTTGTCCTGTTCTTCTTATTCTCCTGTTACCATGGAGATTTATGTATGTGACCATAGCTGGGTTGGAGGTTGGGTACGGGAACAACGACATGTATCTTGTCTGGCAAGCCATTGGCGTTGGTTGGGTGGAGGGAGGGCTATATCGCTCTTTTGGGTTTACCCTTTTCCCCTGTTTCATGGGAGGCGGATGTCTTGTTCATCAGACAGGAGAAATGTTTCTGGGCCTTGTGCTTCGCCGTGAGTCACGCTGCGCTCCATGTGTCAGGCTTTGAGAACGGCAAGTAGCAGCAAGCGGCAAGTCTGGCCTCGTCATGAAGTTGCCCAGGAAGCAAGCACCCAAGCCTTCTCCCCCATTTTGTCAATGGCGACTTGCCACAGGGGGCTGCTACCGTCGAGACTCTCCCCTCGTCTCTTATCCCATCATTTTGAGGGGCAGAAATCACTAGAAGGTCTCACGCTGCATCGGGTCATACGACACTTGATACGGACCTCCGAGTTGTCATTTCTAGCTGGATGCCGAGTTGGAGAGCGCATCTACACCAGGGCTCTGGGAAGCAAATGTCGCTACAGCATCTACAGTACGTCCCTAGGAGGAGGAACACCTTGGGATGTCGTCTCTGGCAGCTCACTTCAGGGGCAGGGGGGCGAGGGGCAGGGGATCTGCGATGCAGCGCCGGAGGTGTGTGGGCCGGGGAAGGAGATGATGCCATTCCATTGACATGGCGCGGTGATGGAAACAGGCCTGTCCTTGACGGGTTTTCTGGCTCCCCCCCCTCCTCCGGGGAAGCCTGGGCAGGCGAACGATGAGCCGAGGTGCGCAGCAGCGTGCGTCTCCCGCCCCTGCACTTTAGCCCCTGAATCACCACCACGATGCGTGCAGTATCTCAAACTTCATATATCCGACTCCCAGGAGCCCCGTTAAACAGGCTACTGGGTAAATTCGCTCAGGCCACGGCGTTCAGGACCTTGGGAGGCGTGAGGAGAAGAGGCAAATCGTCCGGTTTCCTCCTCCCCCCCCCCTTTTCTTTTCCTGTCCACCGCGTATGTATGAATGTACGCATGCATGCAGAGTGGTTTTCAGCCGCACCCCGTAATATCGGCTCTCCATCCATCCATCCATCGGTTGGGCACCCCTCCTCCGCGTGCCCGGAAAACCGCTGGGCGGGAAGATGGCGTGGTGGTGGTGATGGTGGTGGTTGTGGTGGTGCAGGACAATGGCCGCGGTTGCGTACGGGTACATACGCAGACATACATACAGCTTGCCATGCCGCCAGCCGACTTTGATTTCCCATGGGGGGCAATAAAAATAAATAAGAAGGCGTGCGCTCTTCGATCCGTATTCGGGATTTGGGTCGTGAAACACCGGCGGGGAGGAGATGTGTGTTGTGTAATTAACCCGCGCCCCCCCTCTTCCCCGTCAACCAAAGAGCACGCTTCAGACGCTATTCTCTTCCCTCTTCCTCGTTCTCTCTGCCCTGCCCTGTTTTCTTGTCCTTGTTTTTCTTTTTCCTGCTGCGGGTGTTTCCCCTGCCTGCCGGCTTCGAAAGGGCACATTTGGGCCTGGATGGGCTCGGGCAGAAGAGGGTGGCAGCGATGCCGTGGGATGCTCGGGTTTACTGTACAGTATGTTGCCTCCCCCCCCCCTCTCTCTCCCTTGCGTACCTTCACTCTTCCTGCACATATGAACACAGTAGTTCCTACAGAGGCGGTGCGTGCCACAGTAATACCAGGCCGATGCGGTGAGATGAAGGAGTGGGGAAAAAAGGGGGCGGCGTCCGGGTGCCAAACAAAACAACGGAACTCCAATCAACAGCCCGTCTTGCCGCCGTCATGACACGGGCACCGCGAGCTGGGACCACTGGAGAGGAGAGGCGAATAAGCTTAACAGCCCGGGGGAGGGGGGTGGATAGGGGAGTCCCCGTGGTCGTCGTTGCACAGCGTGTCACGAGACATTTCAAGCAAACGAGGAACACAGGAGCAAGAGAGAGAGAGTGAGCGCGCACAGAGTGAAATGAAGAGCGAGGCCGTGGAGGACGGCCATGTGTAACACAGGGGGCGTCTCTTCAGCTCTCTCGGGTCCCGCCGCCCGAGGCACGATGGCGGGCGGCGCTGACTCACGGGGTCGGATGACGCGGGCAAACAAACACCATCATCGTCAGTCGGGCTTATTATTATGTGTGTGTGTGTGTGTAGTAAATGTGTTATGCACTTCAGTGCCGGGCTCCGGGTCCGTCTCCGTCGCGGTTGTTGGGTATGCTAAGGGGGAGGAAGCCGTGCCCCCCCTTTTTTTCCCTCTTCCATGTGGTGAAGCAACTCGATCGGGTCTGGGTTTGAATTTTCAACCATCTCGACCGGTGGCCCGTCATCGTGGAGCTGCTTTGCCACTACCAGGGACGGGTATGTGTGTATGGTCTGTGTGTGTATGTGCGTATGTGCGTGTAGATAGGCGTGGCCCGCCCCCCCCTCTCTCTCTCTCGCCCCCAGAACAGAAGAAGAATCCCGCAGCCGGGTCCATCCCATCAGATGTGCTGCGCCGTCCCAGTCAGTCCGCGGTGACTCCAACAGGCCCTCTCTCCTCCATCTCTCGCTCACCGTCTCGCGTCCACTCACACCGGCCCACCACCAACCAGCCGCATGGCCGACGGCGCAGGCTGAGCTCCTCTTGCTTGCCGTACAGGTACCCTACACCGACATGTGCGGTGGCCGGGCGAGCCGCATGCCACCCATCATCCATCTACCTGCTGGTAGGCGGTCCTTTTGCGTCGCTGCGGGCGGTGGTGGGCGTGCCTTGTTGCCTGCGCCCGCCGCCGCCGCGGCAGATGAGACATGCGTGGCCGCGCAGCTGAGCACAGCCGAAAGAGAAGGGGGGGGGGAGGGCCAAGTAATCGAGCAAAATACAAACAAGGAAGAAGGAAGAGGGTTCGTCGACGAGATGCTTCGCCACCATCACCGGTGTCTGTGACAGGTCAACAGCGACAGCCTCCCACCGACGGATAGGGCATGATTACACAACTTGGCTGTATATGCAAGGTAATTCTCCTCTTGCTCACCGCTTAGCAGGGGACGGGACCGATAGGCAGCGGTTGTTGTGACAGATGTCTTCGGGCTGTTATATCGCTAATTTTCTTCTGTCTAGTTGAGACTGTCTCGGGTCCCAGACGTTGCGGTCTTGACAGCACGATAACCCCCCCCGTCTCTCGGCTCGTGTAATCATGTACGATATCTATGTACTCAACCGCCCCCAAATATCCAAGCAGGCCCGGTCAAGACACGCAAAAACAGGCGTGTCGTCTCGTTCTCTCGGCCGACTGGCAGCATCAGGTTTCCGGGCTCGCGACGGAGCTCAAGCTCCGACTCCTGGTGGCCCCCCCCCCTCCTCCCCGGAGCCTGGAGTCCTGAAAGCTGACAAGAAGGAAACGGGGCAGAGAGCGGGAACCAGGAGAGGAGAGACAGTCTTGTCTTTGTATCCGTCCACGCCCGTCGTTTGATGATCCGGGTTCTGCTCCGCGGGAGTCAGAGGCAGCAGCAGAATCGTCGCCGGAATCGTTCTCGAAGCCGGGGGAAAACGACGTAGAAGTGACAGATACGGACAGTACAGCTGCTCGCTTCCTGCGCCACGCAACGAAAACGTCGCGCGGCATGGGGCTCGGTGGGTTTTTGTTAGGCGCCCGTCGTGCTCGTTTACGAACACGTCGCGAAAAGGGTCCCGTTTCAATCGGGTACGGGCGCGCCAAGCCAGACTGACACGGTTCCCCGACAGTACGGGCACACAGAGAGACAGACGTCGGTCGAAAAGACGCACCAGTCACGAGGGGGCCATGGCATGACGCCTTGGCAACGGCTCAAGACGAAGCGCAGGGGCCTTGACTCGCCGGCACGCCCCGGTTCCCACCTCTGGCTTTTTGTTGCAGCCACGGACGGAGTTGGATACTGCTATTATTTCCGCATGTCTGATGCCATATGGGACAAGGCTGGACGTGCCGTAACCTCGTACGATGCGCGGCAGTCATGCAGAGCGGCATTCTTCATCGTCATCAGTGATGATGAGCAAGAAAGGGGCCAGCCAGGGTCCACCGCGGTCGGGAGTTGCCGCTTTGACGAGTGAAATTGGCCCAATGCCACCGCGTCCAACGACACGAGGGCCTTTTGCGTCGCGTCGTCCAAGCGCGCCGCTCTCATCAAAACATGGATTGGCGCCATGGCCTTGCCGAGAAAGAAGAAATGAAAAAGGGCGAAACGGGAGAAAATGGAAGGGCAAAAGCACGCGTCCCATACCTATGTATCCATACATAGACACGGTTAGTATTTGGCTGACTGACCAAGGTCGTCTCTACGGATACACAGACACCCCCTCCCTATTCGCGCTCGATACCTATAGCCCGGGAGTGTGTATATAGCTGCTGTACCTAGGTACTTACCTCTCCATACCTATCCTCCGTATACGTACAGAGTACACACTTTCAAAAGGTACATACAGTACAAGCGGAGAAGGCACCCAAGGTATACCTTACACTTGGGTCCTGTAATCTCTACGTGCGTCACACTCCTCCCTCTTTGACCTCATTTGTCCAGAGGACGGATGCATGTGTGTGTGTGTAAGCAGGTAAGCCAAAACATGGCCAAAAATACTTGGCATATCTCATGTAGTCTGTACGGGTGGGGACCAAGACACTCTCCGGGCCCAGAATAGAAGCCTCTCCACGGCTCAGCGCAACATCCTCTACCTGGCCTCCACGATGCCTGCTTGTGTCGCCTGCGCGGAGGCGGCAGTGAGACCCGCGGAGAACCATGCATTGCCCTACTGCATCTTCTGCGTACTGTATCCGTAGGTTGTACATAGAAACGTATTCGTACATGCAAACTGTCATGACGCAGCGCCTCGTCAAAACTCCCGCGCCCCTCTTCCGCCCTCATCTCATGCCCCCCCTTCCACCCCCATTCAAGGTATGCACCTCGTCAGCACGTACTGTACGCATC